TTTCTTTTTTAGCTTAAAATCTTTATTTATAATATTAATATAGCTATACCTTAAACCTTAATTATAATAAATTTTATTTAAATAAACTTTTTAAAATATTTATTAATATTATTATTAAATTAATGCAGCTCCCACTTAACCTGGCTACCTAATTAAGCTGGCCGCCCCCCTACCCTATATAAAAATCCAATGTTTCAATCTGGAATAACTTAACCAAAATTAGTCCTACAATTTAATAATTCGTACTATTAGATTCGTTATTTAATAAAGAATCCAGCGGTATTTTTTACTATTTTTTATAAAATTTATTAAGCGAAATATTAAGCAATACGCTAAATGAACGTTAGGTAAGGATTATTTTAACGCTTACTTTAGCGTATTGCTTAATAACTCTACGAATATAAGTTGTATAAATTAATTAAGGGCACCGTTAGATAGCTCTTCTTATTACGAATCTAATGGTATACTTTGTTATTTTATACGACTAATATTTGTAGAGTTATTAAATTATTACGTGATTAGCGCACCAATGTTTCTTGTATGGGCTGGGGGGGTGGCCAGGTCAATTAGGTGGCCAGGTTAAGTGGGAGATGCGTTATATTTTTAATAATAAATTTTATAAAAAAGATAAACTTTTTAATAACTTTTATTAATACTTTTAAATTATATTTTTTATTATAAAAAAGTTAAAAAAAGGCTATATTTAAAATTAAAGGATTTATTATAATATATATTTAATTTTTAAAAGCTATATAATAATTAAATTTTATAATTTAATTTAAACTTTTTATTTAATAAATATAAAATATATTATTTAATATTTAAATAATTATAATTTTTTTAAAAGTTAATAATATTAAAGTTAAATATATATAAAGGTATTTTATAATTATATTATCTTTTATAAAAAGCTTTTATACTTTAATAAAAGGATAAGCTTTTTTATTACCCTTTAAGTTAATAATATTTTAAAGCCTTTTATTAATTATAAAGCTTAATATTTTTTTATATATATTTATTTATTTTATAATTAAATATAATAATTTTTATAATAATTATTTAAATAATTATTTAAAGTAATTTAAATAAGGTTTAATTAATTAAATTAAAGGATAAATTTAAAAAGTACTTTTTAATTAATCCCTTTAAAGTTTATATAATAGTTTTAAGCAAATTAAGCTTATAACTCTTAAATATAGGTAGGCTTTAAAGCTCCTATAATACGTTTAAAGGATTAATTTAAAGTAATATTAAATGCTTTAACTAGTTAAATTTTATTTAAAAGGTAATTAAGCAATATATTAAATATATATACGATTTTGAAACCTTTGTTAACCTGCTCCTTAACTCCATTAATGTCTAACATTACTGCGCTCTCTTTTTTCCTCCTTTTCCTTAATCGATTTTACAACGGCTATAAATATATAATACCCATCAAAGCGCATCATTATAAGTTTTCAAAGTGCCAACCAACAGCCCTATAATGTTTTTAAAATTCTAAACAGTTCCTACGGATGTTAAAGACATTTTATATTAATATCTAATATAATATGGAACGAGGTTAAAGGCGCCACACAACCCCATTAAGGATTTAAACAACTATAAAGGTTAAGTTAAGATTGCACTACATTTATAGCTAGCTTATAACTCAAGGGTTCCTTATTTATAGGGTCGTATCTGGATTCCCGTAAGACCGGTCGATAACACTACCAACACCACCACTCGAAGTCTCGTTCTGATGATAAGCAAATCGTAAGGGTCCCGGGCCACCACGTCACGGGCTACCCCACCACCTACCCAACACCACTCAATTAAAGCCATATTTTTTAACGAAAACAATCGCAATCATTATTTTTAAGCAGTTATAACTATAATATAATCTTTAAACTTTAAAATATCCTTTTAAATAATCTTTAATAAGTTTTTTAAAGTTCTAGGTACCTTATAATTATTTACTTTATTTTTATAAATCTTTTTATTATATATCCTATATTTAATCCTTTATATATTTAATATTTTTATAAATTTATACCTAAGTATTATTTTTACCTTTTTTTTCTTTAATTTAATTAATTTTTTAACTTTAAATTAAAAGTATTAAACTTTTACTTTAAAAGTTATAATTTTATTAATTTAAAAGTTTAATACTTTTAAAGCTTTTTAAATAATTAACTTTTATATTAATATATTAAATATATAATAGTTTATAATAAATTTCTAATAACTTTATTAAAGATTTTAATTTATTAAAAATATTATTATAATATATTTAAAGTTAAATATTAAAAAGTTTAATATTTTAAATTTATTTTTTATTATAAAAGCTTTATATTTAACCTTTAAAATATCCTTTCTTTTTAATATTATATATTTTAAAAATAATAGTTTAATTTAATCCTATAGAAATATTTTAACTATTTTTTATATATTTTTAATTTATTTAAATATTAAAATTTTAATTTTTATAAATTATAATACTTTTAATATATTTTTTTTAAAAGGTTTAATATTTAAATTAATTAAAAAATATTTATAAAAATAATTATAAAGCTATTTTTTTAATAATTTAAAAATTTTAATATTTAATATTTATATAATATAATTATAATAAAGCTTATAAAAAATTAACTATACTTTATTTAATATATAAATTATTAAAAAAATATTATTTATATAATTATTATAATTATTATATATTAATATTATTTATTTATTATTATATTAAATTTAAATTTATAACGCATCTCCCACTTGACCTGGCCACCTTAATAACCTATATAAAACCCTATTATTTCAATCTTTAATAACTTTACGAATATTGATCGTACAAGTTAATAATTAGCACCGTTAAATCCATTAGGTGAAGGGGAATCCAGAGGTATTTTTTACTATTTTTTATAAAATTTATTAAGCGAAGTATTCAGCAATACGCTAAAGGGGCGCTAAGCAAGGATTAATTTAGCGCTTACTTTAGCGTATTGCTTAATAACTCCGCGAATATAGGTCGTAAAAGTTAGTAAAGGATACCGTTAAATAGCTCTTTTTATTACGAATCTAATAGTATATTTCATTATTCTATACGATTAGTATTCATAGAGTTATTAAATTATTACGTGATTAGCGCACCGACGTTATTTGTATGGGCTAGGGGGGTGGCCAGGTTAAGTGGGAGATGCGTTATTATTTATTTACCTTTATTAATATTTTTTTAAATATTAAATAGTTAATTATTTTATAAATAATTTAATAATTATTATTAATGCTTTATTTAACCTTTATTTTATTTATATTATATTAATAATCTTTTAAAATATTAATAACTTTTAAAGCTTTAAATTAATTAAAAAAAAGGTTAATATTAATTATTATAATATTATTAACTTTTAAATAATTAATTATATAAAATTTAATAATTTTAATTAATAAATTTTATTAAATAAAGCTTTAATATTATAATAAAAAAACCTTTTTAACGGTATTAATATTGTTTTAAATAAGGTAAAAAAGATTAAAGGCTTTAATTTATCTTTTTTTAAGTTAAAATTCCATTAAGACGGTATTATAAAGTGGTCCTAGAAATATCCTACTTTTGCGTTACCGTTTTAATACTTAAACTAAGCTTAACGTCGTAAACAGCGCCCTAATAATGCTTTTCTTCGGAAATTGAAGGTATCGTGAGATTCAGTATGAAAAGGCAATTCGATTGAATATAAAAAGAAGGTTAGAAGGTAAAAACTGATTGCGTTGGGTACAGGGATTTATATACGCGAATTCGCGTAAAAAGCGCGTGGCGGGGTGGCCCGTGACGTGGTGGCCCGGGACCCTTGCGATTTGCTTAAATCTAGACGATGGCAGCGATAGAGTTCGCGATAAGGCCAGGACACTGAAGACAGGGCAGTTCTATTGGCTTTCCCATGGTGGATGGAACAGGGGCGCACCTTTTACCAGGTCAGCAGGTACATCAAGCATGTCGTGGAACGCCCACGATGAGAACTAAGCTTGCGTCAGAGGCTTATAAGGGGCCATTTACACTACAGCTTCTTATTATCGTGGCGCACATCAGCTTCCACCTTGTCTTAAGACCAATCCCTATTAACTACGTAGTTTGCATAGACAAGGCGACTGTGAATGGTTATAGACAGAATCGAAACTCCCAATGCGGCATTAATATGTATGTTGAACAGCTACGATAGAATCTCACACCGAGAGGCCTTCGCATGGCAGATGTCTCAATGCTCTGCTGCCTCCAACCCCAGGAGTAAAGCTGTAAGCCACTGGGGGGTAAGCGACAAGGACCAACCAACTTGGGGAAATTTATATGATATATCTAGCACATGGGTGGCATCTTCATGGTAGGCTCGCAACGTGCTTCGAACGTGTGCATGAGGGGGTTTCATTTTGGAGCTAATTGCTGGACTTGGTTTCACAGAAGACGACGCTGCATTCAGCCCAAATATGCCATCCACGTAGAACGGAGTCCAGTGAGAGCGTTCCAGGCGATGAAAGTAACTTGAATCACGATTATCTCTAGACTATGTTGCTACATGAATGATGCTGCTATCTGAACTCAATATCAATATCGAACTCTGATACCAAAAACACTGAACTAAACGCTGAAATTTTGTACACTTTTAGATAAGGGAGCCGACCTTGCGAATCGTGCTGTCAAGCATCTGCCAATCGTACGTCGACATGATACTTGCTTTTTGATACCCTCTACACCTTCAGAGTGCGCCTCCTTTAGTGTGATATGTGTCACTCCAGCTGTGAGACGATGGCCTCGATCACCATCTCCTCCGTCCACTTCGTAGATCTGTACGCCCTGGAATCCAGCAGACTGGTGCTACAGATCTGTTGAATATTCAATTGATAGATAGTCCAGTCACTGTTTGGATGAACCCGTATATCAACACCAGAGCTCGCCTCTTTCGTCTCTTATGATCGATTCAAGCAGACCCCTTTCTTACAGCGAATTGATACGCTTCCATTTCACGTGCAATATGTCTAATACTGGTAAAGAGATACTCACTAGGGAGTCTACAGAGGCGAATAAAGACTCCCTAGCCCCAGATTTCGAGTCTTCTATCGACGAAGCCAAGCTCTTGCGCAAGATAGATTTCCATGTCCTGCCCATTCTCTGGGTTGTATACGTGGCAGCTTTCCTCGACCGGTAAGCAGTCCACTCACTGAGAGTGTACATCAACATTGATTCCAAGGTAGTGTCAATATATCCAATGCTCTCACGCTCGGCTTGCCCGAGGAGCTCGGTCTCAATCCCCGGCGAGTCAGCATCATGCTCGCCATCTTCTTCGTGCCGTACACGATCTGCGAAATCCCGGCCAATATCCTCATGAAGCGGCTGAATCCTCACAACTGGCTCTCTGGATGTATCCTCGCATTCGGGCTCGTGACTATCGGCCAGGGCTTCGTCCAGAGTTACGAAGGCATCCTTGTCGCGAGGTTCTTCCTCGGGGTGTTCGAGGCAGGCGTCTTCCCTGGCTGCTTCTACTTGATCAGCTTTTGGTACAAGCGAGACGAAGCCCAGAAGCGGTTCACCATTTACTTCTCAAGCGTCATTGTCTCGAACGCCTTCGGGGGCCTGCTGGCTGGGGCTATTGCCAAGCTAGAGGGCGCTCGAGGGTTAGCGAGCTGGCGATGGATCTTCATACTAGAAGGGACCGCTACTATTGTCATAGGGTTCATCGCTTTCTTCTGTATCACGGATTTCCCGATGGAAGCGCGCTGGTTGGCGCCAGATGAAAGGGCGTTTATACTTGCGAAAACGGAATCGAATGAGTCTCATCGAGTACCCATCACTCTGAAAGATGTGCTCCATTTCTTGTCTAAGCCCATCAATTGGTGTGGTGGTATGATGTACTTCAGTACGATCCCCTCGCGCAGTCTGGAGTCGATCATAAACTTGGCCATCGCTGATTTTCTCTTTAGCAATAGCGATTCCTACCTTCACACTTGCATTCTTTATTCCTACCATCGTTCAAACATTGGGTTATGGCCCCGTGCAGGTTAGTCTCTAGAGTCATTAATCTCCCTTTAGGCAGGTTTTGGACCTTTATTGGCCCTGCATACTTCCCGGGACATGTGCCGAATTCTTACTAATTATCTCTGATGATAACTGACTCGAGCGGGTGAAAATAGACACAGTTGTATTCGATCCCTCCGCACGCCGCCGGTCTTGCCTCCTCTATCATCCTCGCTTATGTTTCCGACAGGTATCGAATACGCTCACTGCCCATTTTTGTAGGGCTCGCGTTGATGATCACCGGGATCGCTCTGTTGGCCAGTTTTCAAGATCTGTCAAACTTCTCGGCCGAGTATGCTGCGATATGTCTCACCACCATAGGTGCAGCTGGCTGCGGTGGAATCATAATATGTTGGTGGGTGATGAACCTCCGAGGTCACGTCGAGCGCAGCATTGGTTCTGCGTGGCTTATAACTCTAGGCTCCATCGGAGCGATGATATCCACATTCAGCTTTAAGCGTGACGTGCGATCTTATCGTACTGGATATACCATCGGCCTTGCTGCGGCTGTCTTATGTGCTGTTATGTGTGCTTTATATGGGCTTCTCGTTTGGCGGAAGAGGAAAGCAGAAGCCAGATCTGAAGGGATCGACGGGATTAAACGTGATCAGCTGTTTTTGTAAATAATCATTTCGGTACGCCTGCGTCGGGAAAAGAGATGTCGACGAGATGAGAGGAGCATGTTTCTGAGTTGTTTCTCAGTCAAGTTTCCCATTGAAGTTAGTGACCTGAACTGGTTGCCATAGCTGCCCAAAAAGCTCCAAATGATCTGCCTGGTGACCCCTCCTCAGACATTGATATTGATGTGAGGTGCAGCGGCGAGGTATCAAGAACACTAGAATGAAGACCAGCAGCATATGTTCAATCCGTATTGAAAGGCATCCGCAGAGCAGTGGCATTAATCGCCTACGTAAGTAGGTACGGTACGCAAGTATGATAGGTATAGCGACGCCACATCTTGCGACGAGGCGGCACGGAACAGGTGCATATGCGGAACTCACCCGAAGCAAAAAGAAAGTCCATGGTGCACTTATAATCTTCACGGTAGAGTCCTGTCATGATTCCCCATCGTCATCATCTACTTTATCATGAATGACTACAACCCCACGATAATGGACGCACTCAAGGTACCCGATCAACTCCCCTCATTAGACCACGAAGTGATCGTTCTGCTTGAAGAGGTGCACTTCACTGTGGATGCCGTCGACACCACGCCACGGTCACACGAGATTCTTGCATACCACCGCATCTCAAAGGCAGAGGAGATACGTGAGCGTATACAGTGCGCTAGCATCGTCATCGCGACTCAATCGTGCATCACAGCCGAGAGCCTGGGCGAAGCACCGTATCTGTACGTTCATACCGGGCCTGACAAAGACGATACACGCCGGCCGCTGATTTACAATCAAGGAAATGCATCATCACGCCAAGTGCCGGCATCAACCATATCGACCTGGAAGAATGCAAGCGCAGAGGGATCAAGGTAGCAAAATGTCCAGGGTCGACATCCCCTGCGGCCGCAGAGCATGCTCTTAGTCTCGTACGCGAATCAGGCGAATAGTAGTGAAGGCAATACTAATCCGGCCCAAGTACTTCGCAGCGAGACGCAAGACCGTGATGCTTCACAACGACATTCGAACTGTAGATGAAAATAGGGCAAACCTGTGGAAGCGCCAACACAGCCTTGCGCTGAAGATGCAGACGGCGAATGAGCGCCCACCCTGTTCTCTCGAGGAAGAAGTAGCAGGGATCATTGGATACGGCCATATCGGCAAGTAATCAAGCTTCTCGAGGCGATAGGCAAAGCTGATTGCCCGCGCTAGGAAAACGTCTCGAGACGCTTTGCACAGCCCTCGGTATGAAAGTAGTAATAGCAGGGCGAAAGTACAGGGCCCCTGACAAGAACGCTACTACTGACCAGATGCCGGCGCGGACCCCTTTCGGCGAGGTAATGAGGACGGCTACTGTGCTCTTCATATGCTGCACATCGAACAGCGATACGCAGAACCTCATCGACGCAGCCGAGCTCAGCGCCATGCGCCCCGAGGTAATCATGGTGAATATCTCGAGAGGAGGCGTGATCAACACCCAGGAGGTCGTGAAGGCGTTGCGCGAGCGCCGCATCTCTGGCGCCGCGGCAGATGTCTTTGACCAAGAGCCGGCCAGCACGGAAGGGGATAGTGCCTTTCTGGCGGAGGACACGAAGGATCTGAATTTGACCTTTTCACCACATGTGGGCTACTTCTCTACGAAGACCATGGTTATTATGAAGGACATGGTCAGGGAGCGAATCAAATGGTTTGTTGACGGAGACTTCAGCAAGTTCGAGGTCTAATTATAAGTAATGACTAGTACGGAGTAACGGTTTGACCAAATTGATATACCGAGATCCCTGCAATAAGACTAGACTCGAAGTGCATGATCAGTGATGAATGATGCTGGACCTTGACTCACCCTATCCAAATTCCTTGGAGAGAAATATATATAAGTACCGGTATGTACCTACCTACGTATGCACACAGGTGTTGTAGATGTTGGATGCAACAATACCTACAGGGTCATTGTTGATCCGACTACATACTTCGTAGAGGTAGCATTGCGTGCCGGGTTGCAGCAATGGCGTGAACCCGAAGTAGGTATCAGGATGGTTAACTGACCACAGACCTTGGGGCGACACGCGACGACGACGCAGTCGCATGTTCGTCCGTTCTACTGTCCTCGCAAAGGTGCATTCGCTTACTATGTACAGTGCTGTACCTACATCCACCGATGCAGGTGGTGGAAGCGTGCGTTGGCGTTCTAAGGAGAGTAAGTAAATAAGTAGACAATTGGATGTGCCAGGGTCACCATGGTGTAGATGTGGAGTGACGGAGCAATTAAGGCTTCGACGGCGAGCGGGTAAATAAACAGTTTCCCTTGCCCCGTCATCTTTTCTTCGGGGAATTTCATGGAAATGGTTGTAATGGATTAGACAATGTTTATTGGGCATCTTACTTCCAGGCTCTTGGTAATCAAGACATCAAAAGATAGTCCGTCTGTCTCTGTGGTGTCATCCAGTCTTACATGTCGTGCCTGGGAGCTAAAAAGATGTACCTTGTCATCTGGACTCTCTAAGTAGACCCGAGTACCGGTATGACTGCAACTCTAACTGCGAGGATCGGTAAAGGAAAGAAAGACGAAAGAAAAACGAAAGGTGCCGGACTGGGCTCTTCCAGGTGTTCCCATGTTGGCCGAGGGCCTCGTATGATGGAAGCAAGATCAGCCCACAAATGGGGCTGTCAGGCGGCCATCACCTGCTGCGTAATGACATTTGGGGTGTCGGTGATTGGTGGAATGGCTAACCCCCCCTTGCCCTTTCAGCGAGTGTGATAGTGGACGGCAGTGGACGACAGTGGGTGGTAGTGGGTGGCCAGTGGGTGGCCAGTGGGTGAGCATGCCGCTGATACACACCATCGTGGACCCCCTGTAGCGCTGCTTCCTTAGGCTCGCCAGCGGGGAAATACCTAGGTACTGTAGTATCCATGCAGGGTCATCATGCCTCTTCTTAGGTATGCTCACTGTACATGCGTCTGCCCTCTGACCAAGCCCTATAAAGCTGTCACCAGTTTAACTTGGCTGGAATGGATTCCGCTCTCTGCCCTTACTTGATATAAATATAGAGATCCTACCTATATCGACAGTTTTGTTTCTGTTTCAGAAAATCTCACTTTTTTCCCAGCTCTTAATACATCTACATCTACCATCTCAAGACCTCGGCCCCATAGGGAGAGTCCACCTACCTACCTACAACTTCGTGATAACGACAACATCTTGTAATACAAACAAAGAGACAGAAACCACAAAAGACACAAATCAATAATAGCAATGTCGCCCACATACACCATGTCCGCACATCTGTGCAAGCAGATCTACAAGTCCTACCAAAACCGCCAGACCTCCCCCGAGCCAAGCCCCAACTCCCAAAGTACATCGTCGTGGACATCGCCAATCATGAGCCGCCGTTCGCCGTCTCCCGACAAGCGCAATTCAGTCGACAGTGACCGCAGCGACTCATCATCATCAACCCCCAGCTCTCCAATGTCCCGATCCTCGTCGAGCTCTAGCTGGAGTTGGAGTAGTCGTTGAAAATCTTCACACAATTTGTGTGAATTTAATCAACTTATCTATGTACCCAGAGGGTAGACATACTATTCCGCTACCACACGACCACTTACACACACCACGCTACATGCAAGATACATCTACACGTACATCTATCTCTAGGGACAGGAATTGGAGTCGGCACCGGCGTTAACAAGGAACGGAAATACCCACTGAATCAACATGCATTTTCACTTTTTTCCAACTTTTTCCTCTTTTTCCTACGCCCTTTTACAGATAAAGCGACAACTGTTACAGCCGAAGGGAGATTTATAATAAATGCTATAGCCGGGTTACACCAAGTCGTCTGACTGCGCGAGACGGAACGATTTGGTCCTTCTACTTGACGCAATTACTATCATATGGGGATCTGATTGAAAGCAAGGCACAAAGTGGGATGGAGCAATCGTGCTTGTGTTGCGTGATCCTGTCCAACAATGACGCAAGGCGGAACACAACACAACACCACACCTCACGTGTACTAATACCTATAGTATACAAGGAACAAACCACATCGCGTAATCCTGTGCAGTCATACTAGCTAGATCTCTCCGGCTTTTCGCAGTACATAGTAAATATGAGAAAAATTTCCGCATCTTCCTGCTTGTTGTTCTGGTGATTTTGGTGTTTCTGATTGCTTGGTTTCGTTGACTGATTGACAAACCTAAAAACTTGTCACACAATTCCGCAGTAACCAGCAACAAACTAACTTAATCGCTCAATTCACATAAATTGATTCGATATGCACGACATGAACGTGACAGCGAATTGAATCATTTCAACCTCACCTTACCTTACCTACCGAAGTATGCACGGGCAGCAGGAACGGTAGTTACTTACACACACATGTAAGCATCTAAATAAATCTCAATTGAACCAAGGTGCCTGACTAGGTAGCAAAGCTAACGACATCCGCCACACCACACCAGACCCTCGATCGCCCATGCCCATCCCGTACCAAGATCTACCTACCCAATCTAGTGTAAGCCGCCTCAGTCCAGGTCCCTTACCTTACTTCGTACTCTAGTCAAAGCGTGACTCAGCGCAAGACAACTTAACCCAGCTACCTAGCATCTTGCTTCTTCATGTCCGTAGCGTTATAGGTACATGTAACCTGATGGCAGGTACGGTGGGAGTGGCTATATTACCCCTCACAGTGGATTCCTTCAGTGACTAGAACTTCTACTCTACAACATCAATACAATCCTTTGGCAATCCATACGTTTATCAAACCCGACTAAGTAAATAAAACACTCGAGAAATTAGCTTCGTTGCCTTAGCTTACTTACATAAGCAAAAACCAAGCAATTACATAGTACTCATCTAACCTCTTGAATTCATTCCAACCTGCCAACTAGCCTATGAAATATGTAGTAGAGACTTCTAAGTAGGTGATATCTATCTATGACGCAGTCTAAAGCTCGCCACCAGGGCTTAAAATCAGCACGCATATATATAGTGAAATAATCAGCTTGCATACCATACCATACCATACCTACCTACCTACCCACAGTAAGTAAGTACCTAGGTAAGCTTGCATACTTTATATCTGGAGTAGGTAAAGTAGATCAGTATATAACATACCTGCCAAGCTTCACAGCTCTATATACTATTACTTATACACCAACGTATCAGTCCCATCTATTCCCTTCAAGATCTATCCCTTCGCGATCTCTTCTCTTTAACCGAACGTCGAGTAAGTGATTAAATTCCCAACCCATCGCTCAGCTAGGCAGGTAGGGCATAGGAAGCTCCTAGGTATTTCGCGCAATAGAACCCAAGTTCGTAAACGAATAGGAACAGCATAGACATAATACGTATGTGTATGTATACATACCTAGCCATCGACCCAATATCCTAATATCTAGCCGATATTCTCAAGGAGATCTAGTTATAGTTAGATAGATAAGTAGGTAGGGATTACATAGCATCGGTCAACAAAGTACTTGATCTAACGCAACTACACGCGAGGCCATACTGTCTTCAACCCATGTAGGGAAAGTATTCTAAGTTAAGCCATATATACAACAACGGGTATACGTACATCCATCCATCCACGATACTCCCCATATCTAATCTATTTCAAAAGTCCAAGGTCCATTCTTCGCATAAAACACCTCGTGATCAAGCACCCTAAGCGCACATATAGCGTTTTCTGAAGTCAGGCAGGAAAAAAGATATAGAATTACCATTATATCAAAGCCGTGCCGGCACTACTATACTCGACGTTCCCGTAGCCCACGATCCGTCTCACAGTAAGCCAGAGCTCGAAGACCTCGAGCTTGATCTCCACCCGCAGGTACCCCATCCACGCGACGAGGAACCGGAGTGCGTTCCCAGGGGACAGGAGACTCCCGGGCCGCTGGCGGATCTCGTCGACCTGCTCGCGGAAGACCGTGCGCGCGCAGTACCGCGCGAGGATGAGGAATGTGCGCATGGGTCCCTGGCGCGTATGCAGGCTCTCGTCTAGACTGCGGGTTAGATCGTTCGTCTTGAGGATGAGGAGGATGATGCGCGGGACCTGGCCCAGCATGGTCACGAGATCGGACAGCAGACCCTCCTGCAGCGCGTCGCCCATGGTTTTCTTCTCCTCTTCGGACCGCGATTTCAGGATCGAGGAGCTGACGACCGTGTAATCCCTCCCAGTGATGGCGCTCGCGAACAGGGGGAATTGCTCCTCTGTTATACCCGCTACGTCATGGGCGTGCTGCTTCATACCGTCCATGTCGCCATTGATAACCGCCAGCCACATCTTGGCATACGAGACCTGGAGATGTCCGGGAATGTCTCGGTATAGACCGTGGTCGTATAATATTATCTCGAAGTTCTTTCCTCCTCTGTTGGGTTTGGACGTTTTCCGGATGGCGATATTTCCTCCGTGCGGATCGCAGTGTAGCGGCGCGTTTTTCCCGAATATCATTTCGTTGAAGATGTGCGCCAGCGTAGCTGAGACCTCATCGCGATCGATGCCCGATGAATCTAGATAGTCGAGATCGTCTAAACGTTTGCCGGATTCGTTTGCCATGACCAAGATTCTCTGCTTCGCCCAAAGCACTTCAGGTATGACTAGAGGAAGCTCGGGCAGTTTCTGGAAATGCTCCTTCGTACGCGTCGCGTTGGCTGCTTCCAATTGGAAATCGAGTTCTTGCGGCAATGAAGCCTCCATCTCAGACGAAAGCCACTCTAAGTCATACTCCGGGAAGAACTTTTTCAGCATGGAAAACGTGAATTTGGTCAAGGCCATGTCAAGAGGGGCCCATTGCGCCAGGCCAGGATGCTGAACTTTGACGGCAACTCGCTGTCCGGACTCTTTCACGGTGGCTAGATGAACTTGAGCAAGCGAAGCCGCGCCTATCGGCTCGCGTGCGAAATCGGAGAAGTAATCTTGAAGCTCCTCGCCGGTATCTCGCCTGAACATCTCTTCGATCGACTCATATGACGAAACGGGACATTTATCTTGCAATGGTATAAAGGTGCTGGTCCACTCGTATGGGAGGAGATATGTCATGGCACTCTGTTCAAACCGTCAGCACATGTCCCTATTCAATGGGTCGAAACTGAATACCAAGTGTTGCCCCAGCTTGATAAATATCCCACCATTCTTCTCTAAAACCTCCAATGTCCGCTCGGCACACCTCTTGTGGCATTGTTTTAATATGAGATCCTGCTCCTCGAGGTCGTCGGTTTTCTCTCTTTGGTTTAAAGAGGTACGGTAGCTGAGAAAGACGATGTATCAGCATTCCCGTTTGCTGTCTGGTCGTGTCCCACATAAGACTCACTCGTTGATGCATAGTGCCAGAGCCGCGGCGACCCTGCCTGTGCGCTCAGTCACGTCATATCCATATTTGATATCGTCTGTAAAGGCCAGCACGCCAGCACCAGCAGCGCCCGTTGCCGAGGCAGTTAAAACGACAACCCCGGCTCTCGTTCTCGGACCACGTTTGGAGGAGCCCGATAGGCGTGTGGAATATGGCTGGGAGGAGGGTCGTTGAAACCTGGCGTGCCTGAGAAGTTGCGTGCGACAGCTAGTGCAGGTCCATGGAGTGTTGCTAACAAGGCGGCTCAATGAGGCAAAAGAAAGGGACTTCATGTTGGCAACAGGAGAGAGCACATTGAGAGAAGCCGAGTACGCATGTAGTATGATAATTAGTAGGCAGGCAGTCGACGGCGAGAGGCGAATCTAAATCGGCTCAGACATTCTTAAACTTTGTCACCGCCGTCTTCATGTCTAAGTAAGGATATAGGGGCGTTCGGGGGTGTGTACAGTGGACCAACTGAATGGGTCGGTCAAGATTGAATCGATGGTGTTGAGCCGCTTGAGATTTAGTCTCAGCCAATTTTTTTTTTTTTTCTCTCTCATCGGTAAAGATCGGACTTACGCCGATCTGAAGCGTCATTTATTAGGTATGTAAGTGACAAGGGCCGGCTTAACCTGGTAAGGGGCCGGTACAGCTGGGGGTGCGGAGGTACTTAGGTACTTGCACATGCACTTAATCAGCAACCCATGGGCCAAGGACAAGGATCTCGCACGGGGAGTATTTATGATTGGCCAGTATTGTTGCGATGTGGGGTGGTCTCTTTACGCGTCTCAACAGCCACTTTTGGTGCATTTACATGTGCCATCGCGTCACTCGAACGCGAGCTCTCTATGTATAATTGAATACTATATAACAACCTCACTCACCACCCACCCACATAAGCTATGTACCTAGCTAGTAACCACATGCACCCACCTCTGAGAAACAACAATTGCCAACACGGTTCAGCTCACACTTCGGATCTTCAACCCATTTTCTGACTGATTCATACACAATCCCACCTTCAATATTCAAGAAGGAACAAACAAAAACGGTCGACATGTTAGCTACAATGCCAGCACCGATATTCAACTTTGACTTCTCCTCACCACACCGGCCCTCAGTCCCCTCGCCACTCTCCTCGTCTCCCCTGCGTCCATCACAAGCCTCACCACCTCTCTCACCGCGCGACCCGAACACTCTTCCGCGCCGCGACACACAATCATCTCCCATCCGGGGCCCATCTCATTTCAAGTACTCCCGCGTTAACGTCAAGCCCAACCCGCTGCGATTGAGTCGCGAGAAGGCCCAAGAGAGCAGGAGGACGCTCTTCCTGAAGAACGTACGGAAGCGTACAGACGACAAAAAGTGGGAGCAGCGAGGCGGCGACCAGGAAGTACGTAACTTTTGCATGCATAACATCCAATTCCACGAACTCCCTAACTAACAGCTTCTTACAGGCATTGAAGCTGGAATGGCACATCCTGGATAAGCAACGGAGGCAAGAAAAGGACACGGATCTAGATGGATTCGTCTACGAGAACGAGCTGGAGGATATCCCCGAGAACCCGTACGAATTGAGCCAGGAAGCCGATAACATGATGGTCGACGCCATGGCCCAGGAAGAGGAAGCCGAGCTGGACGCGATGCTATCGTTGCTTGATGCCGAGGCTTCTTCGCAGGTGCCGAGACGGCCTGGTACGCCTTCGTTATCAGATGATGAAGACTACGACACGTTGTTCATGGACATACTATCTCAGCAAACGGATGAGGGCGACGGGTTTATATCGTCGGGGCAAATGGACATGTCGTGATGGTATCAGTGCCCTCACAAGTCCCTTTTTCCTCCCTTGTAAATATCATCATGAAACTTAGTATTGGCGTTGGCGGACACAGGGTCATCACTTGGCGTTGTAAGGCTACATGGGTTCTATAATCTGGCTTAGGTCACATCGCGCGCGTAAATATCGCACATGGCGTAGCGGTCTCTGAAGACCGTGAAATCCAAATGTATAAATTTCCCTCACAAGAGGCTCATAATGTTTCTCATTTCACTGTGGCGCGCAGGACTCATCCGGGGCATCAAGGACCTCCTTGGCCGAGGGCATATCTCCGACTAGATCATGGGGCGGCGACCCCGCTGCTTGCATCTGCACTCCTAGTTAGTATTTTCGCAATCCACTAAGTAATGATAGTGAAGCCGCTTACCTTCTGCATCCTATCCACTATGTACTCCCTGTCTGCCGCCTTTGCGTCAGAGTATGTCGGCTCCTCGAACTTGGCGACCATTTCAGCGACGAGACCTTGCTGTTCTTCGTATCGCTTGAGATCGTCCTTCGCTAGCGTGGCCTTGTTCTTCTCCATCCACCCGGGGTACTTGTCATTCAGCTCTTTCATGGGCTCGTAGAGAATCTCCTTGTTAGTGAGTTGCTCCATCATGCCCATCAGCAGCTTCGAGAAGTCTTCCTCGCCGCCCTCGCCGCCCCCGGGCATATCTTTCATGGCCTTCATCATCTCGGCGATGAAGTCGTCCTCGGACCCTTCTGCCGTGGCCGCAGCCGTCGCCTGGTCGCCCGACGCCTGCATCCTCGCCATAGTCCGCTTGATGGTCTCCTGGAAAGAGGCGTCCTGACTAAGCTCCTCGGCCACGCCCTCAGCTGATTTTGGTATCGAGGCTGGCTCGTCACTCGAGCCAGCTGCTGACCCGGCCGCAAGCCCCTTGAATATGTTCTCGAATTGGGCTTGCATATCTGGCTGCAAGATGGTTAGTAGATGCAAATATGTCGTAAGCGAGAGCAGGACTTGCCGAGCCCTCTAAGTCGCCCATTAATTCCGCCATGCCCGCCTGTAGTTGCTTTTGGAACTCCTCTTCTGAGAAATCATCATCCAAGTCCGGTAAGGAGTCGTCTTTACTTATCGCCGCATCACCTGCGACTGGACCAGTAGAAGCAGAAGCGGCAGCAGAAGCAGAAGCGGCAGCAGCTGGGGCCGTCGCAGATGGTTTCCGGGCATCTACCTTGGGATTCAGCTTGACGGTCGCGAATTCGTCAAGCATGTCATCCAAGTCGTCCAGGTCATCCTCATCCGGATCAGGCGCATTGCTGGCATCTTCCACATGACTGGCAGCCTTGGGTTCCGCGCAAGATGGCTCGTCTGCTTGCTTTAGGTGGTCGCTGGCGGAGCCAGACTTACTTTCCTCCATCGCGATCGAATCTCCGCAGAGTATTGCACTCGAATCCGTGTTCCAGTCGTAGTGAATGGCTAAATTTAGATAATATATCCCACTAGTCCACCGTGAAACGTCGTCCTACCTATATAAGGTTACGGGGAGTTCTTCATACAACGTCTCAGAGAACTTGATCAAAATAACGTATTAGTGTACTCAATCAATATCGTATACCGTAACTAGGAAATCATGAGCTCAGGGTAGTCAAATGAGATGATTCAAGTAAGACGTGCAGAGATGCCGAGGTGTTGAATCCCCTATCGGGGGTTAGACAACCTACAGGTAGGTACCACTGCGCTAAGGATAGGTACATATCTGCTACCTAAGATACTTACAGTACACGATAGATGCTATATCGGCGATAGCGGGGCAGCTGGCGGGTTGCACGTTACACCAAAAGCAACCCCGCCGCGGGGCAATTTGCCCAACTTTGTACAGTATGAAAACGGTAACATAACCGGAAGGTATCTATCACACCGCCTTCTTCTTCTAGGTACCTATCGTCTCATACAGTTTTAATCAGCCAATATTATAGTATCTACCTAGGTATTCTAGGTACCTACCTCTGAGTAGATAGGATCTGTAGGAGTACTCGGAGCGGCTTGATTGAATTCATGGGTAGGCATAAGTACATCCCTATAAATACCTACCTATGTACTTGGATGTTCTAGAAGATAAGTAGGGCTTGATAGGTACCTACCTCGTAAGTACCTAGATGTATTCAAGAAGCTACTACGGCTACATGGTAGGTACCTAGGTAGATAGCAGGTACATATATGTAGGTAGAGGGTTGCCTCATCGTCTGTGAGGGATTCACTTGCTGGAAGAAGCTGAGCAAGCAGCAATAGCATAGCATGTATGTTTCAGTAGGTAAAGTGCATTAACAAATTACTCATCGGTCAAACTGCCAGCTTGCAAATTCAACCTAATCCGACAGGAAACAAGTCTCTTCCCCCCCACTCTCAAACCTGGACTCTCTGTGCGCATCACATTGTACAGTTACTCAGCGAAATCCATCCATCTCGACTTCAAAAGGCGTGGGCAGTGTGTCGCGTCGTTTGCACCTGATCCAGTCCAACCCCCGTTTCCTCCAACCCCGGCTCTGCACCAGCCTGCAAGTGCCTTACAACTTCTACACTTACGCTAGCGCTTTCCGTGATCCCTAGACCGAACTTACCCACACCGACTTGACAAATCGCGTTACTACCGTTCAACTCCAACAACATTCAAGTCTCAAGCCTCCATCTTCAATATGTCGCTTTGCACCCTGCGTTTGGGTGAGGAGAGGTGGGTGGACCTCCATGGCGCTCGGAATCACTTATTCTATTTGTGCCACCCTTGACACCTTCCCCCCCTTCACGCCTTCACCCCGTACTGACACCACGACCGCAGGAAGCATTGGCGAAAGGACCACCCATTTGGCTTTTGGGCGCGGCCTGTTAAGAATGCCCAGGGTGTCTTGGATCTCAAGACTTGGGAGTGCGGCATCCCTGGCAAGGAGAAGACAATCTGGGAGGGCGGTGTTTTCAAGATGACCATGATTTTCCCCGAGGGTACGTCCCGACACTCTAGAAAAGCCTTACCTTTCATTCCGCTCGTGTTGCTAATCTAGCTGGTCTCCGTAGAGTACCCCGCGAAGCCACCAAAATGTAAGTCCTCATATATCTCCCCCCCAGATGTTTATCAAGTGGTCCTTTGCCTAACTCAAATTTGCCATAGGCAAATTCACGCCGCCGCTGTTCCACCCGAATGTCTACCCCTCAGGCACCGTCTGCCTCTCCATTCTCAACGAAGATGAGGGCTGGAGACCTGCCATCACCATCAAACAGATTGCCCTAGGTGTACAGGATCTGCTAGACAACCCGAATCCTGAGTCTCCTGCGCAGGCCGAAGCCTATAACCTGTTTAAGAAAGATCGCGCCGAATATGAGAAACGAGTAAGACGCGAAGTTCGCTCGAACCCCGCCACTTGAGACATCACATGATGGTAGGAGCGTGGGGTATGCAGGGTGTGTTGTGGGGTTGTGAGCAGTATGCTCGTCGTGTTTGGGCATGGAGTTCGGTTCTAAAGGATACCACATTACGGCGTTACTTTGAGGTTTGGTCTAGCGTCTACTGATGATGCTGGTCTGATGGTGTGGGAGAATAAGACATTGGGGAGATTGTGGGCAGGCAGCCGATGCGTTTTCGCAAGATGACCTCAAAAAAGATAGATATGCATCCAGCCTTCGTCACGTAAGTGGCTCAGTCATGAATAATGCGAAATGTTCTACACATATTATACTTGTTTCCGTCACTTTAGTACCTTTACGTGCCTCACGCGAAGACGTCCCTTATAGCTAATATCTATTGAATATGCAACGCATAATGGAATTCTACTGCTTCAAGCCCTCGAGGCGTCCCATCAGCCAATTCGCATTCAGCTAAGCAAAAGAAAATTGACAATCCCCCACCTGGCCCATCCTGCACAATGCTCACGAGACTACAACCGAGATGCGGCTCACCCCAATGGGCTTCTTCAGCTCCGTGGCAATATGCCAAGCAAAACGTAACGTGACTTGACTCCTCCGCATGTGAAATTGATCTGGGAAACTATAGAGTTTTTTTCACTGGATTTGCTACGTGCGTAACTACTAATTATCCATTTTCCACATGGAGATGATGGACAAGCTAGACTAGGCTCCGCGGTGCTGGGACAGGTCAAGTCACAGATTCGCCGAGATCGGCACCCACCCGTTATCTTGATTCAGAGTTCCAGTCATAACTTTGATTATCTAGGTCCAAGGACACTAGATGAGTAGCGAGTGATAATCGATTTAATTCCAAGGTCTATTCCTCCTTCTTCTCTCCTCGCACTACCTCTTGCTTCTCCCTTCTCTAACCGACATCGTGCTTATACCCTGTTGTCTAGTGCTCCTCTAGTCAAGCCCACGTTTTTAGTTTTCGCGTGACATAGGTCTGCCACCTCGAACCCAATCAACTAATACCATTTTTTTATCCTTCTTCGCCTTCCATACGATCGCACGGATACCCAGACAGAGAGAATAGGGCAAGATGTGTGGTATATTTGCTTGCCACTGGTTAGTACTTGTCTCTTCCGAAGTTGTTATCGTTGCGTCTATGGAGGGGTATTCGCAGGGCCAATAATGCTGGATGAAGAACCCCGCATTGCATTTCCACCTACCAACTTTGATCTGCAGTGAGCGCGACACGAATTTTTGACTAACATGGGCACGCGCGCAGTCATCCAGACGTCCAGAAGTTCAAGCCCACGGCTTTGAAGCTTGCGAGACAGTGAGTACCGATGCTCAGCTATCTGCAGATCTTGAATTGACTTGTTTGCGCAGAGTGCGACACAGAGGCCCTGATTGGAGTACGTCGCAAATTTGTCCTGGTAGTGCCCACGAATACCTCATTGACATGTGATCCACCAGGTGGAAGTGTCATTTGCAAGAACACAAGTGAGCCAGATCTACGACAAACATGGCAATCAGTTGATTAACCCGACCATAGTCCTCTGCCATGAGCGATTGAGCATCGTTGGTGTGGGTATGTACAACCTAGTGAAGACACAGATAATGCTTGAGAGCATCATCCCAGCCTAGCGAATTAATCATGCTAATGCGAACACCAGAGTCCGGCGCACAGCCACTCACCAACGCCGATGGAAGCATCGTTCTCGCTGTCAACGGCGAAATCTACAACCACAGGCTGATTCGAAAAAACCTGAAGAAGCCCTATCACTTCAAGACCACGTCCGATTGCGAGGTTATCATTCCCTTAGTAAGGAGAATCTATACCATACCACATGCTACACAGTATGGGGGGCCATTGTCAGTCGCTTACCGTTGCCTAGTATCTCGAATATGGCCTTGACGCGCCGAAGTACCTCGATGGCATGTTCTCTTTCGTGCTTTACGACAAGAACCTCGACCGAACGATTGCCGCCCGTGATCCGATCGGTATCACCACTTTTTACCAGGGATGGAGTTCAAAAGAGCCTGAAGCAACAACGTACTTCGCCTCTGAACTGAAGTGCCTCGAGAGTGTCTGTGACAAGATTCGCGCATTTCCTCCCGGCCATGTCTACGACACCCAGACCAAGGAGACTACCCGTTATTTCCAGCCCACCTGGTGGGAAAACTCGAGAATTCCCGAGACACCGCTGGACTTGAAACTGGTTCGCGAGACACTCGAGAAGTCGGTCAGGAAACGATTGATGGCTGAGGTTCCTTATGGAGTTTTGTTGTCTGGTGGATTAGATTCGAGTCTAGTTGCGGCCATCGCCCAGCGAGAGACCATGAGACTCAAGAAAGCTGCTTTGGCTGCCAACGGCCAGGTTACAGACGTTGTAGAGGATGCTGACAAAGGAGAGGGTCTCGTCGGTATTGATGACGAGAACAAACTGTCGACTGTTACGTACCTGCCGCAACTCAACTCATTTTCCATTGGCTTGCCTGGGTCACCAGATAACGAAGCTGCTCTCAAAGTCGCCAAATTTCTAGGAACAAAACACCACGTCATGACCTTTACTATCGACGATGGTCTCAACGCGCTCTCCGATGTCATTTACCATCTTGAGACGTACGATGTAACAACCATTCGAGCTTCCACGCCCATGTACCTGCTATCACGGAAGATCAAGGCCATGGGTGTCAAAATGGTGCTCAGTGGTGAGGGAAGTGACGAGATTTTTGGTGGATACCTTTACTTCCATGCGGCCCCTGACAAGAAGGCTTTCCACGAGGAGACTGTGCGAAGGGTAAAGAACCTGCACCTGGCTGACTGCTTGCGAGCCAACAAATCCACATCGGCTTGGGGTCTCGAGGCTCGTGTGCCTTTCCTTGACAAGGAGGTAAGACCGACCCTGCGCAATTTTTGCCAACATTTTCGCCTTTACTAAACCTTGACCTTTTCTTATAGTTCCTGGAAGTCTGCATGAACATCGATCCCCAGGAGAAGATGATCACAAAGGAGCGTATCGAGAAGTGGATTTTGAGAAAAGCATTCGACACTTCGGATCAACCTGATGCCGAGCCGTACTTACCAGACGAGATCCTCTGGAGACAGAAGGAGCAGTTCTCCGATGGTGTGGGCTACGGCTGGATCGATGCCCTCAAAGACAACGCCGAACTCCATGTGACAGACGAGATGATGAAGAACCCTAAGCCCGAGTGGGGTAACGACATTCCTGATACTAAGGAGGCGTAAGTCTAATTGATAAGTTCCAATGACATTCTACTGTGATATGCTAACAATTTTTCCCTTTAGATACTGGTACCGCACCATGTTCGATGAACACTTCGGTCCTCACTGCGCTTCGACAGTGATGCGATGGACGCCAACTTGGTCCAACCAGACCGATCCCAGCGGAAGGTATGTTCACACCGAACCCAATTCTTATAGGATCTTAGTTAGATGCTTTTATAACCGGTGCTAACCACACATTGCAGAGCCATCTCCATTCACAACCAGAAATACAAGAGCGCAGAGTAAAAGAGAACCTGATGTTAGACAATTCAAGGAACCCCGGTTGCTGTGCATTCTGGGAGTTTGTATTAGATTATCAATCATGGCGATTATGCCGGTGTTTTTTAAAAAAAAAAGAAAAAAGTGAATTGTTGACAAGGTTGGAATATGTACGGATTTATATGCTGCGGATTATACCATGCCATGATTATGGACTGTGATTTAGCATAGAGTGAATGAGATTCGGGACTGTGACTGACCTCGTTCATGTTTCCGCTTGCGTGGTGAATATTTCACTCAATTGAAAGTATATAATTAGAAGGGCTCTCTGGGGTTATCGTCAGTAGAAGAGCTCCCAAGAGTCTTTGTCTGTTTAGCTAAGTAGTTGTCCTAGTATCGATAGTCTCACGGAGGATTATCCAAGCCGAGAATGGTCTGGCCTAAAGAGGCCTGGGACACAGAACTTCGTGAAAATACGGCGTGCCATGCATTAACCAAAACATAGCTGAAGCTGGGGTATGATTCCTCAGCGGGATTGAAATATCGTAGATCTTGCCCCTTCCACCACTTATGTATCTGCGAACATTCTTAGACGTCCCAGCTAGCTGGATCATGACAAGAGGGACACACGAACTACAATATATATCAAGCAGGGTGCAGTTGATGCGGCCGAATTTGATTCCGACTAGACTTAACGGCGGCACGGTCCCGTACAATTAGCTTCTGTGCTTGTGCCTCATACAAATGGCTGCTATGCCTAGCAAGAAATGCTGTAGAAAAGCATCGGTTCATTCCCCAAGCTCATATGGAACCTAACGAACTTCTTAGTCGAATCGACAGCCTGGACTGTTGAGTATAGTCTTAGTTGAGTTGCTATTCATGGTTGAACGGCCTAGATAGGCCGCCTACCAGGGTCACCGTGGAAAGCTACGTTATGGATTCTAGAGAGGGTTTGTTGATATATATATAAGGCACTATCAAACTGTTGAATTCAATTCGTGATAGTTCGTGCCCAGCTGTCTCCGACTGGTTCGCATTATATGCCGGTGCTTGATGTTTAATTGAGAGGCAGCCCTCGAGACTTACACATAGCCTAGGTATGCACAATGAGGCTCAGTATGTGGCTTACTCTTGCTTATGCCGATGATACCTTGAGGCGGGGAGGTCACTGAATCGGGTAAGATATGAGCAGCTCCCCTATCAAATTAACAATTGAAAAGCCTCTTCACGTGTTGCTTGCGCTTTTTTTACTCCACTCGGGATAACAATGGATCCTGCGACGGCTTTCGGGCTTGCATCCAGCGTTATTCAGCTCCTCACATTCGCAGGCGGCCTTATCGCCAAAAGCCGAGAGATTCAACGATCCGCACATGGGAGTCTCGTTGCAAATGACGAACTTGCAGCCATCGGCAGGACCCTACAGTCCCAAAGCCGGCGAATCGCGTCTCAATTGGCTGCTTGTGGATCTCAATCGGAAATAGGACGCCAAATCATTCAACTCTGCGAGGGCGCCCGAGATGTCTCTCAGGAGCTTATTGACGCAGTCGACGGGCTCAAGGGTGGAAATCCATCTGGGAAATGGGACAGCTTCAGGCAGGCCCTGAAAAGCATTCTGAAAGAGCAAGAGATTTCAGATATATTGGAACGCCTCGAGCGATACAGACAACAAATTGACTCGCTGCTATTAACTAGCATACAAGAAAGGCTACAGAAGTTTACCGAGACATCAGACGATAAGAACACAAGTATTGAGCAGAGCTTCAACAGAATGATGGAGTCTTTTCAGCCGGGTAGTCAGTGGCAAGCGGAGCTTATCACAACGGCCCGTAGAGGTCTCCAAAACGATGTTGCAATTAAGGTAGTACACCATGACTTCTCCTCCTCATTAGCGACCGGGGTTCAGCATGAGCGCGATGATTATCATAAGCGCAGGTTGCTTAGATCCCTCACATTCCCGGATCTGAAGGAACGGTATGACGGAATATCGGTAGCGCATCAACGAACATTCGACTGGGTCTTTAATAATGACGAACTGGAAGGGGGAGGGGGGTCGGACACCTTCGGTACTTGGCTGATGTCCAACAATCCGCTGTACTGGGTTACCGGAAAGCCCGGGTCAGGGAAATCCACCCTGATGAAATACCTTTCAACTGATCAACGCCTCAAGCGCCACCTAAAGGTATGGAGAGGCGACAAAACAGTTTATATCGGCCGCTTCTTCTTCTGGAACTCTGGAACAGCCTTGCAAATGTCCAGGGTTGGATTAATGCGGTCTTTGCTTTACCAGATTCTCTCCGACTGCCCTGATGAAATCCCTCACACCTTTGCAGATAGATGGGAATACCAAGAGCTTTTCGGGTACAGCAATAGAGATTGGTCATGGTCGGAGCTATCAAATGGACTGTTTTCTATTATATCTGACGATAGCAGAATGTTCTTCTTCTTAATTGATGGTTTGGATGAGTGTAATGGCGATAGCCGAGACCTGGTCAACCTTCTCTTTGGGGTTACGTCTGATAGGAAGAATGTCAAACTTTGTGTATCAAGTCGCCCTTGGCTTGTGTTTGAGGACGCGTTTCGAAGCCGGCCCTCGCTACAAATGGAACACCTGACCTTCGGAGACATCAGACAATTTACCTCTGATAGGCTCGGAGAAAATGCCATGTTCTTACAACTACAGAAGCTTAATGAACGCCAAGCTAATTTCCTGGTCCAGCAAGTTACTCAGAAGGCTTCTGGTGTCTTTCTGTGGGTTGTACTCGTAGTCAAGTCACTTCTCGAAGGTTTACAGGATGGCGATACAATTGAAGATCTTCAAGTCCGACTGCTTCAGATCCCTGAAGATCTAGGAGAACTCTTCCAAAAAATGCTTCGAGACCTTCAGCCGGCATATTTTGAACAGGCGTCTCGCATATTACAGACTGTCAGAGCTTCGTACCTACCCTGGGGCGAACTGAGTATGGAAACCCCGAGTCTGAAAAGGCAGAAAGACGACAAGGAAGGTTCCATTACGCAGGATGGTGCATCCCCGTTACGTCTTTTAACTCTTTCATTCATTGAAGACAGTAACGAAACTGCGCTAGGGGCCTCTGCTCATCAGATGACCCCAGATGAGCAGAATTTCCGCGCGGAACAGATAAGGCGTCGCCTCCAGAGTCGTTGCAAAGGTCTTCTCGAGGTACCAAAATACAAGAAACGTGGGCTAAATGCCCGCATTCAGTTTCTCCACAGGACTGTGAAGGACTTTCTTGAAGAAAATCGAGCGCAATATATCCTCACTTCAACCACACAAGGCTTTGACCCGCATGTAAAGCTCTGCGCGTCGATTCTTCTTCACGCAAAAGCGATCAACCTACAGGGCGACTCCTCCGCGGACATGACCTGCTTCAGTGATCTGGCGGAGCAATTCCTGATGCAGTGTCATTGGCTTGAGAAAACAGACAGTCCTCAATACGTACCTTTCCTTGCCGAGATGGACCAATTCACAACGGGCATACTGTCGGGCTCGCCAACCCCTATAAACGAGGCATCATCAGAGCGCCCATTACCCCACTGGACAAAGCGCGTGGACTCTTACGTCGGAAAGCGTTGTGAGGTGCACTCCCTCCTAGACTATGCGAAAATCCGTTCTCTCGACAAATACATACAAGCAAGACCCAACGGCCGCTTGTCACTGCAAGCGTCAATAGGCCTTGAAACACACCCAGTACGATCTAGCGAAAGCGACGAGAATGCCAAACGAGTAGAAAGAAACAAGTGCAACGGGATGAGAGTTGAACCCAAGCTTACTCCAACCCACTCCTCGGACAGAAAGAACCCAAAGGAGGCAGGGGAAAGCACAGCTAGCCGGCGGAGGCCAGCTGGTCGCCTCAATGTCATCCGTAGGTTCATCCGCAAGATCTGTCTATGACGAAATAGGCGGCCATGGAGCCTGGTCTGATTTGACCTAGCTGGCTATCAATGCATCATTTCAGGAGGTTCAACATCTCCCATTTCCAGGTATCAGATTCGGAGTCGAATAATCAACCCACTGAAAGCCAAGCCTCCATAGCGTCCAGCCAGGCATACTCACTCGCAATTTCGGCTGCCTTTTCTTAAACATGCCCAACGTCTCTCAGCAAGCCATCCAATTTGATAAATGCATCAAATCTACCCATCTATACATTCCAGTCCATCATACGACTTATAAATTCTCCGGTGCGACAACGCCGTAATACCACATCCTAAATGGGACCTGTTATATGCAATATTAGGAACTCGGTGGGGGGGAATACGGCGCAAGAGTGGTAGTAGTAAGTAATAAGTTGAGAAGAAGGCGTACTAGAACTACACGGTCGGTCTCCCTAATTACCCTCATATAATTACTGCAATGGCCTAGCAGTGAGCGTATACATTCCATGACAAGAATTTAGGAATATGTCCAACCTAGGGCAATCAGTCGATTGTCTAGATGCATCTGCCAAACTTATTCCGGTGCAATTCTCTCACTTCGGGGTCCCCCCCCTTTGCCAACCGCTTGTGACGGTTGCGTCCAATCTACAGAGGCGCGCGTGGCGAAGCCTACACCTAACTGACTGAGCGAACCTTGGAAGTTAGTGGAATGTGCAATAGGGTTGAACTATCTGCTGAGTCCCCTTGAAGTGACTTTCCATAATATATGATTGACGGAAAGGGGCTCGTGGCCGAAACCTTAATGAATCCGCTAAACGCAACCGTACAGTCTACGAATGGTCCGCAGGTTGACGTCAAAAAGATTTCGACAGGCAAATATACCCCTAGTGGAATCTACTTTGCGAGAGCTACAAACAGAGTAAACAATCTTGTTAGGGGCTCCCTAAAATATACTGTTAATACTTATGCGTAGTGATAGAGGCGTTGTTTTTCCTCCATCATATATGTAAGATTCACTTGAGAATTGGAGCACTATGAAAATAATAGAGCAGCGTTAGCGTAGACTGGTATTCAAAGCTGCGATACAAAATGATTGGACAGCACTGGATGACTTTCTCAAAGACATGAGACAGATATCGACCCGTGCTCGGAATATAAACGCAAGGACAAAGACAGAACAACACACGTAAATGGCTGACAAGCCCCGTTAGTTTCCCGAATTGTGTGCCCACAGATCTTCCACCTTCCGCCTTCCCTGTTCTCCGATATTCAATTCTAGGTAGCTGGATTGGCTGTTCCAATCGCCTCACCCATCTTGTAATGGCGATCCTCCTCGGCTGTGATTTCGACCCCGCTGCCATTCTCGAAGATGACAACGATATCAGATCCACCAAATTGGAAATAAGCAAGTTCCTCCCCTTTGAACAAGGTTTTACCCACCTCCGCTGTCGGTACCACAGACGAGACCTGGGCCATGCCGATAGGTAGAACCGCCACGAGCCCTATTGCCGTCTCCAAGACAAAGAGTGCACGCATCTGGCAGAACTCGTATCCCGCAGCATCGGGGGCCTCTATTTTATCTGGATTATGAGGCTTGCGAAGTTCCGGCTGAATCTTTCTTATCGGGTTCAACGATCCGCCTTTGGCCTCGACTTCGAGATAAACCTGGCCCTTGATGACCTTCGCTTCCAACACCTTGCCTCCAACCGGAGCGTGCAGGCGATGATAGTCGCCTGGTCCAAGGAAGGAATGTATGAAGATGCCACCCCGGAAGCTGTCTGCGTATGCGGTATCCGCTAGAAGTTCACTGATGGGCCACTCCAGTGTTTTGATCACGACCATCGCATCCGGGTTCACTGGATACTGGCTTGAGAAGACAGCATCGGCAGGAGAGACGATGGTGCCCGAGTCCGCCATATTTGCGATGGGACGATAGCCCGGCTTTGTATTGCGAGCGAAAAAATGGTTGAAGGTCTTCCAACCTCCATGGGGTTCAATATACTCCTCAAAATGGAATTTATCCGCGATCCTAAAGGTCTCCAGCGATTCCTTTGTGAATGATGCAGGAGTGTCTAAGAACTTGCCTAACTCCCGTGCGTAGCTGACCAGCCAGTCTGACAGCCATGACAGGGACTTGTTCGCTGTCGTAGGGCTGATCGCTGTCTGGTATTGGTACACGGACGGCTGACTGAAGATAAAATAGAACAAGCAAAGTTTCCCGTAGATTTGTCGGCCATCAGGAGTCTCGACTGGCACCCATCTCAAGAAATCGTCCATGAAGTCGTAAAAGTCGTCCAATGTCTGAATTCCCTCCATGTCGTCGGGTGCCTTTTGCACCGCAGTTTTGACCGCGGATTCAAAATCCTGAAGCCATTCCTGGTTCTCGGCAATTGTATTGACGAGCACCTGGACGATAGGCTCACGATCTCTAGGCATCATGCAAGTGACAGAATGCGGAAGCAAAGGAGAGTAGAATGCTGATGCAGCTCGAAGGAATGGATGATTTGCGGGTTTGAATATTGTATACCTTCTTGATGAAGTCTCAGGGGCAGTAGCCGTTGGATGAATTGAAGACGCAGAGCTAGGCCTGACGAGTTATGAATAGAATGGACTATCTGGGAGGTATTATACAAAAAACACATAGTGACAGGAACACGCTCTAGGTAGCTAGGCTTTTGGAAGATGGGCACTCCACGTCGGCGACACGAAGGGCGATATCGGGAACATCACGCAGTCGAGGAGAAGTGGCATCGAGGGGGCGAGACAAGAAGGGAAGACTCAAGTCCTGAAGTGACACGAAGTTCCATGCAGACCAGTTCGTGACATTGAGCAGTGAAAGCAAATATTTGCAATACCTAGGTGGTTTTCATTTGTTTTCATTTTCGTCGACACTCGATCTCGGGATACGTAGGGTAGTATCTAGAGATGCGGGTTCATCGCCACGACATATGTAGGAAGATGGGCCGGTCCGCTGGGCACAGTGCATCAGATAGCGGGTTCACGGTCCCGACTCGAAGCGCCACGCGGAGCCGGGGAGCATCCGAATCCCGCGTCATCATTCTCATTCGTTAGCTCACATTCCCCCGAGTGTCGCAACTGGCGTTTAAAAAAGGGAAAAAGGGGAAAAAAGGAGAGAGAGAGAGAAATGGAGGAAGAGATAGAAAACAAGAGGGAAAGTGGCTTTTGCCACATGTCTGCAGTGATTCTTAACAAGCACCTACTGGTTTATGCCCCATGCCGACAGACGCCAAAATAGTGTTCAAGTGTCGAACAACGGACCGGCATTGATATGACGTTTGGGCGCCAAGTATCGGCCGCACTGCTCTCCTTGTTCTGTCAATTTTAATTTTTTTTTTGCCTTATCAAAGAGCGTACTGCCCTTCGACCCTCTCCTCACATACAATCAAAGGCTAGGCGGCCCGGACACAATACAATTGAATTGGGATTCAATTATTTCTGGGATGTCCTCGACCGTGTACTCTAGTCCACACCTTGCTGTGCAAATTAACTCAGTCTATGTCTATTACCTATTAGTCTACGTTCCTATTCAAGAGAATTATTGGTCTTGGTGAAACAACCGTGCACCTTGTTGTCCCAAGACTGTGGGTTCCAAACTGGTGACTCCGGGTGTAACACAACACAACATGACAGATTAGATGCTGACGTCTAACCGCAAGTCAGCCACGAACTGAGATCGCCAACCCCGCCTTGACTCATTGGATGAGACGCGTTGGATTCGTATGCAACGATAATAGTTTGGAATATCTGTCATACATTGTCTCCTCATTGAGGCACTATTGCTTTTGTTGTTGGTTTAGATCTAAGGAGTGCCTCTCACTGTAACGCTGTTCAGCACACAACATCTGCCTCGTCGGAGACTGGAAATGTGCTCAATCGAGGTAATTCATTCTTCCCTTCCTATGACGTGTTACAGTTTCTGGCTTGGCATTAAGTAACTAGGTTACACACTAGGAAGCTTGAGCCAAGTTCTATAGGTTTATAGAAATATGATATGTTCAAAAGGCATGATCACTTGATAGTTCTCTCATTTACTCTATTCATCCGCACAACTTGGACGTCCCCTCAAGTCGTATCACCCTACTCTCTTATAACCTCACGCCATGCTTACGTCAGTCTATTTGTATAGTCCACGCCATACTTATAGTAGGCCACATGTCACAAGGCCAAGAGAGTGGCAGAGACAAAGAGAACAAGTGTGTATAGTTAGTACGTAGGTAGCATAGGAAGACTTGAGACCTTCGCGCAACAACATATGTCGTATCACACCCCTACCTATGACTAGGTCGTGACACCACACAGCAGTGTATTGATCCGAATGTTCGGACGGACCAATGACGGAGAGTCGAGAGTATAGAGTGTGGCCAAGTGATCTGATGGCATCGAGCCGGCGAAATTAATGCAACTATTAAATCAGAATGGCAGTTACTGAGATGACACAGACTGGATGGGCTGGTCAAGAGCGGTGGCAATATGTAGTGTTTTGAGAAGTACTATATGCATCCCCCGGGAATTGGCTACGACTGTTTGAAATGGTGTGAGTGGAATAGAATGGTGTTAGAGACTAGGGTAGCAAGATCACCAGTACCGGTGTAAAGCTAGTTACTGCATCTAGCCTCTATCTATCTGTTTCTTGCATCCCGTTTACAAAGTTCAGCACCAGCGTTTTGAGACCTCAACGTACGCAATCCATCACGTCGCCACACAAGGCTATACGGGCGTGACTAAATAAACGGTTGATGATTAAGATTAATACAAGAAGATAATGCGAGAATTTCATCTTAGAACCTTAAGGAAGGGGGTGTTAAGCAAAAACCCTGCCTCACGACCACCCCCCCTGCCTACTAATTACCCAACTTCTAAAGCGATTTTTTTAACGAATACGTTATTCGCGATGCTTTTTTTAATATTTTTAATTAAATCTATTATTTTTAACCTTAATAACCTCTTTTATATTAATATCTTTACATTTTAAAATATATTAATTAATAACTTTATTAATATATATTAAATAATTATATAATTTATATTTTATTTTTTATATATATATTATATAAATAAAGTTATTATTAAGATTTATTTTAATTAATTTTTATTTAACCTTAATATTTTTTTAAAGTTTAACTTTTAATACTTTAATCTTTATTTATAAAAATATAATAATTTTAACCTTTTTATTAAAAGCTTTATTAACCTTTATAAAAAATAGCTTTTATAATAAATTATTAAATAAAAAAAAGGTTTAAGTTAATTTTTATATATTAATTTATAATTATTAACTTTTAAAAAATATTTTAATTATAATTTTTAAAGCTATTTTCAATAAATTAAATATAATAAATTATTTTTTAATTATAAATATTAATATTATTACTTTTATAATATTTTTTTTTAAATATTATATATTTTAAAAATAATAATATTTATTAATTTTTTAAATATATTTTAATTATTTTTTATATTTTTTTTAATATATTTAACTTTATTATATTTTTATATAACGTATCTTCCACTTAACCTGGCCACCCAATTAACCTGGCCACCCCCCTAGCCTATACAAAAAACGTCGGTGTACTAATCACGTAATAATTGAATAACTCTACGATTACTAATTGTATAAAATAATAAAATATACCATTAGATTCGTAATAAAAAGAGCTATTTAACGGTACCCTTTACTAACTTTTACAACTTATATTCGCGGAATTATCAAGCTATACACTAAAGTAAGCATTAAATTAATCCTTACTTAACGCCCCTTTAACGTATTGCTTAATATCTCGCTTAATAAATTTTGTAAAAAATAGTAAAAAATACCTCTAGATTCCCCTTAAACTAACAGATTCAACGGTACTAATTATTAAACCGTACGAATAGTACTCGTAAAGTTATTAAAGATTAAAATAATGGGGTTTTATATAAGTTATTGGGGTGGCCAGGTCAATTAGGTAGCTAAGTTAAGTAAAAAATGCATTATAGCTTTATATATTATTAATATTTTTTTTTAAAAGCTTTATATTTAAATAATTTATAAATATTTTTTATAATTTATTTTTTAACTTTTTTTTTAATAAATTAAAAACTTTAATATTTAATAATTATAATATATAATTATAATAAAATTTATAAAATAAAAATTAAATTTTATTTAAAAAATAAATTTAAAAAAATTTATTATTAATATATAATTTATAATTATTATATATTAATATATATTATATATTATTATAATACCTTTAAATATAAAATATAAAAAGATTTTATAATTATTTTAATATTATAAAATTATTAATTTATTTATTAAATAAATATTTAAAGTATTAATTTTTAAATAAGCTTTAATTTTAATTTAAAAATTATTAATTTTATATTTATATAATTTTTTAAATTATTAATAATAATAAAATATTATTAATAATATTAATAACTTTAAAAATAATAATTTATTTATCTTTTTTAATAACTTTTTTAAAAGTTTAATATAAAATAAAATTAATAATTATTTAATAATTATTATTAATACTTTAATTTATATTTATTTTATTAATATTATAAAAATAATTAAAAAAAATATTTATAATTTTTAAAACTTTAAAATAATTAAAAAAAAAGTTAATATTAATTATTATTATATTATTAATATATATATAATTAATAAATTATAATTTAATTAATTTAACTTTATTATTTTAAATTAAAAAATATATATATTACTTTTTTTTAAAGCTTTTATTATTATTTAAAATAATTAATATATATTTAATTATAAGTTTAAATTTAAAAAGTAAAAATATAAAGCTTAATTTAACCTATTTTATTATTTAATTTATTAATTAATATTTATAATAAATTAATAAAGCTTAAAAGTTAATATAGGTTTATTTTTTAATAAAAATACTTTAAAGTTAATAATATAAATATAATTTATTAATATTTTAAATATATATTATTATTTAAATTAAAATTTTAAATTAAATTATATAAATAATAATTATAATATAATAATTTTTAAAATTAAAAAATATAATAATAAAGAAAAGTTAATTTTAAATAAAATAAGGGTAAAAAGTTATTGTAAGACTTAAACGTAGTTACGTTATTAAATAGTGTTTAATTAGGTAGTTAGGAGTTAAAGCACGTTTTAGGGTGCTTAGGGCCCTGGTCGTGACGGGGGGTGGTCGTGAGGCAGGGTTTTTGCTTATCTTCCATTTCCCCCGCCTTCCGGTCTGCCGCCTAGATAATTATATGCCACCTTGTCAATCAATTGTAACGGGACGTGGAATGGAGATGTTTGTGTATCTGCGCAATCTAGCATCTATTCAAAAAGTACATACGGCTTGTTCACGCATGTAAACTCCTTAATCTAGTTTTGGCTTCCTTCTTTCCTTCCTTCCTTCTCTGTCTGTTCTATTGTGCACCTTACGGAGTACTGCGAGTTGCTTTGTCCTATCTACCAACTCGAGTAGGAGATGTCAGATTAAAACAAGGATGACCACTCATCCGGAGAATATAGTGGTATTGTTGATGATGCAACTATCGCAGTGGGTGGCAAAGGAAAGGATATTGCCACGGTAATCTCTTCGGGCTAAACACCCGAAAAAGGAGACGGGATAACAAGGAGAAGAAGGATAAGGAAGAGAGGGAGGAGAGAGAGAAGGATCGATAATAGCAGAGATCCTTTACCGAATATGCTCAACCTGTTCGTGGCGAATAACGGAGACGACGACTGCGCAAATCTTCTACGCTCACTTTATCAGTACCGAACCCCCAATATTCTGCTATAGCCTACAGTCATTTACTCATTGAACAATGCTCGAAGCTCTTCATCATAGGCCTTCTTGTCCGCGAGCTTTTCCCGTATAATTTCCTCCGACTCTCTACTCCAAAACCTCGACAAGACTCCCTCAGCTTCTGGTGAAAGGGACTTCGGCGGTAATAAATGAGGTTCAAGAAGGAAATACATGGCATTTACAAACGATAGACAATACCAGAACCACACCCGTTTCGAACCCCACATGTCATGCATGATTTCGGAAAGACTGATGTTAGGACTTGCTTTCGCCCGCATCTTCGTCACTTATTCCTCTTCCTTAAATATATGCATGAATTCTTGTCGTGCGAGGTTAAGCTGGTCGAGTTTCTCGCCTTTGATATCGTCAGCAGCATAACCGGTCAGCCAGTATGGTACTGCCAGCTTTTCGGCGGGTAGGGCACATACTCACTCCAAATCTATCAAGCCCGTAACATTCCAGTCTTTATCAACCAGGATGTTGCTCGCATGAAGGTCAGTGTGCTAAAGTAGGAATAAACCATTGCGGAGTCCTCGTTTAATGCAATTGTGTGAAACCACTCGAAGTAGTGTCTTAACCGCCATCTGGGTCCGGCAGTCACTCTCATCGTTCACGGCATTTGGCTAGCTTAGGAATCGGTAATCGTGAAAGGTGATCATGTCCGATACGAATGCATCCGTACAGTTAATCGTATTATTTCGCGGCATTGTCCTAATAGCGCCGTCGTTCTCCAAAATCGCCATCGAACAAGTGAGTGGTCGGTTAGTCAACGTAATGGTACCACTGTCATTCAATTGGAAGGATCCGATATGCGCCTGGGGAAGCCGTGCGAGAGAAATCATGATCCGAGATATGCCTCTAAACAGTCTCTGCCTCCGTGCTTTATCTTCCCTATGCATATCAAATGTATCTGAAAGTATCTCACCTGTTTCGGGGCCTAGGTATTCCCATAGTATGTACAGCGGAGAACTTTGTTGACTCGGCGGGTTCAAGGCATAATGAGAAAGCAACGGAGGCCGAAGAGACCTGTGAACGAAACGCCAAAACAGCCGCATCACACGAGGGAAGAATGCAAGGTGTTTTGTGTGAGTAAACTAACTACTTAGTAAGAAAGAGCGTATAAAGACTGAAAGGGGTGACTCACATGAAGGCCATCCATCATGCCAAAGCCAAATAGATGAGGTGAGCGGATCTCCGAGCAATTCTCTTCTATCCATACATGTGCACCCACCTTGCTACCTAACTTCTCATCTATGCTGCCCGGGTACCGGGTTTCAGCAAGCTTGTGTGGCATAGGACAGCGAAATATGACCTTCCTGGCCAAGTTGCCCAACATTACTTCGACGAATACACAAACATTGAAACTACCTCGAATCCAATGGTACGACGGCAACACGCAACACATGTCTCTCCTATTCAGCGCTAGGTGATGTTTGACAAGAGCTTCGATCGAGTCTCTTTGTGCCCAAAGCTCTTGATAGAACCTGTCAGTGGCAGGCCCGTAGGAAACCCAGTTGATGATATTTTTCTCTTCCTCGATGGTTGACTCGATTATAATAGGCCCACGACCAACAAGGTCCAAGTTCAGTAGCATAATGGCGGGTAATTCTGACTAGAGCAGCCAAGCAATGTTAATAGGCCGACAATTAAGATATTTTAGACTACAAAGCGACAGCGAGGTGAGGATTCTGTAGACAGAATGACTATCTTGAAATCGAGTAGGACAACCGACTAGGTACTGTGTCCCCTGACGGGGTCCAGCATCCCCACCACCTACGCCCACGGTCTAGGCACTGATATCACTAGCCAGGGCAGCCGAGATCAGTAAGACAGGTATGCGTGCTACTACTATCTAGATGGTTGACCTAGCCAAGTAGTGTAGCTCTATCCGGGGTTTTCTTCTTTCCAGTAAGCACGCACACTCCCCTCTTTAAAAAGGAGCTGTAGAAAAGAGCGCCTTTCTATACTGCTGCTTAAATTAGGTGTGGGCGATATTTCTGCACCCGTCTATGTGCTGGCATGCATGAGTTGGCTGTCTGTATTTTCTGCAGAGCCACATAAAGGCTGCTGCACACACGGTAATCTCACGGCATGCAGAAACCACACCTCCTACCAGGCACTCGACGGGTGACGGGATATATTACTCACGGGACGGGAGAAGTCTCTATATTTCTCATACATCTCCCAATGAGAGATGACGGCAATTCGGTGGGTGAAAGACACGGCTTGGAATTGCAGATAAAAGGCCAAGGGTAGCCCATGGAAGCCTCTAGTTGCGCTACAGTTGTTGAAGTTCAATTAGCCGACCTGCTGCCCAAAACCACAAGCCACCATAATACACACCCAGTCAGTCTTGTTTGATTCTGACCTACGATGCAGCCATGTGCCAGCAGCGGAAACACCTTTATACCTGCGGTCACCCCGTTGATACCACCACTTGGGAGCCTGAGAATGTAGAGGATTGTCCCGATGCTAGGGATGCCAACGAGCAAGACTTTCTCGGCATCCTGAAGCGTTGCTCTGACATAGGTTTATCGACTGCCACATTCACGACTCGGGGTCATTGCTGTTCTCATTACTGCCAGATGAAGGTATATAAAGAGCTTGGCTGGGAATGCCACGAATGTGGATATATCACGAAGAAAGATGACGCATATGCGGTTAAAAAGGGACTTCGAGCCACTAATGATTGAACTAGCCTCACGGCCGCCGGCAGCCATCTCGAAAAACTATCTCTATGACTTTCTTTATCCGCAATGGTTTGTTCTCGACGCAGCCGCAGCTCGGGATAACATAACTCTGCAACCACAATGCGAGAAGGCAATCTGGCGGCACGATATCGACTTTCCCGGTGGGTATATCATTCCTCGCCGACGCGAATATCTGCTCAAGCCCTTAGCATCGGTTGATTCGTACTCGTCACGTCAAGTACGGTTGCTATCGTCGACATCTCAGGGCAGGCTTGATCCATACCTTCGAGGTCCAGGCAAAGTCTCTGTAGGCGATATTACGTGTCATTTTAAGGCATGGGAGCCTAGGCGTTGAAAGCAAGGAGCAACATACCATGAGCTACAAGCGTATCAGAATATTGCAAACGCTATCCCCGAGAGAACGCTGCTACATGATGTTCGCGTCTCCCGTTTACACGGCGTGGTCGTCGACCACGATAACGACCTCCCTCAACACTTTCCCCCTGCCGAGCATAGCCCTGCCCCTGGCAAACGGTTGGTAAGGATCCTCCTTCCTTATATTGAGAACAAGAGCACGTTACATCTTACAGCACCAAGGTCTGATATTACTAAGAATTATCGACTTCGTTGGGCGGACGAGCTCGAGATTCTTATCCGAATGTTACATAGTGCTGGACTGGTACGGGGCGATGCTAAACCCCACAATGTCTTAGTTGATACGATGGACAATCAATCTCTGGCTCCTTGACTTTGGTGGCAGTTTCACTCAAGGCTGGGTTGATTAGGGGAAGCGGGATACTGCCGAGGGAGATTTGCAAGGGTTGGAAAGAATCAAGAACTGGCTCACACTGGAAATGCGCACGACCTGCAATGTAATTATATCGTAAACGATTCACCGAGGCAAACACCGCTTCGCTTCCTGGACACTATGCTCATCATGCGGCAGCAGGCGACGGGGTAGCGGTGCCCTGGCATGAACAAACGTACATGATCCGCCACCGGTCCATTACGCTTTAGATACTACAAGCCTTTAGCAACAAAAAGAGAAATAGTCATTTCTCTCTCGTATGCAGCCTATAATATATTCCTCTGCCTCATTGTCGCTCTCAAAGTCTAATCCGATCCCGTTCTGGTCAACTTCTACCGCCTTCACCTCGCCCTTGCCCTTCTTGTCACCCAACATCGCCTGATTTGTTGCTATTACATCTTTGATATTCACAAAGGCCCTATTTGGGTCAGGTAGGACTTTTTCACGCTTGGCTGGCTTTGCTCTATCCAGTACAGCAGTAAATACATCGACCTTCTCCTTTATAGCAACTTTTTGTCTAGACAACTTGAGCTATCCCAAATGATGGACGGCGAGAAGAGTAGAGACGGCGCGATTCAAGGGGAATGGATTACCTAGGTAGAGCACAAGCCAAAGGGACGTTGTTAAGTATGCTGCGATGTGTTAGGCCGTGGCAGTGCAAGCCATCGGGTCCCGGACACACTACCTAGTTCGTCACACATCCAAGAACACAACTAGAAGACCCCGAGCCATGGAAAAAGAATACACCAACGCGGCCCTCGGCGTCTCAGGCGCCATTTTACGACGCTGTATCCAATCCTGTCTCGAAAGCTTTACGTCTTGACAGTTCGATCAATAACTCTTCAGAACCCGCCAAGAATTTTCTCACGCTCTTGGACCTACAGCGCGTCAGGCTCACTGTCTAGGTGCAAAAATAGGATGTCGAATCCAACAGCAATCGTAACGACCCCCAGTTCTACATGCGCGAACAAGTCGTGATGAGCTACTTCAAAGCTATCCATGCCATTTTCAGCGCCTTTGGTAGCATGGAAACGCCGATGCTCAAGTTGAACGAGATGCGCGCTTTCGTTTCGATGGATATGTCATCCCAAGTCATCCATTTTGGACCTTCTCCTATCCCACCCGATGGGGAGACCCCAAATTCACCAACCGCATCCCTAATGCACAGTATACAATGGGCACTACAAGAAGATAAATTGAAAGAAGGTCTTGCTTGCCTTACAACATTACTCGGTGATCTTTACGCTATTCTCCCTACACCTTGCGATAAGCCCGCGGAGATATTGGTCTTAAGCGATTCACTTACTACCGAGGACCGTTGCGAATTGGATAGGATTAGCTGCATTACGAGTTATTATCTGACCTAAGTAGTTTTAGCTAGAACAAAGTGGCTTGCTTATTGTCCACAGGAAACATATAATTATCGGAACTAGTAGACTATATAAGCGCCATCTAATATCAATCAACAACAAACGTGAAGCGAGATTTATAGCTCACTACAAGGGCCAGCTCGTTCTTGTCGAGACAAGGTACTACATGGTGCTATTCGAGGGGGGCCCAGAACTAAGTACAGATATACAGATATGAGATGTTTTCGAAGCACGCTTAGATAATATTGTGGCCCGTCTCCAAGTTCCAGGTAAGCCAGTGGCCTTCAGAACGCTTCCATGCTATGGTGGTGCCTTTGAGCACAATATGCCCGCGGCTCTGGATTCGGTTTACTCGTATACATACAGCACTATGTACCGCGTCGATTACTTGCGCTTCACCTCGCTCCAGAAGGTTCTTGATTAGCGGGAAAAGAGTAACGTTAATTACCCTATTTTCACTTGGAAAGCTGTTTGTTATAGCTCGAATGCTCGCCCGCGCACTCATATACCTTCATTTTGCCGACTGGTTGCATATGGCTGTCCGAAGAAAGAATGTGGTTTTCTTTATTGATCGAAAGGACGACATCCAGTTTAATTTGCCTTATTTGATAGATTTTGATTATCGTAGGCTCTGGAATACCTACGACGAGCGGGAATTCTCCGCTGACGAACAAAGGTTGTACCGCCATCCAAACGCCAGGAAGGTCCCCTCTGTAGACACGCAGGAGGCATTAGGCAACCCGGGATGCTACGTGAAGGCGTATGATATATATTCTATGGGCGTAGTGCTGTTAGAGATTGGGCTCTTCGCAACAACAGCTAAGATTGTTCGGAAAGATAGTGAATCTAACAGGCTAGGGTCGGAAGAAATCCGCAAAATTTTGATAGAGCATGCCATCCCAAACTTGCGCTTTACTATAAGCGACGTATACGCGAATGCCGTCTTGGCTTGCCTCGATGGCTCGCTAGACAAGTTTTCTAATCAATCGCTACATCAGGCTTTCTATCAAAAGTAGTACGCCAACTAGATTTTTGCACAGCTTAACAGAAATAATGCCCAAATATGTATATTTCCAGTAATCACAGACTTGTATTGTCTACAACATACGACGGCGAGAGTGGTCGAAACACGTGATCGATAGTAGAGAAGTTTCCTGGCGGGATAATATCTCAGCCAATAAGGCGAATGGTCAGAGTCACTGCTACAAGTGAAGTAAATAACGATCAGAATAAAGAGACCAAAGTTTTCCAAATATTTCCGGAAGAGAACAAAGATATAGTCTCTGTTGTTAGGCGGCAAGGTTGGTACGAACTCGTCAAGGTGTAGAACTACATCGTCCATATGCTCATCGCTATTGATCTCGTTATCTAAGATGCAGATAGCCTGGTTTAAGGAGTCCCCCGGAAATTGGACACCTAACATCCGACTATACGGCGAAGGCCTACTTTGGCCCTCCTATGCAATTGTAATATGGCGGCTAGGAGAAGTTTCCAGGTTCCAATGCATAGGTTGTAGGCTTGTGGTTTAAGAACTAGTCCGATACACTCCGGTAACAGGAATGATGCTGTGCCGCCGTATCAAATACGAAGCAGAAGGGTAAGGGTAAAAGAAGCAATACGAAAGAACACTGTCAAGAGAATGTTGCTCAGGTCAGTTAGGCAGGCGGACAAGGGGTATACATCGTCTCGATAACCAGCGGTTTAGGAGACCAACCCGAAGGCCCGAAAGATCCCTTATAAATAAGGGATCTCCTGAGCTAATCTTACAGGACAATACTTAAACTTCAAATCATTTTAATAGACTTCAGTTGAGCGTATTAATATTAGCGCTAGCTTATCGCCTATATAAAACCGACTATACACTTTTCTAAAACTCATCTTTATCCTAGCGAAATCCACGGTATAATTGCGGAGCGATATATACAAAAAGATATCGCTTCTATTACCGGAGTATATAAACAGCTCTATCCAACGTATCAAAGCTACCTATACAAGGTTAATATAAGATTCTATAAGTCCTCCGCGTTCTGGCGAAATTTCCACTGTTCAGACCGGAGGTAGCTGCTAAAGCTTTACAAACTACAATCAACGCTGGGGTAGGTATTAAACATAGCTTTCGATACAAGATTTCGTTCTATAGTAATAACTACGAACTGCTCAACCTTTTTACACCACTACATATAGCCATCTAATATGGGAACTTCTCTTCTATTACGTACCTAATTAAAAACGGGGCAAACCTTAATAGTCAGTTTTACTTATTTAATCTGACGCTATTGATGCTTGCTCTCCTACAAGGTTGCAAAGCAATCGCGTTAAATCTACTTAATCATAGCGCTACTCTTACCACTTCGAAATTTAGAAACACGCCTCTTCATTTAACAGCCGGACGGAACTTTTTAAACGTCATAAAATACTTAGTGCAAAACAAAGGCATAATAGACTCCAATTGTTAAAATAGTCAGGGTTATACGCCCTTGCTCTGCGCAATTAATTTACGCGAAGAAAGAGGCCATTGCTTACCTATATATACATAGAGCTGATCCGACATACTCTACAACATCCGCTAAACACATTTCCCCTCTTCAAAAGGCAATAAAGAACTTTTCTTGGGGTATAGCAAAACAGCTTGTTAAAGGTGGAGTCGATACGAGCGAGATATCTATCCCCTTAGCTCGGCGCTTAACTGATGCACATACGCTTAGAACCGACGCTCTGCAAGAGTTTCTAGCATTCATAGACAAGGCTAAATGGTGCTTCTGGTACTTTAACTCGATAGACTGACCTGGGTTCTTCAAGAGGCATTCTATGATGCTAATGTCTACCTTATATATCCTCTCTTCAGGAACATCACCACAAGAATATCTCCCTCATCCCACTCTATGCATACCTCATCTCCGGCCGCCACACGCATATATATCGATAGGTTGGCCCGGTCCATATAAAGGCAGCTGAGCACATCGTATTCATATCTCGCTTCTCGAATGTTTCATTTCATGTCGTCGTTACCGCGTCTCAGCCATCGGAACCATTTTCGAGCTGCGTTGGCGGGTTAACCAGTCATATCAACAAACCAGAGCCAGGAACGAAAGTAAAGCCAAAACCAAGTAGGAATCACTCAATCAATCAGCGTATTCATTTATTTATTTATTTATCTATCTAGTTATTTAAATATAGGTAGTTACTTATAATTATATAGAAGTAAAGGAATAGTAAGTAAAGGAACTGTAACGGACCTGTTCTACATCACCTGAGAGGTAGAGGCAGTACGTTAGGGGGCTCTTGATTTGAAGGTAATAATAGAAACAGCGACTGGGTGAACTACACAGAGATAGAATCTGAATAGTATAGGGTTTCAGATACCCAACCCGTGCCAAGCACCTAGTTTCCGATGTAATAGCTCTTGCCGTTTATCATCGAGTTTACACAACCACCATATAGGTCTCTATGGACGTTATCTACTTCTCTTAAGTCCCGTTGACCTGATTCCACTATATACGAGAGTTGACGCTCTAGCAATCCGAGCACCAACCAGATGCCACTGCTTCATATGTGTTCAAGTGCAAATTGAGGATAGTGAGATTTTTAGTGGACAGTGTGCTACCCATCTAGGTAGCCGAAATCGCTACGAGAAATCCAATATGAAGGAAAGTAGTGATTGATATGATTATACGTGATCACGTGATGGTAGACGAGGCCAACAGTAAAGATGAACGAGCGTTCATCTTAATGATATCACATTCATACACCATAGTGTGATCTGGAGTCCCATGTCATGGCACTACTCCCAAATTTGTTTGCGTTAGACCAGTGTTCACCCAACTAGCAGTCATTGAAATACACGGTAGAGTGAAATGACGTATTGGTGTAAGTCTTGTTCAATCAGTGTAATAGAAACGATTGGCTAAAGCGTGTAAATCATTGATCGTCCTGAGCTTCACTACCTAATACGGTAGGTAGCGCATGCTGGATGGCATAAAGAGAGCCTGTCACAAGGTACATTTGAAGGATTACCCTAAGACATGACAGGTTCTGTACTACTGAAAACGGGCATGTAATATGTTGTGGGAAGATAAACGTCTGGAGATCAATTAGGGCTGTTTTGCAATGATATGACATGGCCAAGTGAGACGGCTTGGTACACAACGTGAGAGGGGTGGGAAAAGTGGTGAGATGCGTAGTTGTTCCCTGACACTTGCTCACTGTTTAAGGTTATTATAGTAACCGATTCGCCTCAAATGTCTCACACAATCGAACCGTCATCATGAGCCCGGGGGTTTTGTGCACGGAGTTTGTTTGGGAGGTTGAGGGTGGAGAAAAGAGAGATCTGTCTGAAACGTTTAGGGTAAGCTGGCACAGCTTGCTGCAATTGTACCCAATGAACACCCCATCAGCGAACTTCGTGGTGTGCATACGAAGTAGGTAGTGGTAGTGCAGCACGATACTGGATACTGGAGGGAGACGCCGAGTGGTCCATGCCAATCCAAGCTCGACGGCTCCATGGATTAATTGCTCCGACGTTGGGACTGGTGACTATAATAAGAACAGCAGGGCAGAACAGGGGAAGAAGCCGAGCGGGGTGTCAGGATGTGTGTGTGTGCCTGTAATGTACAGTATGCTATGCAGTTCCAGGTCACGCATACATACCTTTACATGTATATAAGTATGTATTTCCCTGGTCTGTTTACACGCAGTATGTAGGCATCTGAACGCATCTCGGCGCCTTTTTGCCTGCCGTTAATTATGTAAGGCAACATGGATGCAGTGCGAGGGTAACGCAGACGCTAGGGTGGGGTTGAAATGTTTGCTGCGTTTAGCTGTTATCGACTAGACTAGGTCTTGGGTGTTTAAGACATTTGAATTGATCGACTCGGCGTGTAGAGATGGAGATAAGAAGGCAGCCATACACTTCTGCTTCTTACTTCTACTCCTACAACAACAACATGTAGGTAGGATGACAGGATGGGAACAAGGGCCATGGGATGGATGTGCATGTACTTACGTGCAGATAGGCAGGTCTACGCAGTCAGTACCTAGTGGCTCCTCCTACTCAGTACATCCATAGTACAGTAGTAGAGCAGAGTAGAGTACTTTGTAAGGGGGAATGTGTCTGGTCGGACATCTCGTCAGGTCAGTGTGTGCCGTCGAACTTTGCCTACTTCGTACTTAGTACGTGTTGACGGCACTGGTGAATGCAGAGCAGGTTCACACGACTGGCTGAGATGGTGGACGGAGCAGTCTAGACCGCGGCTGGAGCAAGACGAAGCAGCATGGAGGAAGAGGAGCCAATCCGCTGCGGCCGGCTGAATAATTTGGAAGCCCCCTGTCGTCCAGTCAGCCTGCATCAGCCAATTACGAGACACACGGCTTGCACGGCTACGTGGGTAACAGCAGCATCGTCATGAGCATCGTGAGCATCGTGAGCATCGTGAGCATCGTGAGCATCATCGAGAGGGGCGAAGGTCGAGGGTCGTCGGTCATCGGTCCATCCGTCCACACTGCCTGCCTGCCCTGCCTGCCTGCGTACGCGATAGATAGACAGACACTCCAACATGTAAGTACTCCGTACATAGTCACTATTCTCTTCCTGGCCTCCTGGGCACTCTTACTTACTGAGTTAGGGTAGCATGAGGTGGAGAGGACCGTGGTATCGCTCGGAGGCGGGGAGGCGGACACACGATTGGCCGTCCGGGCCCCGTGGCCTCCAAGGGAGGAGGGCTGTCCGTCAACGTCGTCGCTACGCCCACCAATGACGAAGCGATCGACTACACCACATCATCTCCAAAGGTCCAACGCTACTGTAATGTCGCAAATTGGAAATGTAGCACCATAACCGCACCGTACCGTACCGTACACGTACCTACATACATATATGCTGTATAGTACCTAGGTAGAATACTCAATTGATACTAGGTAGGTAAATATGTATGCAGTGGTGGTGATGGTGGTGGATGGAGTGAGAGAGAAGTACATGTCGGTAGGTACATACTTACCTACCTAATTGTACTATCTACATAGATGTACTGTAGGTATGCGCTGCTCGGTCTTCTACTGCTGTCGAGGCGGGGCGGACTAGGCTAGGGGGGGCTCTTAGCAGTGCCCTACAGGCTACAGGCTCCAGGCTACAGGATACCTAGGTAGTATGTACAGTAGGTAAAGGCTGGGCTGTTGCTGACCAATGGACAGGGCTGACACACGGCCATTCCACTCGCGCAGCAGTTACAGCCACCCATCTGAGATCGTCTCGCATCCTCCGCTACACTGACTTGTCCGAAACCCATTCGCTTAACGCTTAACCCAACGCTCCCATCTGCGACCATTGCTTCGTACCTACTACACACCAATCTACCCTTGATACCCTTTATGTCGTGTGTAGTTTGGAGTGCTGCGGTGTGGATCGATCCGCCTCTTCTCTGCTCTTCTCTACCTAGGTAGTACGGTAGTCTCCTCAAATCATCATCCCCCCCAGCTCCAGAAGACACCGAAGCAGATAATATACCTACCATACCTTAGGTGAGAGTACCTATGTATGTACATACGTGACGAAAAGATGGGAATATCCATTGCCAGGTCTTTCTTTCTTTCTTTCTCCTCTGCTTGTGTGTGTGAAGAGGTATCACAGGAACACCCGAGAGATTGAGGGAGAGATTGAGGGATGTCTATTCAACGGCGACATGGCGACATGGATGTCTTGGAAAATGGATACCTGCCAGACCTTCCAACCAAAGCGCAATGCGAAGCTAAGTCAAGAGAGGGAGAAAGGTTGGACTAACCCGCCTGGTTCGGCTGATACAGTAACGGGCGAAGGGCGCCAAGGAGTCCCGAAGACACCAAGGACCCTCCACATACATACCTACATAAGTATACATACTCCGTATACATCAATCAGACTCGCCGTACCGCCCAGCCCAGCCCAGCCCAGCGACCTCCAGTCTTACCGACCTGGGCATGTACATATATGCAACAGATCCTGGGAGGTAGCGCATAGGTAGCCGGACAGGCTAGGTTGGATAGGTCGGTCGGTACGATGTGGGAGGCACGTTGTGTCCACTTCCGTACATCAATGTAGATAGGTAGGTAAGTAGGTAGGTAAGTATGTAGGTAGAGAGGTAGAGAGGTAGAAAGAAGATAGCCAGATGGAACAGATAGCTAGACAGACAGACAGACAGACAGACAATGAACAAGGCAGGAGGTGCCAATTGTAGCGAGACTCTAGGATATGGATATGGCAACCTAAGCCACCCTCAAGTCTCCAATTACCTGCCTTTCTCTGTCTGTCTTAAGCCTGCCTACCTACCAACCAAATACCTAGACTAGACTTAACACTTACCAGACCTACGAAGCCGTTCCTACATCTGTCTGGATATGGTACGGCTCAGATGACAGCTCCGCTCCAAAAGTCAAGAACAGGAATTAGGGAAAAAAACAGCCGAGCACCAAGCCAGCCAGCCAGCCAGCTTCAGCTTATCTGCCCAATCGTTCGCTCGTCCACTCACCCACTCATCTTCGATACCCGCCCGTCGCAGCTCAGCAGACGCCAGCCCCGATAACTCACGAACTAAAGTAACCATCTCGGATTCCAGCCTTGTCCGCAGCCTTTCTTCCCAGCCTGATTTCCCAACTCCGACCCTTTTCTTTTTCCTCTCGCCTTCACCAATCCCTCTCCATTATAGCTGCTTTAGCCTTGTCCCACCACTGGATAGTGCCTAAATGATTTTGTCGCTGCCGTGCCCCTGTAAAACTCCCCGTTCTTGTGTCAATTGCCTCTGGAGTTGCTTCTCATAACCGCCTCCGTACCCTCTGCCTCGTTCCCTCTCCGGACGTCCCTTTGACTTTCGTGCCCTTCTCCCACTTCGATGGACCAGCCCGCGACCAAGAAGAGAAGGCTGGCACCCAAGGTTGAGCCTCAGCCTAGTCCCTCCCACCCCCCTCAACCGCCGCCTCCTTCTGCCGCCTCTTATGCTCACGAGTCCACGGTACGCCAGCGCGCAATCATTGACCCTAGACACTCGACGCTGACAATCCTCGAATACAGCCATCACAGCATTACCAACCTCAAGACATACCTCCACCCCCTCCCGAACGACATGAATTCGAGTCTTTTGCGAGACATCTCCAGGATGCGGCGATGCTCATATATCGCCAAAGCCAAAGGTCCCCACATACCAAGGTGTCGGTGCTTTTGCTTCGGTGGGAGGACGACACTGCTGCCGAACTGGACCTCGTCGCACTCGACCACGTACTTCGCGAACGATATGCCTACCGCACCGAGCGATGGATTATACCGGCAATGACCAATGCCAGCATGAAGTTAGGCGTGCGCATGTCTTCCTTCCTCGAGTCCGCCGGTCCAGACCACCTCTTCATCATACATTACGCGGGGCACAGTTTTGTCGCCTCGGACAAGCAGCTCTACTGGGCAAGGTAGGTTGTATACCCGCCAATCTTCCGCCTTTCTCTAATACACTGCTAGCAATACCAAGCAAGATGCCCCCAAGCTTAGATGGAATGGGTTCCGGTGTATCTTCGAAGAGTCCCCGTCCGATATTCTTCTGCTATTGGATAGCGGTGTCGTACATGAGCCATCGGTCAAGGGCGGGAGCAGTACGAAGCAGATTATCGCAGCCGGAACTCCAGATCACTACTCACGGGAACCTGGAGCGCGGTCTTTCACCGCCAACTTAACCGAAGCGTTTCTACAATTAGGCAACGGTCGGCCTTTCACCACGGAGCTCCTATATCAAGAAGCTGCTCGGTCAAGACAGCATGAGCTCTTACAAAGCCCCGGCCTTCCGAATGGAATTGCTGGTAAGGGCATGTCGATGCACGATAAGCTACCTATGCTGTTCGCTATTACCACCGGCAAGGGTCAAGGTCTAAGCCTCTGCCCCTTGACACCGTCTTCAGCTCTGGGGCTTCAATTACAGTCCCCTAAATCCACAGCCGATACGAACGCCAGGATATCACGAGAAGACAACGCCATCCATCCCAGCGCGGTCGCAGATCTGACATTTGACGAGCCGAGGGTTCTGGTCTGTACTACATTCGTGGGCGAAGCTAGTCCAGACATGTCGTCGTTTCATCACTGGCTACACAATACGCCTGCCATCGGTTCCAAGATTGCCGTGGAAGGAATGTTCCTTGGACCACCGACCATGCTGCTTATCTCCATGCCTGTCGCTGTCTGGAATGTAGTACAACATGACAAAGTCTGTTGTTTCCTGGGATATGTCAACTCACACAACATGACTCACCTTTACAAACGATTGGTTGGGTCCATGTCTATAAATAAGGCCTCGGCTAAGGACATGGAGGACGGCAGAATGCTGCTCGAAGCTCGAGAGGTAGCTACATCGACGCCTGCGATTCATCGACATCTACTGCCAGAGACTCCGGTCCGCCCCGACAGTTTAGGGAGAATAGATCAGACAAATAATTCCCACTCTGCAGCCACTCCGGCTATTCAATATGCCAATACCACACCAGGCACAGCAGCTTCGCGGAAGGATGACGTCGAGGACTCAGCAGAGATGCAAGAGGCAGCGGAACAGCTCAAAGCATTGAGCCATGTCCGTCATGTCGGCGATGACACCCCTCCTTCCACGCGACTTCAACCCTCACCCAGTATACGCGCCACGGATCCGAAAACGGAGGAGAGATCATTAGTCGATGTCAGCATGGACGATGCACGCTACCATGGCGATGCGGCAACACCGTCAGCACGGCCTAAGCCGGGACGTCGCTCTATACAAAAGCCCATTCCAAAGCAAGAGACTCGGTGTAACCATTGCAGCCACGCCCCCTTCAAGGATTCTTCCTCATTACGAAAGCATATTGCTGCAGCTCATACTCGCCCTTTCCCTTGTGCTTTTTCGTTTGCCGGATGTCCTAGCACATTTGGATCGAAAAATGAGTGGAAAAGACATATCGCGTCACAGCATCTTTGTTTGCAGTATTACAGGTGTTCGTCTTGTCCTCAATCATCCATAGAGGGAAAAGGAAATGAGTTCAACCGAAAAGATCTCTTCACACAGCACCTGCGGCGCATGCATGCCCCCTTTGCAATCAAGAAGGCTCTTGCCAAAGGTGATAGCAAATTGCAAGTGGAGTGGGAGACACACGTAAAGGACATGCAACAGTCATGCCTGGTGACTCGAAGACGGCCGCCCCAAAGCTCAGCCTGCCCCAAACCTGACTGCGCCAGTGTATTCGAGGGACCTACTTCCTGGGATGAGTGGACAGAACATGTGGGCAGGCACATGGAGAAAGGCGAGGCGGATCGGCTCGGTGTCGACCGACTCCTAGCGAAGTGGGCGTTAGACGAAGGCATCATCGAGCGCAAAGAGGACGGAGAATACCGCCTCTGTAGCGGCAATGGGAACAGCGGTGAAAGGGAAAACAATCAGTATCATTCAGACGGCAACAAGCGAGATCCAGAAGAACGAACCATCGTTGCGGCGAGCACGATCGTGGAAAAGATGGACGTGGATTGAACTGAGAGCAGTATATATTTCAGGGGAGGGGCGTTTTCCGAAGGAAAAGGGAAGAAATATGGCCATGGAGAGCGAATAGTTCTACATTTGATACAGGCTTGTATATATGGCGCTCATAACTGGAGCGGAAGACCATCATGCCTACCTACGGGTTGCGACATTTTTTTGTTTTTGGAGGGGGCTTCATGCACATGATGCTAGTACAGTACAGTACAGTACATATATATACGATGGACGTGGCACGACTTTTATGCTCTTCACAAAGTTTCAGGGTCGTTGAGCCCTTTCTTGATCGAATTATGTATTGGGAGTGATGCAATTAGCGCTGTGAGGTTTCTTGATACCTACCTACCTACCAATTGCGACTACGCGATCTCGAACTTTAGTTTATTTAAATGATATATAGAAGTAAGAGAAATGAAATGAGCGCGGTATGTTATGAATGAACGAGGGCTGAATAGATGAGATGAGATAAGTGAGCTGTGACTTTATTAACCTAAGGACTTGGTTAAGATATTCATAAAGAAGTCCAATCTTAAGATTTGCTGATTGATGGGATTAGACTTATGTGGATGATGTATATCTATATGTGTATCTATGTAGATATTAGCTAATTGAATCTTGTTAGCATGTCTTGAATTCGAATTAGGAGTATACATAATATCAGCGCAAGTATGACATTTGATTTAATCGGTGTCTATCCGGGCAATGCCTTTTAATACCTAAGTCTGATCCCTTTTTTTTTTTTTTTATAACTTGACTGTAACACAAGAAGTGGGATATACCCCGCAGGAACAAATCTTACGCTAACATAGGTAGGTACCTATCTACTTAGTGTCCGGACGGTTAAGTGAGGGGTTTGGGTACGGTCGTTGGGGATTTATTACATAGGTATTCCCGGCTATGTGGGCTCCGTTTTGCATTCTACTAGGTACGTAGTAGATGGGTAGTCTCTATCTAAGTAGGTAGATCGAATTCCCATTCCCGAGGTCCCGGGAACACCGTCGCTTAGACTTTAAGCTTTACTTAGTTCTAAACGGCACTGGTAAATAGCTGCTGTTTCTGGGTTGGTTTCTTTCAGCTTTGGCGGTTGGTGGAGTTCGGGAAATTTCATGATGGGTCTATTTATGGTTTCTACATAATAAATGGAAGATATAGTAGTACTGCGATTAAGCTGTGCGCACTGATAAGTATTGTCTTTTCAGGGAAGTCAGGTGGTAGAGAGATAGGCAAGTACATCGTGTTTTACTTGACATGGTTAATGCTCCGAGGATCGTTTTGGTCGAAAGCTTTGTTCCCGTTTCTCCACGAATCGGGCCAGATAATTATGAGTGGAACGCTGAAACCTGGAACGGAGAACTGGGGCCTTGGGAATCGATTGATTCATCTAGATATGTCTAACACTCAAAGGTAATTCATGGACTATTTACCTATAGCTTGATTGATGTGGACTATATATCTTTAAAAACTGGGCTTCAAACATCATTATGTGCTTGTATTGCAATGGCGCTCATAAATATATTGCAAATGAGAATAGATCGTAAAAGAGTGTGAATGAGATGAGATGAGATGAAAATGGATGATCGGCTAAATCGGGCGAGTTGATCGCAGACTATTGGAGCGCATCAACGTTGCAAATGGATGGGCCATATATATACACACACATATATATACCGTGGCAGGTAGTATCAGATAAATAACAACGGTCATATTGTACGGATACGGACCCCTAGAATTGCACTACCTAGATAGTCAGGTGGATGGGATGTGACAACGATTGAACGAGATATATTAAGTAGATGTGTAGCTTGTATCCACGGTGGGAATTCCAATATGGTTCCTGTATAGAGTCCGCTGATTACTCTCCTCTACGACCGTAGAAGTATATGTCAATTGCGAGATGCTATTTAATATTAGCTCCCTGAGAGCAAGCTTGCTCTTGCTAGTAGCGACCACAGCGAGTGCCACTTTGCAGATCATCCCCGGCTCGACTTGGACAGCTGTATGTTTACGTTTGCCTTGAATTCCTATTTAGCTACGTAACATCGGATCGCGAATTTGCTATTGACAAAATCGCATTCAAATGTGAGCGCTACCGGAACTGACTGACGACTACGTGAACAGACAAACACAGGCGCGCACGTGCAAGCCCATGGAGCGGGCATCATCAAGGTTGGATCGACTTACTACATGGTAGGAGAGGACAAGACAAGCGGATCAGCCTTCCAGAACATCAACTGCTATTCCTCGACGAACCTGGTAGAATGGACCTACGTCGGCGCATTGCTGTCGCGGACGAGCTCCGGCGATCTAGGGCCGAACCGCGTCGTCGAGAGGCCCAAGGTGATCTACAACGACTCGACGAAGCAATACGTGCTATACATGCACATTGACAGCAGCAACTACGGCGAGGCAAAAGTCGGCGTCGCAACAGGGAACTCGGTCTGCGGATCCTACACGTACCGGGGAAGCTTCCAGCCCTTGGGACACCAGAGTCGGGACTTGGGACTCTTCAAGGACGATGACGGAAGCGCGTATCTGTTGACAGAGGATGTGAGTCTTCTCGCGTTTACTCTCATCACTGTCCTCGTGGCGTAAGTAGTCTACGAAACTAACGAAGTCTTAAACACAGCGCGCGAACGGACTTCGCATCGAGAAGCTCAGCGCAGACTACCTCTCAGTAGCAAGCTCGACATACCTCTGGCCCGACTCGATCGAGGCGCCCGCGATCCTCAAGCGCCAGGGGACATACTACATGTTCGGCTCCAAATTAACAGGGTGGGACCCCAACGACAACGTCTACAGCACGGCGCGGTCTCTCTCCGGCCCTTGGTCCGCGTGGAAGACGTTCGCGGACTCGGGCTCGAAGACATACTCGTCGCAAACGACCTTCATCCTCCCCTTCGGCAACGACGCGATCTACCTAGGCGACCGCTGGGTGTCGTCGAACCTGATGCGCAGCACGTACGTCTGGCTCCCGCTCGCGTTCTCGGGCACCACGGTCTCGATGAAGAACTACGTGAACTGGACGCCGGATGTAAGCGCGGGGACATGGGCGGCGGCGCCAAGCGAGTCGCAGCCCGAAGCCGAGAGCGCGACCATCGCCAACGGCGCGCGCACGCTGTCGTGCTCTGGGTGCAGCGGCGGGACGAGCGTGGGATACATCGGGGGCAGCGCCGGCGGGTCCGTCACGTTCAGCGGGATCACGAGCAGTGCGTCGACGAGGACCTCGATCCGCATCAGGCACCTCAACGGCGACAGCGCGCAGCGCTTCGCGACGGTGACTGTCAATGGCGTCGGTCAGAAAGTTGCGTTCCTGCCCACGGATGGCGGGTCGACGCCCGGGACGAGTGTTTTGAATGCGAATCTGAATAGCGGCTCGTCGAACACGGTGGTTATTACTACGACGGATGGCACTTGGGGGCCGGATGTTGATCGGATTATGGTGCCTGACAGTTGAGGAGGTGGGATTGGTTTCTCTACCTGCTTTATGCTTGGGGATGAAAGGGGAGCTGTAACCCCCTATCACTACTTAGGTGTATATTTCGCATTTAAAACTCTTGCACAAAGTTGATGGACTTGATCTATCTGTTTGCGTGGCACGCTGTTATCACGCGAGCCTCCTGTAACTTCATGAAGCACTTATTATTTGATGTAGCCAGTGCCGCTTTGAGCCGGTGACCGGATTCGTATAAGCTAAATTATACCGCCAACACCGATTTATTGTAAATATGTCAGTTGATTAGTAGTAACTACATCGCTAATTCTATTGATACTGAAGTCAATTTCTCATCGTAGAGCTGTGCAAACGCGATGCTAAACACCATGGCTCTATACTTACCCAGGGACTGGACAGTCTGTAAACAAAGATCCAACAAAGTATCAGGAAGCACGATGAGAATTACCGCGGCGTCAGACCGTCTAAGGACTGTATTCGTCCAAGCCATAGGAGAAATACAAACAACAACAATAATCTGGATTCTTGGCTGATTTAATGACAAGATGCCAAGACTCTAAAGTATGCGGGGAAGAGCTTCTCCTCAATCCCCTCATCTCCCCCCATGTCGATAACTCAATTGCAATTTCGCCGAGTCAATCAGAGCCGGGCGCCAAGCCATATTGCGGGGAAAGGTAGTTCGAGAAAGGTTTAAGCTCCCTTCAACCCCAGGATTCCCCTCATCCCATCGGTTCGCCGTGGTGATGGAGTCCCCCGGTCTGCACCGGCTAGTTAGCGGTGAAGCTTCGAGTGAACTCATCAGTCCAAGGCCAATAGGGAAGGAGGGCCGACGCCGAGCAGAAGCGCCGCGATAGTGCCGGCCGAGGAACTTCGTGCCGTGGTCGCTTTCTCTGCTTTAATACCGGGCGTTCCTCGGAACGGCCGTCATCGATCCTATAAGTCCTTCTTGGATGGCATGATCAAGTTGGTTAGTTAGCACGAATAGGTTACTGCATGGAGTATCTATCGGAGCCATCCTACAGCGCCAAATGCTTGGTATCTCGTAGTGCGAGATACCAGGCCTGATGACTTGATATTTGAGTCATTCACGATGTGTTTTTTGCTTCGTAACGACGCGTCTTAGTGGTGCTAGGATGGAGAGACAAGAAGAAACAGTCGAAAGCAGTAAAGGCCGTATACGATGGAACAGCAACGCCAAGAACAGATCCTTGACAAAAAAAATCTTAAGGCTGGGCTCGGCTGGCAAGGTAAGTCAAGGGTACACTAGAGGCTGAAAATAATACGACCAACTTGCATTAGTTACATCATAGAATGTAGGAAACAAAACGTGGGCAAGCTATTTCTGCGGGGTTCTCCGTAGCATAGGAGATCTGGGATACACAAACCGGGCCGGCTAGACTGAACCGGGGACCAAGCAATCAGATGGTATCGGTGGCCGAAGAATGAGATGATGATCGTCTTTGCATATAAGTACGATCTGCTCGCCGCACGAATATACTCATGATTGGGAGCTCCCACCTCCTTCACACACACACACGTACCACGCACGAAACACGCGTTGTTGTTGGGAGTGTTCAGGTGTTGGCACAATGGCGAGTCTTTTGTTCATGGCCGCCGCCGCCTCGGCTGCTGCCATCACAGGAAGAGACTACCCTACCGGCGACCCTCTCTCACTATGCCCAGGCTACACTGCTTCAAACGTGAAGACCACTGATTCTGGCCTAACCGCAGCCTTGACCCTTTCTGGAGAAGGTTGCGACGTATATGGCACTGATCTGGAAGACCTGATATTGGAGGTCTCATACGACACTGGTAAGACTATCTCATAAAGTACATCTTACATACATTCAACTCACATTGGTTAGACTCAAGACTCCATGTCAAAATTCAAGATGCTGCGAACGATGTGTATCAGGTACCCGAATCATACCTGCCTCGCCCGAAGAGCGGCGGTAGCACGAAGGACAAGTCTGCTCTCAAATTCGACTACGTCAAGGAACCCTTCAGCTTCACCGTCTCTCGGTCAGACTCAGATGAGGTACTGTTTGACACTTCGGCTGCCACTTTGATTTTCGAGTCTCAGTACCTGCGCCTAAGAACTAAGTTACCCGAGGACCCTAACTTGTACGGGCTTGGAGAGCACTCGGACTCCTTCAGGCTCAACACAACTGATTACATTCGCACACTATGGGCACAAGACTCTTACAGCGTGCCTACTGGAGCCAACTTGTACGGTTCCCATCCCGTGTACTACGAGCTTCGCGACGGCGGTGCTCACGGCGTCTTCTTTCTGAACTCAAATGGCATGGACATCAAGATCAACAACACTGCTGAGGACGGCCAGTACCTAGAATTCAACACCCTCGGTGGTGTATTGGATTTCTACTTTATGGCCGGTCCTAGCTTGATCGATGTCGCGCAGCAGTACGCTGACATCGTAAGCCTTCCCGTGGAGATGCCGTACTGGGGTCTGGGCTTCCATAATTGCCGTTACGGTTATCAAGATGCCTACGAGGTTGCCGAGGTTGTATACAATTACAGCCAGGCCGAGGTTCCTCTCGAGACCATGTGGACTGATATCGACTACATGTACCGACGAAGAACATTTAGCTTGGATCCCGAGCGATATTCGATCTCGATGATGCGCAACCTTGTTGACGTAAGTAAATACAGATGCCTTCTCCAAAGGAAAGAAGAAAAAAAGACAAAGGAATGGTACAGATGATAGATCGCTAACGATCAAATTCATAGTATCTTCACTCTCATGACCAGCATTATGTGATGATGGTAGACCCAGATATCGCCTACCAAGATTTCCCAGGAAGTCTGCAGCGCGGTCTTGAAGACAACGTCTTCTTGCTACGTGAGAACGGCTCTGTATGGAAAGGTGTCATCTGGCCCGGCGTCGTCGCCTTCCCTGACTGGTTCGCCGAGAATACCACCAAATTCTGGGTAAGATAGCTTACGGCGCTCTGTGAAATTGACTATTACTAACCAATCTCTCAAAGACCAACGAATTTGCTATCTTCTTCGATAAAGACACAGGCGTGGATATTGACGCTCTGTGGATTGATATCAACGAGCCCTCTAACTTCCCATGCTTCTTCCCCTGCGACAACCCCGACGAGGTTGCAGTGGGCTTCACGCCAGAGCCCCCGCCAGTCCGCACGCCTCCGAGACCTCTCCCCGGATTCTCCTGCGAGTTCCAGCCCGAGGGCTGCGAGGGCGCCGAAACCCGGTCGGTGGAAGTCATCCGTGACAGCACGCCGCCGTCCAACTTCTTCCCCCACCTCACTCGCGCAGAGCCCGCCAGGGGTCAGCAGAAGGGCTTACCGGGACGGGATCTACTGTATCCCGAGTACGCCATCCACAACAAGGCGGCGTACCTCGACAGCTGGAACGCGGCCGAAGGGGGTCTCTCCAACAAGACTGTCAACACGGACGTGATTCATCAGAACGGATTAGCCGAGTACGACGTCCACAATCTCTACGGTAGCATGATGTCCGAGACGTCGTACGACGCGATGTTGGCGCGTCGTCCTGGATTGCGACCCCTGATCATCACGCGCTCGACGTTCAGCGGTGCAGGCAGAAAGGTCGGCCACTGGCTCGGTGATAACCTGTCTACTTGGGACCAATATCGCCTGTCGATCCGCAGCATGATGACTTTCGCAGCAGTGTACCAAGTTCCCAGTAAGTGTTTTCCTAGTTCATGATTCTCGTATGCGAACGAACGGAAGACTCCCTTCAAGCCGTACTTCACATCCCAACAACCTTTTCCATTCAAAACGAACAGTAACTAACCACGGAGCGCTATCACAGTGGTGGGCACAGACGTCTGCGGTTTCGGCTCCAACACAACAGAGCAGCTCTGCGCGCGCTGGACCGCCCTCGGCGCCTTCGCCACCTTCTACCGCGTGCACAACGAGCTGGGCAACATCCCGCAGGAGCTGTACCGCTGGCCGTCGACCACGACGTCAGCGCAGAAGAACATCGCCATCCGCTACCGGCTGCTCGACTACCTCTACACAGCGATGCACCAGCAGAGCGTAGACGGCACGCCCGCCGTGAATCCAATGGTATTCCTGTACCCGGAGGACAAGAACACGGCCTCCCTCGAGCTGCAGTACTTCTTCGGACCAGGTCTTCTCGTCGCGCCCGTGACGGAGGAAAACGCGACGAGCGTAGAGGTCTACTTACCCGACGACACCTTCTACGACTGGTACACGCACGCGCGCGTCGAGGGCGCGGGCAAGACCATCACGGTGACGGACCAGGAATGGACCGACATCCCGCTTTTCCTGCGCGGCGGCATCGTGTACCCCGTGCGCGCCTCGTCCGCCATGACGACGACGGAGCTGCGCAAGAAGCCGTTCGAGATCATCGTGGCCATCGGCCGCGACGGCACGGCCTCGGGATCGCTATACGTCGACGACGGCGTCAGCATCGAGCAGGCGGCCACGACGGACATCGCGTTCAAGTACGCCAAGGGCGTCCTCTCCATCTCCGGCTCCTTCGGGTACACCGCGGAGGATCTGCGCCTGTCCAAGGTGACGTTCCTCGGGCTCGGGAAGAAGGGCGTCAGCGCCGTCGAGGTCGCGGGCCGGCGCGTGCAAGCGGACGTCGACGCCGAGAAGGAAGTCGTGAGCGTCGAGGTCGACGAGCCCTTGACGCGCGCGTTTACGATCAAGGTGAAGACGGGGTCGAAATGCGCCCAGGGAAAGAACTGAGAGCAAAGCAAAACATAATGTAGTTAACGTAATTGTAAAATGATGAATAGACAATTTCAAAAGCGGCTTGCAGACCATAAAGCAAGGTTGAAAAAGAAGTAGTCATTGCAGCTAAAGGGGTATGTTCCAAGCCACGTATGTAGGGAAAAAAAAACACTGCTGAGCTAGATTATACTCAAGACGTGAGTCCACAAGTCAAGATCAAATTAAAAGTGAGAAAGAACACGTATTCCTCGAGATTCCTACGTGCCCGTACCATGGACTGTAGTTTACATCTCGCACACACCACCGAAACCTCGCCAAACGAGTATGTATCAACATATATTTGGCATTGAATCCGAATTAACATTCGTTCATTTTTTTAAACTGCAGCACACGTTTCTACCACAGGTCTCATACCTCATACCTCATTACGTTGTCTGTCTGTGATGGATTATTTGGGAATAGCCACAAAACCACTTAACTAGGAACCAAGATTTGGTAAATAAAGTCTCCTGAAAAGACCAAGTGGGTAGGGCCCATTCAACCTACTTCGCCAACGCCAACTCCGACCAATGCCTGTCTTTGGCAAGCAACCTACTCGCTAGTAGGTGCTGCCTTTTTTGTATGAATGAGAGCAGGGGCGCAGTGCATAAGCCCCTCTATAATAGTGATAACGACACAAAACAAATACCCCAAGAATGAATGATCTCTTCTTTCGATGGCTTAACAAGACTTAAAGTTTGTCAGAGTATCGTGATTCATAGCCGTACTCGTTTTCATAACACATACAGACAAAAAACTGCCAGCGACAACATTCTCGCCAGCCGTAATGTTAGGGTAGAGTAACACTGAGCATGCGATCTTTATCTATTCCCAGCATCATCTTACAGTTGAAGATTAGTCGCAGGAGCTCGACTAGGTCCACCTCGAAGATGAGCAGCGGAATTCTTGAATAAGCTCTGCCATATGAAAGCCTCACTAAGTAGAAGCTCGATATCCTTTTCTGTCCAATCTCGAGTAGGCAAGGCTTGCAGAAACATCATGATCTCTTGGAAATCCATCTTGACCAGCTTAGAGGACCATTTGACAAGAAATGCAGCGCAAACATATAAGTGAAATTCTGAAAAGCCTTGCTCCTCAGCCTGATTGGACGGTTAGATATATCATCAAAGGATTCAAGATGATACTGACCAGGTATGTATCCCACATACGAATCGTGTTTCGGACACTAATCTCCCTCATGAGCAGGCAGTTCATCCACCTGAAGCTGAATTGGATAAACTCGACGTTTTCGTGCTCAAGATGCTTCGCAAGTCCTTCGTCGATTCTAGCGGTCAGATCTCGAAGCGCTGCAACTTGTCTCTGTATTCCGGGCTGTGCGACGATGTAATGGTCCTGAATACCGTCAAGTAATTTGGTCAAACACCAATATGAGTCGGCCTCCACGGCGTCCAGCACAGGTTTTGGTAGTTGACCAGGATCCATGCCACTCTCAATATTGTAGTCAGTTATATAGCTTCCCAAAAACACCTGCCAAAAAGGCGTGACTAGGTCATTAATGCCCTGGACATAACCGCTTGCAGGGTGCCGGATAGCCCATAAATATAGGATTCGTTCTAGTGATCGTTGCGTCGCTTCATAGCTGTACAACTCGATATGTGGGTTCGTTCTGGGCACATCAATGCTAATTTGATGCCAAATCGCTTCATCAAGACCTCTTGAGCGGCCGGATGAGTTTTGACCGGCCCCCCCACGCTCAAATGCCTGACGAACACCGTCCAAGTACTCTTTTCGCTTCCGCTCAAGAGTCGCAACCCGTCTTTCACTGCTCGTTGGTAGATAACTGAGTAATAATTGCCAAGTCATTGCACGAACCTCCTCGGGCACCCCACCCCACGCCAGTGCTCGAAGATCTGTTAGAGGGATTGTTGTAGTCTGAAGTATCTTTTTGAATTTATTGATTTTTGTGACACGAGAATTCATGGCATCGATCTCTTTTGGTGAGGCATTAGCTGGCGTAGGTGGATGATCTATCAGATGTAAAGCGTTCGCAGGGTCTATGATGATATTAACAACACATGTGCTTCGCAGCTGATGAGTTAACCAACCTTTAAGAATATCTTTGTATTGTGGCCGGAGTATTTTTCCTTCAGTCTTTTTGGGCATGGGGTATACGAGCGCAGGTCTTTCTATTGCTATATCGGCGCTGTTCGAGAATCGTCTATTAGGAAATCCAAGAGAGGCGTCCAAGGCCGGCTGGCTTTGCGATGCGAGGTCGCTGTTCTGTGTAGCTGCCGCCATGCGACGAGACCGCCGGTTCATATTCGATAAACTCGGTAGTCCGAAGTCGTCCCCATCGTCGTCTTCATACGCATACTCATCTTCAGCATCGGGGTCGTCAGCATTCCAATCCGAATTTGTCGTCGACAAGAAGTTGAAATAGGACTTCAATGGGGGCGATGAAAGAGACGAATTGGATTTGCGCGACGTAGAGCCAATATCGCTGGTTCTGGCTTTCTGGGAGGACGAAGACGGCGGGGTTTTTGGGCGTGATGAACCGGATACGTTTCTGGATCTATGTGCCAAAATAACGTTGTCAATGAGTGGACTGGAGTGTTTGTCAGGCATAGCGAACATACAGGTTATCAAATTTCAACATATCAGCATGGGAGTATGCCGCGCCCACGACAAGGTTCGGATCACGACCTGGTCGCTTCGAAGTTCCTTCTCGCGGCGAGCGCCAGAAAGGTGAAGAAGACCTAATAAAGGCAAAAGTTAGTTGGCCGAGCCAGCATGGACAGGATGCGAGAGGCGCGACAGAGAGAGCTGGAGCAGACCGGATTTGGGATCAACTCACTCGGATCTGTCTATTCGCACCGAGGCGGGTCAATTAGCAGCAGAACGCTTTGGAGAAGAACAAGCAACGTTCACACTCGGGAAACGAGACATAGATGACGAAAGGGCAGAGCCATGGTCCACCGACCTCTTCTGGTGGTTGGAGGCAACTGGACTTACCAACCTGAACCATCTCCTGGGACCGAGTACGTCATAGTTAGTTGCGGTTCGAGTTGAGAAGTGTCTGTAGATTTGGAACATACCTGCTGCTGTGGAGGCTTCTTACCACCGCCCGAAGATGAGAACATGGTGGCAGAACGGAAGGGGTAGGCTATGATGGCATTCTGGCTTGGGCCAATATCACGATGCCTCAGCTACAGTGGTTGGCAAGTTGACTGGCACAAGGTGTCTGCTGGTGCTGGCTGCATGGGCATGCTTCCATGCCACACTTACTTTGGAATAGTAGGTCGACCCCCCCTGTGAATACGCGTGCCCCTCCTTGAATTACCTGTTGTCTAAGTACCTGAAGTCCTTACCTTACCTCTTTGGTAAGAAGTTATGAAGCGTAAGCCACAGCTTGCAGCCAAATAAACTGTTCATAAAGAAGCAACCCGCTCATATGAGCAATATCGCCAGTTTTCAAAGGTGTCCATAGGTATAGGTATTGGCTTTGTGTTAGTCAACTATCAGACACCCCATATATGTCTACTTTTGCCAAAAGAGAAAAAAAAGGAAGAAAAAAATAACCAGCTCTGGGTTCCTTCAAGCAATGGTACAAAAGCACTAGAGACCACTGGAAGTGGATGTATCACACCCTGACTGTCCTATGAGAAGTCTTCCTACCTACCTAGGTACTTATTCTTAAGTAGATCGTAGGCAGCTCATCTTGGCCGAGTTTACGAGCGCCCCGAACTCTGCTTTACCAGGTAGGTATCACCTGCAGTTAAGCCACCAACAGTCATCACCGGTTGTCTAGGTACCTACCTACCTAGGTACCTACCTATTGGTATATATACACTTACATAAGCAATGTGTGGCTAGTATCCATTCAAATCATTCATTGTATGGAGTACAGGTAGAAGGTACCCACCCTTAGCCACCCTGGTCTGTCCCTGCCTCGCCTGCCTTATCGTTAGTTTATCTGAATAGCAGCTTTCAGGCGCGAGACCAAAGCCCGCAGCCTATTGGCCCAAAGTTTCTCTCCGTCTGTCTCCCAGCTCCATTGCGCCCATTGCCTCAGCCAGCACCGCTCACCATAACCTTCGCCCCTAACACTGCAAATCTATCTTGCACCATTTCCTCATCATTTCTTTCCCTACATACATCCGTATCAGCCAGTCGAGAGAGCCATTGCGTAGTTGCTCTCAAGGTTGTATGAACTAGCTACCTAGGTAGACTAATAGTCCGCTGACCTGGGCTATCTCGAGCCTCACCTTGTCACTTGTACTGACAACTAACCACTAACCTTGATCATGGCGGACCCCGAGAATTTCGAGGACGATCTCTTTGCCGACCTGTCAGTACTCCAGCCTCCATCTCAAATCCTCTTGGCTGAGCTTTCCGCCATTTGCGCCCGCTCAGTCGGAGAGTCGGGGGAATCCAGCCCTCAGCATTGTCGCTAACTTTTTCGCAGCTACGATGATAACCCTGGCTCGGCTCCTGCCGCGCCTGCCCCTAAACCTGCTCCCGCCATGGCTGCGGTCCCGACGCCTACTCCTGCGGCAGCCTCCATACCTCAATCCGTAGCAGAGAAAGCGTCAGAGCCTCAGGCTGAATATGTATCCGATGAGATGGCCCATAGTGCTGTTGAGAACGGCTATGGTGATGATTACCACGAGGATGCTTATGAAGATGATGATGACGTGGACTTTGACCTCGGCAACGGCCCAGCTGCAAACTCTACGGCGGTACCGATGAGACAAGAAGAGTCGCTTGGTCCTGCTTTCCATACTACTCGTGGGCCTAGCGCTAAGGAAGATGGGTAAGTTTTCTCGTTTGCATTGATTTTCGTATACTATGTGCGATCTCCGTTGGGATGGTCGACAGCCAAAATGGGTACGGTGCACTAGCACCAGATCAGCCAGTTGGTAGTTTGGATGGCTAGGCAAGTTCTACGCGAGTGAGTCAGTTTGCTACCTGGAGGGGATGGCTCGGTATCCTGGATCACGCCAGAGGTTGTGTTAGGCTTGAAAGGCATTTTGCACAGTACCAAGCTAGCGCCACGAAGGAGTAGTGAGGTATAAGGTTTTACCAATTCAGGCGGTATCGAATGCTGGCCAAGGGACAATACCATCGTCATGGCTTAATGTGCATCTCAAGAAGACAAAAGAAGAGAGGGTTGATAGCGGAGTGATTCACATTACTGCCTGAAAGGACCATACGATATAAGTCGACCATAGCCGTGCGAAAGCACTCTACTGCTTTTCATAGCCATTCGTCAGGATAGGCTCATAGAGCTCGCCAAAGAACACCTTTCTGAAGCTGTAACAAGAAGACTGGTGGCGAATAGCGCACGAGTTAGATGATCTAGCTTGACGATAGCAAAGACCAGAGCAAAAAATCGACAATCATTTCGGTCATCCTTCGCTGTTCCCATGTCCACTTGAGCAGTATGATTGTGGCCAGTTCACCGGGATCTGGTTATTGGCTCGCGTGCCCTCACAAATGAACTACACAAACTCGCACTTATATCTTCCGCATTGTCATCAAAACTCGTCATTTTTAGCCACAACAGTCAGTTTAAACCAAGAAAACTAAGCTTGGGGCTAAGGATGTGGTTTCGTATTCTGGCACCTCTATTGCTCTTGGCAGGGATATCTCCAATTCGTAACGACATCGAGCATATGCGCATCAAAAAACCAGTATCTTGCGGCGTACATGTATATGAACGCTATACAAATGCTCATTGGAGAACGGCGAAGTTGGGTTTGGCCTTTATTTCCCTGAGCTGGCATGTTTGCTCGCGTGACGAACCGTGCCATTTCAAACTACCAACTACAATCTAACTTGAGCCTACACTGGGCTATTTACATATGTTACAATGACTTGTAATGCGTACTAGACTGACAGGATCTCTAACAGAAAGATGTTTATTGGAGGTTTGAACTGGGAAACCACTGATCGTAAGGCCTTGCCTCATAGCTTCAGCACTCTATACCTGAATGCCTAGCTAATATCTATACCTGTGTAGAATCGCTACGCGACTATTTTTCACAATTCGGTGAAGTCACCGAGTGTACTGTCATGAGAGACGGCGCAACGGGACGCTCTCGAGGGTTCGGTTTTCTCACATTTAAAGACCCAAAAACTGTGAATATTGTCATGGTCAAGGAGCATTTTCTCGATGGGAAACTGGTATGTGATGGCGCTAGATATTCGAAGATTATGTTTAGTTACTAACAAATAGTTAGATTGATCCGAAGCGGGCTATTCCCCGAGATGAACAAGAAAAGACCTCCAAAATATTCGTTGGAGGTGTCAGCCAAGACACAACTGAAAACGAATTTAAGGATTACTTTGCTCAATTTGGACGTGTTGTAGACGCCACTCTCATGATGGACAAAGATACTGGAAGACCCCGCGGTTTCGGATTTGTCACTTTTGAGAACGAGGTTGGCGTCGAGGCATGCTTAAGCACGCACCTAGAAATTCATGGCAAGGCCATTGAGGTCAAGAAAGCACAGCCTCGAGGTAACATGCGTGAAGAAGAAGAAGCTTCAAGACGTGGGGGCAAGTTCAAGAAAGGGGGTATGGATGACCAGGGCAGCGGTCAAAACCAGATGACAAACCAGATGAATCAAGGAGGTATGACGCCACAACTCATGGCACAGTACATGCAGAGATTTCAGCAGTACATGGCCATGATGCAACAACAACAAGCTATGAATAGAGGGATGGGTATGAATCCTGCCATGATGCAAATGCTTCAGATGCAGCAGATGCAACAAATACAGCAACAGATGGCTCAGAGCGGAGGCGCCAACGCAAACAATATGGCCGCAATGAACCAGGCCATGATGCAACAGATGATGGGTAACGCTGGTTCGAACCAAGGTCAAGGCCAGGGCGGCGACGAGCAACAGGGGTATAACGATTACAATCAACAAGGTTTTAATCAGCGTGGCGGCGGAGGAAGGCGTGGTGGCCGAGGCGGATACAACCAAGGTTATGGAAATATGGGCAATGCCGGTGGTGATCCGACATCCTGGGAGGGCATGTATGACGATGTTCCCCAACCCAACTACAACCAAGGCGGACGCGGCGGTTTCTATCGAAACCGCGGCGGTCATCAGCAAAACCAAACGACCGCAGACCCCAATCACGCCCCCCCGGCCAACGCTCCGACGGGCCCTAAGAACGCCGGCAAACCCGGCGCCAACTACCGCGGGGGTGGTCGAGGAGGCAATCGTGGTTTCCACCCTTACGGTCGTTAACGGAACGAATTATGAGTCACCTTCATGGCTATACAGCTCTCTACCGCAATGTGAAGCCGGTTGATCCCCTGTACGAATGAGTCCAACATCTCATTAATTCACCGGGGAGCAAACAAATCTCAGCATTGCAGCACAGATCCGTTACAGGTAACAAGTATGGCTCCGCTTGTTGACCATGTTACTTTCTTCAATCCCAATCCCCACGGGCCAAGAATCTTCGGCAAACGATTATTGCTGCGCTCGTTTGCGTGTATTTATAACTTTTTTTTTTTACGATCGAGTGCATAATATCGTTAGATGTGTCATCCCAGGATGTCGTGACACCTCGCACACAAGGAAAAGAACCGAACTACAGAAGGACCAGGCCCACCGCGGCAAAGGCGAGGTCGGGAAGACACTCTCTTTTCCTCTTATCGGCGATGATCTCTATCCCATCTCAACGTTCTCGCGGCTTGCCATATGAAAAGGAGGCATGTCAAGTTGGCTTCGGTATTGCTTCGGCCACGATGAAAACAAAATATTTTGCTGGGTAGTTAGCCCCCCTGGCAGATTCATAGCAACGGATCAAGGGGGAAATCGATGTTAAATTAATTACGTTTTACCTGCCTTGTGGCTAATGTTCTTTTTTATCTGTTCTGAGTATAGAGATAACAAAGTTTATGGAAACTCATGCATTCTACGATCTGCATTCACAACCCAGAATCTCAACATTTCTGCACCCCCTGACTGATATACACAAAATGAAGTAGACGACAGATGATTGAGTACACTGGTCGTTTGATGTGAATCGCCCCTCCCTATCGCTAATTCAGTACATGCCTCCTGTTCTCTGATGCTTGTATGCTAGGTATCTCCCTACTAATACAGAAATTCATAGGCCATTTTACAGTAAGACTGACAATGTCACGCCCTAACTAGCTTCGTGAAGCCCTCGGCGGGCGGCTGTAACCAGTTCCGCGCATCATACGTAGTCCCTTCTCCCTCGATAACATGGAACGTATATATAATACGTCCCTTCTGGCTCGTATTCCTCTCGCTCTTATGTAACAAATTCCCATGTATAAGAATAAGCGAGCCAGCCTTGACCTCCCCCATAACGTATTCCCCGTCCGCGCCCTCCCCCTCCTTCTTATCTTCACCATATTCCTCGCCAATAGGGAACTGCGGGCCCGCGTTATCCATGAACTCGGTCCCGGACCTCCCGTCCGCAGCGCGCGCGAAGCGCTGACGCACGGGCGCCCACCGGTGACTGCCCGGGAGGAAACTGAGACACCCGTTCTCGGCGGTCGCGTCCTCGAGCGCGTACCAGAAGCCCACGGCGCTCGGCGGGTCCGTGTACAGGAAGGTGCTGTCCTGGTGCGGGGGCACGGCGCCGCCAATCTCGGGCTGCTTGCAGATGACCATGGACTGCAGACAGCGCGGGTCCCTGAACCCGAGGGCGCGCGCGACGGCCGCGGGGTGCGACTCCTTGTGGCCGGCCGCCACGCTCCCCGTGCTGGTCCCCGCGCCGAGGAGGTCCGGATTCAGCGCGGGATCCAGCAGGGCTGCGAAGGGGGGCGAGAGCGCGTGCAAGTAGTGCCCGATCTTGTTGATCGCGCGCGCCTTGGGCTTGAGGAGTTCCCCGTTGGGAGAAAAGGCGTCCTCTTCGAAGAAGAACCGGATCTTGTCGCCCGATGTCAGGAAGTAGTCGTCGCCTACGTGGTCCGACTTCTCGCCTGTGCTGAACCGCGTCATGGGGTGCTCGGACAGGGAGAAGTCGTCGAGGAGCTGGTGCGTCTCGGCTAGGAGCGCTTCTACGGTTGTTGGTGGCAGGGCGTTGGGGATCACGAGGTACCCGTCGCGCTCGAAGTCTGCGAGCTGGGAGGGCGTCAGCCCGCCTGTTGATGGTTGCTCGGAGGACATGGTGATTTGGAGGATGAGACGGGAATGTGACAGAGGACTTCTAATGATTGAGTAAATGGTCCTATAATTTATCGGCTGTTAATACCAAATGTAGAATTTCTGGATGAGTCGATGTTCGATCTGAGATCATGGTGGGGGTGAACCACGTGCCAATGCAGGCTGCTGTAGGTAAGGATGAGTGAGGGGCATGAGGGGTGATTAGGAGGGGCAGCTTTCCCCCTGCCAAAAACTCCAGCTCCCATCAGCCAGTAGGTAGAGCTAACACGGTTCTAGCCTTTAGCTACCATCGTCTAGTGACTTGCTTAACGAGTAAGAACAACAAGGACATTCGTTGTATTTTGCCGTATAAGTCGGTAACAGCTCATATCTCATTCATTCAATACTAGACTTCATTGCTACTTGCAAGCATGGGCGGAGAAGAACCGGAGCTCTACGATGAGCGAATCTGGCTCGACGGGTGTTGGGACTTCTTCCACCATGGCCATGCCGGCGCCATGCTGCAGGCGCGGCAACTCGGCAGCGAGCTCTATGTCGGCGTGCACTCGGACGAGGACATCATGGCTAACAAAGGCCCAACAGTCATGAACCTAGATGAACGGTACGAGGGATGACATGCCGTTTCAGAATATGTTCACACCCATCATAGTCCTTCTTATTTACACAAGTCCGCCATTTGGGATGGACAATGGACTAACACCGCTACAAGTCTCGCCGCAGTAGATGCTTGCCGCTGGGTCACGAAATCCGTTCCCGACGCGCCATACGTGACAGAGCTATCCTTCATTGGCAAATATCACTGTCGGTACGTTGTTCACGGCGACGACATCACGTCAGACAGCAACGGCGAGGACTGCTACCGCTTTGTCAAAGAGGCCGGCCGTTTCAAGGTCGTCAAGCGGACTCCGAGCATCTCTACAACAGATCTCGTGGGTCGCATGCTGCTGTGCACCAAGACGCACTTCATCACGTCGTTGGAGAAGGTGATCACGGGGCGAGAGGGTCCCGGTACTGAAGCGGAAAGAAAGGCAGAGGGAGAGGCCATGCTGACGCGCATACGTCAGTATGCTACCGATGAAGGGGGAAAGGAGCCCGGTCTCGATGTCTTTTTCTGGACTGCCTCCGACGCTGCGAAGGCCGAGGATACGAGAGAAGAGACGGGTGATTTTAGCCCACTGCTCAAGGGTAAGGAACCAAAGCCGGGCCAGCGAGTTGTGTATGTCGATGGAGGATTCGATCTCTTCTCGAGCGGTCATATCGAGTTCCTACACCAGGTTGTTTTAGCCGAGGAAGAGCTAGCGCGACAAGATGGATGGTACGATCAACAGGCCGTCGATGAGCGTCGGGGGAAGGGCGCGGATTATGGCCCCGTGTTCGTAGTAGCTGGCGTGCACGATGATCGAGTCATCAACCACTGGAAGGGAATCAACTATCCCATTATGAACATCTACGAGCGAGGACTCTGCGTCCTTCAATGCCGAGTGAGTTATTGCACCTCTACTAGCAGCCTGCGTGACACAAAGCTCACAGAACTAACTAAACATTTTTCTTCTTCGGCATAGTTTGTCAACGCAGTCATATTCGGCGCCCCATTTACCCCTACCAAGTCATATCTCACGACACTACCCTGGGGTACGCCCGACGCTATCTACCACGGCCCAACGGCCTTCATACCACTATCGTACGACCCGTACACGGCCCCCAAGAAAATGGGTATCTTCCGCGAGATATCGAGCCACAGATTCCGAGACGTCAATGCCGGGTCCATAGTGCAACGCATCTTGAAGAGCCGGGATCTCTACGAGGAGCGACAGCGGAAGAAGGGCGTCAAGGCCGTCGGCGAGGCTGCGCAGAGACAGAGGGAGATCCTCGAGGAGGAACAGCGTCGTAAGGAAGAGAAGATGGGCTTACCGCGGTCATAACATAATAATATAAGTAGAGATTTTATTCCTCTACGATAAAGAAGGGGTTTTGGTGTGTTAGGAGACTTGAGCAGGTTTACTCACGCTTACTTCGCATAGACTAAAAAAAAAAACACCTCGGGGTCGTCGTTCTCATGTATGCTGGTAATGACACGCTATTGAAGATAGACATTAGTTTAGATGAATTCTATACACCAGCACTACTCGCCGGAGATGTAAGTAGTACATCCTTACCCACACAGCAAGGTCCAAGGAGTCTCGTCTACAGCCTTATTCATGATCACCCTCAGCAGCAATCAGCGTGCTTTCAGCTCCCATGATGTATCAACAGAAATCTGACGTGGGACAACCCCAGCCAATTGAGATCTGGGACCTACTATTTATTGAGTAACATCGACCCGCGAAGAGGATTTCCGAGTCTCTACTGTAACGTCTCGCTTAGTCAGATCGGCACAGACTCTGCTCGACGTTGGTAAAACTCAATACTTACCTAGGTACCCGAGCACCTAGGCGAGCTAGGTAAGCAGATAGAAGGCACAGCAGTACTCCGAACAATCTTGTAGAATAACTCTGGTGAATTGGTTTGGACGGACGGCATGTCAAACCGGTGAAGAGGGTACGTTATATGTCCATCGTACATCCCGAACGCGTTGTGTTTGGTCTTCTAGCGGCAGGCAATAGATAAGCCGTGCGCGAGAAAGATTCTACCTACCTACCTACCGACGAAGTGATATATTACTTCTGCTATATATATATAATATACAATGTTAAAAGGGGGCGCATCGGTAAGCGATATCACGGCGCGGTATGCTCGCGCATGAGAAAAAGAATAGATGCGTGTCCCGCCCCTTTGTGGGTTGGATCGACTATTCGCTCGCCTTGTTTATCATCGTGTATCACATCACCTGATTAAACCAGTATCTTTTTTTCAATTTCGGCTCTAACGATATCATCCGAAGGTATCGTCTGTTAGACTCTGATGTCGTCTGATTCTCTGTCGCACGAACCTTGGTCTCGGAGATTGCGTCATTTGGAATGAGTACTTAAGTTGCGTAAGTACTGTATAGTAGGTATTGACATTTATTCTTCAAACAGTTACTACGTTCAAAACAGTTACTACGTCTCTACATGCTAGTGATAGGTAGGTGCCTTTATCTTATGTTCTGGTATTATGGCACCCAGAGTCATAGCATCCTTTAACGATGCTATTGTTGTCTAGGTTTTGGACGTTTGAGTCATATAGAATGACAGCGTCGCGGATGACGTACCTGTAAGCTTGAGTACCTACCTAGAGTGAGTAAGTCGGCTGTATCTTGATACGACCGAGCATGGCCAATGAAATAGATGGGAGAGATTGTGTTACAATCCGATCTTTTTACTAGTGATGAGCCAGAAGGATAAGAAGCCCATCATTACCTATCAGCTACCTACTCCTGCGGAACTCTTGTTAAGAGATCTTGATCGCTGCCTTTAAAGGTGAGATGAGAGAGAGAGAGAGACAGCATGTATGGGCCAGGTGGACCAGACCTGTCCCGGTTGCCAAATCAGTGCTAAATGGATGGGCGACGGAACGATGCCGGCATCCCCTGTCGACAATACAGCTCGGGCAAAAGCTTCTAGAACGGGCAAAGAAGCTTGTCGATCATGACATACTGCAGGCACCGGCACACAGTCATCCTTTTTATCTGGTCAGACCTGATGCACATACTTACACGTAGGGAGGATCTATGTAGGTACTGAGGCAAGCTACAGCGCATTTGCTGGTGTAGGTGTGCGGGTGTGTGTGGCCACCCGTCGCACTACATACTATATTTGACAGACAAACATTCCGACAAGGGAAGATAGGTATACATAGTAGGTAACAGGAAGAATATCAAGAGAAGAGCAGAGAAGAACATTACAAAGGGGCATGTCTCATGTCCAAAATGCTTGATTACATGTTATTGAGGAGGTACACAGAAGCTACCTCGGGGAGGGTGCGGGAGATACTTCCCTCAAAGAGAGCCGGGCTGGCGGGGTAGCTACAGGGTCAGCCCAGACACAAATCTGAACCGTGCGCCCTTCTAGAAAGCGCGAAGAAGCCTTGGAAACAGGTGTCAGAGCCCATCCGAGCCGGGGGAAGCTGCTGGGGACTTGATGGGTTTGGATGGGGAACTGGCTCTGAATCAGGCCCTATTGCCTCTTCCGGTTAGTTCCTATATCTTTCTCCAATATCTTGTCCAATAATGTCAGTTGTCTCAAGACGCAATAACAGACGCAATGGCAGACGCAATAGCAACCCGGCGAGTGGTGAGAAATGGCCCCCCCTCCTTTCTTCAGCGACTCGCTCATGCAATGGGCTGGACATGCAGTGGTTTCCTATATCGGCTGGAGGTAGGCTGATGCTGATGCCTACGGTAATTTTGGTTGGCTACCTCTCTGACCGTTCCCGCCTCAGTCACCCTTTGCAGACACCCTTTTTGCCGCGGTGCTGCTATCTCAAAGTGGTAGGTAGTTGTCCACCTATCCACGGCGCCGCCACAGTTACATTTCACGATTTTGTCTCTTCGGCTACAATAGAGAGGCATGTCTTTGTTGCCTTAGGTCGGTGGGATGATAGGTAGAATGATACCTACTCACTAAGTCCTTATGTAATAGGTTGATGTATGGTACTATCCTTTACTCCACAAACTTCTACAAGTACCTACTATGTATACCTAGGTAGGTAGGTTATCGTCATCGCCGCTTCTGTAGCGTGCTAGGCACAGACACACTGTTCCCAAGAGCGCTAACTGCTCTACTACAGATAGATGCTTACCTGCATAGGTACTTACTTAGGACCTCTTGAGACCTCTGTAGGCGGGAAAATCCACTACGGCAGTGATACTTCTGCGGTATGGCCAAGGTACATTCACACCGTTGATAAACCTTACCCACATGGGTTCTCCCCTCCTCCTCCTCCTCTCTTTACAGTATTTCAACATTTACAGCCTACCTCTACATCCTTACTACCACGACCTCTTCTTCTTCTAACCCATTGCGCACCATCTTTTGCACCATCTTTGACACACTTCCTCCCAGCTAGCATCAATCAACTTAACTCTCCTCCCATCCTCTACATCAGCTTCTATATCCATCAGCTTCCGCCTTGCGCCCACCACGATCCTACCAACTGCATGGAATAACATCTGTCCTGCCTTGAGCCCACGACACGGCCCTTGGACCTAGATTCCACCTAGATTCCATAGGACCCTCCTTGCGTGGAACTCGACATCTTAGCTTCCCCCTCTCTCGCTGCAGCTCAATCAGGGGAGCTTTCTAATCACGGCAAGAGTAAGCACGTACAACATAGCATAGCATACATAACACAGCATTCTATCTGTAATTGTTCCTTCCTCCCGTCCCAAAGCCCACCTATCCCCTTCTCCCCGCCTGTAGACTACAATTCGGCTCCCAAGTTCTTTATCTGGCGACCCCACTGCCATCTCTAGAGCATCTCGTGCCTCGTCAGATCTCCCTTCTCTCACTCTACTCTACCATTGACATTATTGTTTTCTCCTTGTTCTGCATTGGTAGCCTGCTTCCGGGCTCTTCCATCGCATCTCTTTACTACAAGCCCAATTGAGTCTAAGCCTTCCATCTCGCTGCCGAGGCCTTCACTCTCACTCTAATTGCCTTCTTTGATATCGGCTTGTTCTTGTACCATTGATTCTCGTTCTTGGTACCGCGCCTCTGGCTAACGGGTGGAGAAAGTTATTATTACAAGTCAGGTTGCCTACCTCCAGCATTGTAGCCTTATTTGCCTGGACCATGTATGTGATATTCCCTTTTTGGGTAATATTCATTTATTGCCTTCTTTTTCAGCTGTTCCCGTTCTCGACCACTCCTGTCGTTCTCTCCTAATGACAGTTATCCACCATCTTGCATCTTCCCCTATCTACCCCAACAACACATTGAGTAGTGACTCAATTCCGCCTCGGAACTCATTTCTTTCAGAGTGCTCGTTAAAATTCTAGGCGTCATGCTCTTACCTGGTACTTGTACTTACGAGGAAGAAATAGAGAATCTTGACGCCCTGGTTCGTCTTAAAAAGCCGTCCGATATCATTCAATTCTGCGCCGATTACTTCCTCCGACGCCTTGCTGAACAAAGGATTGCCTACCGGATACAAATTGCGTCGCAACCACACAATTTCGGCGTCATGTCTGGGACGACTTTCACAAGCCCCTTCGCGGCGAATTCAAATCCATTTGGCACGGATGGACCTAAACTCCAAACGACGTCATCTGGGCAATTGTTGAACGTTGTAGAGGAGGACGAGAATGACGCTGTTACATCGCCCACGACGGGTTCTTTCGGTGCAAATGGCACCTTCCGTATCCCTTTTGCTGGCGACGGTGCTTCAGATGGACCTCCGTCGTCTGTGAGGACTCCTCCGAATCCAGATAGCTATCCAGCACAATACAACTTCGGTCGACGTACATCCGTGTCAGCAGAGTCATTGAAGCCGGTAGCTGATGTTAATGACAATTGGACTCCGCCTTCGTATCCTAAGCCTGCGGAGCAGCTTGACAGGTTGCAAAGAGCTATCGAGGGAAACTTCTTATTCAGTCATCTCGACGATGAACAAACCGCTCAGATTCTCGGAGCTTTGCAAGAAAAGCCTATCCCGGCTAAAGATATCAAGGTAGGCTACTATGTCAGCCCACATCCCATTTCCATCGTTATTAACAGTTGCGTGATCTTCAGGTCGTTACACAAGGTGATGCGGGCGATTATTTCTATGTGGTGGAGAAAGGCTGTTTTGATGTGTATGTCAATGATACTGGCGCCTTGCAGCCAGGACCGGATGGCATGGGGAAAAAAGTGGGAAGTGTGCAGGCTGGGGGCTCTTTTGGTGAGCTTGCCCTTATGTATAACGCACCCCGAGCAGCCACTGTCGTCTCATCCGAGCCGGGGTGTACGCTATGGGCTCTCGATCGTGTGACATTCCGCCGAATTCTCATGGAGTCGACATTTGCACGTCGACGCCTATACGAAAAGTTCCTCGAGGAAGTGCCCCTCCTTGCCTCCCTTACCCCTTACGAAAGATCCAAGATTGCGGATGCCCTCGAAACTCAAAAGTACCCCGCGGGAACGGAGATCATCAAGCAGGGTGACATAGGACAGTCATTCTATCTTGTTGAGAGTGGGGAAGCCGACGCTTTTAAAAACGGTCAGCCTGAGTCTGTGAAGCATTATCAGAAGGGCGATTTCTTCGGAGAGCTTGCGCTTTTGAACGATGCACCGCGAGCTGCGAGCATCATTAGCGCTACAGAGATCAAGGTGGCAACTTTGGGCAAAAGCGCGTTTGCTAGGCTCCTAGGCCCTGTTGAAGGGATCATGAGGCGGACGAGGTATGTTGGGGTAGCATCTGGCGTCGAAGACGTTGACCCGCTTCATGCACCCTAGACTCTGTTTCCGTAACTATTTTTTAGACGTCCGGTTGGACACCCAAGATGAGAGGTTTTGGTGTGGCAGGCAGGCAATGGTCACATTCATGGCAAGACGAAGCCATTATGAGGTTTAGGTGGCGTTTTTGTGGTATTCTCCTTGTTGCCAATATTGAACAGGCTTTTATGGAAGCTGTAGTCCTTGATACCGTTATACAACATCACACGCATCATTTTATATACACCTCACGAATCCCACCTATCCGTAGAATCAATGTGAATTGGTATCATGAAATCTCCCTAACGCCTGAATAACTAAAACTTGGCTGTGTGTCTATCAGCGCAAAAAGCGCCAAAACCCCCCCGATTTAACTAACTCATTTTTCTTCATCATCGTCCTTATTTTGGTACGTGTGTAGACACTGAAAACAACATCTCCTCATCCGCCGCCTCGCTGCTTGGCAAGAACCTGGTGCCTCAAAGTCTCGGTCGCAACCTCGGTCTCGAGGACGCGGCCGACGCCCTTCCTCCACGCCTCCTCGAGACCCTTGAGCTCCTCGCCCACCTCGTCCTGCAGCCGACGGCGCTGGATATTCACGACGTCAATCTCGCGCTTCGCGGCCGCGAGCTCGCGCTCCAAGACGGCCAGATCGGCCTCCGTCTGCCAGTTCCCCACGAGCCAGGCGTTCTTGCCGTAGGCATCGAGGAGCTGGAGGTGCGTCTGCCGGGACTGGAGGTACGTGTGGGTTGTGTAGGCGCGGGATATGAGCGGCGTTAGATGCGAGGGGGTCTGGCAGGTGGGTGATGGCGCGTCTTGCGCTTCGTACCGGGTTAGGTCGATTGCGTTTAGGGGCTGCTGCGAGGATATCCGGGATAGTTCGGCTTGGAATAGCGGCGTGAAGGTCGGGGCGGGATACGAGGTTGGCGCGCGTGGGGAGGAGAGCTCCGCTTCGGCGGATATGAGGGCTTCGGCTGCGCTGCGCTCTGAGGGGGTTGGGTCTGTGTCGATGTCTGGTGGGGTGGTTGGTTAGGAGTTGGGTTGGGCTGTGAGGGAGGGTGTGCTGCGTACATGGGAGTGACTCGTGCACTGTTGTGCGGATCGAGGATGCCATGTTGAGACCTCTAACACTGCGCGAATTGGCTCGCTTCGGATGTCTTTTCTGTCTTGGAGCAAAGAAAGGATGAGGAAATTCCTGTAGTTCTTCGTTTGGCGCGAGAGGGTGAATTGGAGAGATGGCACGCGCGCGAAGTTGCTGTTGCAATGCATGTCGCCGCCCCCAAATTTAGGCCCCTTATCGATTATCGGCCATGTCAGCTGCGGCGGCAGTTACGAGGGTGCGGTTCCATCGGTGGGTCTCAATGGGAGCCCTACGAAGGACGAGATGAGCCGGTGACGCCAACCTGCGTCATCTGCTTTCCGTATTCGTCCAGTGTTAATCCTCGCTCCCATCTATAATGTACTACTCCCTTAGGTTTCAGCGTGTGCTGTATTTCTGAGGGTGTCGTAGCCAATGGCCTCGTGATAAAAAAAAGTAGAGTTTACCACATAATGTCGCTTCTGGAGTTATAGGCAGGTCCTTCGGTAGGCGTTCAGGGAACATACTATAATTGTATCAGGGGTATTATCTGCTCGCCTTTGTCGAGGTTCATCGCTGTGGATTTATAGCCAAGTCCTTCCATTTCAACTCGGCAACCTCGGTTCTTGCTAGACACGCTGTCGCAAGACAATCTCCCATTCTTAAGACTATATTGACCTCGAATCATGCTCAAGCTATAGACAGACTACGTGGCAAACACCATGCAAGACATCGACCGCGAGAAGAAGGCTGGTCCTTCGCCGCTGCTTCCGGATCTGCGGAGGAATAGAACCACCACGAGACTCACTGTCTTAGCATCAGCTATAGCTTTCGTAGCAGCATTGCTACTGCTGGCTATCGCTACACCACAAAGCCTGAGAAACAGATTAACGCCATGGCTAAGCTACGAGCCATCGAAGCAAGAATGGGCACTCCCATTGGGAGCTAATGGAGATGAGTACCTGCTGGGGGTAGGCAAGGCTGATATCACCGGGTACGTTATTAACGAAACATTCCATGTGGATTACACATGCTAGTGTACTAACATCGACACACCAGCCCCTGCGTAGAGATCAACTTGATGGGCTATGCCGACCCAAATCAAATTGGCACAGGCTTAAGGCAACGATTGTACTCACGCGCATTCATCGTTGCAGACCCTTCAAGTCCTTCGGACAGGTTCATCTACCTTGTTCTCGATACTCAATCCGGGGACACGGCTGTCCGTTACGGCATCTTGTCTGGGCTCCAGCAGCTAGGACCCGAATACGCCGACTATGGTCATCACAACTTAGCTGTTACCGGTACTCACTCACATTCGGGCCCTGCGGCTTGGCTTAATTATCTGCTACCCCAGATCACAAGCAAGGGCTTTGATCAACAAAGCTACCGGGCCATTGTAGACGGCGCTCTGCTATCTATCAAGAGAGCTCATGAAAGCCTCGCACCTGGCTATCTTAGTGTTGGGACGACTAAAGTTTTTGGCGCGAACATCAACCGGAGCTTATTTGCCTACCTCGCCAACCCGGAAGATGAACGGGCGAAGTACAATATAAGCTCTGAAGATGACGGATCCGTAGAAAAGGATTTGACTTTGCTCAAGTTTCAGAGGTCGTCTGATGGGAAAAACATTGGGGTCTTGACGTGGTTTCCTACCCATGGTACTTCGGTGCTTGGCAACAATACTCTCATCTCTGGTGACAACAAGGGTGTGGCTGCTTACTTATTCGAAAAGAGTGTGGTGGACGACGACACCGCCGCCGAAGGTTTCGTAGCCGGCTTCTCGCAGGCTAATGTTGGTGATACAAGTCCTAATGTCCTGGGAGCTTGGTGCGAAGATGGCACGGGGCAGATGTGCAGCTTTGAGAACAGCACATGCAGCGATGGTAGATCCCAAAAATGCCATGCCCGCGGACCATTTTTCAGGGCCAACGACGAGGGCACATCCTCGTGTTTCGAGATTGGTAAACGCCAATTCGAGCCTGCGAAGAAGCTATACGATGAAATGAACCAGGCCTCCACCCCTATCCGCGGGAAATGGGTCAAATCGTTCCATACCTTCCACAGCATGTCCAACTTTCAGTTTGAGCTCCCCAACGGCACGGAGGTCAGCACATGTCCAGCGGCCTTGGGCTACTCCTTTGCTGCGGGGACATCGGATGGTCCTGGTGCATTTGACTTCACGCAACACAACGGGAACCCAAACACGACGTCGCCTGTATGGCAGGTCGTCTCTGGAATATTGAAATCACCGAATAAGGAACAAATTGCGTGTCATGGCGCGAAACCTATCCTTCTCGATGTGGGCGAGGTCTCGACGCCGTACGAGTGGACCCCTAATGTTGTTGATGTCCAGGCTTTCCGAGTTGGACAGTTAGTTATCATCGTTAGCCCAGGCGAAGCCACGACGATGGCGGGTCGTCGGTGGAAGAACGCTGTGGCGATGGAGGCTGAGGCGCGATTCAGTAGTGAAGAGAACGCCGAGTCTCCTGTTGTTGTATTGGGTGGGCCGGCGAATAGTTACACCCATTATATTACCACCGAGGAAGAATATAGGTAAGTTGGACTATATACCTGCCGATCAGATTTGCTCTACCGGCTTGGTACTTTCCCTTCCCTTGTTTGTTATTGAAATGCTTCCGTATATCAAGGTTATGGTACCTTGCCTCCTATTATTCCTTGTTCATTATATCAACCAAATCACCCCTCAATCACTAACGCCTTTCCGCACCATAGCATCCAGAGATACGAGGGAGCAAGCACATTATACGGACCACATACCTTAGCAGCATACATCAACGTCACACTATCATGGATCTCCTCCCTCGCCGCCTCCTCCACCACACAACCGCCCCGCGGCCCCGAGCCCCCAAATAACAGCAACCGCAGCCTCTCCTTCATACCCTCCGTTATCCGGGACGGGACGCCATTCTTCCAGGCCTTCGGCGACGTCGTACAAGACGTCTCCGACAGCGGGAAATATCAGAAAGGCGAGCCCGTGACGGTGAAATTCGTCGGCGCGAACCCCAGGAACAACTTACGCCTCGAACGGACCTACGCAGTCGTCGAGAAGCTGACGGCAGATAAGTGGCAGGTCGTCCGTGATGATGCGGATTGGCACCTCGTCTTCCGATGGCGCCGAGTCAGCGAGTTGCTCGGCACGAGCGAGGTCGCTGTCACGTGGGAGACGGTCGACCCGTGGGCTGAGGCCGGGACGTATCGCATCAAGTACTTTGGGAGCGCCAAGAGCTTGGGTGGGAAAATCACGGAGTTCGAAGGCGTTAGTGGGACTTTTGAACTTGTGGGTTAGGTAAGGAGGTATTTTGGTAGTGGGAACCTGGCAAGATAGGTCTATCCTCATTCATTATCAGATATTTCCTTATTTTCTCCTTTCGTATCTCGCTTTGAGATTGAATAGGGATGCGATGATTTGGTCTATGGGGGTGTATATCTCTTTCCGCCAGCCGCATATGGCTTGATCTGGGTAAATTGCAACGGATATCATATTTGTCTGCAAAGACGTGGCGAAAGGGGCTATAGATTGGGTATATTAGTAAAATATAAGACGGCGAAACTTTTCCATGATATCACTGTTATCTGTTGAGTTCCATACGGCCATTTTTTTATCGAAGTGCTAGAACACGGCGAATGGTGTAATGCAAGGGCAGAGGTAAGCGATGATAGGAAAGCAGATATAGATGCACGATGAGTGAATCATTATAGAAAACGGAAAGATATATATTTATTCCTTGTATTCACGCATATCAAGGTTTCGTGAAGGTCGATTCAGGTCGATTATATTCTGTTGCGTTATAACTACGTAATCGTGCAGGACTTATATGCAGGAACACGGATTTATATACTATACTTCCTGGCAGAGTCCTGGCTTAGGGGGGTTACGTTATGATTTGCGCTTCGCCATGATATGCGGTAAACACATGCATCTACCGTATTGCGTGGTTACATTCTTATTGCGACTATAGTAGCGAACAACGCAGACTCTCACGACGCAACGATCGAAACTGTTTATATGATTATGGATATATCTCGAGCCCTGGGCTTAACTTGTTCGAAAAAATGATTGATCCAAGCTCTGTACCGTAGTTATCTTCCGACCGAGTGTGTAAAGGTACGTATATACATACAATGCATGCGTGCAGATATGTTGATGTAGGTATTGTATATATGAACAGGGTATAACGAGGAAGTATTGGGATGATATAGGGGCTTCAGGAACGAAGGCTCGTGGCTGGAGTGAGACTGATGTCACACATCTGATCAAGATTTACGTCAGATCTGCGAGAACATGGGAAATAAGTACTCTATACCACTGATGAAATGTTCAAGCTTGTAAGGAATGCTAACATGGGCCAAATCATAGTGCCTATCCACGGCAGAACATTCTGATAAGGAAGTAGACTTCATCCATTGAAGCAATTTCTTTAAATATGACTCTTCTATCACCAAAAAAAAAAAAAAAAAAAAAAAAACAATTAAAAAAAACACCAAGCTACTCCTGGTTCGAGCACGATCTACTATAGCGTAAATACCAGCTATCTTGACAGCAATCAATCAACGATAAGTCAAAAGTCAAAACAGACATCATACATCTAGTAGTTGCTTATTAACCTTGTTTTCCGCTAATGCAAGACACATCCATCAACCCTATATTAACAATATATCCCAGGACTCACTATCCCAGGAAATGTCACACGGCCAAGACTTCAGAACCGAAGATAACCGATACTACCCTTGGAAGGAAGTGAGGCTATAAGCGATTGGATAAGGACAATCTGTTAGCTGCAAGAAGACCAACAGTCGAGGCATGAATGCCCAACAGAAGGAAGGGAGTCATAAATTGTATGAGGCCTGAATGAGCATAAATAGCCCAGGAAATCTCCCACTCTAGAGAGAGAAAGAGATCAAGGCCCTAGAGACCCCTAGTAGATTATTAATGAATATGACTAAGTTCCAAGCCCTCTAAAAGAGCCCTTGTCACAGGAAAGCAGAGATGAATGAATCACCAGTAGTTCGGCAACATATAGAACAAATACCTAGAACACACCATTTCTCACAAACATATTTATTATATTATATCTAGTAACACCGGATTCTCATAACTATCTATCTATTTATCTCGGCGCTAGCTAGTGAGCATGTATTCGTTCGCTCATCCTGGTCCATGAGCGATGTGTTGATGCATGGGACATGGATGACAATGCTAATGTCGCAGCATACATAATATGCCATATGACCAGATAATCACGGCGAGGCTTATATAAGTGATAGTGAGGAGCATGAAATAGATGATAAAATCGTAACTAGCGTGTGAAGATAAACATACAACAAGATGAATATCTACGCCGTCAGAAACCCATCAGGGGGTGATAAGATAGGATTGATAAAACGTGGGTATCTAGAGACACAGTGCTGGAATGAATCAGTCATGACGGTCGCCGATGACACTGCCATGATCAGATAGAAGCTTCAAAGTCGTAGATAGATCATAGACTATCCGGGAAATATTTCCAAGCCCAAGGAATCGCAGGACATATCAGAAAGACCCGGTCTAATAAGCCCGGAGAGTACGAGAATTTATCTAGCGAGAAGAAAAATTTCGAAATTTACAAAAAAAGATAGAAATAATGTTTTATTAAGCTCATTAACATCCAACTCTAATTATCAAGGCAGCGCCAACAGCGCAAAGTGGCCGCCCACGACGGGTCGTGCCCTGAACGTGATACCGGGATAATCGCCCGACACGCAATCATACAGGTCGGCGAAAGCGTTGCTGGTAGGCGTCTCGTTGATCCAGGTGGCGATGTGCGAGATGAACTCGTCCCGCGTGTCTTCCGCCGCGATGGCCGCGGCCCACATCTGCCAGTCGGTCTTGGAGTAGGTGTGGCGCGTGTCTAGCGGGACGCAGTACTTGAGGGCTTGCGTGGGGTAGAAGTCGCTCTGCATGTCGTAGACGTATTGCGGCACGAAGTCCGAGCCGTAGCCTAGCAGCGAGTTGGCGTACAGGTTGTAGAGCAGGCCGTGGGAGTCGGCGTCGCCGTAAGAGAGCGTCGTGTGCGGAGGATCCGCCGCCTTGTTGATGCCGAAGCCTTGCCACTGGTCGATGTACGAGGTCGAGATGTTGAGGTAGTTGGCCGCGTCGTCGGCGTGGCCCGTCATGTCCGAGATGTCAGCCATGGCACGCAGTCCAATTATACCTTTGATCGCGAGGTTGGTCTGGTTGGCCAACGAGCCGGCAAAGTCGTCGGTTGAGATTTGATCAGCTGGGATCAGAGACTCTTCGATAAGATAGCCAGCCCATTGTTGCAGAATCTCGTAATGTTCTTTGAGATAATCGACATCATCGGTTCGCTGCGCATAGGCGAGAACCATAATGATCATGTTGCCGCACTCTTCAAGCGGTTGTGGTTCGTCCGTGCCATCGGGATACCCTTTCGCCAGAGGGAAAGTACCAAGGTCATGGATGGCATTGGTGTTAGGATAGTGTCCATTCTCTTGGTTCAGGAATAAAGGCTCCAGGAGATACTTGAGGAGATCGGGGTTGGTGTATAGGATTAGGGGAATTGCGGGGAAGATGACATCTACGGTCTGAATATCACTATTAGAGCTGATTTCCTTCAAGAAGACCACTGGGTCCGAGTCAGTTCCAGTGAACTGCAAAGCGCCAAAAGTCTGTCGAACGCTGAGACTGGTAATAGTCAAGTAATCTTGACCGGCGGCAGCAAGAGAATCCGCTGCCACCTTGTCGTCAAGTTCAGTAGCTAAGTCAGCAGCAGTACTATAGTCGTCATAGAAAAAGGTTACCTATGAATGTTTTATTAGTAATGCTGATCATCAGGTAGGACCATGAAGATGCGCTCACAGCAGCGAGGTCAGAGTCAAAGTAGCTCTTCCACAATGCTGGGTAGGTTGTGAGACCAGAGCCTTCTCCCAATAACTGAATAGCATTGTCCTGAGTGAGACCGATAGTAAACAGGGTATTGACAGAGTCACTTCCCACCGAGCCGAGATCCTTAGCGAACCCAAATACAGGCCTTCGAAATCCAGTTAGTTTTTGATCCCGAACTCGAGAGAGACAATGATTGAGACTCACCAGTTATTACTTATGGCCCTGAAATTGGTGTCCTTGGTGTTTGGTAGAACGCCGTCGTTCTTAAAAGCAGCTCTCACAATAACATCGGAGGCACTTTGGTAGGTAAGCTGTAGAGAAAATCAGCACTTATTGGGCAACAAACGATTCAAGCATGAACTCCGATGACTTACTCCGTCTACGTCACCAGTAGACCAATAGAAGGTACCCCAGTTCGGTAGCTCACCCGATTCCGTGATTTCCGTCTGAGTCTGTCTATAGAATGTATGATACGCAACTCCATCAGACGTGCCGTAGTCCCATTCAATAACAGCGTTCAGGTCACCCGATGCCCATTCTGAGATTGCGCGGTGAGTATAAATGTGGGTTGGGGAAGCTGAGCCCTCACTTACCACCAGATACATCAGCATAAAGCTGTACGTCATGGCTATCACCGTCAAGAGAGTGAACATCGACGTCGAGGTACGAGAACGTCAAAGATTGCCTTTTCAGGTCCTTGGGCGTCACAGGGGAGAGGAAAGTAATGTTCATCTCCACCTTGCCGCCAACGTTCATGACGAAATTGCTTCTCGTCGATGTGTAGGAAAACTCGGTCTGGTCTACATTTTGAGAGTTGGGTACGGCGCCCATCCACTGGTATGTAGTCCCATCGACCCGAATCATACCTGTCCAGGCCGTGACATGTCGTCTATGTGACAGAATCAGAACCATGCAAATTTACCACAACAGCAGGAAGGGGTAACGTACGTCCAGAAAAGTGGCCATTCACCAGCAAGATAACCCCCGTTACCGCCATTACTTCCCGCAGGTAACCAGGTGTTCAAGTAGGGTGCCCTAACGGCAAGGGGTATCGCAGGTGGTCTGGCTGGAGAGAATGTAGATGCTCCTAGCGCCAGACCCCCGAAGAGGAACGCGCCAGTTAGAGCGTTCTTAAAACCCATAGCGCACGATAATAGCAAGCAATAAAAAGGTAGGGTGACTGCTTGTTTTATGGTAAGACGTCTGATTGAATCAGACTATCTTGTATATACAAGGAGTGGATATGGGATAACGTCAAGATGAGATGAACCAAACGAGCACGATGCATGGGTTAATATACTATTCATGAACTCTATCACCAAGCCGTACATAAGGGAGCCGTTGGTAGTATCAGCATATAGTAATCAGATGGCCAGGACAAATAAGGAAGGTTTCTCAGACAAGAAAAGGGTCATGAAGGCTAGTTGCACTCTAGAACATAAAAAGTCTAAGTCATGCGACCTGAAGCGGTCGTCTAGAATCGTGTGGGAGAGACATCATGGAATGTTTCTACAAGGGGGGCCAACCTGCGGCATGGGAGCCGACTTGGCTTTGCGGGCAACGATATCGTGCAGATTATAAGAGCCACTGGCCTGTACAAAAGACTTACACTAGGATCTGGGCGACCCGTTCGCCGGGGTGAGCAATGATGTCTCCCTTTAATTGTTGTGACGCCATTGGCATGAGCAAAAATGGTCGTACTGCAGACAATAAGACTGCGGTGTGGGCCGTACGTCCGGCCAACAACAACTAGCCGGACAGATCGCCCAGACGCGGTGCAATACATCTAACTGAAAGCTAGGGAGCACACGCAAGCCAAGCCGTTGAGCTGGTAGTATATGATGATATAGAGGTCCTCATGTGATGGTCTTTGCTGACAGCATTTCACAAAGCTAGCGACCTGTGAGTTTGGTATGATCGTGGGAGCGGAATGGAATGGAATGTGCCCCCCAATCGGCAACCGGGCGCATTAGCATGGAATTGGAAGAGATCAACATATAGATACATACGGACCGGCTAGTGTCTAGCCGCATGTTTCTTTTCTGTATGCAGAAATTTGATGCGTAATTTAAGGAAGGCGAACAAGCCACGTAGGCGCCGGACAAATCAGCAACAAGAAGCACGACTTTGTGATCTCGGAGAGTTCGTGGCGCGTTATGCCTCCGATGGGCGCTTGGATACGTACCCTTGTACTATTCCGTATATTCCATATACAGTAGTAGGCAGTTCGGCCAAGAATGAGATTGATTACCTACAGTTAGGAGGGTGGATATGCCTATACCTTTACTTATGCTGGCTGCCAACGCAGATGGCGACGCAAGGATCATGCGCGATATTCGTGTACCGACAAGTCATACCTACATCGATGAAGCAGCAGGGAACAAGGCTCAGGGCCAATTCGTAGGTAGGTATAGTAATCGATACGGATTGGGCTAGAAAACCGGCTCAGAGCTCAAGCTCGTCACATTCTCGGTACTTCGAAGCAAGTGGCCGCCACCATGCAGGTCCCGGGAGCCCCAGAGTTGGAGTCGGCTTCCGCCTCGTCCCATGAATCGCCAGGCGGCATCCTTTGCAGTCCCGCTCCGCCACAGGCATAGGATTGATACTATAGCCTCTGCTGTTATAGCTTCATTCAGAGCCGGGCCAGGATGTAGGCAGTGCAGAACCTATCGATGATGTGATGTCGTGCTGGGCACAACTGGCTGCTGGAGTGGAAATCCCGGTTGGCATGGGGGGAGCAGCGCTGACATTGCTGTGTGCTGGCACAGAGCGTTTGCTGTGCAAGAGTATCACGGCATATCGCGAACTCACAAGCTCCCACATATTGAGCATCAGGAGCATCATTGAGCACGAGACCTGCAAGTACTGTCTTGTCTTTCTCTTTGGCTGTTGTGTGAGATGGCCAGAGGAGAGAGAAATGAGCAAGTCCCAGGTTCCCAGGCTCTCGGCGGCTTGGCGCAGTGCGGCATCATCGGCGCTTGGCCTAGCGTATTGTGGTAGCGTGTTAGTGAGTGCTTACAGTGGAGGTACTTACGAAACTAGCCCAAACGCACGTAGCTTGATTTGACCCCCAAGTCCCCGCCTCTTCGCAGATTTCGAGATTTCGGATTTCAGAAATCTGGGGAAATGGCTTGGCGTGAGGAGTGTTGTCCGCGTGTCAGTCGCTCATGACGACCTTGTTCTCGATGTTTCATCGTCTCTCGACGGCCCCGAAGACACCACGAGGTTCCCGTCGTTGGATATTCGAAGCGGTGTACAGTATAGTATGGCTGACACTCGTCATAGCACATGCTTCTTTGTTACCCCCTAGGTGTAAGCCAACCCGGGTCACAGGATTTGTGTTGCCTACCCGATCGCTTGACCTGTGGCTTGAGCAAGGGATTGGTCGAAAAAGGGCGACAAAAGTGCGGAGAGAGCCAAGGGCCAGCTCAGATTCCCCTCAATGGCGCTGCGTGTACATGTATGACTTTTTCGTTGGTAACCTCCCCAGACTCAGACGCGATGATACTTTCCTCATTCAGAAGGCACAAGTTCACATGAGGTTGAAAACACAGAAGTGCCGTGCGTGAGATCAGGAGATCTTGTTACGTTGCACTCTCTCATCCCATCGCATTCAATCTCTGACGTACGAGCTTCGGCTTACTTCGTGATGAAGCAAGTAACATCAACGGCAAGCCTTCGGACCGGGAGACAAAGCGCCATTCTCGTGATCAATCCTCAACAGTATGCAACTGTATGCAATTAAGCAAGTATGCAGCTCAGTTATAGCTGTACCACTCCACAGAACACCCGACTTACAGTCGTGAGGCTGGGTTTGCATCCTTCGTATGGGCTTTTGAGCGTCGTGATTGGTCTCGTAATTTTCTGCAAGACGCAGGGATTGTCTCATGTAGGGAGGATCAAGATGGTGACCTGTGATAGAAAATGCATCGTAAGTATGGTGAGCGGTAAGCTGTTATGAGGTCTCAAGGATGTGTAGGCGAATTCGACCGTATAACGGGCAATCCAGGAATCCTACTCAGGGTTTATTAGTATGTTAGTAGCTGATGTTGCGTCATGAAATTGCTTCATGGCGAAAATACTCATTAGTATTCTGGTTCCTCCAGTGTATGGTGTTTGTGACAAACGTATAAGCCATCAGCGGCTTCTTCGCCCAGGTTAGCCATATATATATATAGCTGATAGAATGGGTTCAAACATAATGAACCACGCTCTAGGTATCTCAACTAAAAATTATTGAATATCATCTGCCATCCCATTTGAGTCGGTAGCCGTTTATGATCTTTCGTGGGCATCGCTGGGCCTAGCTCTCTCCTCCTCCTATTTAACACTAACAGTGATCGTAGAATAGGAAACTGGAGAAGACCGGTCTAGGTGAAGATGGTTGATTAGCTACTTGTTTTGATGATGAGTTTTGAGAGCCGATAGTGCAATTGTATGACATACCGAGTCTGGACTGTTGAAATGACTCCATTCCTCAAAGTTCATATAATAAGAGTTCACTCCTTTAGTGACCGCATTATCACTCGCCTAGTACATGCCAATCAACTCATGTAGCGTCATGTTGCGACATGTTCAGATCGTATATGAGCTTTTGGTGTTTAGTTCATTTGAATAAATAGACACGGGCAAGTTGGGGTTGGGTCTATTCATATATGTTGTCGATCCCGTATTAACTCCAAAGAACATAGGCCCGTGACGTCCCCATAAAGTCTTCACGTGGTTACTCGTGATACGAGGATTTAGATTTGCTTCGACGATGTGATTGGATATTCTTTGGTAGAAGAGATGAAGACCCATTAGTATAAGACAAGAATCCCTACAGGACAGATCAGTGGCCATGGTAGTAGGCGATGTAGCAGCAACTGCTGGTGATAGGATTGGGAACGGTAGCGTTGCTGTATGTGGAAGCATGCATGTGCTTAATACTCCATGGCCGTCGTGAGTTAGAGAGATAGTTCGAACGAAACACACGAAATAGCTCTGTACAATAGATCTGAGCATAATCCGATACGCAGTAGCTCCCTATACACTTGTATTCCGCGAAGGTTCACGATTCCATCGACAACTGCTGGGAGCAGTTGACCTGACAGACGGCTTGCTACTATGTATGGCTTGCTCCATTTATCTATATCAAGTGACATCAATAACTCTGCAAGCCTCCTCTTAGCACAGAGCGTGGGCAAGGTCAGGTATTGGGCAGCTGGTGGCTGTATGATCGCCCAGAACCAGACTTAACTATCTGACCTCCGCAAGTATGCACGATACAATACTAGAGCCTTCTAAGTTGGCTCGTCCTCGACATAAGTTTTGGCGTGATGTATTTGACGATGTCGTTGCGCCCTTGTCAAAGCGGTAGCCCAATGAAAATCGATCAGATTGTAGAAGCTTCAATCTCAATGATAATCTTCTAGAACACTTCTGTATGAAGAATAGCACCTCACGATCGCTTGGTTCTTGGCATCATATTGACCCTGATAATATATCTCAGACACGGTCCTAGAGGTGTGAGAGGCACAGCCACTGTCTCATGTTAGCAATGGTGAGGAAGAGAAATGCCTAAAGCAGGAAGCTAACCGACGACGCCAAGACACAACAAAGAAGTGAGCAAAAGCAACTATAGTCGACCTAACAGAGTACCTAGTGAGTAAGATTTTTGAGACGGCCCTTGGCTCGAAAAGCTTGTGTTCTACATACTATGGATACTTAAGAGCCAAGGCTCGCAGGTTTCACTTGAGAGTCGACGAGGAGAAGAGCGATCAAACAGAGGCGCAGTCCAGCAAGAAGCGCCAAGCTGATATGCCCCATCACTACGCGCCTACATTTCCTACATTTCCTACATTCCCTGGCTTCTGGCACTAAATCAATAGGGCGGACTAGCCGACAGGAGTGCCGTCACCCGTCGCTAGCATCTCCGATTGGTGTACCTGGGCAATCAAGCCTTGTATATCTCATACCTACCCATACGGGTGGACTTGCCGCGTTGTGGCACCATCGTCAACTTGACTCGAGGCTCGATTCTGTTCTGCGCATGAATAATCAAGGAGTTCATCCCCCGATCATTAAATCAGATGTACTGCGCCCCGCGTTCGCCGCCCTTGAGCGGTTTTTTACCACCAAACATCATGGGCAAACCCCTGAAGATGAATACATTGCCCCTCACTATCGCCAGGCATTATCATGTACGCAGCGTGCTACGTGGTGTTGATTCGTAGGTTGTCTGCTCAGCACATGTAAACATATCGGCCCCTCATATCTTCCTCGCTCAGATATGGGCTGATATGTGTAGTACGACAAGTGAGTGGTTGGTACCAGATAACTGATTTTGACAGTGAATATATACAGATTTTGTGTGCGCAACGGTTCAAAATGCCCGCGTTGTCACCGTTACTCTGTCCAAGATAACGTGAGAGACGACGCTCTCTAGGGCCAGTCTACGTTCTTCGCCTTCTAGGTAACAGAGGTTTGTTTGAGATGGTGGCGGTGAATTGGCAAGACCCGGGGGCTGTCGTCTAATGTATAACGGTACCTGAGACTCCGCGCTTCCTGGTGGGCGTCGCGAATATTGTCCGGGATCAACTCTAGGTCTGTTGATGATCTCAAACAGATTCCCTCCAAATCTAGTAATCAGCACGAACCCATGTTTCCACCTAGGCTAAACGTCCCTTACCCAACTTCTGACGTAAGGATGGCGATAGGATCCAAATGAGATTGCATCAACCCTGGTTCTCATTATACACAGGGGGCCACTTGAAGCAGCAAATTATGTCTTTAGGAGGAGGAGGCTGTTCGCCTCACAGAGCCAGACATGAGTTGAAAAGAAGGGATTCTCCTCGACTTTACAACCCTCATCACCATGCCCAACTGACTCTTCTGAACTGTCCCGGGTCGGTCGTTTTGAGCCCTTCGTTTCTCTAGCGCTCGGTCGCTTGTTCCTTTCATTCATTTCTCAACACTCCTTGATCTTAGACTAGATATTTGCTCTTCACGGCTTTTCGTTCAACATGATGGTTTCAACTTCTCAGCTCTTCACCGCCGCCGTGGTGTTGTTGGGGAGCAGTCAGGCCCGCCCTCAGCTACCCATACCCAAACAGTTCGCATTTGCCAACACGTCAGCCATAGCAACTGGATCAGCCTCAAGCGTTCCTGAGGCTTCGACCACAGTCATTAAGCCTGCCGAGACATCATCTCTCACTTCATCTTCCATTGCGATCAACAGCACAACTTCTTCTGCTGTCGATGCCGTAACAGATGGTATGGTCGATGGAAAACAAAACCTTGCCTTCGAAGAATACTAACTGTCTGTAGTTGCCTCTTCATCAGCTGTTACCAGCAGCCTGGTAAATACGACAGTAACCAGCGCGCTGGGTAGCTCGACCCTCCCGCCTTTCGCCAATATTTCAACAACCGCGGTTGGGGCTGGGCAAGAACTGACCACGATTACGATATCTGCAACCTCTATCGAAACTATCATCTCATGTGCACCCGATGTCACCAACTGCCCAACCAGCTCAGGGCAAACGGGAGCAGTAACTTCGATCCCAACGTCTTTACCAGAGGGTGTATCAACAGTCCATGTCACTACCGTTGTCGGAATCACAACAACTGTATGCCCTGTTACAGAGGTTCCAGCAATCTCTTCATCGGTCCTGGAGTCTTTTACCTCTTCAACGGCAGCAGCTGAAACTTCAGCCGCAAGTTCAGTTGACGCTGTCGAGACTACCACAGCAGCTGCCGAAACCTCGAAGGCTGGGGAAGAACTAACCACGGTTACAATTTCCGCAACCTCTGTTCAGACCATCATCTCGTGCGCGCCCACCGTTACCAACTGCCCAACCAGCTCAGGGCAAACGGGAGCGATAACCTCAATTCCAACTTCCCTACCAGAGGGTGTGTCAACAGTTCACGTGACTACCGTCATTGGAATCACAACAACTGTATGCCCTGTCACAGAAGTTCCCGCAATCTCTTCGTCGGTTCTAGAGTCTTTTACCTCTTCAACAGCAGCAGCTGAAACTTCCGCCGCAAGCTCAGTCGATGCTATCGAGACTACTACAGCAGCACACACTGTTGTCACCATAACTGTAGGAGAGGGGTCGGAAACAAGTGAAGTAGTAAGCACCATTACCACCGCCACAGCCTCCGCGACCACGTCAGTCTCTCATGTTCAGTCTATCGTCACCGTCACCGTGGGAGAAGGCTCGGAGACGAGTGCAGTAATAAGCACGATCACCGTTCCTGACGTCGCAAGCTCAACCGCGGCGGTCTCCCACATCACCTCTGTTGTCACTCTTACTGTCGGAGAAGGCTCAGAGACAAGTGCTGTTACAAAGACCGTCACCATGCCCGTCCATACCACTAAGGTCGAGCCTATTATCTCGACGGTGGTGTCTATGGTCACTGTCACGATGGGAGAAGGATCAGAAACAAGTGCAGTGACGAGTGCAGTGACACACACGGTTACCCTTACCGATGCTATAACTCACACTGTTCCGACAGTTGTCACTATCACCATGGGCGGTGGCAAGGGCGAGGAAGCCACGACAGTGACAATGACCGTGGATAATCCCACTGTTTCGGTGCCAGCCGTGTCAGTTATCACTAAGACCGTCGGGGGCGCCGTCACCGAGACCGTCACCAGTGTTGTCACATCTACAGTCGTATCCATCTCCACAGTTCAGGGATCGGGTGAATGTGTCTGTACCGCGATGCCTGCCAGTGATTGCGCGCCTCCCCCGCCGCCGCCGCCGCCGAAGCACGCTGGCTTACCCGGCGGTCCTGCTGAGGGAGATAAATACAAGTACAGGCGCTCAGTTCTCTACTGAGCTCTGTGATAGTGTAGACCGGTCTCAACTATATTCTTTTCTTGTACAGTCTTTACCGGCGTGATTTATTCTCATTTTCATCGTTCGACCTCCTAGAAGGGAGCGAAGACGAGTTTTTTGAAAACTAGCTCTTGGCATGGGGTTTGATATCCTGTCTTTCTTCCAAATCCCAAGATTCTTGGGGTTTGTACCCTGGGCATGAGGATACGGTCCTTAGAGAAAGGTAACATGTGAAGACGAGAAATGATATCAAGACAGACGTCAGGCAACGTCTAGGTGAATGAAGACGAGTCAATAGAAGAATATGTATGATAGATGATGAATGGAATTGGTTCACTACCAAGCATGTCTTGCTCGCGAATGTGTCTTTGCTAGGTGATATGCTCACTAACAATAGTGGAAGTGCGAACTCCCAACTGCATTAAGTGCGGCCCTTTTTTTAGCACAATTTCGTATGACGATTGAGGCAACGTTAGTATCTGTTTAAGCATGTTGGTTGCTTTCGTATGATGATTGAGGCAAAGCTAGTATCTGGTTAAGCATGTTGGTTGCTCGGCTGAACTTGATTGGCTTCGATAATGAGGGGTAACACTTGTATGAACATCTCACCTCAGCGTACACATGTGAATATAGTGTTGCGCCTCGAAAACTTTATCACATGAGGAATCTAGTAAATAAACTAACGTATTCGATTTTCAATTTCCCGCATAGAGTAGCTCCCTCGTCTTGAATCTGGGGCGAAATTTCCTTCTGTCTTGAAGGGTTTAAAGGGGATGAGAAACGCAACAGAGTATACACCATTCGCTCTTCGTGAGGCGTCATGTTCACAGTTGCGGATGGCAGGTATGTACTCTAAGTATCCATCAGGTCGACAGGGCATCTTGTATGCTGAGTACACATCCCCTGTCGATCAACGATGATCCAATTGCCAATATTAGTGCGTTTTTGGATCCTACAGAGCCCACTTGCGAGCAGAGTTCAGGTTGCCAGAACTAGTCCCCATTTATCATGAACTAGACTAATCCTCCTGCGACTCAGCGCTGGTGCTGGGCATTGATTAACATGGGGGACGGTCTGTTCAATATACTAAAAATTAGAGTTATTACTCATCCTACAGATGGAAACGTTCTGTCGTGGTGTATTGACTTCGCCAAGGATATGATGTAAGGCATTGAACCAGTGTAAGCGAAACAATTAGCACGAGTGCTTGCCTCTAATACCTTATATCGCACATATACCGGTAATAGGAAGTGTGGGTGTAGGAGCGAAGCGCCAGCGGCGAATTTATCAAGCCATATGCCGATCATCCATAATAGGAGGATTCGTTGGCTGATGGCTTATTCTTCACTCCTCGGGGAAACCCGTCGACCCCAATTGCACCATCGACGCTACCAATCCTTGACTACTAATACCGATACTAAGTGCCTTGTCGTGTTCCACATGAGGCTGTAATGACAAGCGGGTAAGCTGTGTTCTTACGTGTACACGTACGCTCGCGGGTTTTTGGAATACACTGTCCTGCCCAACGGCGTTTACATTACGCCATATTTCGAGACTCGTGAAACATAGTGTGTAGATACTCAGAATCCTAGCAAGCCATCGGGACCTTACGCGGCACCACCCTGTTGCGAACGCGGCGTGTTATCCCATCCTTCCCCTTTCATTACGCAATCTAGGCAAGATGGTGCCAGCTGCGCAGATCAACAGATCCGTCGCCATGGGTCTTTGAAGGGGTATAACTATGGCGCTTCCCAGCCTCGATGGGCGACTTTAGAAAGAGAGAGATCAAGCTGGTCTTCTGTATGCCTTGTATCTCTCACCTTGAATCTGGTTTTCGACTCATCTGCACAACGAACACTTGGTATACTCGGATTGCCACAGCTACATACAACTCGTTCGCTACCATCCATAGGTACATTTAAGTACATCAAATATCGATTGGTCAGAATGGTTCGCCTCTATTTCGCCGTCCTCGCCGCTGTCCTTGTCCAGAGCGGCTCGTCTCTGCCTCTTGAGGAGAGACAGTCTCACGACTCTGAGCGGCCTGGTTTCCCTACTGGTTTCTCTACTGGTTTCCCTACTGGTTTCCCAACGGGCTTCCCCACCGAGTTTCCGACTCCCACGGGACTGCCGACCGGAATTCCTACAGGATTCCCTACCGGCTTACCCTCCGGGATCCCCACTGGCTTTCCCACAGGTAGTGACTTCCCTATCCCGACCGGCTTTCCTCATCACGGCGGCCACCACCATGGCGATCAGGGCCCTAAGGGACATGACGGACAGCAAGGTCAGGATGGCAAAGAAGAAGCCCTCAGGAAGCGCGATGTCCCCGTAACTCCTAAGTGGCTCCGCTGGCTTCCCTTCGAGAACATCAACATGTAAAGATCCTCCTATCTGTTTCACGTCGACGATCGGAGACTCGAGGGGGACTAGGATGAGGAACGGCTGGATCCGATACCAGGCTGGTTCTCCCTCGTAGCAAACAATCAAAGAACACATATACCAGACGACGAGAAGAGAAGAGCACGAGGAAAAGAAAAGAGTCACTTCAAGAGCGATTGGGGTTGGAGAGGAAAGCAAGGAACAAAATTAGGGCTGTAGAAGGTTTATCGAACTTCCTTTCATTTCCATTCTTGTAGACATTTAGGGCCTATTTGAGAAATCTTACTACATTATGCTCCTTCACAATGGGCGGTTGCCAGTGTATAGACAGCAAGCGAGGTATTCGAGCACCAGGTTGACTACTGGAGGACACTTGAATTCATGTTCGTATCGAATATATGGATCTGTCACAACTGTTCAGCTACAGGTTTATACCTTGATATGTGTTGGTAAAGACTTAGCGATGTTCTAAAACGAAATGCTTGAGTTGGGGGGCGTTGGGTTGTGTTCAACAGTTAAAGCGGCTCGAATGTTTGGGAGAGAGGACAGTGATCTGAACGGTAGTCAGGTAGGTGACGTGACGCTTTTGGAGCGCAATTTTGGCACTAGAAGCGTTCCGACGATAACTGAGCCCGTAGCTTATAATACCAAGTTGGTTCTTGGCTCATCGGGCTCTATACAAGACCAACCCTGGCTTTTAGATTACACGAGGATCGCATCCCAGATCTATACATACCTGCAGTCCTGCGACACAGCCATGACAAGCTAGTAGCCACCAGGTCTATCAAACTAGAGGAGATCTACCTACGTTGGCTACTCATGGTCGCCAGTGTGGGAATAATAAGTCTCATAGACGGAGTATGGAAGGCATATCGTTCAGGAAATATTGAATGTATGTGTTGGTATACTTCTCATTACATATTATGCATGTTCCAACACGAATTACCAGTTCGATATTGCAGCATTGTTCATCTGCTTCGTGAAACTCGACCAGACACCTAGTAACAATAGCTCAACACAATTTGATAACTGACATACTGAGTTACCGTACTAGATTGGATCCCTATCATTCTCAAGCACGAGCTGAGCAGCTGCAAGCAATCGCGAGTCAATAGGCAGCCTTTGGGTTTTGGAATCGTATTGATTAATCTCGATATAATCCGCCCCTAGGAACGTGTCTCTGGGGCAAGGCTGCAGGAAACAGTGCCGGCGATAGCAAAGTTGCGGAACTAAGGGATCTCTCTAAGTTGTCAGTACATGGTCCGTATATAAAGTTACATCGTATAACAACTGTCCATGTAGAATATATACAGGTATGGCATGTTAAAACATGTGCCCAGAGAAACTGATGTGTCGCAACCACCTCAAATGTGCATAAAGACGCGATAATAAAGGTGTATCGGACAATCCAGAGATCGGTGCAACTTTTGAGAGGTATATATGTTATTCGAGAAGTATTACGAAAGGAGGGCATCGGTCAGTGTCACAGCCAATCCTGTTTCCCAATAATGTCGTATTCTCATACCTTCACCATTAGTCCACGTACATATTGATCGACACTAAGTGACATAAGGTGCCATAGCTTACCAACATCGAAAATAGACTGCCAATACAGCAGAGCATAGAATACGAGTTCTTCCCTTGCTAATAATGTAACCTTTCTATGACATCGATGGGAATAGTAATAAAACTCTGCTACTTCCTATCTTATGTTCCAAAAAAAAATTCGGCCGTCAATCCCAGGGTTTAGCTATCTAGAGAGTAAAGGGTGCAGTTCGCAGTTTATCTATCTTCGTGCTTCATAACAAAACTCCGTGAAACCCTACGGGCGTAGGCATTCTCCTCTACCTCGGCATAGGCCAGCTAACCGATTGACTCGCCACTGGTGCCCAGCAAGTCCGCCCTCCTCTCGTAACGCATTATAAATTAAAGATATCTCACTCGTTCAAAGAGCACAGCGCCATGTATTAAGACCCAGACCTCTGCCACAGTGAATATGTGTCGGATTCTATATACATGCATATACTCGTGTATATAAAAGTCTAGTTACCAAGACCGTTATAATTCATCTCATGGAGTGACGAGAGGACGCTTCAAGAGATGAAGAGGGAGTAGGAGAGAGACACAAGCGTACAAATTCGCCGATGAGCGACTATTGAGTCGGTACCCCGAGTAGGAAAGCGGATTCGAACGAATGAAACAGTGGTACGGCATACGATCTATCTCAGCAAGACGAAGCGGCAGACACATAAAACAGTGGCATGCTTTAAGGTGAAAGAAAGAAACAAGACACTACATCATCAATGAAAAGCAAGGCTGTGTTCCGAAGTAACTAGAATGGACTGATGATTGATTGTTGTAGATAGCAAGTATTACGTGACATAAGATCTGTTCACAACAAAAACAACATAGTCATGGAGGTGATTAATGGTTCACTAAGACCTACCATGGCGGAGCAATGATTCGTAGCATTTTGTGTCCCGTGAATTATAGTAGTACATTGTCATTCGGGAACCACCTCTGTAAAATCGGAACAACACCATGCATAATACTAATCAAGTTCGACAACGTTTAATGAAACCTGATTACCAACCTAAAGTACAAGATCTTCGCCGTCCGTTGGTCTATGGGAGACGACCAATAAGTGTATAAGGCATGATGCAGAACCAGTGATACAATGCCATTCCCCGCCCCGTCATTACTTATTTCCCCTTTCGTTCTTTTTGCGAACATCGTGATAGTAGAGCTTGACCTCGAGGGCCGTATTCAACCCCATATCCATGATGCATTCCTCCCCTTAAAATATGCTTCACGGCCCGATTCATCGAAGCAAAGGATCGCGGATTAGGTACAACTTGACACCTCTGCCTCGAAATGTATCGGTCGTAGAACCAGTCCCGGTATTGTAACGACTGAGTAGCTTAGCAGCTGACATCGACGGTTGCCTTAGAGTTCATGAGCAGGGCAACAATGAGACCATAAAGACCCAGCACTTCGGCGAAAATGAGAATCAAAATCATGCCGACGAAGAGTCTGGGCTGTTGAGCAGTTCCACGGACGCCAGCATCACCAACGATACCAATAGCGAAACCAGCAGCCATACCGGCAAGACCGACGGCGAGACCGGCACCGAGCTGAATGAAGCCGGTGTACAGGGGTAGCAGCTGCTTGAGACCGTCGGATATCAGGACGGAAACGACGAGACCGTAGATACCAATGATACCAGCCATAATGACGGGGACGATGTCTATAGACTGGTTAGTGAGAAGTCTCAAAAAGTGGTAAAGTTAGCGAGGCGCGTACTCTTGACGATGAGATCAGGTCTCAAGACACCCATAGCAGCAATACCAACACCGGACTTGGCAGTTCCGTACGAGGCACCTAAGCAGGTGAAAACGATGGCAGCGGTACAGCCCATGGCACCGAAGAACGGCTGGCTCCTATGTTAGCGCGCTTTGAAGAGGTTTTGTTCTGCAACACGGAGTTCGTGATGACTCGTGAAGCTTCGTCACGTCAAGGTAAGGGGAGACGAACCGCGTAGACCGGGCTAAACGGGAAGCAAAGTTAGCAAGTTGACAACATGGCGATAAGGAAATAGATGTGTAGAGGTCAGGAAGCATCAATGATGGCGTGAGAGCCGGTGTTGATGGGGGCTGAATAGGAGGCGCAAGAGTCAATTACGTACCAAGCTTCTGTGTATTCAGACATTGTGTGAGGTGGTATAAGAACTTGGTTCTTTGGCGGATTGATTGAAGAAGCTGGGACTTGTGTTATCGAGAAGCTCGAGTCGATGGCGTCGTGCCTAGTGGGATATCGAGATGGATGGATGGATGGGATGAAGGAATGACGGCGGAGGCGAGAGATGGTTTGCAAAGTGCTTGTTTTCGAGGTAGGTTGAACGGTTAGTGCAGGTGCTGAGAGGGCCAGAGCTTCAAGGTTTCGTTCGCTGAGCCTGCAGACAGGGAATCTGGCTGATTACCTAATACCGCGCTGACCCACCCGGCCCACCCGGATCGGATTAATCTACCTCCACCAACCAAAAATTGGTCTGGCCCTGGAGCTAGTCAAATAATTATTGAGATTCATGCGTTGAAGCTTCAAGTTTTGTCCGAGCTCGAAACCTACACATTTCCCCCTTCGATTTCCAATAACCCACCGTCTCTCTCCGCGCAGGGCGAGCCAACGCAAGGAACCCTGATCTCCTTCATCAAAAACGCAAAAATGTCTGGTCAAGAAAGTGCTGGTAAGTTGCAAGTCTCCGGCTGTTTCCTATTGAAACCACTCTTCGCCTCGAGTGCTCGTCCTTCCATCTACGTTTCTAACGCTTCTACCTGAAAACCTCTGTTTGCTGACGAATGTCAACCAGCGTGGCCCATGGCCGATGGTGCCCTCACCCAAGAGCTTCTGGATCTAGTCCAACAAGCCAGCGTACGTAGCCATCCAAGATGAGAATAACGAATAGAGAACGACTAACCCAGATCACAGCACTACCGCCAGCTGAAGAAAGGTATTTAGGATGAGCATGTCGTACGAACAAATAATGACTAACCTCCTACTTCAGGAGCGAACGAGAGCACCAAGGCTTTGTCGCGAGGTGTCTCGGAGCTCATCGTGTTGGCCGGTGACACGCAGCCATTGAGCATTCTACTCCACCTTCCGAACCTCTGCGAAGACAAGAACGTCCCGTACGACCGATACTCGAATCCCTTATTACAACAAGAAACTAATAGATTTCTAGATACGTCTATGTCCCTTCGAAGGTAGCCCTCGGCCGCGCATGCAATGTCAGCAGATCTGTGATTGCGTGAGTTCTACCACTATTAGTTCCTACAATTCCAGAGCCTCGCTAACAGTATCTTAGCGTCTCCATCACTACCAACGAAGCCTCTGAGCTTCAGAACCAGATTCGCGCCATCAAGGACAAGGTCGAGCGTCTCATGATCTAAGATACCCCATAAGTGTATAGGAGACGTTGCATATAAGGAAAACTATAGAATTATAAGTCATGGTCGGTCTGGAGTTGCCAATTTGTGCAGTTTGCTTTCGGAACAAGCTATGGACGGAGAGGCTAAAGGGGAGTAAGGAAGCTAAAAGAAGGCCTATAAAGAGTGCATTCCAGTCTCACTTGGGTTAAATCCATCCAATAACAAGCGAAATTCGAAACATCATGCGCGATTCTGGTTGATTTGAACATGATTGGCAGCGTTCCCTTGTGCATGCATGTGATGGACAGAAATGGCCAGAAAATGGGCTCTGGCTGCCGACCCCGGCCTCGAGCTGACCTGATGCGGGAAGGTCTCAGGCGGAGTGACGACGTCAGGAGGGGCGGGCTCTTTCATGGGACCCCACCAACGCCTGCATCAAGCAATCACCATCCAGCTTCAACTCACGCACGCCCGTCTAATTTGCCTAGCACCATGGATCCCACAGTCAGCGTCGCTATCGTCGAACAGCCGCCCAGCTAAATAAACCTCAGAGATGAATGTTGTTTGTTGGCTTGGTCATTTATACAGTACCGTCGCATGCTATCCATTCACAGGGGTCACGATTGCTTCTTCCACGATGAACTACTAGATTCTGGATATAATTACTCCTGCAACCATCATTGAGCCCATGATTCCGGCTTGTTCGTCGTGCAATGATTGTCTGCCTCTGCAACACTATCCTGCTTGAGAAATCATCTCGTAATTCCTAGTAGAATGCCGGGTCTGGCGCGGAAGTTCCTCATCTGTGCCACCGTTGACGGCCTTATAATCCAACCACTTGCTACCAAAGGGCAGACCCGTACCCCAGCACATCCCATCAAAGTTAAGTATGGAGATGCGACCATATCCCCAGTGCCGCGAGATCAAGCTATAACACTGGACCCCAAGCTTGCCAAGTCTTCCTTTGAGGCCTTCGGTATTATAGGTGCGTGCGCACTCCAGTGGCCCGCAAGTCAGGAGCTCTGAGCTTGGAACTGGCAACAAATCTTGGTGTCGCCAGAAGGTCCTCCTCACTGACACTCATCCCTTTTCGTGCGCTCTAGGACTATTCACAGTCGCTCGCCTCAGCTACCTCATCGCCATCACTGGCCGGGAACAGGTTGCTCAGATCCGTGGTTATCCTGTTTATGTCGTCACCGACGTTGCTGTAACACCATGTACCACCCAGAATGAGGCCGAAGCTGCAATAAGCCACACAGCTCTCAAAATCCGCCGCAATTCCACTGAGAAGTCTGGGGAGGAAACCTTGGATGCCGAGAGCGACGCTGAGGGATCACCCTCTGCGACAGGAGCAGAGGACGCTGAGGACCCCGATGCACAGAGTGATCACGAAGCGTCTCCTCCAAATGAGTTGGGAGAGCAGCGGGGAATTGCCCAAGATGTATTCAAGAAGAGTGGGAGCTATGGTCGTTTCGCCCAGAGATGGTTCGGAAGTAAAGGCTGGATGGCTAATCGTCGACGAAGTGTTGGGCTAAGTGGTGCCGGGGCAGCAACTATGATTGAAAGTGAGGATGCAGTCGGTCAGATTCAAAAGGACAACGATGATAAAGGACTAAGCAAAGCAGTTTCGCAAGAGAAAGCTGACGCGCCATCTGACCCGACAGCCGGTGAGAGTCTTGTTCCCAAACTCTTACGCATGGCGCATATATGGTTTGGAAGCTCAAGAGGCTTTTTCTTCTCATACGATCTAGATCTTACGAGAAGCATTGCTAGTCGGACCGCCACCGTCTCCAATATTCCACTTCATAGATTAGCAGATCCTATGTTCTTTTGGAACAGAAGCCTGCTCAAACCCTTCATGGCTCTGGGTGACGAGTCACTCCTCTTACCTGTAATGCAAGGTTTTGTTGGCCAGCGATCTTTTGTACTTGATCGGAATCCGCCTCAGGTTGATTCCCAGTTGGATTCGATGGAAATGAATGATATGTCAGGGTCTGTGTCTGGATCACCACCTCAAGAGCGAGCATCCGTTGACCTCAAGCCATCCGAGAAAAGATATTTCATCACCATTATCTCACGTCGGTCTGTCCAGCGAGCAGGTCTACGATACCTACGCAGGGGCATTGACGAGGAAGGCTTTACAGCTAATTCGGTTGAGACAGAACAACTGCTTTCCACCCCTTCATGGGGGGCTTCATCCAAAGTTTACTCTTTCGTACAAGTCCGAGGGAGCATACCTCTGTTCTTCACCCAGTCACCTTACTCCTTCAAGCCCATACCAGTTCTCCAGCATTCGCCAGAGGCCAATTTCCGTGCCTTTTCCAGACACTTTAATCGAATGGGGGAAAAATACAGCGCCATACAGCTCATAAACCTGGTTGAACGCCATGGCCCTGAAGCTATTGTTGGCAGCGAGTATCAAAAGAATGCGGAGAGATACAATCAAGAAAATTCAGATATGGGTCGGTCTTTAGCATTCGAATGGTTCGATTTCCATACTGCCTGCCGAGGAATGAAATTTGAAAACGTGAGCCAACTACTGGACACGTTGGGAACAAAAATAGAAAAATTTGGGAGCACTGTGGAGTTAGATGGCCAGGTGGTTGAGAAACAAAGTGGTGTTCTACGAACGAATTGTATGGACTGCCTAGACCGTACGAATGTCTGCCAAAGTTCATTTGGGAAATTGATGCTTGACTTGCAGCTCAAGGAGGAAGGATTTGATATGTCTGGTCAGATTGATCAACAGAATTCTTGGTTCAATACATTATGGGCCGACAATGGTGATGCTATTTCAAAACAATGTAAGCCACTACTCCTGTATCATTCACGAGCAGTTCACTGCTGCGAGTGACCACCTACTAATGAAACGTACCATACAGATGCCTCAACGGCTGCGATGAAAGGTGATTACACTAGAACGAGAAAGAGAGATTATAGAGGCATGGTCAATGATCTTGGTCTCTCTGTCACCAGATTTTACAACGGGTAAGAAACTCGCGCTGGATTTAGGAAGATTGGCTTTATAACTAACAAACTGACCAGGATGGTGAACGATCATTTTAGCCAAGCGGCCATCGACTTCTTCTTAGGCAACGTTACCTCGTTAGTATTTGATGAATTCGAAGCGAACATGATGACGAAAGACCCCGGAGTATCGATGTCGAAAATGCGCGATCTGGCCATCGAAACCTCCCAAAAGATTGCCATCGAAGATGAGAAGGAAGACTTCATAGGTGGTTGGACACTCCTAAGCCCATTCGTATCTGACACGATCAAGACCTTTCCATTCGAAGAAGTCGTCCTACTACTCACGGATGTGGCGTTGTATCTCTGCAGATTCGACTGGAAACTGGACAAAGTGTCCTCTTTCGAGCGGGTAGAGTTAGCACACGTCGCAGGGATCACAGTCGGCACGTACATCACTTCAACGATTTCCCCCGCCGAAGCGGACGAGGCAAAGAACGTCGGCATCGTCGTCACGTACGAGCCCGGCAAGACGGACATCAAGCGGACCAACACGCGGTCGTTGTCCAGCTTACCTAGATCCGGCCAAGCTACATCTTCTTCCAGCGTTCTCAACCAAGGGATCCTCGGCTCAATCACAGGGAAACAAGAGACCTCGGGACGAAAGAAGAAAATCGCACTGAAAGCCCTCTACGCGCACACCGCTATCTCCGAAGCCCAGGGCGTCAAACGCATGACGGAGACCGAGCAAGTCAATGTCATCGCTGCCGAGATCGAACGGCTTGTCGCAGCTTGTCAGCCGCCTCCTCCCGATACTAAGAAAGCAGCAGAGGCCGGGACATCTGAAGATGGAAGGACTGGGTTGATACGCAGAGAGGATATCATATCCCTTGAAGAGGCGAAACGGACTACGGGACTGTTCGAGCAATTGGGCCATACTATTAAGAAGTTGGTCTGGGCTTGAAGCTCGGTAGTCGGATGATGGTTGTTGCTGTGGGGTTGTAAATTGGAGATGGGATGGAAAAGAGTATGCTTTAGAGTATATATGTGAGTAAAAGTAGAGTTTTGGTTTTAGACTTAATAGTATTTATTATTCTATGCGAACACTGATAGCGCGTCTGAGCATTGGACATTCGAAATGTGCTGAGAATTGCATGGTATTGGGTGCATAGCTCATAAGTAGTTCTCCTTTTTCAAGCATGTCGAGTTTGTTAGATTCGAGCATGAAAAGCTGGCAAGAGTGTTCCGAAGGGTTAGCTAAGCATGAATATTTTCACATTGTCTAGCCCTGGGTCATTTTTGGCTGGGCGAAGGAAATACGCTGTTACATATCTCTGGTTTCAGAACGTTGTTACATACCTTATGGGTGTTGAAGTATTGCTCTGAACGTGAGAAACGGCCTTAAAAATAGCTACTCTTATCACAATGGTCCTACTTATGGAGCAATAGTCCATTTCAAGACATCGTGACGAAGCTGTTGGGAGTAGTATTTAATGTCGTGACCGCCCGTAGGCTCCAAGCACCTGCAACATCACGGTCCCTGAACATAGATAGATAAGATATCGGTATAACCTCTTTTATGTGTTGCTCATGGTCACAAGCATAGTATCTACTGTAGAGTTTGCCGCTGATATTTCCAATTGGTAACGTCTAACTCTAGCCTAGATCTTTCCAAAGCTCTGAGTTAAGTACCTACATATATAGGTAAATAGTCACCGAGATACATGACCAAACAAGTTTCCAGGTATACCATATGCTACTGCAAACTTAGTACAACCCCCTACCCCTTAACTGCTACACGCGCGGTACAAATGCATCTGATACCGCATATTCTCCAGCGAGATCGGATACCGCAAGCCCTCGGCGACGCGGAACCAAACAGAGTCATTCGACTCTATCTTCTCCCATCTCTGCTCCGATTTCTCTGCCTTTCCCTGTTCAACATCGTTCTCTGCCGTCCGTCTCCTCGGTCTCGAAGAGTCGAGAAGCGTGTGGTCTAGCAACCATTGCATCGGATACCGCTTCGCTTCCTTGCCCACCGCGGCCTCGGAGTAACTCCCCGGGCTGTCGATCACGAGGAGCAAAGTTCCCGATCGCGCGATACTTGATAGAAGGCGGAGGAACGACGTCGTTCGCTTGATTCCGCTCGTGGTGTACAGCTCGTTCAGCGTGAAGAGAAGGGTTATTAGAACAGGGCTGTTATCTCGTCCTGCGATGAGCTCGCTTAGTTCCCCTTCGCTTAGGGATAAGATGTCTTTCTGTGCGAAGCTTGACTGGAAATGTTGGGGCGATGTGAGAGGCTTGTTCGCTTCTCGCGCTGCGGCGCTGGCGTAGCGCGATATCGGCGGCGTTGTCGTTAGGGCTGTCTGCAGCCTTTGGACTACGGATGCCCATGGCCCTACGTCAAGGAGAGTGATTTCCGCTCGGGTGGAAATCGTGCTGGCGTTGTGGCTTGATATATAGTCTGCGAAGGCAACGATTTCGGCTGCAGCGCCGCCTATTGCGAGGATTCTGAGGACCTTGTCATTTCCTTCCCTTTCGCCATCTCCCTGCTGTATTGCCGCCGTTGATCCCCCTAGTTCGTCTAAGACTGCGTCTCTGGTCTTTTCATCCAGGGCGCTCTCGCCATGATGAGTTGAGGAACCTCTGGTTTCGAACTCATCGCCCCCCTTATGCGAGTCATTGTCTTCGGCGTTATGGTGTGAATTCACGCCTGTAAGGTTACTCAAATGCGAGTCGAGCCCACGGAGAACCTGCCCGTAGCATAGTGCTCGCGTGGGCGACCAGCGCGCCGCATAAACGTCCAAGGCCGCCTCGCGCGCAAACGCGCCTTCGAAATCGCGGTTGAATAGCGCCGCTTTCACCTCCTGGAGCTGGGCGCTGAAGTCCTCTGCCTCGAGCACATCGCGGAACGTGTCGCTGAATATGTTCAAGAGGATCTGTTGCCGTTTCAGCTCTTCTTCAGATTCTGAATCTTCTATTTCTTGCTTGGGATTTTGCTGAGGATCTAGCTTTTGATTTCGTGTCGTGCGTAAACTACTGGTGGCTCCTCTTTTCCCAGAAAATTTGGTGGGCGCTGAGTTTTTCTTGCCAGCCATTATTATATGAATCGAGTATCGGCCGAGCACCACACTGGTCATATATACATGTGTTGTTTGACTTATTACTCAATTGCAAAACGCGTATGAACTAGTCGGATGAAAACCTTTCAAACGTTATGATTCGTCTCGAGCAATTTTGGAGAAGTCTTTTTTGATTCGTTATCTTTGAATCATCAAACAATCCACCAAATCATACAAACCACAACATTATTTCATAGTCTGCACAAGCTCAAAATTTGAACTTCGACTGTAGAACAATTCATGTAATCTTTTTCGATGCACCAACTGACGGGCAGCAATTGGAACTGTAGGGTAGCAGTACACTCTTTAAAATAATCATATCGCCTTCACTGGAGATGGCCAAGCCACCGAAGACTGGAAGAGAACCCAAATGCTAAATGCTTCAGCCTCATAGATTAAACGCATAATCATTGCCATCTAGGCAGTTTGAGATATTGGTGATAAATAGTTTCAACGAGCTCTTGAAGCTGAAGCTTAGCATGCGCGACGACCAAGACCCCCACTGTCCCCCATATACTACAACAAATCGTGGTGTTGGTTATGTGACACATAAGATTTCTATTTCCTCGCAAATGGCCAACTTCCTCGGAGTTGTGATTTCAAGCTTCAATCTTTTCCTATTGTCCTTTTTGGTTCTTGAATATCTTCACTCTTTTTTCGACGTGTTTCAAGAAATATCTCGGCATTCAATTAGAAGACACCTGTGACACTTACTGTAGGATGAGTGGGGGTACAAAAAAATCACTTGCGCGTCTACAGTCCCTCACCCACCAGTCAGTCACCGGCACGTTTTCTCGACTACGGTTTGGCTTGAACAAATGTGCTGCCTTTTGGCTTCTTCTGATTTGTAGCCTCCTCCAATACCTGAGCTGACCTTACTCTGGTTATCAACTCCGAAACAATTGTCTTGGCGTGAGCCCCTCATATCAAATCGGCGAAACCGGCCGGACGATTAGTAACGTCAATAGATAAGGAGAATTTTCCGCGACCGTACTGACTTTACCTGAGCAACTGAAAAATATTAGGCTAAATGGAGTTACGGCGTTCATGCCTACCTAACACAAAGCTTTGGGTGCCCATCGAAAGCAATACTTCGAGCACGTGGGACCCAGTTTCCAAAGTGCCTCGTCTCGAGGCTGAGTTGTAAGGGGGGTATGGCTAGCCAGTCTTTTGAGAGGGAATTTTAAGAGTAAACACCGACAGATCCGTCAGTCAGCCTTGATCCTTTTAACTTCAGTAACAGATTCACATCACATGCCTCGAAGAAACTGAATTTTTATGTGTTTATGCGAGCTGTGCGTGATGGTTCCATACGAAGTTCACAGAAAGCACGCAAATATTTGGAATCTCGGCTGGGTGCTTCTACAACAGCAGCGAAACTATGTCGAAGCTGTAGTAAGTCTACACATAGGCTACCCAGGCAATGGAAAGGGTCAAGCAGGGTTGAGACGAACAAAAGTTCCTATTTAGGACCAATGTTAGCCTGCTAGTCGTCATTCGAGAAAAAAAAAACACCCAAAAACTTAGTGGCCAGAGACACGATACAAGCGTTGTCCAGAACATCACCCAAGGTTCAAGGGCGGTCTTACTCACTTTAGGTATTGTACCTGGAAACTTGAAGCTTAGTGCCTGAATAGCGGTAGTAGGCTGGTAGATATTATGGGTGGGTTCGTGACGTCGACAGATGTCTTTTCTAGTGTTGTTCACTGGTTGATTGAACTCGAGTTAGTGGCAACGGCGTAGATTTACGACATCATTACTCCCAGTTCTCCTAGGTATCTGTCCTAGGTGTGTACAAAGAGTTGGTATCAGGTTGCAGGTTGCCTTACTAAGTACCATGCGCGATAGAGGGGCACTACGTCTCTACCTACTTAGGTAGATAGGTATGTAGATATCTACAGTAGAATAGCGGTCGTGATGCTGTACCTGGAGCCATTGGGAACTGTGCCCCACCGACATACGAATATGTACTGAGGCCAAATCATGTTCCAGAGAAAGTTATTGTGTAGCAGATACTTTGCCAACGTCGCCTCCCTCTCACCTATGTCCTAGTGTGAAGCGTGCTGGGAACGCGTATTGCTAGTAGAAACTACCTGCTTGCATACAGTAGACAGGTAGGAGATTAATCAGTTAGGTCCTGTACATAGCGACTTGCAGTACCTACCCCCACCTGACGATCTCACTAATCGTGTCAGAGGAAGTCATCCCGAACCCACCTCTCCCACCTCCCACCTCATCAAGCAGAATCAACTTTTCCCACCTCTCCCTACTACTTCTCCTTACGTATTCCCTCTTCTTTTTTCTCCCACAATCACATCGTCACATCTCCCCCTTCTTTCAGTAATAGACAAGAGCTCTGTCCAGTAGATCTGCAATCATGGGCTACACCGACACAGATTGGCTTGCCATCAACACCATCCGCGTTCTTGCGGTAAGCACCCCGCCCCCGCCCTGCTGCTGCGTTTACTGCCCCGCCATCGCAAACTTGTTCACAGCTCGTTGAATTTCCCGCACATCCGCCTCTCTGAGCAGCAATCAAAGCAATCAACCCTTGAAATGACAAAACTGATGACTCGCAGGCTGATGCTACGGCTCATGCCAACTCGGGCCACCCGGGTGCGCCCATGTGAGTAGCTGCTCGAGATATCTCCCTCCGTAGAAAACATCATGGCTTACACAGTTCTAGGGGTATGGCACCTATTGCCCACGTCCTTTTCAACAAGTTCATGAAGTTCAACCCTAAGAACCCCGACTGGGTTAATCGCGATCGATTCGTGCTTTCGTGAGTCGCCTTCCATTGAAGTTGGGTTTCCCCCGTAACAACAAAGCTCACCTTTGACATAGAAACGGTCACGGTTGCATGCTCCAGTATGCCCTTCTCCACCTATTCGGCTATGCTGTCTCTATGGATGACCTCAAGGCTTTCCGAGTACGTGCCCCAAATTTCTTCGATTGAGCGAATTGGAGCAAAAATTAAACGTGGTCACAGAGCATTGACAGCATAACCGCTGGTCACCCCGAGTCCCACGACACCCCTGGTGTTGAGGTCACCACCGGACCCCTCGGTCAGGGTATCTCCAACGCTGTTGGTCTTGCTATCGCCGAGGCCCAAACCGCTGCCAACTTCAACAAGGACGGCTACAAGATCATTGACAACTACACATATTCTTTCTTGGGTGATGGTTGCTTGATGGAGGGTGTTTCTTCAGAAGCTTGCTCTCTTGCTGGACACCTGCAGCTCGGCAACCTGATTGCCATCTGGGATGACAACCACATCACCATTGATGGAGACACCAACTGTGCCTTCACCGAGGATGTTGTGAAGCGATATGAAGCATACGGCTGGCAGGTCCTCGTCGTCGATGACGGCGACAACGACCTTGAGGGTATGGAGAAGGCTCTCCGGGAGGCTCAGTCCGTTAAGGACAAGCCCACACTAATCAAGCTGAAGACAACCATTGGTTTCGGCTCCTTGAACCAGGGCACCCACAGTGTGCACGGTGCCGCCCTCAAGGCCGACGACATTAAGCAGCTCAAGTCAAAATTCGGATTCAACCCTGAGGAGAGCTTTGCTGTTCCCCAGGAAGTTTACGATCTCTACCATAAGCACTCTGCTGAGGGTGCCGCCGCCGAGGAGGAGTGGAACAAGCTATTCGCCGAGTACGGCTCCAAGTACAAGGCTGAGCATGCCGACCTTATCCGTCGTGTGAAGAGAGACCTTCCAGAAGGTTGGGAGAAGCATCTCCCTGTTTACACCCCTAAGGACGACGCTATCGCATCAAGAAAGCTCTCTGAGACGGTCCTCTCAAAGATTGAAGGTGTCCTTCCTGAGCTCATCGGTGGATCTGCTGACTTGACTGGCTCCAACTTGACCCGTTGGAAGAGCGCCAACGACTTCCAGCCTCCCTCGACTGGTCTGGGTACCTATGCTGGTCGCTATATCCGCTACGGTGTCCGTGAGCATGCTATGGGTGCCATCATGAACGGTATCGCTGCTTACGGTACTCTGCTTCCCTTCGGCGGTACTTTCTTGAACTTCGTATCTTACGCTGCCGGTGCTGTTCGTCTCTCCGCTCTATCCCAGGAGCGCCTTATCTGGGTTGCTACCCACGATTCCATTGGTCTCGGTGAGGATGGTCCTACCCACCAACCTATTGAGACTCTGGCCCACTTCCGTGCGCTGCCCAACACAATGGTCTGGCGCCCTGCCGACGGTAACGAGACTTCGGCTGCGTACTACGTTGCCTTGACCTCAAAACACACACCAAGCATCATTGCTCTCTCGCGACAGAACCTTCCTCAATTGGAAGGCTCTACTATCGAGAGGGCTATTAAGGGTGGTTATGTAACCCACGAGGTTGAGGGTGCCCAGATCACACTCGTGTCAACCGGCTCTGAAGTTTGCATCTGTATCGACGCCGCTAAGTACTTGGCCGAGAAGCACAACATCAAGGCCCGTGTTGTCTCTATTCCTTGCTTCGAAGTCTTCGACACACAATCCAAGGAATACAGACTCAGCGTTCTCCCCGACGGCATCCCATCACTGTCTGTTGAGGTCATGAGCACAATGGGTTGGGAGCGATACACACACGAGCAGTTCGGTCTGAACAGATTCGGTGCTTCTGGTGCTTACAAGGATGTTTACAAGGCAAGTTGGAAGTCCCGATTTTTGATAGTCTAATTACTAATATTTGATTATAGAAGTTCGAATTCACCCCCGAGGGCGTTTCCAAGCGTGCTGTCGCCACCATCGATTTCTGGAAGGATGTGCCCAACGTCCGTTCGCCCATCAACCGTGCATTCCAGCAGATTATTTAAACGTGTGGGAGGAGTGACGATACCAACTTTGATGTATTAATGATGCCGTACGTATTTAGTACGAGCCAGGATCTATAGACAGCCAAAATGAAAAAAGTTTCCAATTAGACAACATGGGTGTCCTTTATCATTAAACGCTGTAAATTTCATATCGCTATGAACTGACGTACTAGATTTCCGTGGACTCAATGCCATCTTGTGAACGGCAATACATCTTCTGAATACGTTGAAAACGCTTCAGAGAAGCGCAAGCGCTGCCTTACATAAGTAAAGCCACTTAGAAGTGTTATCCAAATCTTCCCTCTGACTTATTCCCATGAGGATAGGCCATCTGATGTTGAACGCTCGAGTTTCAGCGAAGTCATGATCATGATCATGCATGAAAAACGAAGACGAGTTGGCTTGCACGGGATGGCATTTCCCTCGACCGTTTCTTATTTACATCCATATGGGATGCTATGTAGGTATGTATTCAGCCAGGTGTTTAGCGAGTTAGTTAGATAGATGTATTTATTGCTGTCCTGCGATGGATGGAGGCTCTTGCTTTTGGACGATAGTAGCATTCCGAGAAATCGAGAGCCTACCTAGGTAGGTATGCATTTATCTATCTTGGTTTAGGTGCATAGGTAGATATGTACCTAGGAACATAGATAGATAGATAGAGTTTCGACTAGATAGGCTCAGCTCAGTCCCCCGCCTGCGTTCTGGACTGTTGCTGCTGCTGCTGGCCCGGACGTGGATTGTTACCTCCCTGGTGTAACTCGAACCATCGGCCTTGGATCTCGCGGCCCACGCGCTCTAGTCTCGCCGCTGCGCGGCGCGCCTCGCGGCTTGAGTCTGAAGACGGCGCCACTACGATGCCGACGAGCATTGGGGGCGCGTTTGGATCTTCTTCTTCTTCATCGTCGTTGTTGTCGTCGTTATCGTGGGGGTACATGGGATGTTCGTCTTCGTCTTCTTCGTCGTCGGGATGTGATGCGCCGCCGCGGAGATGCGGTGTTTCCGTCGTCGCGTATCCTGAGCGGTTCTCGACGGCTAGGGCCAGGGCGCCTTGGTGCTGCGGACGGGATTTGCTGAGGCCGGTATTGCGTGATGGAGGGGTGGTGCGGTTGGGGAATGATGATGATGATGATGATGAGTGCGGACTTAGGAAGGTCTGGAGGAATACGGGCCCGGAGCCGTGTTCGACTATTATCCGTTGTGGTATGCCGAGACCTAACCTCTGCGCGGATTCGTGCGCGTCGAGGGCGGTGTGCGAGAGCGTTGTGAGAGCCTCGAGGTGCGGCGATTGTGCGCGGGCGGATGTTATGAGTGGTGTTAGGGCGCTGTCTGCTAAGTGGAGGGCGAGGTTGGGATGTTGCGAGGGGAGGTTCGCCATGTTAAGCTGTATTTTGCTGTTGAGCCTTTTGCGTTGGAAACGGTAAGGCTTCTGCTTTGTCGTAAATATGCTTGTTTGCTGATTTCAAGATTGCGGGCGAGTGGGCTGAGAGCTTTTGGAGGGAAGCTGTATATTTGTAGCTGCAACCGCCTATCGTACCTAGGTAGGTACATACATGGAGGGAAATATCCAGATGTTTCAGAATATTAGGGACTTTCCTGCTTCTGCGTTCGGGAATAATTTCGCGCTTGAGGTGACTTGCACGAGTAATCAGATGATTATGTTCGCGATGAGGTTCACAGGTAGGTAGATCATTGATGATCCGCAAATGTGGAATGATGGCGCGGGCGGGAAGCATGGGCCCTGGGCGCTCCCAAGATCTCCACAAAGCCTGCGCTGACGTAGATGGCTATAGCGCCTTGCTGGGCCCTGTAGTGGGAGCGCACCTGGCCCTGCTACCTAAGGTCGAGCTTTAGCTGTTGCTCTTCCTCCTTCTTATGTCCTATAATCATCTCTGGTTGCACCTAAAGGTAAGCTGGAAGTAGGCCCGTGTGTGTTGCTCTCTCCTGTCCTGGCTGATCACCTTGGCTTCTTTCGTCCCTGCATTAAGACTGACAATTCCCGAGGTCCACATAAGCTCATTCCAACACCGCGCTCTGTTGCTGGCTTGCAAGATTCCGGCTTGACGCTTCTGGCGAGGCAGCTAGTTACGAGGCGGTGATGATGCTGATGCCCATAGCAAGAGCGCGCCTTTAGGAAGAAGCCCGTCAGCAGAGGAAGAAGCGGCTGGACGCAACAGCTCCAGAGATGAACGGCAACGCCAGCACTAGTCGTTCGGCTCTTGGCAGCACAAGCGCTCGCGGCTGGAGTGGTAGTGGTAGCAATGGCAGCACGATGACGACGAACGCAGCCCCCACATCACCGCGTAGAGCTAGGCGACCAGTCCGTAGCGTAAGTGACTATCCCCAGTTTGAACGTCCCTTTATCAAGCACCGTCAAAGTCGCTTGCCCGAGGACTTACATGAGTTTTTCTGCATTCCCTTTGTCAGACCATTGTGCCTCTGCCGACCTGGCAAGCCATCCGAAGCGCTCGCTGTGCTAACGTGATGCCCACGCAACGGCAGATGCTGCGCAATGGCACGTGGATCATCCCTAGCACTGGTGAACGAACGAGACGTACCTTTACCCTGCGGCACCCTAGCTTCGATGGCCCCAGTAACGACGATGACCAGATACGATCCCTCACCAGCGCTGCCACCCTGCGCGACAAGGCTCGCAACGCCCTGCATAACGTATTTGTCTCTGCCAATCTATTATGGGCTTGGTTCAAATCTCCTAAGGGGAGGGGAACGATAAAATGCTCCATTGCGTACTTGTTGGCCAGTATGGGCACCTTCTGGCACCCGGCTGCTCAAATGCTTGGACCGATGGACGGTAAACATATCGTGGCGACTATTGTCACATATTTCCACCCTGCAAGAACGGCTGGCTCGCAGATTGAGGCCGTAACGATCGCCATTATAGCTGTTTGCTATGCCATGCTCATAGGAATGAGTTCCATGGCCACCTCGGTGCTTTTTGGCGACGTACTAGAGATGGAGAAGTTCTCGTATGCACTAATTCTCATAGTGTATATTGGCTTCGGTTTGGGGTTTGTTGGCTGGGTCAAGCAGAAACTCAACAACCCCTTAGTGAGCGTCGGTGCCAGTATAGCGTCGATCGGTATTATAACTATCATCACAAAAGAAGGCTCCGTTCACAAAGCTGTATTTTCAACCGCCAAGATCGTGCAATACCTCAAGATATTGCTCATGGCAGCTATCATATCAACCTTGGTCAACCTCCTTCTTTGGCCTGTGTCTGCTCGGCATGCGCTGCGTAAGTCGATGCGCACCGCTTCTATTTCCCTCGGTCGAATGCTGTCCATGATCTCAAGCGGTTTCCTCAGTGGCGCAGAGGAAGAGTTTACTTCCAAATCCTTCACGGACGCTTCGGCTACATATACGTCCACCTTATCAATAATGAACAAGAACGCAAGGGAGTCCAAGTACGAATATTACTTAATTGGGCAGGAGCAAATATACCGCCGCGACAAAGAAGTTGTGAAATCGATGGAAAACCTCGCCCAATCTATTGGCGGTTTGCGAAGTGCGGCTAACACCCAGTTTGAGCTACTCAAAGAAATAGCCACTGGACCCTTATCTTCTGGCATACCAGCGTCGCCCGACACTAATATATTCTCGCCTGTCTTCGCACGGTCATTCTCGTCCTCATTTAAGAACGCTAATCCATCCGGCTTATCGGCCATAGACGAAGCACTAGATGAAAGAAGCGATCGAGAAGAGTCTACACCGACCCCGATCGTAGCGTCACCCCCAAGACTGCACAGCAGCGCGTCAGACTTCGCACCCAGGTCACCCTCAGAGATATTTGAGCTGTTTATACGGCTTCTCGGGCCCTCTATGAAATCTTTGGTGCACACAATGGCCGAGATCCTCAATCAACCACCATTTGACAAACCTGGCTCACCTATCGAGCTGAATGAACAATTCAAACATAGCCTGGGTGAGGCGGTCAGCTTATACAATGAGTCAAGGGGTAAAGCACTGGAAGAACTGTACAAAACAATTGAAAATGCAAGGTCATCATCTGAGTCCATACAAGCCGATTTCGAAGAGGTAGCAGCCGCGTGTGGACATTTCTCTTTTAGTCTCCTTAGTTTCGCAGATGAGATGAAGAAATACCTAGACGCACTAGAGGAATTGAAATACACGAGTGAACAGGGCCAACGAACGTGGGGCTGGTTGAAGGTTTGGAACAAGATCAGCGCGTTATGGCGATCGCGAAGGGCAGCAGAAGGGGATCTCGAGAGTCAAGCTCTGATGAAACCCGTCAAACGCATGAGGCAATCACAGATGCCACAAGGAATGCCTCAAGCTATGACAAACCGTCGTGAGAATCTGCGCTGGAGCGATGCACCTGCCAATGGGTGGTGGGACAGCTTTGTCCGGAACACATCACCTGTTATCTGGAGGTTGCTCAACTTCCTTGCGCGAGATGATAGTACGTCCTTTTTCTCTTCATCATTCTCGTTTTGATTTCGACTGACACGATCTTAGTTCGGTTCGGACTAAAAGTCGGTATCGGTGCGACCCTCTACGCCATGTTCGCATTCATTCCCGAAACAATGGACATTTACCGGCACTGGCGCGGGGAATGGGGTCTCCTATCCTTCATGATCGTCTGCTCCATGACTGTGGGGGCGTCCAATGCTACTGGGTTAGCCCGTTTTACGGGAACGGTCATGGGTGCAACATGCGTGGTGATCAATTGGTATATAGCGGATGGAAATCCCGTGGGTTTGGCTCTCCTAGGCTGGGCTGTCTCTTTTGGTGCGTTCTACATCATGGTTGATCGAGGTAATGCAGCATTCGGTCGCTTCATATTGCTAAGTTACAACGTCTCCTCGTTGTACGCATATTCACTATCCCAAGATGTCGAGGACGACGATGATGATGAGGGTGGCATCCACCCAAGGATCAGAGAGATCGCTTTCCACAGAGTTGTGGCCGTGACCATCGGCATCATCTGGGGCCTTATATTCTGTCGCCTCATATGGGCTTTGCCTGCGCGCAGAAAATTCAAGGAAGGTCTGGCTTTGTTATATTTACAGATGGGACTCATCTGGAAGAGAGGGCCACTGGCTATCCTGCTCCGCAACGATGCAAACTTTACTAGCTACATGAAAATAGGTGAACAGGCCGCTATGCAACGGTATGCTGCACAGCTGCAGACTCTTCGAACTGCGGCGAATAACGAGTACGAGCTTCGAGGGCCTTTTCCCTATGAGGCGTACGGCCGCATGATGGCGTCAACACAACGTGTGCTTGACGCGTTCCATGCTATGAGCCTGGTGACGCAGAAACATGGGCGGCTCAGCGAGGGAGAGAAAGCACTCCTGAACCACACAGCTGAGGAGCGAGCTCAGCTCTGCGCCCGTATCTGCCACGTCTTCGAAGTCCTTGCGTCAAGTATCATGCTAGAATACCCCCTTACAGACGCCATCCCCAGCGTCATGGTGATACGAGACAAGTTGCTCGGCAAGATCTTCCGCTTCAGAAAAGAGCACAACGCAGCGCTGGACAAGGCATCCGGAAAGGACAACGCAGGGAACGGTGGTGGGCACAGTATGCTGGGCGCCATGGGCTCAGTCCCTGATCTCGGTGACGTCACGCTCGAAGAGCCCGATTACGCCCTGCTTTACGCGTATGCCCTGGTTACGGGCCAGGTGGCGAAGGAGCTCAAGATCCTCGAGAAAGAATTGGAAGGTCTCTTTGGTCGACTCGACGAGGACGCAATGCTGTTACAATAGAATAGAGGATCCTTTTTTTTTCGGTATACCAGGCGGTTCTTGATCATTTGGAGCGGCGCTCATTGGTATGGCGTAGGGTAATAGCTTAGATTATCGTCGCAAGAAGCGTAAATGACTACCTACCTACTATAATATACTTAGACAGACTCTCGGGCTATACAAAAAGAATAAAACATGACATGGTTTTTAATTCATGTAAACTAGGGAACTCCGTATCGTACTAAATCCGTGATTCAAATAATTCCTCTTTCTTTCCAATGGCCAGAGAAATAATTTTACAAAGTATCTCATATATTTTTAAACATGTTTATTTCGTTTTATTTCATTAACGTCAAGTTCCCCAAATATCGCTCAATAGACGTTGCTGAAACTGAAAATATTCGCTTTTTTTTTCCCCCTTCTCACCATCTTCATTATAGATATTTTCCAAAATTCGCTAACAGGAGGGTTATATCTAAATATCTACTGAACACGATTGTGTGATGACGAGGAGGAAATGTGTGGGAAAGCCACCTATATAGGGCTATCATGAGAGTACAGCTAGAAAAAGACGAGACGCGAAAAAAAAAACCGGCAACCGATATAAAACGACCTAAACTCCTATATGATGAGTCCTATTCATGCTTTTTACTTTGATATCTTGATTGAATGTTTACCCAATCTTAGTCCCAATAAATCAAGCAACATTAATCTTCATAACCACTCTTCGCTCCAATCACGCCCTCGCTGCGCCCGCTCCTCCTGCGCCGGCCGACGGCCTCGCGGAGCCACTCGGACAGCGTGAAGCCCCAGTGTCCGGCGACGAGGACGCCGGACAGCACGTTGACGATCTTGACGAGGAAGGTGAGGATGCCGTCGCGGCGCTCCTCGACGGACAGCAGGATGGGCTCGATGTCGTACTTGAAGAAGAGCCCCGGCACCATGCGCTCGCCGACCTCCTTGCTCTGCTCCGTCACGGCGTACTGGTTCGTGAAGATGGTCTTGGTGGATGCGCCGCCGCCGGCCACGGTGTAGATGGTAGGCACTACTGACATGAAGTACTGGAACTTATGGAAGTGTGCGTCGGCGACGTTGATCGTGCGGTCCAAGGGGTTCACGAGCGAGGGGTAGTATGGCCCGAACGAGAGCTCCGAGATGACGTGGGAGAAGTTGAAGGCTGTGACACGTGATGTTAGCGGACTTGCGCGTTCGTAGGGACTTGTCTAAAGGTCTGCGATAAGGTCTGGGTTAATTAGCTTACCGTTATGGTCCAAGTGTTCAGCAAACATCTCAGCGTAGCCATGACCACGCGCTGTGATGTGGAAATCGCCCTGGACTCTGTTCAAATCTAGAGAGCCGAAGATACGGCAGCTATCGGAGCGCACACCCCGGCTGAGACGAGGTGTCTTACCCCAGCGAGCCTTCTTGCGACCAATGGCGACGATGTCGTGAACGTGTGCCTCGCCAAATCCTTCATCGTGCCACCCTGCTCCCGTGTCGGCGCGGCCGTTGCCGTCGTGGCCGAGCTTGTGGATGCCCTTGCTATCGACCCAGTGTGACCACAAGGTCGGGTCTTCCTGGAGCCGCGAGGCGGCGAGGATGCGGTCTCCGGCAGCATCCTGGACGTTCACGTGGAGATCCTTGCAGGTCATCCGCACGACGACGTCGAGATTGATCTGCATGTTGTGCCCTATGCCCTTCTCGACGCTAAATGTATGATCCTCCTCGCCCTGCCACCACCTCGATAATTCAGACCAGAAGAGGATTGCGGACAATACGAGCATGACGACGGTCCATTTGCCGCCGCCTGATGTGCGAGTTACATATTGCGGTTTCGCCTTTGCTGTTGGAGGGGGGTTCATCAGAACGTTAGCTTAGCTGAACAGGACCTCAGGGAGCTGGAAGGGAAGGCTGATACAGGGGGGGATTCATACGGAAAGCGTCAAAGGCGCGCACGAAATTGCCAGGCGCAGGCTCGTCATCGAAATGGTTCTTCTCGTTGTAGCCGTCCATCATGACTGCGGTGTTCTGTTGTGGATTGGCGACCTCATATGATTAGGTAGGTAGATAGACAACCTCAACAAGCCTCTCAATCCTCGACTTCACTTCGTACTACGGCTGTCTGTCGATTGCGCCTAGTCGCATGGGCTCGCTTCGCCGCGGCTAGTGATGCCGGTTCGTACTCGGGCGACTACGTCAATTGATTTTCCTCGACGTATGAGCCGGCGTATGTTCCTTCGTTCCAGGGTGCAAGAATTGTAGCCAATGCTGAATCCTCAGCATAACAAGACGGCAGAATGGAATGTCGACAGGCCAGGAAATGTGTCCAGGTTCGCAGGTGAAGGTGATTGCAGGTAGATTCAGGTACAGTAATGAGGACAGCTTTCATTCCGTCTTCGTGACTGGCTGGCTCGGCTGGCTAAGGTAGCTCAGGGCGTTTATCCATCCCTGTCTCGACTTGTCCCACCCAAACCGCAGGGTCCGCTGGTCTGGATGAGCATGGGGGTGCGTGGCGGGCCTTTGCGCTGGAAATAGTGGCGCACCTTGACCCAGTCCAGAATACTTAGTGGCAGGTACTATGTACATAGTAGATAGTTGCTACTTCCTATCTCAACCTACCTACCAGGCACTTTATTAAATGTTGGCAGGAAGTCGCCAAAAGAGAAGGCAAGTGAGAGTAAGAATGAGAGTGCCTTCCTTTCCACTACAACTGAAGCATCACAGATTCAGTCTTAGTTAGATAAAATGAAGTCTCATAAGTTACACCTTAACAAATGCAACCGTCTAACAGCCCTCGTCAACACTCATCAAAACACCGTTTTCTTGTTATAAGTACACGGATAAATACACTCTACCTGAAGAAGAATACTGTCTACCCCAAACCAAGTTGCAAAACCCTCCTCTATTATACGAGAATCTGGCTTGTATCGCCTCATTCGACTTCTCGTAAACCTATACCCTCACATTCATTACCAACTGCTCTATCTAGGTGGTTGAAACCAAGTCATAAATCTAGCATCTAGGGCATAATCATCAATCATGTCTCATAGCGGCACCCTTCCCATCCTCATGAGCTCTTGCACTATGGTCGAGTTCGACTGGCTTGCCGCATAGATCATGTTGTATGTCACTCGCCTAGCCATTTGCTTCTCCTCGCGCACTCTTTGTACGAACGGCGATGTCATGCCCATGACTGAGCTGTCTGCCAACCCCTGAGGGGACGCTTCCGCCCCTATCTCGTCGAGACGCTGCAGCCAGAAGAACCACCGTTGCGAACTGAATCCCCCTGTGACTGCCTGAATGCCTGCTGCTTGAGCCAGCGGTCCCAGTTGGCTCACTTCCTCGGGCACCGGTATCGTCAGCCCCGTGGCTACGTTGCTGTCGCCTGCTTCGCAGAGCTGCGTGATTCGCCCACCAGCCCGCACAAGCCACGCGTTGGCCGCACGCAACAAGTCGGCAATCGTGAGCATGTCGATCGTTCTCCCGGAATTCTCGCTATCCTCGCCACCTGGCTCGACACCGGCTCTGACAAGTCGTCGCTGTGTCTCGAGCGTATCGCGCAGAACAATGAGGGCGATCCTGCATAGGCCATAGGACCAAGGGGCCGAACTAGCCGCGACCAGTGACGCCCAGAAGAAGCTGATTCTCACCCGTTGGCTTGAGCTCATTCGTGCACAGTCTTGAAGCCAGTAACTCGTCATGTCCGGCACCAGGAACGGTAGGTCCTGCCACAGATACTGCTGTATGATGTGGTTTCCGACCCGAACGATGACCGGGGCATGCTCTACCTCCACCGTGCCATTGCTGGTAACTTGATTTCTTGCCAACAACCCTCGATGGGAAGTCTCAATAAGCTGGAGTACAACTGGCGCCACTGCATCCTCTGAACAATATTTACCAGTGACATAGTACAGGTGCCATAAGTTTTGCAACTGGAAGGTCCAGCCACCACTAAAATCAACGTGTGGTTCTGTGACAAAGTGCGAAGATAAATGTGTGATCGTATTGTCCGCCGTTGTCCAGAGGCCGCGCACATCACCTGCGCGTGCGCGAGCTTCGTCGTTCGTACGCATATGGGCGAAAATGTCGGCATACTCCTCAAGGGTCTCGTCGTCCAACCCCGGCTCAGGCGCATTTGACGCTGCTAAACTTGGACGGCGGTCGCCTGGTGTAGACATTCTCGGTCTTAAAGAGTATTAACAGCCCCTTGTGCGTGGCTATAGGTGTAAAAGATAGCTTTAAAGACGGAAGGTCGTGTCTTCCAGGGGAAAGCCTTGAGCAGACCGGTAGTAACTGGGAGTTATCACTTGACATCTCAATACTAACGATGCACGACTGACGCTATATATCTGTTGAATAGGAATAGCCAACTTTGGTTTTGTGGGTTGTTGTCTTCATTGATGACTCCAGACATAGTGGGATAATACTCGCTATTGCCGGGTGTAACGTCGAGGTATTACACGAACTAAATCTTAACGGCTCAACTACCATGCCGAGATGTCGACCCAGCTTGACAAGGGCTGAGGTTTGGGCTGTACGACCATGCAACATAAGAAATTCCGTCAGCTAAAAAAAGATGGTAGGGCCGAACGATCATCTAAGTGATATGACTTATCATCATGGCCTTCTCAACCTACTAAAGACGAACAACTTGTTTCGCGGTACTGATATGGCATCATCAGCGCGACGAAACAAAGTACTGCCTCTTTCTGCCCTATATATAGACATTAAGATACAACCTACAGCACAAGGTGTCCATCAAGCGTGGGCATGGCCCACGATTCCAAGGTGGCACGAAGATCAGGAACCTAGTGGGCGATCTTTATGTGAGGCTTATCGAGACCACTTGGTGGTAGGAGTGGATGGGTGTTGCATTCTATCTAGCTCGGTACAGGCTTCACGTGCAATTCCACTTACAAAGACTATAGTAAGATGGCGCAGGGTCAACCAGCTGGTCGGGCAAGCAGTAGATTGTTCATGTCAGAGGTTTCTCTCAGCCTCCTTGCGCGGGCCGAGCCTCCCCCACGACGATACAAAGCATCAATAGACGTTACGACAAGGTCGAAGCGAGTTGGCATATCTTTTTTGTCAACAAGGGCGCTGACAACATGGATGCCCTTAGTCAGTGAACACGTTGAGCTGGGACTCGTGCCGCACATCTGCAGCGCATGAGCCATTCTTGTGCAATTCAAGCAGAGGTTGTCTGGTCATCACAAGGCATTTTCCCCCTTTGACTTCTACCTCACCTTAGTACAAATATGCATAGAATCCTGTGATGCAACGCTTCTCTGCCGCTTCCAGTGCCCTGGGGCTTCCTATTGGTCCTTATCCCGGACCGCGACGCCCGTGCAGAAACAGTTGACGTATCAGGCCTCTGAACGGCGCAGAGATGGCCAAAAACAGACACGCCATACATAAGCGGGCTCCAGGTCCAAGCATGGCCCCCGAATTGACTGCATACCTGCGTAACCCAGTTGCTTACATATACACGCATACATAGTATACATGAGTGAAGGTAGGATGCCTCGGTGCAACTTTTAAGGTTGAGTGCCGCATTCGCATAGGCGCACTCGCATCCCGAGGCCACCCACCGATACCGTTGCGTCGCTTCGGTCCGCTTCGCATCAGTTCATCTACGAGAACGGCAGGCGAGCCGAGATGGATAGTTGCAATGGGGTATAATCGAATCCTTAGATTTGCATCTCCCTAGGAGGAGCCGATCCCAGAGCCTAGGCATTCTTGGGTAGGTTTCGGTTCTACCGGGCCTCTTGGCGAGCTCCTTTTAGCATCGCAAGAAATCTCTATGCTTGCAAGGTCAATTGGACAACAGCAGCACGTAGTCGTCATTGACAAGACATTATTAGATATCAGGGGTGGGCCTCAAGAGGAGAAAGATGGGACGAGGAAAGCTTGTTTGCGAAACAGACTAGTCATCCTTTCTCCCCCTCCGAAAATAGACGTCCCCCGTTTCGATCTCCACCAGATAGCTGGGACGTAGGGATCAATGAGATAGTGTTCGGAACTTCTTGATAAGCCCTTTAATTACATAACGTAGGGTAGGGAGGAGTGAGCTGAGGTTTGGGGGCGGATTAGACGGCTCATGTTGTGTTCGCGGGACCGAGAGTCGGTTCCGGGTCGCCGGGTGAAAAACACGTTGCTGGGAACGTCGCCGCCATTCTTGGCGAGATATCACGGGCCCGAACGATGGATGGTTTGCTTTTCTGCTTACCTTACTCCGCTCCACCATCACTTTTACTTTAGCTGCGCCTGAGAAAAATCTATTTTTCTTCAGTAACGTTTCCTACCCCTCTCTCTCTCTTTCTCTTTTTCAAGTTCGCTTAAAATTTCCTATCTTTGGTAACTCAACCCTCGTTTCGCATTACCCTTTTTTTTTCGGTCAGTAGTCCTGTTTTAAGGGGCTATCGCTTGCCTCGGGAGCGAGGAAAGTAAATACGAGCTGGTCGGTTTGAAGGGCGCGTGGAAATGTTTCTGGCAAGCTTTAGCGAGGATTCGGAGAGCTAATTATGCCCTTTACCGATGCGTTGGAATACGACTTTCGGTGCCGTGACGTTTTGCTTCGCTGTGCTGTGTTCGTGTATGCTTGATTTACTGTTGAGAAGAATTGAGATGAAATCTGATGCTTACTATGCGCTACGTAACTTAATACATGGATGCAGCTTTGCTCGATGGCTTCGCTGGGGATGGCATGTTGAGGTAAATTAGGAATGCGAGAAGTTAAAGGTAATGGGCTCATCTACTTGTACAAGTATCTACCAAGAGGGCTTGGAAACGCAACCGTATCGCCAAATATTACCGTAGAAACTCTCGAGGTCTATCCTGCTCAAATTCTTTATCCTTGAGTTGTTGATATTGAATGTTCAACCCAGTCATCGAGCGGCTCCCATATCGTGTCTTGCAACGACAAGAGAAGTTTCCGAGTATGATACGTGATGTCGTTGACTCTTCTTCTGATCATCATAGCGTTAGTTGTCTGTCTGTCTGTCTGTCTGTCAGTTTAATACATACGGAAGCAACGCCCACAGCGAAAGATCGTGACGGCGTACCTACGTTGTGCATATATACGACAGAAGCGAGATTCTGTTTTCAAGATCTCACGCAGACAGGCGGCCCGATCGATAAATGAGAGGGTATCCGAAACCCAGATTCACTCTCCATTCTAATCACAAGACCTACCTACACCTACACCTACTTCTCCCCATCTCTCTCTTCTCCATACATCTATCCATCCATACACACAGCTATGACCAGGACCTGTCCCGGAAGCCCGTTTTACTGCTCGATATGTGATGAGGGTGACTGACAGAAACATACGGTAGATGGCTACCACGCAGCTCTTCTTCGGTGTATCATCATAATATAACCTCGCTTCCTTCCCCCTCGCTCCTCCTTACATACTACCTAGCCTACCTACCTACCTGGAAACTTAGGTAATCAACTAAATCTACTTCACCGTCCACGGCACCATGTTAGTACGACCGAACCCATCATACCTACATACAATAATACCTTTTCTACCTACTCCCCCAACTCCCCTACTTCCTTACTTCCTTACTCTTTACTTCCCACTTCCCATTTCCCTAACCCTTCTACCTCTAAACATACAAAATTACTCACCGCAGATTCTACTTACCTTCCTACTTACACTATACCCATTTCATCACGACACCTTAAGATCAAAGCTTCAATAGATCAATATCTACTCTACTCTACCTCCTGTACCTCATCGAATCTTTCTTCACAAGACACAACATGCACAACCTACCTAAACCACACACACACACACATGCACAAGGTAGAAACACAAGACACAGAAAAAGACAGTACACACGAGCTCAATAACTACTATTACTACTATTTCATTTTTCATATTTCACACATCGTACTTCATCCCATGAGTTTCAAAGCGAACTAAATCCTAGAAATAGCTAATGAACAAAAAGAAAAAGAAGGGAAAAGAGCTAAACACTTGGAAGTGTACATGGTTAATCATGATCAGTTAATTAACCCCACGCTTAACGTGCACAAATACTAACAAATCACGCAATATAACTCCCTCCCATAAACACCATGTAGACGCAGGCATTTCAGCCTCAAGCACATTTCACTTCGAGTAGGAAAAAGACATATAGTGTATAGAGAGAACTCAATTTCGGTAGCTATCAAACCAGAGCAAGCCCAAGCGTGTTTTGGTGACAATCCATTCTGTTAAAGAGAGTATCGACGATACATGATGTCAGGTAGGCAGCTCAGCTACCATAGAGCCCGCTGGAAAAGTAGAGATTGGAGAGAGGAAATCAGACCCGTGGAAACCAAGCGCAGGGAAAAAGAATCGAAATTATCACACACAACAGTCAACCTAAGCATCCTCCAGCCACTCTGAATCCAACCCTACACCATGTCAACATCCGCTCGTCTGAATAGGCGTCGGCCTATTTTTTGGACAGCATCTTCTGCTGCTCAAAGAGGAACTCCTCGTCAGAGGCATCGAGGATATCATATTCCTCATCCGTCATAAAGCCGCTAGCCGAGTCCTCGGCCCAATCGTCTTGTCCACAATCCTCAAAGTCTTCCTCCTCATCATCAGCTGATGCCGCAAGAGTCTCGGTCTCAGTTTCAACCTCGAGCTCTGGTCGACCATCCATGAATGTGCTGCCAGAGGGAGACTCATGCTCCAACTTGGGGATGATCATCTGACTCTCGCTAATGGTTTCGGGGGCTGTCTCCTCCACCTTGGTAGTAGTCTTGGTAGCATCTGAAACTCGTGCCACACCTTGTTCGGGTTTGGGAGGTGCGTCAACAACGACATCGCACCATAGCTTATGACCAAACTTGACACCTTCTGGAGTTGTCAAGCGCCAGTAGGAGATAACCTTTCCATTGCGGTCTGGAGTGCGCATCAATACAGTGAAGGGGAATTCTTGACCGGGATTCAAAGCATTATAGCAAACGGTGGATTCCGAGGCGGAAACTAGCTCGTGAATACCTGCGGGATGTGCAGGGTCAACGGCACCCATGTAATCACCACCAACAAATTTGACGGAGCATCCGGCAGGCCACGGCATTGTACCCTCGTTGCGGAGCACCCATGTCTGCTCAAAAGTGTGGTTAGGTGGGAGAACGGAGCCATCTTGAATCGTATCCCACTTGAAAATTGCTACGAGGTCGTTCTCGGCCGGGCTTTCCTTAGGAGACTCCGCTGGAACAAATGGCTTGGTCTCGCTAGCTTCTTCCTTAATATGCTCGCTATTGTCCATACTTCGTAACGGAACCGCCGGTTGCTCAGTAGGTTGTACATCAACCACAGTCTGTACTGGGGTAGCGGCTATCTTTTCTTTCGGGGAGGTCTGTGTGTCAGCCGATTGCGCAGAAGTGCGAGAGCGATGACATTTGTCACCCATAGTAGGTAGGCGTTGCCCGTCTTCGTGTTCGCCGGTAGTTGTGACGCTGACGTGACGTACTGGCGTCTTGAACTTGATTAAGGGATGCGTTTTGTTGTGTGTGTTTGCAGGGCTGGCTTCACAATTGGCACAGAAATCTGTATCGTGGCACACAGCGCATTTATACCGCTCGCCGACGATGTATTTACAACCACCTTCCCGACTCTTGCAGAGTGGACCATCACAGCTAATGCCGAAATGGGTAGCACGGGAAACAGTGCTGAATGACCTGTCAGCTAATGGTTCATAAATGGCCACGAAACGGTGGTCAGCATGGATGAAGTTTGCATCCTTCACACAGTCTGAGCAATAATCCCAGTCAGGACAGTCAAGGCACTTATGACGAATCCCTCTAACGTATTTATCACAACCATCACAGATAGCGTTGTGGAGGACATTACGTCCCGGTGCCAGTCGGGACGAGACGGGCTCATCAAGCACGGTACCCTTCACAGCAGCGGTAAAGCCATGCTTGGGATGGTGTCCGTGCTGGTTTTTGGCGAAACAGCCCTTGCATAGATCGTAATCATCACAAGATGTACAATGAACAAATTCCGCCTCTTGAAATTCCTGCACACAGCTATTGCAGGTTCGAGCGCTACCGCGATATCGGCAGTCTTCAGTTAGCCCCATCCTAATCCTAGCAGGAAATAGAGCGGGGATTTGTGCGACAGACGACGTAGATGTGACCGGCTTTTGAGCAATCTTGAGGGGTACCGATCGAAGAGACTTCGGGGCGATGTGAGTGCTACTACATTTGATATTACCATTCACCACGGTTCGCTTGATGAGCCAGTGCCCATCACCGTGGCAGGAGATGCCACGGTTAACACAGTCTTGGCAAAGGTCGAAGTCACCCTCGTCACATATCGAGCAGTGAAAATGGGCTTCCGGGACAGCCCGGTCACAGCTGTTACAGCAGACAGTAAAGGGCCGCTTCATGGATTCTTGTGCAAGTACCTCGCTTGGCTTAACATCATTTCCTGGTCGGGTTGGAACACTGGGTACAGTCATTCTCATTGATCTCGCCATGATCTCTTTGATTGCGTTAGCCTTGGCATCTCGTTCCTCGGCAGCCGATATCTCCTTGGATGCCTCAAATTGCTCGCTGCTGAAATCAACCACAGAGTTATTTGAGCTGGATGAAGGATCGGCCAGTTTGATAGTAACATTATTTGAAGTATCGGGAGACGTAGTGGCACTGGCTGAGGCCGGGCTTTCCGAATCTTTAGCAATCCGCCGAAGATTCTTAAGAGAAGCAAGAAGTTCTCGGTCTTTAGAATTTCTATCGTTGATGGCGAAGTTGTCGAGCACCTGCATTCCACGCGCGAGGCTAGCTAAACTGGCAGGGCGCTGGGACGGGGTAATGCTAGGCGGAGTCGCACCTGCTGAAGAGTCGCGAATAACTAATGGCTCAGTCGTAGCCGAAGGCTGAAGAAAGTCAATCACTTCCACGCCATCGCCATTTCGTCGAAGATGAATCCTAGGGTTGCCTCGAGCCCGCCACTGCCTGACAAATGTGGGGAAGTCTTGATTGGTCTGAGGAGCAACCACTGTATCAGCGACTGCGGGAGTCTCGGGGGCTGAGGCTTCAGTCATCTCAACCGCAGCCTCCTCCTTCGGTTCTTGTTCCGCCTGAGCTAGACTTGCTTTTTGAGGTTCCTCTTCGGGCTCGTCCTCAACAGTAACTGGTTTGGGTGCTGCAACTTCCTTGGCAGGCTCAACTGGTTGTTTGGTGGTGACGCGGAGCTTCAACTTCTGCTTGGCCTTCGCCGCTCGGTAGAGTTGCTTGTACACAGCGATATTGGCTCGGTTCAGAGTAACATAGGAGGTGGCCGAGTCGGAATAGCGTTCGACGGTGGCGTCGACATCTGCGGGTATATGCAGGATAGCTCGGAGCTAGTGCATAATGTCAGAACAGTCGTGTCGTCTGGTATCACACTCAGCCTGTAAATCAAAACATACCTTGTCTTCAAAGACGTGTGCACCAAGATCCCGTAGTGGGAGCTTGAGGCGACGGGTGGTGCCATCGATGTTAATCTTTAGGTTGATCGGGGTATCAGCGGTGGTGGCCGTGGCGGCTACAGATGACGAAGCCATCTTGGTCTTTCAAGGCCGGACTGCCCGGAAACGACAATGTCAGCTGCTGGATCCGTCTGCGGTTTATTAAGGTATAATATCAATGCATTAGAAAGGAGGGCCGATGGCGATGGAGATGATGGCCGTGTCGTTTGATGGATGGCAGGCTGAGATGGAATAGCCGACGGAGCAAGAAGGGGGGAAGAGGAGAGAGAGAGAGAGAGTAATGTACAGCGTTTCAGTGCTTTGTGACGAGGCAGTGGCAGGCAGGTTAGGTGGTCTGGAGGGAAGGGAGCATGGAAGGTGCAGTAGCGCAGGCAACCGGGTGGAGAGGGTCAAGGAGAAGCGGAGGCGGGACAGTGGGCGGGACACGGGTCGATGTACTACCTACCGCGCCCCAGGTACCCTAACGTGTACCCACCGGCTGGTCGAGAAGCAGCCAAGGGCGGGCGAGGGCGAGGAGAAGGCTCTGGACGGGTTGGAGGGCAGGGCAGACAGGGGAATACAGGGAATACTGGGTGCTGTAGGTACAGCTACGTACGTACCTGGGTACTTGGTGGGCGCGAAGAGTCTGGAGCCGATCAATGATCAATGACGACGGTTGTTTTGTGTGGTCAGGTGCTTATCACGAGGCCAACCAGTCTGCTTACCTACCTGTGTAGGTAGATTCAATGCAGACCAACGAAGAGCTGCGGCTAGTGCAGAGCAGATGCAGAGGTGCTAGTCAAGGTTGGATTACCCTGCGAATGCAGCAGCAGGCTCTATTGGACTAGGTATTGTGTACGTGGATGCAAAGTCTACTGTAGGAACTGTCGGCTTTGGTTATTGTCAGCACCCGCAGCGGAAGTTAGTGTCGTGTGGGTGTAGGTATGTCAGTATGGGTAGATGAGTAGATGATAGGTGTTGGTGATAAGGCGGTCAGTCAGTCCGTCATTCAGTCGTCAATGAACTAGCAAGCAAGCAAGCAAGCAATTGAGGACTTGAATGGCGCCGCGCACTGACAATGCAAAACTAGCGACCGAGAAGACAATAGCGCATGCGGTGAAAAGACGTGGGGCTATGAATGATGAATGACAATGGTTGCTTGTTGAAGACGAAGGAGGAAAAACAGAGGATTGTGTAGACGGGATTGTGTTCTCGATGGGAAGAGGAGAAAGAGGAGAGAGGAGGATGATGAGGAGAAGAGAGAGCCTTGCGAAGGCAGGTTTACAAAGGAAGTAGGTAGCCCAGAACAGACAGGACAAGCCCTTGGACGTACCGTACGTAGCCTGTGGCCTGCCTGTAGCCTATAGCCTATAACCTGTACGCGGTGAAGTACAACACAGATACGATGCCTACCTGGGTAGGAGGGAGATAGGTAAGTAGGTAGGTAGGTAGGTTACCCAGAGGCTAACGCAATGAGAATGAATTATGAATGGTGGTCGGCAGGGATGGGTCTGGATGAGTTGAGAGACATGCGGCTGGATTGATTGACGTGTGAATGATATGTACGATATGTACACTGACTGGCTAACGAGCGATAAGTATGGTCCCCAAAAATGGTAGTACCTACATGTAGAATTGTGCAGTGTGACCAAAGGGCAGTTTGTACGTACTGTGATCCAAGTGATACTGTAGATATGTAGGTACCAAATCCAAAGTTGTTTTATGCCTTCAGATGCTTTCAAGAGATAGATTCTCTAGCTCAATACCGAATGCCTGCCTACCTTAGGCAAGTAAATCGATGGAGTAGATTGAAAAAAGGCCCCGACTAACAAATAGATAAACCTGTGCTTACCTGAAACCACTGCTGTGTCTCGGTGAGTAGCTGAGGTAGCTAGCTATATATACGTTTTATAGATTGAGAAGTACTGTGTTGTTACCCACCGCCACTTGCAGGCAGATCTAGTCTTCGCAAGCTGTTCACAGAGTGACAATATGGGAGACAGGTGTTGATTAGAAATAGGTAACTGAAGAGAGGTGTTCCCAACCTGTAGAGGTCACCAATCATTCCTACACAGGCCTCATCGAACACCAAGATGTGCATTAACCGCCGAGTACCTACCTCTCTAGAAAGGTAGTCTCGAAGTGAGCGCGTGCTTAAGCATATCTTACCTACATACTCTTGCATTGCACGCGTAGGGATGTTCCATGACACATGTAGGTAGTAGGTAAGCTTAGCATGATAACCAAAACTTATCTACGCTGTACTGTGTACACTGGAGATGACTTGGTCACGCGGTGCTCATGATGTACCTTAGGAGATGAGAAGAAAGTTCAAAAATAAGGAAAAGTCAACTACCGTACTCTCATGTATGGGCATTCAAAATTACTTCCTATATCACGATCAATCCCCCCCCCTCATCTGCACTACTCGTCCTCCTCTTCACGATTAAATATGATAAGTTGGTGTGATTTACTTGACTTTGTTGTTTGTCTTGCCAATAACCGGATCCCCTGGAACATTGGATACTAATGTATGTAGCCACCAGTCTGGCGTCGTCATCCATTTGCCTCAGAGACATTCGCTCTTAGCGTGCCTACACTACCCGACACCTGTACAACAATGGCTTTCTGACTAATCTAGGTAGTGTCTTCACGAAACCTCGGTCATTTCTCTTCCAGCCTCGTTTTCGCAAGTCGTTGGTTGTATTGGCAATATTGGCTACTACCGTACCTGCTCGCCTGCCTAGTTGTTGTTCGCTTGGTCTGTTGTTCGCCTTACCTGTTCAGTTGATTGGCGGCCAAAATATCTCCCATATCGGCTTCGTTCCCATAGCTTACCATTAGGGTATGAACATGATTTATCATGAATTCTATTTAAGTAAATTGTAGAAATAGTTTGCCACGATGAGGAAACGCGAGGGCATTTGAACTTAGTCCGAAATGTTCTTTCTTTTCTTTTAAGTTGCTGCCTAGATGACGGCAACTACCCGACGTGCCGTACCCACCGCATACCTACGGGAGCATGATCTGACCGATGGGCTTATCAACATCTAACCGAACACCTCAGTGCGCCACCTACCTATATTCATTATCTGGCCAATGTAATCTGCCCCATACTACGTAGACGAAAAGGACTAATAAACCGAGGGAGAGCTTTCCGGTGCTCCGTGCTTGTGATTACGGCTGATGGTTATCGATATGGCCGAGAGCGAGTTGCTAATATGTCTGAGTGAATGTAAGACATCAGGGTTCATCGAGTTCAACCCAGCTTTGCTCTCATGTATTCTCCGATGAAATCCAATTGTTAGCGGGTTCCATCAACAACTGTCAGGTATAGAGTGATTCGATCCAGCAAGCATGCGGATGATGATGCATCGTGTATTTAACCAATACAACAGGTCTAAGCAGAGCTCCAGGTGGTCGTCAGCCTGTAGCTCTGATGTCAATTTCAAAGACAGCTGAAAGGTGATACAGCCGTTTTCGTCTTATGCCAAACAAAACAAAGAGGCAGGAGAGCCTCGGCAGCATGCGCAAGCCATACCGATACCGGAGTTTTTACTTATACAGAGAGAGAGAGAGAGAGAAAGAGAGAGTTATGTGTGGAAGTGAATAACGAGTAGCCAATATGTTGTTGTCCTCATCACTCCTTGAGTATCAGTATGCGGCTCATTTGCCTTGCTGCTGACAGCAACCATCGTCATAGCTCTGGGCATGCCTATAGTATTTTGCCAGAGCATCTGGATATATATCAGCACGAGAGAGAAGGCGTTCATTGCGGACAGATGGAGGACATCGGATCGGCTAGGCTGCTCTGTATCTACCTATGTATGTATGGATGGATATGTATGCGGGTTCTCTATGATCAAGGAAAGGGCCGGTGCTGATGGTTACAACCTTTGTTGACTGGATCCGCGTGCATCATGGTGATTGGGTCAGGTTTGGAGACTGGGACTGTGTGCACGAGGACTCGGGGCCTTGGGAGACTGCCGCGTGTGTTTGCGCGTGCGCATGTATTATTACTTGCGGCTTGAGCGTTTCGACAGCAGACAGGCGGGCATAGACATACGAAGAGGGAGATGAAGAGGACGGGTTCGATCTGAACGCATTAACGAACCCGCCAGGCTGCTAAACAGGCACCCCGTAGCCATTCAATGCACACACATGAGTACATGAGGTGCATGCTGTCAGTGCAGCAAAGGCGCACTGGCCAATGGCGTGCCGTGGGGGTTTCTTGCCCGGGCGAAGATGGGTGATGCGAGTATTTTAAGAAGAAAAGACAATCGGGCACTCAACCTGAGTGGTATATCGATGCGGCATTTAGTGTTTTGCAGTATGTAAGGCAGCAACTGCTCCCTCCAAGTACCTACCTACATAAACAGATAGTAGGTATGTAGGTTAGTAGATATCCCAGCTTACCTGAGAGGGAGATGGTCGTGGATGGTCGTGGACTCGTAATAGGCACCGGACAGACCGAGTTAAGGGATGATGATAATACCTACCTAGGTAGCTTTCCCCCAAGCTTTCCAAGACCAATCCAACCCGCTCAAGCCGGGAACAGTTGACTGGACCGATCCATCGTAATTGAGTCATTATATTCTTTGTTCGTTCTATCTAAGTCGTTTCTGTCTCTGTCTAGGTCTCTGTCTAGGTAAGGTATCTACATACCTAACCTACTTAATTGTACTTAAGGTAGGTTAGGAGTTGTTTCCTTTGTCTGGCCGGAAACACCTAAACAGTTTGGGACTAACGAACCCGCCAACCAAATTCCAGTTTCTCAACGACGTCTGAACCTAACTAACCTAACACATATCAACACAGGTATTACTTTCATGTTAGGTAGGTAGCTACTGACTTTCATGGCCACCTACTTGAGCGTTGACTGGTACCTAGATCGAGCGGTTGCCTTGCTCATCTGTGCAGAACTTCTGAATGAATCGTAGATATCTATCTATCTACAACATAGCTGAGGAACAGTCTTGCCCCCAGCTTCCGTCACTGTCCACATCTCACATCTAACAATCCAGCCATTGTCAAAGTTGTTATACTACCTATCGTGATAGCTTTATGTAGTGGGTAGTAGGTCGTAGGTGGTATAGAGAGATAGAGGTAGTGTAATGATGTACTTGGATAGTTCCCCACTCTATAATGTAGAAAGTACCTAAGCATACTTAGAGGTAAAGTACCACCATGGTGACTTGCAGGAGACTTACCACACACTTTATTTGGGCAGGTACCTGCGCAGCACAACTATCACTGTACTGCCTACCTCCCCAACTGCGCCCTACTACGACGTGACGGGAGGTACCTATACTCCTACCGGTTCACTTCCTTACCAGCCCACTTGCGCTAGGTCGGGACCTTCCCCCCCCCCAGTCCAACCCAGTCCACCCTCTCTGCCAGCTTGGCTTAACCTCATCGAAACTTTTGGATCCTGTCCATCACGGCCATCTTGCACAACTCCTCCTCTCCGTCACCACTATATCTCCTAAGAGACAAATCTCGTACAAGGCCACCCCTCCTTTCTTTCGGGCTTATACCACTGCCTTCGCCTGGATGAGGGGGCCTTCTTCTTCTTGTTGAGTTCATCAACCAGTTTGTGCTGTTTCTTTTTATTGCTCCCAAGTCCGCCGCCGTCGTCTTGTCTCGCATTGTCTTGTCTTGTTTTGTAACCGTCCCTCGACTCCAACCCGGTTTGCATTGCCTTGACTCGACCCGACCCGACCCGACCACTCGACACCACAGAGGGTATCTGGAGACGAGCGACTCTACTTTGATATAGGGCTGTTGTATGATTCATAGGCGCTCCGGCTTTCTAATTGACCGTCTCAACATCATTTCCATTCTTTCTGCACCGCAGGCGGTTTGTTTCGCCTCTACCTGTGTCTAGTCTGATTATTTTTCTTGTTGCCTGCCAATCACTCGTCAGCCGCTACTGTTCTTCTATCGTCAAGGGAACGCATGACATCAGCGTAGGACACAACGCCATCGTCGCGATCTAGCTCCTGGTCGTCGCTTCCTCATCCGCGGGCTCGGGTAGCATCTCAGCAGTTGTCGTTGTCAATCCAATCACACTTGCGCATCGCAACCCCCTATAGCTCCCATACAAAATGGCGGCCGGCGTTCGACGGAGAAAACTGATCGGCCATAGACGCCGTGTCGAAGACGAAGGCGAGGAGGAGGGTGGTCTCGACCAGCTCGATCTGGACGATGACTCGCTTAGCGACGGTTCCTTGGCTTCCGATGACATTGATGCCGCCGACGATAGCGATACTAGTAATGTCGAAGACACTTCGCCTACACGTCCGCCAGTGAAAAAGAAGATAGCCGGCCGTACTGCGAACACTACCAACGGCACCAAAAAAGCCCACTCTAAACCCACACCTAGCTCTGCCATACAGAAAAACACAAAACCGAGCAACGATGTGTCCGACACCGAGTTCATGTTGAATGGGCTGAGCCTCTCTGACAAGACCGCTGCCATAGAAGAGGTTGAGTTTGAAGATGCGCCAAAGTCGCCCGCAAAGGCGCCCGCGCCTATTGTCGTCAGCTCAAATTCCGTGCTGGCTCCAGCAAGAGAGGGTTCACAAGGTCCTCCAGGTGATCGACGCCGTACGGAGCATGAGGAATACAGGCGCAAGCGGGACGAAGATCCTTCTTTTGTCCCTAACAGAGGGGCTTTCTTCATGCATGACCATAGGCACGCTGGGCCGTCTGCCAATGGGTTTCGTCCATTTGGCCGGCCTTCTCGTGGGAGAGGTCGTGGAGTTGGAGGCCCCTTTGCTCCAACCAAGTAAGCGCAACCACATTCGTCGACTTTTATTTTGTACTGACGATAGCAGCTATCCAATGCATAGCCCTTCCGACCCTACAGTTTCTGCACCTTGGGCTCATGATATGCACGAGACTGTCACGCAACCCCCGCCTGTCCGGCAGCCACGATCCTCTTTCGCTGATGATGGACCCCCTAATGGCAATGGCTTCATTCCGACCTGCCCTCAGAGCTCTACACCCATCAATCGGAAGATGTCCGCGGAGAAACTGCTAGGCCAAGTTCAAATAAGAGTTTTCTTGGCCGGCATAAAGGAACCCATTGTGCTCCCTGCTATCCCTATGAAGCAGTATACCAAACTTCCTGATCATAGGCCACCCCTAAGACGTGATAAGCCGGTCAGGATTTCTCTGCCCGACTTTCCGCATCGTTACGTCTTCCCGGCTACTGACAGATCATTCATCTTCATTCCACGTGCTATGCGTCCAAATCAGCGATTGCGAGGCAAGCCGAGATCTGGCTTAGGATCTATCGGAGGGTTTTCGAGAAGAACAAGCGTGTTTGGAGGTAGCGTTTACGCCGGAAGTGCTTATTCGCCAAGTATCGCTCTTAGTCGACGTTCGTCTATCGCCCCGGACATTAGCAGCAGAGATTTTATTGCTTCCCCCACGGGATCTGCTGTGTCTCGTCCCACACTTCCCTACGACACCACTCGACCAATCGTCAGGCTACCCCCCCAAGCACGTCAAGATCAGAGAATCCCCCCTGCAGGCGAAGTACCAGTTGTGATGCCCGTGAATGCTTCGTATCCCGCTCTTAACGAACGACCCCAGCCCCAAACACACCCGCTTCCTCCAAAGCCTCCCTTTGTGGAGAACAGAATCGCTCCTATTCCAATGCACCAACCCCGCCCCCAGAAAACCGTATCTGTTGCCAGTATTGAGTCACCAGAGAATTCTTACCACCAAGCATTTCATCAACAGGTGCCTGTGCAGGTGTCTAATGGTCTCGGCCATGATGCTCATACTCGCCACCCGTCTTACCCTTCACAGCACTCGACTGGGACACCCCTATCACAAATACCAGAGCGCGCTATTCACGCCGCTCCATTCCAGCCAAACCAATTCTCGCAACCTGGCTATTTCCCAGCTTATCAAATGATACCACCGCAGCAGGGTTACTATTATCCGCCGGCTCCCTATCCTGGTACCATGCCCCCAAGCGCCAATGCTTTCGTTCCTGGTTCACAGCCAGGTCAACAGCCTCAGGGTGAGATTGGATCTACGCAACCTGCAGGGCAGAACTCACAGAATCCCAATCTTGTCGCCCAAGAAGTTAATGGAATGGTCTATTACTACGACGCTTCTCAGTTGCCACCTATGGCCCCCTATCCTTATCCTCCGGCACAAGGTTACCCCATGCCGAACGTCGGTGTTAATGGTATGATCACACCTAGCCCAGACGGTTATTACTATCCCACTCCCGGCGTCTATTACCCTCAGTAGAGTGGTTCTACCCTTCAATCATAAATTTCGCCACTAGATGAAGCAGCACTGAAACCTCGCCATATCTCTCAAGTGCACGTAAAGGGTCTCAGACCTTCAGCCCCAACCACCTATCATTAGTGTTGGATCACGCTCGTATAATTACCTACAATAACCTACAATGCTCCATCGTCAGGCTACCATTAATTGCCAGCTCATCTTAGCTACCTGGAAACAACCCCTCTAAGGGAGCAACCTAACCCCCACTCAGCTTCAGCTTTACTACTAGTCCTTTTGGCGTTGGCTCTTACCATTTCCATTAGTTTTTTGGAAGGGTCATTCTGCAATGGCGTTGGAGGAGTTCATCTTTCGCGTTTTCATTTGCTTGCTTTTATAGTGAGTGCTTTCTAACCGGGGCGGAGTGAGTTGGGTGGGCGGTTTTGATGGGTTTCCAAAGGGGGGGTTCACTTCCTATGTGTATGTGCTTGGGTTTGGACAAATTCTCTTGGTTTGGGCAAGAAAGGGGGGGCGGAGGCAACTTTCACCAACATTTTTCCCGAGGAAGACAGACAGATAGGGGTGCCGGAGGGTTTATTCAAGCATTAAATCATTCATGTGTTTTTATCCCCCCCCCCCCTCTAAAAAACATGTGAAATAAATTACCTGTCTTTCCCTTTCCCTTTTTTTACTTACTTACGAGTAGAAAGAATGGGTTTTCTTCGCCGGTTTTTGTTTATAAACTGTTGCATCGTGGGAAAGACCTGGAGGAGAAGAGAGAGGAGTAGGATTGATTGATTGATAATGGAGCGCTACCATCCGATTTTTATCTATCCATCTGGCTGGTTAGCTAGCTAGATAGCTAGACAGATGGTTAGTTCGTTGACCTTCCCTGCCCATACTTTGTAGGTCTACTACCTATACGTAAATACAACCGTGCTTGTGGCCTCCAGTAATATTTGCTTCACTCCGTGTTGAGAATTATTTATTTATAATATCCATTTTGTGAATAGTTAGAGACTTTGATTTCTCCTGTGTAGATGGCGCGTGCTTATATTCGAGGCTATCATTTCTATACCTAGGTAAAACTATGGGAGCCACTAAGGGGTTTGTGAGGGATTATTCTAAGGGTGATAACCTTCCCGTCAAGCATCATAATAGACTAATAGCATGAAATTGGATGTATTAATTGTTCCCAAGAAAGAGGTTGGAGGCGAGCATCGTCGCAGGAAAGTAGACTAGCTATAATTTAATCTAACAACCCAATTCCCGAGTAAACTAGGAATTTTACACTCGTAGTCCGCCATAGCCGATATCGATATTTTCCAGTTTACCTCATCGTATTTCTGATTACAATTTCAGCTCTCGAATTTCGTATTTGATCGAGACAAGCAAACGCAGCACAGCAACAACAAAAAACAACAAAAAAAAAAAAAAAAAACTATAGACTGAAACAAGAGAGGACGGCATATGCCGCATCAAGCAAAACGACGAGGCTCCACCATCTAAAGGGGAACGCTGACAGGGTCAATGCTATCAGCGGCCGCCATGGCGACGCTCGTGACTTTCGTCTTGGCCTCGCCATTCCCGGTCGCTTTGGGCGGCGGCGTCAGATGTTGTTTCTCCTCGAGCTTGGGGACGACGCCAAAGCGAGTATTTCCTTGATCCCAGATCTAGTATTGCGAGTTAGTAATCGGATTCACTCAAAGTAGTCGGTGAATATTGGGAAATCTTTGGGGGAAAAAAAATAAAAAAAATCAAGATCTGGGATAGGGGGAAGGGGGCTTACGGCGTAGACGCTCTTCAAAAAGGTATCGCCGTAGATGTTGAAGGGGAGAGTGCCGCGGCTCTGGACGCCGCCGTACCAGCTCTGGCCGTCGGCGGTGGGCGCGAACGCGAGGTCTTCCTTCTGTATCAGGAACTCCTTGTCGCCGATGGCGACCTTGAACTCGGGGAGGTCGTCGACCGCGACGTCGATCGGGAAGCAATAGCCCTGGTTGAACCAGTCGTACGCGGCGCCGGGGATATGCGTGTACAAGAGGTCGATCACGTCGTCGGGGAGTAGCAAGAGCGTCGTGCCCGTGTCGGCGATGGCCATGTTGGAGTCCATGGGGATCGACTCGCCGTTCACCGAGGCTGATGCTGACGGGATCGCCCAGAACCCGTCCGACTTGTCGACTGGCACCCAATGGATTTCCTCGCCGGATTTCTTGACTAGGTCCTGGTCGATGAAGCCGAAGGTGTAGAATGACTTCGAGGTGGCGGCGTCGCGCGAGCAGTAGAACGCCGAGGTGAAGAGGGCCGCTTCCTTGGGTATGTCGTCCTGTTTCACCATATTCTCCACAGGGGTTGCTTGTGGATCGGCCATGCTACCGTCTTTCACTGTGTTCAACTTGCTGAAGGCGAGCCCGAAGAGACCGTCTCCTGCATTGCTTACGAATTCCTCCGAGAGCTTGTCGGCCATCTCTACCGTCTGCTTCTTTACTGCCAGGCCGCCGACAGTGAGTGTATCGGTGCCGCAGCTGCCCGAGGCATACGATTCGTCGCCGTACTCAATCTTCCAAGTCTTGTTGGGCAGTGGAACGTATGTGCTTGACTTTTTGGGATCGAAGACATTGTGGCCTTCTTCTTCAGATGAACTAAGCTCTTTCGAGAATATCTGTGCGAAGAGTTAGTGAGGTGCCAGGCGGCGTATGACATGTCAAGTAGCATACCCACGTATCGGCTGAGCCAGTATCGAAGTCCAGCATGAAGTTCTGAGGAGGTGTACCGACTGAAACTTTACACAGATACCTATTAGGACTAGGCTTAGCAGCGAGTTCAAATCATGAGGAACTATAGAGACTCAAAGAAGACTGACATCGTGTCGTTCTGTGTGTCTTCTGCGGTGACTTCGTCATGCTGGGATTCAGGGCCCGAGTACTTGAGGAGGACTCTCTCTTGGCTGACGCGGCCACCCAGGATAGCCCTCAACGTGGTTGGAACACGGCCCCTTTGCTTAGGGCGGCTTGAGATGAAATAGGGGCCACCTCTCGTAGGTTCGAATTTGTATTTGCGTAGAAGATGGACGTAGGACTAACGTTCCCGGTTAGAGTCATATCATCTTGGACGAGATCATGGGGCTCTTTTGATTAATATGAGAAGAGAGCTAAAGATGTGTCACATACTTTGGTGCCGTGGCGCTGGTAATTTTGATTCAACACCGCCCTAACCTTGGTCAAAGGGAGGTCTTTCTTGAGCTTATTCTGCGTGGAATAGATGGCTTCCATGGTTGGTGTTCTCCTCAACAAGGTCGTAAACTAAACAAGCGATGTTATAGTGTTATTGAAGGACTTGAACAGATTCCGAGTAGTCGAATGGATCATTCAGTAGACGAGACAAGGCTTAATAGCGTTGTAGGTATTGCAGGATAATGAAGAGCTTAGTAGTGATGGGTCGGGGTTAGTACGATGACTGCTTGGTGGGAGAAGAGAAAAGCGTCTGGATCTTGTGTGTCAAGCCCAAAGCGAAACAGAAAATGGATTGCTCTCGACGTTTTTGCTTCCCATTCTTGTTTCATCGGTTCCGAGGAAAGAACGCATACCTGATGCCTTCTCAACAACAAGGCGCACGCAGCGCAATCTGAACCCATATCGGTCTTAACACTCTTCTCGGCCAGGCAGGAACCTTCGCGAATGTATACCTAGGTAGGTATGTTACAACCCAGTACACTAAACCAATGTGCCCGCTTAAGTTGGGGGCCATTTACTTGAATATATGTATGCCAATTGGTATTCCATCGTAGCCGCCAGCTACGATCAAGTAAATGAGTCGATCTTCATGATATTTTTATTCTGCAATGAATGAAGCCTCTTACGCCGTTGCTAATCCAGCACTCTTCTCCGTCGATAAGTGAGTCGGCATAGACAATATCCTCGACGGCGAGTCCCCTACTAAGTTCAGCCCCGCTCGTGGGTTTTTATACAGTTCGTGAAAATATAATCTTACCTTTCCAGCGCCCATCTTCTACTCGTGCCCCGATTGCCACCACTTCCCCGTGCCATGTCGAATTCTTCCGCGACTGGCGGAGTTACCCATCTACCGTTCCTCCAAAAGTATGGGGTCGTGATACTACCTTCCATGATAGATCCATCCCGGTGGTTGATAAGAAGCACTTCTTTCTTGTCAGCAGGACTGTTAATGCCGGCGCGATGTCTTGCCTCTTCGTACATAGGCCTGTGGGTCGTTTTAAAGTGTGTGAACTCAGACTGTGTCGTCCTTTGTCCATCTACCAGAATTTCATAGTCAAAATTCCGCTCAGGAACCCTACTAGCTTCCCTCCTAGCTTCCAGAGGATGCTGAGTATCATGATGCAATGGTGCTGGGAGGTGTGAGGGGAAGAGATTATTCAAGTGGACTGGTCCCGTTGGCCGTTCTACAATACTCAGTGCGCCATGTTCATTGATGAGAATTTTGGCCGCATAAGGTGTGCTCGCAAGATCTGAAACATTATCTCGCAGGAATTTCTCCATAAACCGCAGACCGGTCTCGCCATCAAGAGTCTTAGCGGCAGCATCCCAGCCCCAGTGAACGGCAGCCTTGAGCATACGATCGCGGTGGAAGTCGAGCATATAGAAAGGAGACGGATGTTGATTCCAGCCAACATTTTCTGACAGCTGGTCAGCGACTCTCAAAAGTTCTAGATCACATCGGATGGTGGTGAAGAGTTCGAGTGTATCCATTTCGGTTGGGTGTTGACTACTAGAAAAAAAGCGTGAAGGGCGTCATGTATGTAAATTGATAAAACAAGGTCTTTTAAACAAAAGCCAACCTTCTTCTACACGTTCGAACCTGGAATAACGTGCATACAGCATAAGGTAGTATAACTTTGTAGCCATACGACATCTGTTATTTATTTCTCGGTATGTGAAGTCGAGCTAGCCTAGATGGAGTAAAAGCCTGGTTCAGATACGCGTGAGCATGAGCTCATAGTGCCCTATGGTACGCCAATCAAGGCCGCGTATTTGCCCTATTACTGCCCTATTATAGCTGCTAGTTGGGACGGGCATTGAAGTTGCCATACGTCAATCGTGGGTACATTATGCTACTAGCCTGTTGCGCCGATCTGTACATGGAACGGCACAAATGTACCTACTATTCTGCTATTACTGGGTGGAGGGGCAGCAGGCTTCGGATGGTGGGAAAGTACCTCTAGGTACCTCCCTTTCTCAACCTGGTGCCAAGGCCCAAGTCGCGCTACTAATTTTTTTAACTTATCACAGCTCCTCCAAAGCGCATCATTGCCGACCGTCTTGCCTACCAACCAACCAACCCTACTTTACTTTACCTTACCAACCACACCCCATCGCCTGTACGGCCTCATCTCGCCCGCTACCTTCTTCTCGTCCCGCGGCGCCGTGTTGTCGTGTTCCGTCTCCAGTCTGGCCGAGTCGTCCGTAGCGATAAGCCACTATTCTGCACCATGCCTGGCGCTTCCGCCGCACCACCGCCTGTGCCGAATCTGGCAAAACCCATTGCTGTTCCTGTCGAGTCTTCCGTCTGGGACCGCCTCACCAATTGGGCTTCCGAAAACAAGGCATTAGTTTACACAATTGCTGGAGTTGCCGTTGTTGTGACAGGAGCCGGTGTTGTATACTATCTTAATGGCGACGTAAGTTGTCCACCAATTCTCCTCGCCCCCGTTTGCTGGCTATCATGCTCTCCCCCCGCTTAAACTAATCTTTGTACAACGTAATCTCAGAGCTCCAAGGGACCAACGCAGCCCAAATTGAGCAAGAAAGAGCGGAGAAAAAAGAAGGAGGCCGATCGCCAGGCTGAGGCCAGCCCAAAGTCTGCCACGCCTACCCCCGAACAGCCCAAGCCCGCCACCGTGGAGAGCGCTGACGAGCTTCCCGATGTCAACGAGGATTCAGTTGCTGCTCTCACAGCCCAGCAAAGACATCAGTTGGCTCAGCAATTGAAGGCCGCTGGTAATAAGGCTTATGGCAGTAAGGATTATAACAAGGCCATCGACCTATACTCGAAAGCTATTTTATGCAAGCCAGACCCCATATTCTTCTCTAACAGAGCTGCCTGTTACAACGCACTCAGTGAGTGGGAGAAGGTTGCTGAAGATACAACGGCCGCCCTTAACCTCGACCCTCTGTACATCAAGGCCCTGAATCGGCGAGCCAATGCCTACGAGCATCTTGAAAAGTACAGCGAGTCTCTGTTGGACTTCACCGCCAGCTGTATTATCGACGAGTTCCGAAATGAGAATACTGCCACATCAGTTGAGAAGCTACTCAAGAAGGTTGCCGAACAGAAGGCCGAGGCGATCTTGAAGAGCAAGAACCCCAACAAGCTTCCGAGCCCGACCTTTGTGTCTAATTACATTCAGAGTTTCCGTCAAAAGCCCAGGCCTGCTGGTTTAGAGGATTCCGTGGAGTTGTCTGATGATACTGGAAAGGGTCAGCTACAAATCGGCCTCAGAGCTATGGAGAAGAAAACGCATGATGGTTATGAAGAAGCAGCTACTGCCTTTGAGAAATCTCTTGAGCTTGGTGAACTGGGAGAATTCGAAGCACTTGCCTACAATATGCGGGGTACCTTCAGGTGTCTGCGGGGAGCGCAAGATCAGGCTTTGGACGACTTGAATAAGAGCATCGAGATTGATCCCTCCATGACGCAAAGCTACGTAAAACGTGCCAGCATGCATCTGGAGACAGGTAAGGCATATGTCATTATCTCATACGAACCCTTCATCTAACACATCTAACACCAACCCAGGCAATCGTGACCAGGCTGCTGCGGATATCGAAGCTGCTATCAAACAGAATGCGGATGATCCCGATATCTACTACCATCGTGCCCAACTCCATTTCATACATAGCGAGTGGCAGAACGCTGCAAAGGACTATCAAAAGTCTATTGACCTGGACAACACTTTCATCTTCTCACATATCCAACTTGGTGTGACACAGTACAAGATGGGCTCAGTGGCCTCAAGTATGGCCACTTTCCGTCGCTGCATTAAGAATTTCAGCCGCGTGCCAGATGTCTATAACTACTATGGCGAACTCCTTCTCGACCAGGGCAAATATGACGACGCCATCCAGCAATTTGATCTTGCCATGGACATGGAGAAGCAGACGAAGCCCATGTCCATAAACGTCCTTCCTTTAATCAACAAGGCTCTCACATTATTTCAACAAAAGTCCGAGTTCCCCGAGGCAGAGAAACTCTGTGAAAAGGCCTTAATTAGTAAGCAGTTCTATATGACCATGCCCTAAATACATTTACTTACCGGTTTCTGCAGTTGACCCGGAGTGCGATATCGCTGTTGCTACCATGGCGCAACTTCTCTTGCAGCAAGGCAAGATCATGGAAGCGCTCAAGTATTTCGAGCGAGCTGCGGAGCTGGCCAGAACCCCGGGCGAGATTGTGAATGCTCTATCTTATGCGGAGGCCACAAGGACCCAAATTCAGGTACAGGAGAACTATCCTCAGCTTGCAGCAAAATTGCAAGGTATTGGCCAAGGCATGACCGGCCCTGCTTTCCCTCCTAACGTGTCAGGATATTAAGTGTGCCTAGTCTTGTATTTACGGGCCCGGGTGGGACAGAGGGTGGTTTACCGCGGTCACGCAAGACTAGGATTAAGCGTAAGTACCTCGAAGAAGCGAATTCTCGCAAGATACTTCTTCGCAGGGGCCGGTAACGCTAGCGCGCAAAGAATACCTGACTAGGTACACTTTATCCAACATGGGAGAGTAGGTAAAGGTTCCGAGCTTGGCAAGGACCTATTCCGTTTTTGACGGCTGTCAGCCGATGTCTGTTAGTTTGTAGCATGTGTACTGGCGCAGGATGATTTGGCGGAATCGCATGGAGGCGTTGAAGTTGCACGGCTCTTTGCGAGTTTGACGAATCCCCCTCACTCATTGGCAGGAAAAAAAGACCTGGTTGGTCTCTGGGGACTCTGGCGGCTGGCTGTATTTGATAATAGGCCGGCAGGCGATATACCATGAGTCCAAGTACAACATAATCACACACTACCTACCCACCTACCACTTGTACCAAAATACTGTACTGTATATACTATCTACCAGTCGCCCTTCCACCTCCACGAGGGGGATGGTGTGACCTGATCTAGTGTGTAAAAAATGGTAAAAAATAACCATACACTTGCTGCATGTTATGCCACCGTTTTACCCATTTCGTTTTAGTAATTGACGTAGGAAGGTCTCCTGCATGTGCTTCCAGAAATGAAGTGGATATGTGTGACAACTGTCAGTCAGACGAGAATAGTACGACGAACAGTTGTCGTGTTTTCATAGGGGCGGAGGTATTTAGTTTGTTTATAATTACATACTTGGCCCTCGTAACAGTATTTAGAAGGGCAAAATAGGATTTTGTGGAAGGGATTTGCTTCAGTCGAAATTAAATAGTGAAAAAAGAAAAAAGAAAAAGAGTTGATTAAAGTTGGTTATAAAGTTGAAAAAAAAAATTTATATAATTGTTGTATAACTATATGCTCCGAATCGGGGAATCGAACCCCGAGCCTCACGGTTTTCTCTATCTGCTAGAGATAATGAAAACGTGAAATGTTAACCGTTACACCAATTCGGACTATAATGTTTCTGGATAATAGCGCTGTATAACAATTGTAGCTCTATCTTTATCTATATTCCATAGTGTTGCGCTTGGAATTACATAGAGGTAGGTACGTAGATATATTTAATGACCTGATGATAAGATGGAAGTGTGTCTCAGCAATGAATGAACGAGACTCTGCTCATTTGCTTAGATATTTCTATCCATTGGAAAACGCCAAGGGACGGAAGGGAGAAATGTCGTTTATAAATACATATCATCACAGCTTCATAACTCTCTATTTGTACATAAAATGCTAACTACAGCTTCATACCCGGCTCACAGCTCGGCTCATACGGAGGTATACCCGGTAACACAGCAGGATACACGCCTCGCAGTGAAGCTTCCAACTCCCTGAACGAAGAACCCAGTTCATCTTTAACGCACACTATCTTATCCACGTGTCCGAAAGAGACCTGTTCGCACGATCCCGCCGCCAAATCCCTCATCTCGGACCTTGCTACAAGGACCTTGCCTCCGCGGAGCACCAGCTCAATCTTCTCCTGCGGCGCAAAGATAGCCTGCTCGTACGGATCACCATCACCATCGCCCTCCCCGCCGCCGAACACTACGATATCTGCTACCTTCCCGACCTCGAGCGAGCCCAGCTCGTCCTCGTACCCAGCTACCCTCGCGGCGTTCACCGTCGCCATCTCCCACAGCACCTCCGGCGCAAGACTCGCGTGGTAAAGCTCTCTAGTCGCGGAGACCGCGCACGCAGCCTCTCTACCTATCGTCGCCGAGCCCGACGGCAGCCAGTCCGTGCCGAGCGCCACCGTGATCCCCGCGTCGAGCAGATACGTCACGTCCAGCGTCGTGCCGTAGAGGTACATGTTGCTGCGCGGGGACCAGACCACCTTCGCGCCCCGCGCCGCGACGACGTCGAAGTCGCCGCGCGACAGACCCAGCGCGTGCACGAGGACGACGTTGGGCGCGATGATATCCGTGCTCAGACCGCCGCCGTCGACGGCCGGCGTGGTGTCGAAGGATCCATTGGACAAGCAGATGAATTCGTTCGCGGCTTCCACGTCGACGCCCTCGCCGACGTGGCCTATGTACCGGTGGTACTGCGTCGCCGTGGCGCTGTCGATGGCGTCGGCCCCGTAGTCGCAGTCGCCGTTGCGCAGGATGCCCAGACGGTCCTTCAGGGGGAAAGTGTCGTAGATCACGAGCCGCGCGTCCAGCCCGTCTTCTAGTCCCTCTGGGAAATCCAGATTGCGGGCTAGGCCTGGGACCACTGCATGATGGTTAGTAATTTTGCCGCTGTATGTAAGTAAAAAAAATAAAAAAATAAAAAAGGGGTTATCTAGTAGGGTTTTAAGACGTTGCGAGGGGGGTCTTCTAGGGTATGGATCTGAATTATGCCTTCTCTAAATTTTCTAAGAAGAGAATATTGAAAAATGATAAAAAAAAAAAAAGTATGATTTTCAGAAACCACTCACTCTCGCCTCCAATGATAGACGTAGTCCCCGAAAATACATGGCGCAGCTCACCCCACGCCACGGCATCCACCTCGCTCCCGTTCACAGCGACCTCGCGCATGGTGAAGTTGCGGGTACCGAGGCGCCAATCGTGACGATGTCCCACGCGCTCCCCGAGATCCGGAAAGGGGCCCACGGTCGAGAAGTCGATGTGCTCGTGGGTGTTGATGAAGCCGGGCGACACCACGGAGCCCGCGCAATGCACCACGCTGGCGTCGTCACCGCCTCTGCCCGTGCCGAACCCGCACGTGTCGCCCACGTACGCGATCTTGCCCGCCTGGATGAAGAGCGCGGAATCGCGCTGGACAACACCGTCTGGTGTGAGGAGTGTGCCTCCTATTAGGAGGATGTCTCGCGATAGTCCGCGCTTGAGGATCCGGCATTCTGCCGATGCTGGCCGGAGGAATGCGCCAGCTAGGAGGAGAGCGTGGTATATGCGATTCATCAGGACGGCATTGAACAGGACCGCACTTTTTGGGACCTGGTTGAGGAGATACAGGTGTGATTTGACGACGTTGGTAAGTCGTCTGATAGATATGCTACTTATTAGTTAGTTAATTAAACCGGGAAGGTTTGGGGGTGTAAACACTAAGTGAGTGCCTACGAGGGTTTTCACACGAGTATTACGATTTCTAGGCGCGATCGAGTAAGCCGAAAACTCACGCTGTTGTGTTTATGTGGCGTCTGCTGTCTTATTGTGAGTGCTCGAGAATCCGTTCATGATAGGTCCCCAGATACCAAGGTATATATGTAGGTGCCCGTCTGTCTATCTGCTGTGAAATCTTGATGATGATGCTGTTGTGGATAGGTCGAGGTTAGTCCGGTTCAAAATACCTACCTATGTAAGCACTTCTCTTCTAGGCAACATGCGTGGGTCGCAATTTATAGTAGGTAGAAAGCATTAAAATCATATTTATACCAAAACTGATTTGCGTCGTCTCCCCAACTCAAATCGGAGTGAATAAGAGACGTCTTGAATGTCGTGATCGTGGATATCTAACGCTGTACTGCAAATGTAAGTAGGGCATTAAGCTGAAGTACCGGATAGCTGCATATCCCTTGCCCTTGAGTCGCTAGGTCAGGGTGGGACACTCGGGACTGAGATTCCCTCCACTCCTCATTGTAGGTAGACCAAGACCAACGGGAAAGGTTGACATGGGCTTGCATATCACAATTCCAACCTTCGTTTCTGCAGATATGCATTATGAAGTGGTTGCTGAAGCGACTATGAGGAAGCTGAGCTCAACTAACTCATAATTTAAAATTTCAGCGGACGAGGTCGCTGTATATTGCCTTGCGAATGTGAGAACCATGGCCACACCACCTTACTTGATTAGACATCTAGAGGTATCTGTGATAATTGATGGTCTATCCTTCAAATACGAATACTCGGTATTCATGTGTTCAATTCCTCCAGTGGGGCCCCATTCCGGCACTTGAATGGAGCTATCCTAGCCAAGGTAGTATGTGGTCAAGATAACGGGAGACTGTCGATCAGAGATATCAAAAAAGACAGCGTAGTATGTAGTCGAAAAAAATAAACCCTCGTTGCCAACTAGACTTGAGACAACGGGATGGTGATGTGACAGAGCTACCTACCCATCGCATAATGTCAAGAGGGATGCCGACTTGGTAGCAGCAGCAGCCATTACGTCACCTATATCAAATCAGATTTAGATGCTACATTATTCTTTAAGTGCTTGCATATGGCGTTCCTGCTCTCAACCCAAAGCGTCGAGACATGTGGGAGGTGACCAATGGCGCGATGGGTTATCGTCAGGCCTCATACCTGTTCCTTGATAAGTGGTTCATTGGCTGCAAAGTGCTACCGGAAGAGCCTTGGATCCGATGCTAAGCTACGTAGGCGCCTGGGTTGGTCGGCGAACATTGTTGCAGAAGATGTGATGCCTTCGAGATTGTCCCCAACAGGTCGAATGATGATCCTGACGGCAAATCCGGAGCAACACAAGGTACTGGCTGCGCTGCAGATGCATCGACAGATTCGACACCTGCCTACCCTTCCCGTTGGTGACGATCCCCTTCTGGTCTACACTGCGTAGTACTTCTTCGGGATTCAGACGCGCCGCTCCCCCCTTCATCTTTTCCCCCCTCTCTGCCCCCCCTGCCCGTACCCTGCTGCCGGGTATAAGTAAGTAGGTACATAGTAGTCAGGGGGAAGGGGTCCCTGATTGCGGGGCGTAGGAAGCATCAAAGTCGCATCCGCGCCCCCGTCACAATTCTCACAAATCTCACAAATCGTGCCGAGCGCTCGATCCAATAGCCCCCCTCTGCCCCCCGTTGTTGGAGCAGGCCTTGAAACTGCTGCAGGTTGAGCTTGTCCTCGCCCGGACGATCCTGACGGGCCTTCGATGACAGCTGATAGGTCCGTCCCGATCCCTGGGCACTGGGCACTTACTTACAGTACCTAGGTAGATTTGTCGTCGTGGTGGGCTGGCGACTTGCGCAGGCAGCAGATACAGCACAAAGCACAGCTAGTGCACAGCTACTGTAGGTACCTACCTATAGTTGGACTAGGTGGTTGTTGGTTAGGTTAGGCCCATACTAGTTCTGCAGTATATAAGTGTGTACTAGGTAAGTAAGTGAGTGATGATCCCGATCCATAAGTAGGCCTTCTTCGACTTCAATCTTCCTCTCTAGCTGTCGACTATCTCTTGGTTCTCTCTTGGTTCTGTTCTCTTCTTTTCTCACCACCATCTTTCAAAGCTACATATTTAATGTATTTGCGCAAGTGATTCTCTGACACAGCCAGCCTGTCCATAGCCTGTCATTGCACCCCTGACCCACAGTCGTAGTCCCTTGTCGTCGTTTGCTTGCTGCCGAGGCATTATTCATCTTTGGCCCCTACCACCCTGACACTGCACATTGCGAGGTACCGGTACGCAGATATTGCGTAGAGCTTGCTCCCACGTTCTTCAGCGACATCTTCTGTGATATCAACCGCGCCGTGAGAAAATCACTACTGCAATCTCATCAGATCCCCCAAAATGACTACGACACCGCCAAAGATGGACGGCGTAGATGCCACGACTACCCCAGAAGGGAAACCAGATTCCGCCCCCAAGACTACCCAAGACACCAAGACGGAGAGCAATGGCGGGGCCGAGCAAACCCACCTGAACGGCGAAGACCTCGTCGACCCGCAGCTAGACTTCAAAGGCGAGGTTGACACGAATAACGACATCCCCTCGCCCAAGGTCCTGAAGGCCATAGAGGACTACACTGTGTTCGACCATGCCGGCAAGACTCATCCCTTCAAGAGTTTATATTCCGGCCATAACGTGGCACGGCGCGTTCTCGTGATATTCGTGCGCCACTTCTTCTGCGGTGTAAGCCCTTCACAATCCTCTTTCTTTTTCTCATTCCCTCTCTCTCCACCAAGTTCTACTGTACATACTTCTTTCCTGTTTCAACATGATGATGATATCATTATTCATAATATCAGCAATAATGAAATAATGAAACCATCCGAAGTGGGCGAATGTATTAACCGGAGACGTGTCGCAGAACTGTCAGGAATATCTCCGCACGCTATCCGCTTCAATCACCCCCGAGGCACTGCTGGGTCTGCCCGTGAGTACCTTTATCACCGTAGTGGGCTGCGGCTCACACGAACTCATCGACCATTACGTGAAAGAGACGGGCTGTCCCTTTCCCGTGTACGCCGACCCCACGCGCCGGCTGTACCAGGAGCTAGGGATGGCTCGGACCTTCGCCATGGGCGCCCGTCCGGCGTACCTGGGGGACAAGACGGTGGCGCACACGGTCGTCTCGGGCATCATGCAAGGCCTGCGACAGGTGAAGACGGGGCTCGTCACCAAGATGGGCGACTCGCGCCAGGTCGGCGGCGAGTTCCTATTCGAGCCCGCATCGGGATTGGTCGAGACCCCTATTTCGACCCCGGATGGACAGAGCGAGGCTGTGGAGGAGAAATCCGTGACCTGGTGTCATCGGATGCGCACCACGCGCGACCACGCCGAGATCCCCGAGTTGATGGAGGTCCTTGGTCTGGATGGTAATGGCCAGCCCACGCGGGACGCCAAGAGGTGGAAGAAGGCGCTCTCTGCGAGGAAAGGTACGGGGTTGACTATGGCTGGGCGTATGAGCGTTGATACGACGAAGACTGCGGTTGCCGCGGAAGCTGATGCGTAAGGGACAAATGGATGGATGGATGGATGGATAGCGAATGGTCTGGGACCGGTTCATGATTTACGGTGGCTAAGGTCTAAGGTTAGAGCGTTATGGCGATAATACGAGCTTTGTTTTCTGGTATCCATGGTCGTCCCTATTTCGAGCCCGTACGTGGTGGAACTCGGCACTGATATCTACCCATGAGATTAGCATATTGAATCTGAATAATTCCCTCTCACTATACGGTTGGATGTCTTGACAGGCGTGGACGGAATAGAGCAAGGATAACCGGAGCTTCACATTCGACGAAAATACCTGTCATGCGGCCCTATGTATGGGCTATTCTTATTATGAATTCTATCTAGGTACACTAAAGCGAGGATACGGATAAGGAGATCTAAACAGCCATACACTGACATTATTTATGTACAACAAGCTCTATACTTCGCCTGCGACCTAATCCTACATTGACCATCGAGAAAGCACTCTTGAATGAGCTCTTGACACGTAAAAGATGCCCATATATTGTTTTCAAAGCGTGGTCTTTGTCCAACCATGATCCCCACGGCCAGGGACATGCTGCATCCCATATACAAAACGCCTAAATTGCAGAACCAGACAGCCCGGGTCAACTGTATAGACAATTCAAGCTTCCTTAACACGCTATTAGGATTTCATTCTGTGCTATACTAGACGACTATGTTTTCAACCGTTACAAAAGCGTACGATGATAAATAGTTGATTAATTACGGAATGAAATGGTGTTTTACATGCTAGTCAATATACGACACAGCTATGTGAGTAATGTGTGCCCAAATCGCAGGGTCGTTCGAGGTCTTCCCAAAGTCCTTCTAATCCGAAGCAGTGGCAACAAACAAGTACTCGCCCAATGCTTAGCCAGTTTCCATTCGGTGCAACACGGTTACATAATGCCCTGGAAATGGCGGCGCAGCACTTCACGATAAAACAAGGTTGAATATTCCACGAAGCAAGTGGCAATTCATAGTACGCCAGTTGGGTGGAGTTCTCTAGATAGTACGAAGAAGCGCCACTTAGAAGTCGAAATGAAAAAGATTTCCTAGATTTGTCTGCAATATCCACAGTTGCGGCGGCCAGATACCGGGAGAGAATGGGATACTGGAGACGGTATTATTTTGAATCCGATCACTCTTCAAAGTGATGGTATTTGAATAATTATTTTGAGCACGTCACTTACATCCCCAAGGGAAAACAAACACATCTCTCATGCAATAACAGAATACGTTGACGAACGGCTCGTTGTAGACCGGCCTTTCTTCTCTGTCGCTGCGACTAGTCTGACCGACCCTGTGGAGAGTGTCCAAACTACATAGTATAGAATCAAGATCGCAAGCTTAGACAGCATATCCTATCCTACGAACTTAACAGCAAGGGCACATACGATAATCTCTCGCAGGACCTTTCCCTTGCCACCCAACTAATTTGGTTGCCTTGCAGCCAAAGCGTACGCACCCGTTTACCCACAGCATCATTGGTTTCTATCCATCACCCCGGTGAGAAACCAGAGCTTTATAGCACATACCGTACCTGCCAAGTAAGTACGTACCTAGTTTCACAGCGTTCCGTCTACGCGCGCGTCACGCTTTCACTGCTTTTTTAGCCCAAAGGGAGCTGATAGATAACGAATGCACGTTTCTGCACTTTGCGCGGTAGACTAGGTATTTTCCCCTCACGCGGTAGCGTAGTATTCCGCTTCCGCCTCCACCGACACTGCATTTTTAGCCCCGTCGCGCAGGGAAATCAAGTAGCTACCTAAGGTTGTAGGTATCCTAAATCCCGAGGCTGAGATGAATAATATCAAAGCCACCTAGGCCGATGCGCAACTGTGTGGGTGCGCTTATCTGACACATAGGTATAAGCTTGACCAAGTAGCTAACGACATGAGAGGTTATTGTGGCATCGAGAGATCTTGAAGCTTCAAATACACCTGACTAACGGCTCATGCGTTTATATCAAGCTACATTCAAGATGATACGAAGTGAACTAACTGTACTTGAGATAATGTGTGTTCCATTCTCACAAGACAAACCCCCTTTCTTCTATGCACATAGGAAAGTGCAATACATCTCTTATATCCACTTCACTAAGAATGGAATATAGGAGTAGTTATCTCAGAAGATAACCCCATATTCCCAGTAGAGCCATCAACCCGTACAAGTCCTCATGGTTTCTACATCATCATATCGAACAAGTCATATTTCACATCATGGTCTGAGACCAAGCTGTTCCATACCCGCTTACTCTGAAACACGAAACAGAAGCCAATCGCTTAAGACAAACTAGCATCATGCTCATTCATCAAACATATCCGACATACAACTAACTACCTAGGTACCTAATATGAAAGCTACTTTTCTTTCCACTCTAATCCTACGAGCCGAAAAGGGTGTTGATCGGTGTGAGTAATGAGACGTAAAGTAAAGCCTCCAGCAGTAGTAAACAAACATTTAACCAACCACACTACTTACTCACACTCCTTTGGCGTAAATATGAGTCAAGTCATTGATCGCACTGACATATCACTCTCATGAAACGCCAAAACAACGAATATTTACTCCTCTTACCAAACGTAAACAGCAGACTCTGATAGTGCGAACTTCTGACTCACCAGACACTCAAACATCTCATCTATCTCCCGGGACCGTTGCACGAAGAGCTATCTTCGGCAACAAGTAAACACCACACAAGACAGTCTTCAGTAATAGAATATACCGCAACCACCTAAGTCCATGGGGATTTAAATAGGAACATCACCTGATATATCATTACCACGCTAGCCTACCTATTTAACAAAAGTACATACCCGCCAGCCCCGCCAGCCCAACGTCCCAACCTGGATGAGGAACCTTATATCATAGTTCCGAAGAATCCAAAGCGCTGCAATTTTCCCCTCCCTTCCCGTTCATTATAGTCTTATAGTGACACACAGGGGAAATGAAGAAAAAAAGAATACATGCATAAATACACAAATGTTTGTGTACAAAAAAAGAAGATACCGATGGGATTGTCTTCCTGTACCAGTCGGGACCGGACCCCATCGGGTGAAAAAAGGGCCCCTCATTGAAGGACAGATACGATAGGAAGAAGACATAAAAAAGAAGAAGAATTAGTATAAAGTCTAGTTCAGTGTCGTCGTCGGATATCTAGTACGGCCAATTTTTTGTTGTATGATTCCCAACCTCGTCATTTTTGTCGTTCTGATGAATTTGTGATATGGTCGTACCATGCGTGTCGGAGGGATGGAGGTATCGTATCGTGATTTCAGAAAAATTTACACACAAACTGTTTTTGTGTAGCTTAGTTCCCTGAAACTGCCTGCTGAGCTTGTGTTACACCGACACCGACACCAACCGCGACGGCGATGATAAGGATAGTGATAAGCAAGCACCACCATTTCCATTTGCGGGCGTTTCGGGCACTAATAATGCCCTTCTTGACTTGCTCGTTACCCTGAGACAGGTTCTTGTTCGTGTCCTCGGCGTTCTGCTCGGCTTGTACTATGGGTACCTCCTGCTGCTCGACTAAGACAGCGAGATCCTGGAACAAACTGGCCAACTCCATGAGCGTCTTCTCAATGCGCTGAAGCTCGTTATGGCGGGCGCGGACAGCACCGAGTACGGACGACGCTTGACCAGTCCGGTTGGTGCGAAGCTAGAAAGGGAGTTAATAAACCTGCAGCAGCTTTGGTACCAAATGGTAAGCTAGGGAAAAACAGTACGTACCGCTGTCTGAAAGACACCCTCGTTACCCCAATCGGCTTCAGTCGCCTGGCGGACCTCGTCTTCGGTCGCATCAGGATTTACTATGCGATATTGGCGAGCAATCTGATCACGGTATCGTGATTGGAAGGAGCGTTCCTCTTGTTGATAGGCCTGTAGTTCACGCTCGAACTGTGCCTTGATGGTGCTGATTTGGCGGTCCTTGACGGCGCGGCTGCCGTCGGTCGTCCTGTGGGCGTCGTTGGCGAGGAATTTGAGCTGGTCGCGAATACCGGCGTTCAGACTCTGGGTCTCGGCAATGATGCGTTCGAGTTGCTGGGCGGATGTACCGCTGTCGGCCTCGGCGAGCGACCGCTGGTGTAGGGAGGCAATGGCTTGGACATTGTTGGTCAGGGTGCCGATCTCGTTGCGAAGGAAATCAATGCGACCGAGGAACTCCTGCTGCGGCAGTGTCTGCGACTGTTGGGGGTAGCTTTGCATTTCATGGTCCTACAATGGCGAGGCTATGGTCAGATGGTGTTGTCGTCGTGTTTTTCTTTGATACTGACCTGGCCATACTCATAACCCTGCTCAGCCGACGGGCCTTGCTGGTACGGGTTGTACGACATGATGAAGGGACGAGTGCGGATTTGCGCGCGTATCTATGTGATTATAATTCGGGGATTGTCGTCGAGAACGAGGAGGAGGAACGGTCGCTTGGCTACAGAATCAAGGGAAGAAAGGTAGAAGAGCGCTTAGAGTTGCAATGCACTAACTATGTAGCCCGTGCTGCCCGTGGTAGGCAGGTAGAATGAGAGGGTGTCAGGAAATTTGGGACTTTGGGGTGGAGCGACAGGTTTGCTAGGCCTGTACTGTACCTGGCTCGCCTGGCTTTTACCTTTGCACAGCACCAGAACTGCACCGCCCATTGGCCTCGCGGCCCCGCCAAGAGCACCTACTCGGGTAGGTAATTTACCAACATGACGTCGAACCCCTGTAGCTTTGACCATTCTCCGCCAACATTGGCCCTTTAGTGATCTGGTTAGAGTCTACCGAGTACCTAGTGTAGGTACTGTAAAGTAGAGAGAGAGAGAGAGAGAGAGAGAGAGAGAGAGAGAGAGAGAGAGAGAGAGAGAGAGAAGTTTGTTTCTTCCAATGAAAGATTTTCTGCTTTTAACACATTTAGAACTATGTAGGTAGCTACGATTTTTGCTCAGGCGTTTCGCAATACTTTGCGCTTTGATAAACGCCGATGGGGGCGAAGGGCTGAAACTGGCTTCGGCATAGCAAAGCGAACCTATTAAGCTGGGAGCTGCCTGCCTACTTAGATATTATTCATGAAATTGAATAATGATACCTACTGGAGGTCGTCTGGGGCCGCATGAGAAGTTAACCTGATGGAGTAATCTTGAGGTACTGTATGCAGGGAGGCGACATGCAGTACATAAACGCCTCCTAAGCCGCTTCGAGACTGTATTCAAGGTCCCCTAATTCTCCGCAATCTATCTATGGGCAGTTTTCCACGGAGTATTGCCGGTGTTTGTCTCTAAAAATAGTCCAGAACCTTCCCGCAGTGGCGAAATCTTAGCGTAGGTAGAGTACAATTGGAAGTATTTATATGCATGCGTAGGTGCATACATGTACTACGTACTAACAAACTTCTGGCTGCGAGCTGTGAACTTTCAACTCACTCACTACGGTAGGCTACTAAGGCCTCGAGTACTCGCAAGGTTGCCAATGTCGAATAGGGTTGTATGAATCAGTGTTGTGGACAGTCTTATGCCCATTAGAAGCCAATCATCTGACGATAGAGACGGCGATAACCGAGGTGTCTTTTCGTAGTAAATCCTAATTTGATTCGGCCACTATCTCAATATGTGACTTGCTGTTACACCCAATCTTAACAAATAAATGTAGCCGAGAGTAGCAGCCACACGAGCGGGCTGTTAATAGCTAGCTCATTCAAATGGGTCCTTTCAGTTTTTCCCTCTTTTTGAGGCAGGCTGGGGTATCAAATAATTATATTGCGAAACCCGTCCAGACACTCTCCTAACTCTAATAGTCTTCGATCTAGTTCTTCAGAGTTCAGGGCCAGAGAGTTTCTTTCTAGCCTCTGTATGAACATGATGAGTCTACCGAAAAATGATACCTCTACTTGATAGCATCTCCAAGTGATGTATCGAGATAACTGCCACGAGGCTGGAACGACACCATCTTCCTGACGGCCTGCTTTATAAGCCAATCACCAACGAGATATTGGACGAGGTTGGTAGCAACCACTCAAAACAGCGCCTCTCTCGTCTGGTGTTTCGCCTTTCTTCGCAAATAATGTAGCGATCTTCATTTTGCCATGAACTCTTATCAAGTTATAGTCACAGACGGAGCCTGGGACTTTAAAGGTAATTCTTCTTCCGACTGGTTCGTGTATAATTGGTGAGGGCCCACTCAACATCGCCATCTCGCTGATCCAGTAATCCGGCCCGGATTTGAAATGGTTTCATGGACATTCTCGGCCCAACCTCACTCAACTCTACCGAGTCATAACTACCGTCCAACAGTCAGTATCCTACAAAGTTTGGCACGCTACAGCAGAAATCACTCATAATCTGTGAGAAAAGGGTTCTCAGATGCTTACCTAGTCTGTACAAAAACATGGTGACGAACCTATTCAAAGACGAGTCAGACAAGTCGTTCTATGTGAGCACACATCCTGGAGTCATTTGAAAAGGCACAAGCAGGGCAGTGTTTGACCTCAAAATATACCACAGGTTTATGGGGGGCATTTTGTCATACCTCTATTGTGTCGTCAAGATTTTTGAATGTGATTACTCGTGATCCGATAGATTTGCTGGTAGCGGCCTCACGAGGAGGGAAGATATGCTGGAGAACTTTCACAATACGTTTGCCTAAAGGTGTCGAAAATCCTGAATATGTGGTGAGTCTAGAGATTTCCTAAGATGAACATAAATAGTTACCTTCAAAAATAAGGTGCCTGAAAAATCCCAATAGTTAGTGCTTGCTACCCCTAGGAGATTTTAAACCGCTTGAGTGTTCAAGAATGTAACGCAAGTACAAGGTGCTGTGTGTATATATCCACTGGGGAAGGCGGACAAGAATGACCATAGAACTTACGGATAAGACTCGCTCACTGTGCCTCGAATAGTATTTGGAATATCGTGGCGTAGAACCACATTGTGCTAGCTCCAGGTCAGCTCCTTGGACATCCCCAAGATCATCTCCAAACCTACAAGAGAGAATGACACTGTTGGCCCGAAGGGAAGATGTGATAATGTGAGACCTGTCGGCTGGCCTCTGTGCTCATGCAATAACTGTGTAATGTGGTTAGCTACTTATATAAAACTGACAAGACTGCTCCTTACTATTATGTCACTCAATCCAGCAGATTGCGCCGACTTAACGAGTTCAGGAAGAATGGTGCCACCACGATTTAACTGGACATCAATCATTAGCAAGATATACAATCTAAAATTGGTCTACTTTCACCGAGGCGCATTGACACCACTTACACGAATGCCTGTGGGAAGTAGTAACCGAATTTCCTTGCTGAAAGCTATTCCAGACTTAGTATCTTTCGACCTGATGAATAAATCCGGATAGACATACCCTGCAGCCTCGTTGAAGGGTCGCGCGAAGTTGTGATGAGCACTCGGGGGTCTACGAGGCCGGAGAGGTGTTGATATTCATCGTCTAGTTCGAGTTCTTCTTGGATGGACCGATCTTGGGCAGACTCATCATACTGGAAGTCCTTTCGTAAAGTTTTGTCATTCGCAATACTAGGATCGAGAGGCCGGCCACTAGCGAGCGCGGCGCGCAATTTTGATCTCCGCTCGGATACCTCAGCGTTCTGAAGTAGGATGGCCTTTCGGTAAAGGAAATCCCTCCTCGCACGAGCATTCTTGCGAATCATGATGACGGCTGAGGATAGGATATGGAATGGATCGTAGCAGAAGCAGGCGTTGCAAGTTTCGGGAGCGGCGATGCGATCGGATTCCGGATTCCACGTCCCAGTGTCACAAAATGATTTCTATTGAGTAAGTTGGTTTCGAGGCGAGATTGTGTTGGCGAATGGTGTTTTTTTTGCTGGCGTTGGTGTCCAAAAGCATTGATGTCAATGGCGATGGCCATTTACATGTTAGATGTAGATAATGCTGTTTCCTGGCTTTCGAGAAATTTTGGCGGGGCTTATCAGCTACTGGGCAGCGGGTACTAACCATAGTAGTGTACTCACCTATGGTACTGCTTCACTAGCTTCAGCAGGTAGCGATACATCTCCCTAGCTACCGACCAGCTGGCTTTGTGGGGCCCGCCTGGTTCACAGCACACCTGCAGCAGCCTATAGAAGTGCTATAGGCACTTTTGGCAGCATTGATACAGGCCCCATCAGATGGGCTGTGATGGTGTGGCATGGTGTGGCAGGCCGAGGGGATGTACCAGCTACAGTAATTATGTAAGGCCCTAGGTATCTTCTAGTGGGCCACCGTAGCCAGGCTCGAAAAAAGATTCCTTCTATCGCCCTATCGCGGACTAGTGCGATTCTGAATTGCGACGAACTGCGGAATCGCAAACAGAAAGGTGGTGACCCCAAACTTTCCTTCCACCCACGCCCACCTCGTGGTGTGAATTATATCATCCCTCCCTGCCCTCACCGTCGCCTACCTCTCTCATACCTTTCATTCGCGCTCATTCGCACCGCCACCCCTATCACTCTTTGCGTCGGCTTCGCATTGTCAAACAATGTGATCTGGATGTTTCCACTTCGCTGAATCGCAGACAGATCCCACCTAAAACCGCCACCCGCTTTACCCCCATACCTATTGACAGCCTCTTTGTCTACGCCCCTCTCCCCGTACTGCACCCTTCGACGCTGTACAGTCCAGACGCCGAGACAGAGCTCCTGGCACTCGAAGAACCGTCCTCCCGTCACTGACGATCCCCGGGCAGGGCCCTCCGCCGAATACGTTGTCTCCGAAAATTGACAATCCCTGCCCCAGAGCGGCCCACTAGAGGAATGGACGCCTTCACCCATCTCGGTAACCATCTGGTTTCCAATTCCGCCACTACCATCAACGCCGGCGAAGATGATATGTCTACTCTTGATCCCGATGAGACCTTGCTTTTCGGCAAGTACAATGGACGGGGTGGCCTAGGTAACGCCAGGCGCCAGAACGACGATGACGACAATGAGACCGAAGCCTTCGATGACGACGACAACGAAAGCTTGGCCAGTGTTCCGGTCGATGCTTTGAAAGGTCTCGCAATCAAGGCGCCCGAGGAAGACAAAGCACTCCCTCCCCATGCTTGCGCCTATTGTGGCATCCACTCGCCGAGCTCTGTCGTCAAGTGCCTTACCTGCAACAAATGGTTCTGCAGTGCACGAGGCAACGCAAGTTCCTCCCACATTGTCAATCATCTCGTTCGCGCGCGCCATAAAGAAGTCCAGCTTCACCCTCAATCTGCCCTTGGCGATACTACCCTCGAGTGCTACAACTGTGGCACCAAGAATGTTTTTCTTCTCGGATTCATCCCCGCAAAATCCGATACCGTTGTTGTTCTCCTATGCCGTCAGCCATGTGCCGCTGCTCCATCGTCCAAGGATATGAGCTGGGACATTTCCAGATGGCAGCCTCTTATCGAAGACCGTGCATTCCTTAGCTGGCTTGTCTCGGCGCCCACCGACGCGGAGCAGCTTCGTGCTCGACACCTTACCCCGCCACAAATTGCCAAGCTCGAAGAAATGTGGAAAGATGATGCCAATGCAACCGTTGCGGACCTGGAAAAGGCCGCCAGTATCGACGATGATCCCCTACCTGTGCTCCTGAAATACGAAGATCCCTACCAGTACCAGAATATCTTTGGGCCTCTAGTTAAGATGGAATCCGATTACGACAAGAAATTGAAAGAGGCCCAATCCGAGGATGGCTTGATTGTTCGATGGGATGTCGGCCTCAACTATAAGCATGTTGCCAGTTTCACATTTCCTAAATTGGAATCTGGCGATGTGAAACTAGCAGTCGGCGACGAAATGCGACTCAAGTACAAGGGGGAACTACGTCCGCCCTGGGAGGGAGTTGGATATGTTATCAAGATCCCGAATAACCAGTCCGATGAGGTGTCTCTAGAACTACGAAAAACCGGCAATGACAAGTCCGTCCCGACCGAATGCACCCACAACTTCTCAGCCGACTATGTCTGGAAAGCCACCTCGTATGATCGTATGCAAGTCGCAATGAGGAACTTTGCGGTAGACGAATTTAGCGTTTCAGGTTACATCTTCCACAAACTTCTTGGTCACGAGGTTGCCGCTGGGCCTATGAAGACTACGCTACCTAAGAAGTTCAGTGCTCCAGGCCTTCCAGAACTGAACGGTAGCCAGATTAGTGCTATCAAGGCTGTTCTCAGCACGCCTCTCAGCCTCATTCAAGGCCCCCCGGGAACTGGCAAGACTGTCACCTCTGCCACTATCATCTACCACCTTGCTAAACAAGACAATGGGCAAGTTCTTGTTTGCGCGCCTTCCAATGTTGCGGTGGATCAGCTTTGTGAACGTATTAATCTCACAGGGCTCAAAGTTGTTCGACTGACTGCAAAATCTCGTGAGGACGTAGAATCATCCGTCAGCTTTCTAGCTCTTCACGAACAGGTCCGTATGCTTGACAGCAACCCAGAGCTGATGAAGCTGTCTCAGCTGAAAGGGGAGTATGGAGAATTGTCAAGTCAAGACGAGAAAAAGTTCAAACAGCTAACTCGAGCTGCTGAACGCGAGATACTTAGCAATGCTGATGTCGTCTGTTGTACGTGCGTTGGTGCCGGAGACCCGCGTTTGGCAAAGATCAAGTTCCGTAACGTCTTGATTGATGAATCTACTCAATCTGCCGAGCCGGAGTGCATGATTCCTCTTGTTCTTGGCTGCAAGCAGGTCGTTCTCGTTGGAGACCACAAGCAATTGGGCCCTGTCATCATGAACAAGAAAGCCGCCAAAGCTGGTCTAAACCAATCTCTATTTGAACGTCTGGTCCGATTGGGTTTCACCCCTATTCGACTCAATATTCAATACCGTATGCATCCCTGCCTTTCGGAGTTTCCATCGAATATGTTCTACGAAGGATCGCTACAGAACGGTGTTTCAGCTCCTAGTCGAATTCGCAAAGATGTAGATTTCCCCTGGCCTGTCGCCGAGATGCCAATGATGTTTTGGTCGAATCTGGGCAACGAAGAAATTTCTGCGTCAGGAACTTCCTATCTCAATCGAACGGAAGCATCCAATGTTGAAAAGATCGTAACGCGGTTCTTCAAAGCCGGAGTACGCCCTAGTGATATTGGTGTTATCACTCCATATGAGGGTCAACGAAGTTATATTGTAACGACGATGCAAAACACGGGTACTTTCAAAAAGGAATCTTACAAAGAAGTCGAGGTTGCTTCGGTCGATGCTTTCCAAGGCCGTGAAAAGGACTTCATCGTCCTATCTTGTGTTCGATCAAATGATAACCAGGGCATCGGTTTCCTGTCAGATCCTCGTCGATTGAATGTCGCTCTCACTCGTGCCAAATTTGGCGTTGTTATAATTGGCAATCCCAAGGTTCTTTCCAAGCACGACCTGTGGCATCACCTCCTCATTCATTTCAAGGAACGGAAATGCCTAGTTGAAGGACCGTTGACTAATCTCCAGACTTCGCTGCTTCAATTTAGCCGCCCTAAGAACACCTTTCGTCAACGTGCCCAACAATCTTCGTATGGTTCTCACGGTTACTCAAACGGTCGTGCGAATCATAATTACGCCGCTCATCATGGACAGCATCGACATCACGACTTAGAATCTAGCTCAATGGTTTCTTACATCCCTGACGATGTTTCCAGCATACACAGCTCTGCACTTGGCGGTGCAGCTCTGGGCAATACTGCCTTCCCGCCTATGTTCTCTAACTTCAACCCTGAGCAATGGCCTGGTCTTCCTGGTTTTAATGCCACATCCAATGGTCGAATGGGTAACAAGGGTCGTGGTCGTGGCACTGAGAGCATTGCTGGCGAGAGTGTTGCTACTTCAGAGTATACCGACGCTTCGGGGAGTGTTATCGGCGCAAAAGGTGTCGGACAAGGTGGCGCAAGCCTAGGAGCCGGTTTAGACGCCCTTCGCGCGCGACCAACTTCATATACCCACAGCGACCGTCTTCGACAACATGTTGCCGACAATTCTGGCTATCCAGGCTACACAAATGGCTTCCGTCGGCGCGTTGACGACGACGAGAAGTCAGTCAGCACGGCTTTTGCTAGTCAAATTGGAAGTGGTTTTGATTGAGTTTCCCGTATATAGGCAGCAAGCATGCTTTAAGGTTACTACACGACGACTCATTAGCTAGAAGGCCAACTCATTGCGAAAGTGGCATCTAACGAAGAAGTTGCGTAGACCAAGGACGAACGTCGAAATTCGACGATGGCCTAGTTTTGTACACCTTGCAAGGTATCCTACTACTGGCTCAGATCCATGGAGATTCCGAGGAAGCCGTTCAGGTGACACTCTGCCAAATCAGTAATTTGGCAAAGCAACCACATTCTACGGCCTGCATCCATGTTACTACGGCAAAACTTGACGGGAAACGTCTAAAGTCATGCGCTATCATGGATGGCACCACGAAGGGAACAGGCGAAGGATGAGCAGCTCCCAAACGGGGGCGCCTTAGGATTCACAACGGCACATCAACACAGCCGATGTAATGTAAACACCAATAGCTTCCTCCTCTCTTTCGCATGCTGTACCATGGGTATCCAGCTCTTACCATTCCGTTGGCTGAGGCGAAGATAGCGGCACTCATTCGTCCGCTCATGCTAGGAGACGGAGCAAGACCATTGTGGATTTTCGACAACATAACAAAACAACCGATCGATCATCATTAACGCAATCACGGTGCAAGACCCCTTCCTACTCACGCATCGTAAAGCGAGTCGAACGCTACGATTTGGAATTTTAAATGTTCACCACCCAACTAAACTAATTCACCCCTTCAAGTAAATCTATGCTTGAATGGTTTTGACAAGTCGCTCATTTATATAAGATAAAACAGAATAAAATTAGTCACTCCTTAAATCTTGGTCCACTTGATATATGCGTGAGATGAGTTCTGAGTGTTTGTTCATTTGCATTGCTTCGAGTATGTAGATCACATACACTTTTTGAAAACGATCGCGAGTGATTACGGATGTGCTTATAAAGCCTATTATTTGTTATTTACTTTACTACCTTGGAAACTAGAGTTCTGATTCTCATTCATATAGGTATTATGTCTTTGCTTAACCTGGCGGGTCCTAGGACGCCGAAGCGATGGTATACCTCATGATGAGATTTCGAAATTTAATATTGAGAGGCTGGGCTGAGTCTGGTCTAGTCTGGCGATATCATCATCATGCTGTCCTCTCACTTGGTAAGCGCGTCTCTTGACTAGGTAGGTAGCTTTTTCATTCCTTTCCTATCCTTCAATCAATCCATTGTAGCACTTGCCCCTGCTCCCTCGCTCCCCTCCGCAACGACAGGCGATTTTCATCTCGGACGATCGATTAATAAATCAATCAATCATGCTAGTAGTTCATAATTTTATTTTATTTTTCGTCTTTATATCGTATGTTACTGTTGGTGGTGTGAGTTGGCGGTAAGAACCGTGAACCAACCACCAGTCGGTTAACCCCCCTACATATTTACCGGTCGCGGGAGAATGAGGATACGCGAGCGATTCCAAGATGCAGGGCTTATATCGGCGAGATGAAATTAATTAGAGTTAATGATACATCTAGCCCGCGTTGTGCTTGTGCATTTTGGATATTACCAGCTCCCCTGACCCTCTGTGGAAGCTAACTTTAAGGTATGTAGGTAGTCTTATAAATATGTGATGTACATCACTACTACTAGTGTCGGTAGTGGTAGTGTTTTTTTCCACTTCTGCAAAAAATCTGCAGAACAAAATGTCGCTAGGAATAAAGTCGTTACAGCTTGTTCGTTGTATCTTTCCCCGTTTTAGTCAAGGGAAGTAGAGTGCTTCGTAGTGGCTTTATGCGCCAGCTGACCAACACCTTTGGAATATTCTATTCCGATGATTGACAAGTCGAGGGAATTCGCTGAGAATGTCTTTCAATCGCTGGTTCTCCCATGGTAGCTCGTCATGTAGAATGAGGTAGGTGTAGGAGAACACGGTGGCGTCGAAGAGTCCTGGGGTCCTGCTCCCGAAGAACCACTCCTCGTCAGCGAGGAGTGCATTCAGAGCGCGGAATGCTTCTCTCGCCCCATGGTATAGATATGTTGGGCTTATGGCATCTCTGCTTGTGGATTTTAATATCTCTGATTCAGCGGCGTGTCTTAGTTGATACAGAATAGTGGCTCTGACGGGCGGCGATGATGTTGTCGGCGCAATATAAAGCTGGGTGAGAAGACCAAGGTTTGCGGGCGACAGGTATAATGTATAGAGCCAGGCATTCCGTATACCATGATCAAGTAACGACTCGTAAGCATCTAGTTTCGTGCTGCCTGAGCTCTCTGGGGACTTGGATTTGCCGTTGTCAAGAGCATACTGCTCCAGCTTATTCGATGGAACTGGTCTTTGTGACCTCGGGTCGCTAGGCGTATATGGTGGTAAGAGGAACGGCAGTGCGCCGGTAGGAGAAGCGTGGTTGTTGGAGGATCGAACATGAAAATCGACACCGGCAAGTTTCAGAAACGTCTGTCATAGAATGGTATGTTAGCTCGGCACGACGAGACCACGAACGACCTATGACCCGAAATCTCCGACTTACTTGCCACTTCAAACAGGATGGATTGAAGCTCGGTAGCCCCTTCAAGGCGTCCTCGTCCGATATGAACACGTAAAGCGTGGGCGTGTCCCTAACATCTGGCGAACGAGCAGGGAGTTCGTTGGGGGGGTACGTCAGGAGCGGAAATTGCTTGAACAGCCGGGCTAGAGGAGCTGGTATGGTAAACCAACCGGAGGATTCCTGGGAACGCGGCCTACCCCGGGTTGCCTCTGTCGTATGAGACATGCTGAACGAGCGAATTCAATAGCAATTACTATCCGGAGCTTTGCTTCTCATCGACAACGCCCGGCCTCACTATCTATCCATCCAAAGTTAAGGTGGGCATGGCTATGACTACCTACCTAGGTAGGCAGGTGTGCTTATCGATAGAGGCAAGCGTCCGATTAGCGGTCCTAGGCAATTCTCTAGGGCCTTCAAACAGCTGGTCAAGGTCTGGGCTAAAGGGCCCTCGCAGCGCAGGCCTGGCAGCCCACGGTCTGCCCACGGGAACTAGCTGCCGCGGGGTTCAGCCACAGAACGCCTCCCCCTCCATATACGGCGTATCACAGTCCGGATGGCGGCCTGGCTCTTTGAAGGCCTTCATCCTTCATCTACCTAGACTCTGATCATGTACGTAACACGCCTCGCGCAAAAGTACAAGCTGAGATGCACAAGATCGAAGTCTCGTATCATGTCTGTTCAGCGCTGAACTGCGCCCTCCACTTTGACTAGGGGGCTGGCTTTGGCTTGTCTTTGACACAGTTGCACCTAGAGGTTCCATTGACGCGGGGAAGCCATCTATCATCTATACCTTACAGACATTCCGTCTGCGATACATACAATCATTCATCGCTATAGAGTGTTAAGGGATTTCTATACCAACGAGTCAAGACACATTGTAATTTCATGCATGTATGACTATGAAGATGGTCATTCTCCAAACGGCAATAGCCGGCGTTCGTTCGCATACATGTACCTAATGGGCGATGTTTTCGGAGTTGGTGACGGCCGCGCACGCATTGCATGTCCGGAGACGGCAGTATAAAGCCGGGGATACGGTCCAAGACACTGCCTACCGGGTAACACTACCCACTGCACATGCTCGATAAGACAGACCCTGACAGACCCTGGGGAGAAACCCTGGGCAACAGAAGCAAAGTGCGTTGAGACAGCCTCCTGCAGCCGGCGTTGCGTGCCTATTCAAACGGTGTCCCGATGTCAGGGTGTCATGGCAGATCCTGGACGGAAGAAACAGTGCCTACGTATCGCGGCCCAAGGCTCGTTCGCCTGACTCGAGAGGCCACTCGAAGTTTTGAGGGTAACATCCCGCGGCCATCTACTTAGTGCCGCTCATCTCAGTTCACCGGCTCCCCCATCGCCTACATCGTGTGCATCGACGCACTCCACCGTTACGTTCCAGAATGTGACGTGGGGCTGACGTTGGAATGCAGAGGGTGAATTCTCCCATGCTGTCATCTGTCGTGGTGTGTGTCTGGTATGTTGGCTCGAACTGGCGCATGCGATGACTTGTATATGTAAACCTACCTAGGTGTCTGCTAGGTAGGCTAACTACTCGAACTATCTGCCTGCTTCTAAGATGGTGACATCAATGCTAGGTAGGTGGGTATGGGAGACGAGCCCGACCAGAGCCCGACCTCGCTGGTGCACGAACACGCCGGCTTCTCATGGGAATCTAGATGCAGCTCGACCATTACATCTTGTACTGTACGTGTATGTAGCTCTGCTCGCAGGTTCGGACCTTACCTAGGTAGCTTTTACCTGGCCAACGCATCGTGAGTGGAAACGCGGCTACCGACCTACTTACGCACCCAAGATTTTCCAAATAAGTGCTCAATATGCTGGGCGCACTATCCGGACCGGCTCCCATGTGATAATGGTGCTGGTGAACCCCAATGTTTCAGCGTTTCAGCCCGCGATTGCAGGAGCGAAACATTGCAGTGGTGATCACCTCTCACTTTGCGGTTGTCTGTGATACCTGGTTTGACGCAGAGGCCGTAAAGAAGGCATCCTCGACCTTGACTAATAACCATAGAATGTGTGACTTGTGGACAAGGCGAAGTGAATGCTTTCACGTACTACATAGGTAGGTATGTATGTAGGTAGGTGCCATCTCCATCTTGTTTACGTGTACATGTATGTGATGGATGTATATGTAGAGATAGACACACACACACACACACACACACACACACTGTACTGCGAGCGATCAAGACGAGGCCAGACCTCGTCGAGTCCACACCTTCTTCATGCCTGGCTTACAGAGACCTGTATGCTGTGCCACCTTCTGCCTGCTACCTACGTGACATCGCGAGCCCTCGTCCACCCATTCATCGCCCGGGGCGGCAATACAGGTATATTCATTGACTACAGCATCTAGGTAGTTGCCCCCCAATGCTGTGACACAATCCATATGCATCGATCGCTCGCGCACAGTACGGAGTATATCTGCTAAACTTACTTACTACCGGTAGGTTACAGTATAGTATGTATGTAAGTATGCTCAGACATTCCAAGAAGCCCCAATTTACTCGGACATTCTGGCTGTAGTCGCGGTAAAAACAGATGGAGCGGGCTACCAACCGTGTGTGTTACGCTAGTGACGAAGACCTACCTACTTATTTGACAAAAGAGATAAAGAATTATTTGTACATAGTAGGTAGACTAGGTAGACTAGACTAGACTACACCGGTTTTCAACACATTTGTGATGGGACATTGGACACTATTAGAGCTTTCCTCCTTGGCCGGCCCCAACGCGAGACCAAACGGTCCAGTGATGACGACTATTAAAAAAAAATGATAAAACCGAAGAGAAAAAGCCAAGCCTGTCAATTTCAGTTTCACCCCGAGGACCCCCAGCAGCCCCAGCTCTGCCCCAGCGATGATCAACAACACAAATCTTCTTCGCAGCCAATTACCTAACATTGTCGATTTCCCTTTCTGGACTACTAATATATACATACATGTAGGTATATCCTTACACACCAAAACGACGAAGTACATATATAAGTACCGTCGTATGTATGTACATATGTATCTACATAGGTACTTACTTACATACCTACATTACTTATGTATGTATGTAATATTGTAGGAATATAGCCGTTGTATGGACTTGGTTACTACTTTAGCTGCCGTGGTTTAGGTAGTCTAGTCTACACTGCATATTGTACAACACTACATACATACTTACCTACATCCTAAGCCGCACAGATTCGGGCAAGGACGAGACCTCCAGGGAAGAGGCAGGGAACGGGGAAGAAAGTACCCTTGACTCGTGATGTAGCTGTGGGTGTAGGTATGTTGCGTGTGATGTAGTCGCCGCTCTCGCTCGCAGCTCGCAGCCAACTTATACTTCCCAGGTTGGGGTTGTGTGACATAGTGTACCAGGCCGGTTCGGTGCTTCTTGAAGTTATAACAAAGACGACCTCGCACTGCCTTGTCCTCTCTTTTCTTTTTTCCCCCAGTCCTGCCTAACCACTTTCATCTCAAATCCATTACATGTGACTTAAAAGAAGAGACATATACCAAAAGCTCTTCTCCTTACCCATCCCGAGATAAATACCCGTCGTACGACGTCGTGCCATACAAGCCCGGTCCTTTGTCTCTTCCATCATCCAACTCGTCGACTTCTACGCACCACACTGCCAACGTGACTGGACCCTCATTAAACCAGAACATATTCTCCTTCTCCTTCTCCTGGCTCCCTGACGGACTTTTTAAAGTCAACTGGCCTTTGCACTTATATCTTGTCCTTTGTGCACTTCCTTCCTCCCCACGGATACGCACAAGATACACATCCAGTCATCCCATCATCCATCTATCGCCTCTCACAACTTATATTCGCCAAGATGACGCCATTATATCTTTGCAACGCCTCCAATATAAATCCTGCCGCTGTCGCCGCTTCCTCATCATCAGCAACAGTCGTAGACACCTCAGCATCGTCACTATCGTCGGCTCACGTATCAGACAACACCACAAGACGGCCCAGCAATGTCATCATGCACCCTCCCAGGCCCAAGAAGAAGAAGACTCACAGCACGGATCCTTACCTGCGCGACTCTACCCTCGTTGCAGAGGCTGCGCGGCGTGCTCAGCTATCTCTCATGACGAGGGACATGGAGGACGTCAGTATATCGTCATAAATCGATCCGGAATACCAATGCGCTTTGCTCGCGTGCTCGACCGAGGTACCTAATTTGCATTACCTACGCTTCTTTATTGTACCTATCACCTCGTCGCCTGGCTGCGCGCTATACCTTCCCCCAGGTTTCCCAAGTCAGCCACGAACGAGCGCAACGCAATGCACGATTCGACTAGGGTCGTCGTCTCAGTCCCGAACAAACTCGACGCTCTCCATATGTGTGGATCGTATAACACCACGTGCCGGAGAACCGCGGGACCGGGCTCTTGGCCTTACCCAGGTGCAAAAAAAAAAAGAAAAAAGAAAAAAGCAACTCATAATTCCTAATAACCGTCTCAATACCCGTCTCATCTCTCCAATTTCCCAGGGTCACAAGGTCACGCTGTTTTATTATTACCAATATCCTTTACGTACCTCCGTTTTCTATTTTGCATGACACGGTATATTCCGAGGCGTTCTTCACGATTGTTAGCATATCACCATTGGTGCAGCTGATGCGGGACATCCGCCAATGTCCTCCTTCCAAGCCATCTCGACGTCATTGTGATGGATGGATCTCCGCGTTATACCGGAAACGAGGACTCTCTGCCTGCAAGCACTGGAGGAGAATGGGGGGATGGAGGAAGACGAGTCCTCAAACCGCTTGGCATGCATACGACTGGTGGAACCCCATATTTGGAACTGGGACACTACCAGCACCACGGTGCAGCATATTTAAAAACCTGTATCATGGACCCCAGTACGCTACATTGCGCTAGGACAGATTCATCATATTCTTGGGCAAATTGGAATTCCCCAACCAGGCGGAACCAGGAGCAGCACATGTAGGCGTGAGGCACAGCCAGCCGAAACGAACCCACTGCCCAATCAACTTGGCGACCCTGGAAGACATGGGAGACAGGAGAGCTAGGTACTATGCTCGGGGCTGGAATCGTCATGTGCTTTGATTCCTAGGTGCGAGGATACGGATCCCAGGAGGAACTATGGACAACCCCGTGACTCGGGTAAAAGAGGCTGGAACTACTCGGGACTGGTTGTCTATGGTCGGGGATCGAATCCCATCCTACCTACCTAGCTCCTCGCTGTATCAATAGTTCAGTAGTACGGTATAGTGAATGCGGTGGGGGAATGGCACCAAGAAGGAGTTCCCCGCGGATCTAGTCCGAAGCCCCCCCGTAATTGGGGAATATTACAATGGAAATTCAATCAATCAATGAAAGCCAGTCAAATCTCCAAAATGCCTATACTATATCCGTAACATCTCAAATCTCAAGGTAATACGCCGTGTCTCTGTGGAGAATTTGAAATTCTCTATACGTAGCTTGAGTTCTTCTACATGTGTACATGGGGCAAATGCTGGGGCCTGCAGCATAGTCGAGATGCGCATAGTACATGCGTAGCAGTGAATATAGCCATACCCGAAAGATGACAAGATCACCAAAGGGTTTTTGCAGTAGGTACCTAGCTACAAGTTAGGGAATTGGGCCCAAGGGTGGAAACGAAACAAGGGTCAAGCGGTCCCGGGACCAAGGCCAAGGCCGGGACCAAGTTTCCCGCAAAATGCCAGAAGCAAGCGAAGGAAGCAGAGCAGACAGGGGAACTGAGTTCGGTACCAAGACGGTGTTTTCCGTATGCAGCCTAGTAAGGCTCAAGCAGAAAAGAAAGAAAGAAAATTAATTTATCTTTCCTCTCAAAAAAAGAGGGCTTTTCCCTACTTGCTTTCCTCTAGCCAAGAAGAGCATGGCAAACATACTCTAGACTAATGTAACCGATGACGCGGGTGGTCCCTAACATGTTCTCCATCACATCAAATCCAATCCATCATGCAAAGGACTTTACTTGGCCGCTTTGAGGCTTAGTTAGTTAGGACCCTCTGGAGGTGAAAAGTAGGCCTGCCTTGATCCACTTGATAATTGCCAATACACCGATCTTGCAAATACCTAAGTAAATGAAATACCTTTTCTCTCAAATTTTCGGAAGTCAAGAAAAAAAAAAAGATTATACGACGATAGACTATTTCTGCGTCCGTCGTTTGGAAATGAGCGCTCCCTTGAGTCTTCTGGGCACTTGACGTGTGGGATATACCAAAACCGGTCAGTAAAGACCGGGTTCGACGGGGTACGGTACCGGTGTGTGAGAGTAAGGGCAGGTCGGTATTGCGTGAACGGCGAGATGTCCGAACGTTGCAGCACGCGAGGCGGTGTAAAATAAAACTGGCACTCTCAAACTACGATTTGCACCTATAGAAGTGACTTTTTTTTTTCTTCCACCGCCTCGGCACGCTTGGGAGATTCCAAGAAATCGACTTCGATTTCTCCCCTGTGCCTGCGTTCGCCTCATCGACAAGGTACTAGTAGATGTGGGCTGATTACCGGATTCAGCACCGTTCCTTACGAACATGATAACAAATTCAATGCAGCGGATTGGCTGGCTATACGGTATTGGATCTACTGTACATGTACGGGCAGATACGGGGTAATAGGTATGCATTCGAGAAAACACGGAATTCTACGGTAGCGAAGGGTCAAAAACACCTTCCAGACACCTTCCCTGCCTGATAGGTAGATAGGTAGCTAGTATATGATCGCCAGCCTCATTCTAACAGGGAGGGATGTGTGAAAATGAGTCTGAGCGATCGAGCGAGGAAAGGCTGCAGGGACCTTTGCCGCTAGCCAACTTGACAATAAGCCTCCAGTTATGAGCCCCGGTCCCCCCTTAAGTAATGCTCTCATTTCCCAAATCTACCTCTTATCTTTGAAATCCTTCACTACGAACAGATGCTGTCTAGGTATACAAGACTAAGGTCCCTGTGTGTGTTCATCCAGCTCAACAATATTGTCTGCTCGTTCCAAGTGCTACCGATATCGGGCGAAGGAATTTATTCTACCTACTTCCAGGATTGTGAAAAGGATCGCGACTGCATGAGGCTTGTTCATGCTATTCTGCTCTACTGCTCGCTAACGAGGAAATAGTTATACCATAGTCGCGCGACGGACAGCTTCCTACTTACATGCAAAGATTCCCTTATTTTTGCCACGGTCCTATGGGGTGATCGTTTATCAAAGGAAAAGGGCCTAGATGCAACAACGATCCCATCAATCGCTCATCCGGCAGGCAAAGACAATCCCACAGACGTCCTTTTCCCCACGTGGTAGGGCGTTTGGTTGGATGGGATCGAGCGGAACCCCAGGGCTTAAGGCACGAGTGATCTGTAGGATAGACCGAATGCGTGGACATGGTGCGGTGCGCATGCAGGTCCTGCGCGGCAGGCATGCGGCGCGCACCTTTTTTCACGGCCGGCAGGCAAGCAAGCTGGTGAAAAACGTTTTCGCTCCGTGGAGATGGCTCTGATTCTGGGTGTCCCAGATGTCAGACTGACTAACTAACTGATCAATCGTCGGGGTGGCGTCAGCGTCCCGAATGTAGGATCTCCGGAAGGAATATCATGAACTCGAGATGTATCAGCACCGCGAGGTAGAGGTGCGAAGTTGTATCTCTACTGGCTCATGTGAAAGCATAACGTCGATGCCTCCGAATCGCGATGATTCCTTATCGGGGTTCGGGCTGTTTTTTTTTAACGAAAATCTCGAGCCCATGAGATCATAATAGTAAGTCAAAGATGCGATAAGGAAGCGGCGTCTTCAAAACAGCGCGAAGCCTAGCCCTAGGTACTGTGAAGGATGATGGATAGACCTATCTGACCTACAGTACCAGCGCGCATCTCAGATCAGAACTCAGATCATACATACATACGTACGTACATACATATATGCACGCACACCTTCATGTATCTACTGCGCAGCTCAAGGGTAGTGTAAGACGGGCTGTGTGACCCGAGCAGTGTGTGATCGCAGCGCGATAGCTGCATCAATCCCTTCTTAGTAGCAATGAAATCACAGCTCGCCACCCACATGGGAAGGATCCAATTAGGTACTTCATGACGCAAGGATCTCTGTGGGAGAAACAACATCTACTACTAGACCACCTGCAACTCTGACCTGCAGTCCTATGTAGGAGGCGAGAGGAAGTAGAAACGCTGCTTGGCCTGGCGCAGCGCCCGCAGAGGTGATATGATGTAATCGGCGCAGCCACCGCGCCGTGCCGCCTGCCGGTGGGGATTCCCCAGGTTCACAGACCCAGGTTCCAATGGCGGAATTCAAAGGTTCCCATCCTTTCGGTGACTTGTGCCTTAACAATGTACATGTATGCTGAAGACGTTACTTCGTAAGGGTCCTAGATCAATGTACCTATATGGTTACACAGCCAATCGCAACGTCAGATAGCTGCCATCTACGGTATCAGTCAATAAAGCTAGATTATGTAATCTCGGCCAATGATGGATTTTCTCAAGTTCAAGAGCGTCTACCGGTACTAGATCAAGATAGATTCGTAAATCGTGCTAGTGGCGATCTGAAACTCGCGGAATAAATACCCTTTGTGCTCACTTGTACGTGTGGAGGCTGCAGACTTCGGTAATTAGTTTTAAACAGTCTCAGCCCGTTTCCGTCATCAGTTCTCGGCGGTGAAGCTATTCATCCCTCGCCTCTTTTGGGACATAGTAGGGGACCACGGCGGATATAAAGGCCGGTCCGATTGTCTGTAAGCCACAAGATCAGCTACCAAGGCCAATGAAAAGAGTCCGAATGAATCATATGGACCTTGGCAGCCATAGTAGATTAGTGTATTATGGATAGCTTTAATTTTCAAGTTCAATTCTCAAGCCATACTACTAGCTTTGTAATGGTGATATTTTGAGCGGCTTGAGCGCGTACTCGGGGCCACAATGTTGTAATGCGGAGTGACAGGGCGCCAAAGAAGAATGACTTCCTTATTAGGATGTATATGAATGCCTAGGTAAATTGAGTTGTTTGTAGCATGTCCAATACTCGCTGTGAGGCCCCCATGAGCTAATTCCCTGATATCATTCTCTCGATAAGCTTCTTTTCATAGTCAGTATCAAAATCGCTAGATGACGTGGATGCTCAATATGGATCTATACAACATAACCACAATCTACCTAGCCATGGTAGACTAGTAAAGTATTGATATATGATTTTGGATAGCTAGGCCTCCCTATCTATCAGGTACTAGATCTTACGGCCATTGCAGCCAAGTACTCCAAATCTTCGCTTTATCACCTTATGTCCATCCCACTGCCATCTTGTCGCTCCACGTTCTGGCTGTCAACGTGAGAGATTCATAGATCGATTCATATCTATAATCACTCATTCTCGAATGGGACAGACACCATGCATATTATCCCAATTTTAGCTCTTCTCTCTGGCTCCAGCCGGAATAGCTGGGATCATTCAACATATTTAGAGCGGATTGAGCGCGCACGAGCAGCTTCACGAGAGCTACCTTCCTCGGCACTTGGCCCTCCTAACTATTTGATTAAAAAGAAAGCGAATTCCGTTGAAGCCGCAATTGTATTACGAGTCATGTCACCGTTAACAGTTTGTCTGACCACCACCTTGGGCCGTGTAGAATGTATTTATACCGGTTGGCGCTAATGCCAAAAGAAGCAGTTCACTCTGAATCTCGGTTATGCAAAGCACGAGTAACATGTACGAATGACTTGATCTTCCAAATATCTCGACCAGCGGTTTGGTTTGTTCGGTTCCTGCCGTCCCGCCTGGCTGCATGTATAAATTTAGACGAATTGCAATAAAGTCTGCGTCGGAGATTTACGGACGCCGAAACAGCTGGTGTTATTCTAAAAATACACTCACGCAAGTCTTCGATATCACCGATTATTAATGCAGCCCTAATGTGCGAAACAAAAACTTCATTATTATTATAATCATATACATTCTGCTTGATAGTAGGGAAAAAAACAATTCAACATAATTTGTATGTGGAATGCGTGCGAGTAGTTGACCGCAATGCTCTGCTACTTGGTATGACCTAATTACATGCGGGTTACTACATCAGCTTGAGATTGGGAAACTGAGTTCAAGAGCCATATTCACAATTAAGGTAAAGTATGTTATTTTGTTAACCAGACTTTAGAAATATGCCTTGTTTGAGATAGTTACAATTATACGGACAAGGGAGAGAGTATATACTAACATATAACCATCTCCACCCCCAAAGAGTCGCTTCATAATTGACAACTCCATGACCCTGTTACATCAAAGTTGTTACTAGATAATATACTCACGCGTTGGATTTTGAGTACAATAAATCTCTCATGATCAAGTGTCCTATTTGCTTTCAGAGACCAGTTATAAATTATGTATATTAGACAAACGCGATGACAAAGCTATCATTCATAGGCACGCAAAACTCAACTTTAGTTCGACTCAATTAACTATTAAGATGATTCGGTACAGGCTGCTCAGAAGCCGTAGATGTCTCATAACTTTCATGGTCTCGCCCTTCTCTCCATGTACAAAGCTGCCATATCAATAGTTATCAATGTACCTGAGTTAAACTCTTCTTTTAAGCAATAGTATAGTTATGTACAAGGCCGATATAATGAGAAAAGGAGCGTTCAATGAAAGACGTGTTGACGTTGATATGTTACACGCGTACAAGAGACATGTAGCCATAACTGGAAATAAGGTTATACAGACTTCGCTTCATAAAGCAAAGTAACAAGACCTAGATGGTCAAGGCTAGCAGCCCATTTATAGTCAAACTCAGATACTTAAAGAAATGATATAAAATGTGAAGTTCTCATCAAGGAGTGGGCAATACCATTTAACCTCGTCCATACCATTGCCCCTTGGTACACCTGCCGGGGTTTCCGACGGTAACCGACGGCGACCGACTAAGTCAGCCACAACAAGACGTCGCATCACAGGGGGCATTGAGTCACCGGCGAAGCACATCTAGATAATATGAAGGAAAGTACTACTCGTAGCTTCTCAAGTCGGCAATTGGGAGAGAATAGGATTCAAAACGACGGTTAGGCAGTGGAGCTCAACATGGAACTGTAGGTAAGGACGGTCATATGGTTTAGTGGATATTAGTGGACAACGCCTTTCGCTCCTATTCGCCCATCGTCACCTATTCCTAGAGACAGCCCTCACATGCTACCTCACAACTAGGTTAGGCATGTTGGTGCAGCAGCTTGGGATCATCGACATTCACAGATCATTTCTAAAACTCATATAAGCGTGAGAGCAATCCTCGCGATTGACAGACTTCTATCTCACTCCTTACTTCCTACTTCTCACTTCTCAGATTACTCACTCGCACGCCTGTCTCTCGCCATCTCCACTCAGCATTATCACTAGACCTTCACACGCCGAAGATGAGTTCCAAACCAATGGGCTTTACAGATGAGGAGTGGGACGAGATCTCTCAGGACATCCCCAAGGAGAATGAGCCTTTCCTACAGAAATACCTCGAGGGACGCGAGGCACTCATCGCGCAGGAGAACAAACAGCGAAGTGGTGAGTACTACTACATCTTACGGTGGACACACACTAATCACTTCAACGTAGATGCCTCGTTCCGCCAGAACCTCTCTCCCATCGCTCGCCGCGCCTGTGACATCGTCCAGCGCATTCGCGACGAGGAGAAGAACACAGTCTGGACGCCCCAGCTCGAGGACTCGCTGGCGCAGAAAGCAGACAAGATTACCGTGTACCCGGGCATGATGTTCTCACTATCCAAGGACCGGATGGAGTCAACCAAGCTTTGGCGCATCGTGAGACGGATGCCCAAGGGCTCCTTACTGCATGCGCACATGGACGCCATGGTCGACTTTGACTTCCTCTTCGCCGTGCTTCTCGACACCCCGGGGATGCACATCCTGGCTGACCGCCCCCTGAGCGACCCGACGGCCCTAGAGGACGCTGCGGTCAAGTTCCGTTTTTTCAAGACCCCGCAGACCGAGGGGGATATCTGGGGTCAGGGATATGTCGCTCAGACACCTATGCTGCTAACGCAAGCTGCCGACGCATTTCCAGAAACTGGTAGACCGGGATTTCTGAAGTGGCTATATAACCGCGCCACCATCTCTCGAACCGAAGCGGTTGAGCAACACCACGGTGTCGATCATGTTTGGCGGAAGTTCTGTAAGTCAAAATTTTTTGAACAAACTCCGTAACAGGAATCTCTACAATTGCACAAGGCTTTCATATCAGCACTATAAGTGAACTGTGAGTAAGATTGAACGGATTCTAACATGTCACTTTTAACTACAGTTACCTGCTTCCGCGTCGTTAACAGTATCGTTCACTACGAGCCTATTTACCGGCAATTTCTGCGCCGTCTAATGTCACTCTTGAAAGCTGATGGTGTCAACTACGCTGAACTACGGTTCTCGTGGGATCTCGACTACTACCGACAGGACAGCGAGGTTCCGGAGGGCGACTACCAGGCCATGATGAACGTATTGGATGAAGAAGTGAAGCGGTTCCAAGCGAGCGAGGAGGGTAAGGGGTTCTGGGGTCTGCGCACGATTTGGGCGACGATACGCTCCCAAGGGACACGGAGCATCATGCAAGATATGGACAATTGCATCACAACCAAACTCACACATCCGCACCTGATTGCGGGATACGACCTAGTAGGCCAGGAAGATCTCGGCCGCACGCACCGTGACCTACTGCCGGAGATAATGTGGTTTCGGAAACAGTGCGCCGAAGAAGGTGTCAACATTCCCTTTTTCTTTCACGCTGGAGAGTGTCTAGGCTCGGGCTCAGACACGGACCATAACCTGTTCGATGCAATTCTGCTCGGCACGCGCCGCATCGGGCACGGTTTCAGTCTCTACAAACACCCTCTCTTGATCGACCTGGTGAAGGAGAAGCGCATCCTGATCGAAAGCTGCCCTATCTCGAACGAAGTGCTCCGTCTCTGCGGGTCTGTTATGAGCCACCCGCTGCCAGCGCTCCTCGCCCGTGGCGTCCCCTGCTCTCTCTGCAACGACGACCCTGCCATGCTAGGACAGGACACCGCAGGTAGCACCCACGATTTCTGGCAGGCGCTGCAGGGCTGGGAGAACCTGGGGCTTGCAGGTCTCGGCTCCCTTGCCGAGAACTCGGTCCGTTGGGCTGCCTTCGAGGACCAGACCACCGAGGACTGGAATCGCGACGTTCGCGAGGCGAGCGTCGGCTCTGGTCTCAAGGCACAGCACCTCAAGGAGTGGGCCGTCGAGTGGGAGCGCTTCTGCCTATGGGTCGTGGACGAATTCGGCGACGAGTGAGCGAGCCCACCCCAACTCGATCCGGCCTTGATTCGACCCCATCTGCGGCCAGGGTCACGACAAGCCAGGCCGCTTTACAACAACGTTGGACCCGGCGGAGAAGTTGTGTAGGGCGGGAACAAGTACTCAAAATAAGAGGACCGGGTCAGTCCAGATCCAAAAGAGGGAATATTATAAAATAACATAGGACAAAAAAAAGGGATAAAATAAATCAGAAAAAAACTGGTCAGTCTGCAGGAATGGAATGGTCACAAGGTGCACCCGATTTCGGTGAAGTCCGCGAATGGTAGAACTGTGGAGGTAGAAACCCTCATGCATGCCGGCTGACTGTCATCTCATTGGTGTCTCCTTTTGTGCCAATCCTTTTCCCCCCTCTCCTCCACTTCTTGCATTTGCTGGGGATTGCAGGCGGACAGGCAGAACAGAGCAGAGACGCGGTGGCACGGCATGAGATCGATGCGGCTCAGCGGCGTTGCCGCACCTCTTAACTCTCCGCTTGGCTGACTGAGCGACCGGATGACTTACTTGCCTGGTTGCCTGGGTTCTATCTTCATCTGCCGCGGCGGATGGATGCCACCTCCATTGCATCCCCGTCATGCACGTATACATTTTGACCTCAACTATATGAACACTGTCTCCAGGCAAACCTGAAACTTGATTACCTTCGCTAAATCAAGAGTGGTTATTCTCATTATCTTCGCAGAAAACCAATGCATTCTATATTCAACATCGAAAGGGCGGGGAAAATAAAGGGGCCACAGTTGTGTTAAACAGGTACCTCGACAAGGCGTTCAGGAAGAACAGGCAAGGCCACCAGGCAAATATCACGAGAAAACCTAGTGTAACGAAGAGGAACAAATAGCTATGTTTGGGCCCTCAACAGGCCATCAGCACGGCGTACCAGAGCATTCTCAGCATAACCTAGCATAATAGAGTATATTCCACGACCAAGATTCCCATGTCACATAATAATACCGTTGGCCAGAAACGCCACGTAACCAAGCAGATCTCTTGTCTGTCTAGAAACCATTCAAGTCAACCCGAGTACGACCTCATTACGAAACTAGCTGCACTCATCTTTCCTCTAAATAGGCACCCCAACAGAGAAACACACATGTATTACTAGATAAGTCAGCAAGCGTGCCGATTCAGTACGCATGAGGTGCGCATGTAAGTATATATGTAAGTAAGCTGCGCACCAACCTCACCGCATCAACCAAGAAATCGACGATTATATTAGGCAGACAGTCGAGCGTAGATAGGATCAGGACCAGATGATCTTCGTTGTGCACTCTCTGCGCCAGAGCATTCATTATGTAGTCCACTAGTTACTCATGTACTTATCTACATAATTAAGTACTCATCTCATATGAGATACCCTACCCTCTTTATCGTACGTACGCATGCAACACGAGCATGAACCGGGAAGTGCACGCATATCACTGCCTGCCTGCAAGCATGTATGACGGCGTGCAGTCTTAACCTACGCACGCTACGCTACGCTACATATTTATTCCCTTCGTTACAATGCATACGTCTACTTGCTTACCTCATTCAACCCAGGCATATATCTGCCTGCCTATCTGCCTTCTCCATACGTATACGTAAAAGTCGGGTCCACGAGCGCCTTAGGCATAATCACAAGCCCGTAGGCTCGTAGGCTCGGAAGAACAGTTACGTAGGTAGACAGACAGATAGATACCTACCTTCCTGGCACGAAGCAGGCTGGCAGGCAACAGAGTCATATCCTCATGTCGGGCATCCAGCGTAATCACTTATACTCTCCTACCGTTCGTCCATTTCTTTCTTCCTTTTCGGTGAGCCCGTATTATCGGTGTTCGACCATTTTCTCCGAGTTTTCCTTTTCGGGGACTCGGGGACTTTTGATTGAGTTTGTGTGTGTGTGTGTGCCTGATCGTGGAACTGGATCAGAAGATACGATGAAATGTGGAAGGAAGAAGGGAAGACATAGTGAGCCCGTCGCGACGCCGAGAAGGAAGGTAGGTCACAAGCAACGACGGCGCCTGTACGTGAGACGTGATTCGTGTATGTGATGTTCATTGCGGCGGTGCCTGTGCGAAAATAGGTAGCCTATGTGTGTGTGATCATATTCGGCGTTCTTTCAATGTGCACAAAAAAAAAAAGGGGGATATTTCCGAGTATTAAAGGTGCACTTCATCCGAGGTCTCGTGGATACCCTTTCATGTAATAAGTCTTGACGAAGTAGCCTCAGGCATATATGTACAGGTCCTGCCGTTTATATACTTAAATGTTACCTTGGTTTAGAATTCGTTTTTACTTAGAAAGATTTCTATTTATAAATCCTTGCACTCACATAGAACTTCCGAGTTGAACCCCGCAACATCCCGCGTCGACCCAGATTCTCGGTAGCGACAATATCTACCTACCTAGCATTCAATGCGACCGTATTGGGAAGACTAAGATAGAAGAGCCGGGGCTAAAAGGTAAGGTAACACAGACTACCGATCGGAACTAGTACCTATCTAAACAATACCTGCTTCAGATGTGAGTGTTTTGGTGCGGTGGCGGCGGTGAGAAGAATATAGTAGCGCAGGGATGCATATGCAGGCCAGTGGCGAGAGTCTCGATGTTTTAGTCAGCCCGAGCTACTACAGGATAGATGACAAGTCAGCATCACAAGGTCTTGAAAAGCCCGTGTTATGAAACCGCGGTTGCGCTGTTGGTACAATGCACTTGGTTTGCAGCAAGGGCAATCAAATCCCTCTGTAGATAAGTAAGGATTGTGTGGTGTAGGTTGTGATAACCATTGAACAGGCTGCGGCCAGGGAGTCATCCCTAGCGAAACCTCTAAATCTATGTTAAATCAATGTTGACATAGTACCAAGCTCTGTCCCCTGAAACAAAAATACCATGCAGAAAGTGGTGTGGGGTATGCTGTCGCCAGTACAGATCTAATAAAACAGAAAACAGAAAGAGACCCAATGGATGTTCCGATTAAAGAAGATTATAAAAGGAGAAAGTATCGCATTGTTGAAATGTATAGCCCAAGGGGGTAGAGAGATAGATATTGATGGTCGCGGGTGGTCTTTGAGCGATCTTCTTTGGGATGATTATTGTGCAGGGCCCCAGACACTGGACAACCATTGTCGAAAATCCATGGGCACAACGTCAACGAGCTCGTTTAAGTTAGTATCGTTGAAAGTATATCGACCGTTGGCTGTCTGGAGGACATGCTGCATTTGAAACCATCTTTCTTCGTCGTTATTTTCTCGGTAATATTCAAGCCAGTCAACTACTTCGGAGTAGGGCCTGTTAATCACGTTGAATTCGACTAGGCACAGCTTAGCTTCGAAAAATAAAGGAAGCGAGAGCGCCTGAACAACATACCTTGTCTGACCCCACTGCAGTATTGGACTATCCTTTGGGGCGTGATACGTGCACCGCGCATCTTGAACTCACGTGGCCAGTTGTCAATACCGAGTTCGACGGCTGCCGCTACAAAACGTGCTACGTCCTCAGCGGAAGTTAGGGTGATCTGAATTGGACGGCCTTGAGCATTGACTTGAGGCAGTTCGGCTGTACCCATCTCAATGTCAACCAAGTAGTCACCCTGGTGAAAGAGTCGACAACTACCCCCCATATTGTAAGCCCGAAGACCACCTGGGGCGAAGCGCTCGTAAAAGATGCCACATGAGAAGACAGTGTACTTCATCGGATAATGCCTGGATGATGACCAGTGTCGTAGTTGATCTAGAGCGCCAGAGGAGCCGTTGTTAAAGGGGTCGATATCGGGTGGGGGTCTATGGCTTAGAGCCCCTTCGAATTCGGAGGGCACAAAGGTGTGTACTCGAGCTTGTCTGGCGGCGTCGATGAGATTTAGTTGTTCTACTCCGGCAATCGTCGAGATTACTAGGTCTACCCCTTGGAGAGCAAATTGTAAAGACCCTGGGTCATTGTAATCAACAATAGCGACCTGACAATCTTCATATTCGGCTTCGAACTCAGGGTGGTGCTGTTACATGTCAGTAGTATGTCTCAACATATCGGATTTAGCTTGGAGGTCTAACCACTCGTGAGAGTACAAGAATAGCATGAGCACTCCTAGATAGCTCTCGTGTTATCAAAGCTGCAAGGCCACCGGCGCCTGCGATCGCAATCCTCATCATCCCGAAAGCTGATTTCTTTGGCATGATGAACTTAGTGAAAAGCAACCAATTTCCACAGTTTATATAGTAATTTTTGGGCTTATAGGAAAGGGGCTGGCGACAACTGGTTTCGTAACTACTTCAGAGCTCGGCTGGAATTACCGTGCAACGATGTCGTACTGGAAAGTATTACAGAGTATGCTGACATTTTATATGTTTAATGAGTCAAGCTAGGGTCCGCATAGCCCATGGCATACAGTCCTCAAAAGGAAAGGACGATACCACTTTAGAAAGTGAAACCCTCGGGACGAAACCTAGAGCTCTGAGGTCATTAGAAGCGGAGCGCCTCAAGGCACACTCACGCCGGGATATCCAGGCGAATGAGAAGACACTGTGGCGGAGTGGTAGTTGTTTCCAGATGTAATGACCGATAGCTGAGAAGCAAAGTTAGGATAGAATCCTGTATGGTGGATCCACGATTTCCGTGGGTAGTAGAGTAAATCACAGACAGGATAGTACAAGAGGCTCAATAATTTGACTCCGTCTCTCAAAGTACTTCCGAGTAGCTCGACAAGTCCATCCCTAGTTAACCATATTCGTGAATCAAACGACCAGCAGGGGCCGGCGAATCTCAGGTGATAGATATCCTTGAAAAGCCGAGCTGTGGGCTTGTTCTGCTAGGGTCCCGTGGTATCTCTTCCATGTCGAGCAAAAGGGCCTAGGGAGTGTTGCCTGAAGAGGCCTTACACCAGTGCGGTCGATGACATAGTGGCTTCGGCCACATCCGAGAGCGAGTTCCGTCAGAATCAACACAAGCTTGAATAAGTCTGAGCGGAAAATATCTTCGTACCAAAGACGCTTATATGGTCATCCACGTTCTGTGCGTTAGAGAGGGTCGGAAGCAGGCTGGCAAGGCTAAAAAGCAATATCCTCATACATAGAGGTCACAAATAACATCACTATACACATAGACTATGGCTGATAGAACTTGCAGAGTGCCCTGTTACAATGGTAGGACGTAATGGCAATTCTTCCATGTTCCCCAGGCGTCGGTAGCATCCGACATTCTGGAAGGGAGAACCCACATGGCTGACTGTTATAGAAGCACACGGGAATACAAATTCACCTAGTTGCAGAGGGAAAAGACTGCATGTCAAGTACCAATCAACTCCTCAAGTCAGGCCAAACTAGGCTCAACTCAAAACGACGGGGAGTGCCAGTAGACGAGGCAGGCAGCCGAGGGGGAAACTCTGGCCGTCTATCGAATAATAGATGGCCAAGCTTGCTGCTACTGTAAGGCATCTTGTCAGAAAAAATGCGGCTTTTACCGGGATCAAGTCAAAGGAACTCGAGGACTTGAGAGTTCACCGAACTGTCAACGCCCTGCTGAGGAGTAGATGTGGGACAAGGCGTGGCACGCGAGGAATCCTGAGTAGGCTGGGTAAATTAACAACAAGGAGCAGCAGTGCTACAGAAAAGAAGAGCTTCATTTAATCAACGGGTCAGGGCTGCCGATTTTGTGATGTAGTAGTGGTAGAGAGAAGCACTGGATGATGATGGACGGCACGCCGTGAGTGGATCGGCTAGTCGATGACCATGCTCAATGGGGCATACCAAACAGGCTTGAGCCCATTGGCCGAGCCGGGAAAGTAGCATTGATTGGATTTCAAATTTAGCACGGCGGAACTCTGATCGTTGTCGCTATGATCCTCATGTCTCGACTGTTCTTCTAAGAGAAGAAGAGGTTGAGGAAGTTGGGGTGGGGGCCAAGATGTGGTGGGTAGTGGAAGGCGGAGCCCCACGGCTATCTACTTAACCTAGGTACCTAGGTATCTACATATAGGTATTTGGTGGAGGTATGTACCTCCCGAGGTCCTGTAGTACTGAATCAACATTGAACATACTCAGCCTTGGGCAATCATTGCAGTACACTATTGGCCTTGTAATCATCTCCGGGTTTTTATGTAGCTTATTTGACAATATCATAGAAAGGTTTCAATGGGTTTGGCATCACTGAGTTTTTGGTTTTCTTACTCAATACTCAAGTAGAGTAGGTACCAACTTGTCTAGCCTCAGGTACCTAGGTACTAGGTAGGTAGATGTTCTAGGCAATTGCTGCATGTGGCCCGCGGACCCTTGCCAGTTCCACAGCGGACGGCGGCAGACGCCACAGGCCACAGGGGGGCAGGTACCTACTTCCCTGCTAAGTAAGTACTATAGGTTAGGTACCTTTGTAGTGCGTGAGCCCCATCCCATCCCCCCCCATCCTCCCGGGCCCCCTCCACTCCACTGTCATCCCCCCCCCCCCCCCAAATCCATGCCAACGGTAAGAGGTAGGGTCGTAGAGTCGTAGCCAGAGGAGTAACTATTCCCAGCAAGTGCATCGCTGAACCTTTGCCTGACACGCCCTCGGCCAAACATCGTGCATCCTTCACCAGAAACCCACAAAGTCCTGCATATCTTCCCTACCCTATCAAAATTTTTTCCATCCCTTTTTTCTCCTCCAAGTCCCCAAAACTAACTACTCGCAAACAGACACTAACAATGCGGCTCAGTCGCGTTGACTCACTCTCCCCTCCACTCACGCCCGGCTCCTTTCCTCTTCGCCTCGAGACCTCGCGCTGTTCTGATTCCCCCGGCACTTTATCTCTGCATGTATGCCTCGCGGACCTAGACTAAGCGTGTCTATCTCTTGGACAGCTATCGAGCAGCCTGCCTAGGTAGATATGAACATGTAGTTAGTGTAGGCCTCAGGCGTGTTTTCATCATCTCTGTCACCCAATCAGTGTTAGTAGAAGGGAATAGGCACTCTCGTCCAAGGCTGCCATCCTCGAGAAAACCCGTCTTGTTCCGTACCTTACTTACCTAGGTACCTACTCACGCATCTCGATTCACAGAGCTGGGAGAAACAACCAAACAGGACTGGCTAAGAGTAATCTCGCAAATTTCTGCGCAGTAGGCCCGGACATCCCCTGCTATGCGAGCAAGCAGCCTCATGTAACCTCATACCTAATCCCCAAGGGAAAAGGCCAGTAGGTTAATGTATACAACGTTATAACCCCAGGCCCACGCGCTGACTACATACATACGTACGTACTACCATCAATGCTACTGCTACACTGTTACCAAGTACGGATACCGACCCGGTCTGAGGATAGTGGTAATATGTCTGACTGGCAGGTAGGTAGGTAGGACTTTTTTTGGGGGGCGTTCTGTAAAGAAGACTGGAGAAGGAGGGAAGGAAAGAAGGAAAGAAAAAAAAAAGGAGCTGGAGTGCTACCTAGAGACAGTTCTAGATTACCGGCCAAGGAACGCCCAGTGTCTGAGGTTCTCCCATTGCCTCGGTATGGGCGATACTACATTCCGCAAACGACGCTGACAGACGTTATGGCGGATTATGTGCATGCAAGTGGCACAGGAACATGAAGAGGGGAGGGCAGAAGGATATGGTCTTTGCAGACGAGCTTCATCTTAGTCTAAGAACGGACCTGCAATTGAGAATGAATCTCAGCTATATCGTACGCCTGGGATTTCTTCATGCCCCAAGTACGCCGCCGAACTACCAACAGCGCTGCCAAGGGCTTTCGAAAGGGGGTTAAATCAGAGTTCATACTTCCGGACGTCGTAGTTCAATGAACGACCTACTGGTAGGACCAGTCCAAACCGAGGTTGAACACGCCTTGAAAGTACCGGAGCTCTACGGGCTTCCAAGCTAGTTGATTAATTAAACAAAGTTTGAAAAAAAAAAAAAAAAAAAAAAAAAAAGAGAGAGAGAGAGAGAGAGAGAGAGCTAATACACAATTCAGACCCTACGAGTTAACGTAACATCTGAAATCCAAGGTTATCGCCATAACACGCTTCCAATATGGCTGGGATCGTCACAACAAAGTATCATTCTACCATGGAAGTCGAGCATACCTCCTAAAGAAATAGTCATCCGATTTACTTAGCAGGCAGTTGTCCTATTAATTTCGAATTTCTAAGTGATGGTGGCATTCTCCCCGAGTTCCTTCCCCTGTCATCTACAATGCATAGAACTCAGAGAGAAGAAAAACATGGGCTGGATAAGCCGCTATGCATGGAACTTATGTGGTCCGATGAGGCTACGAGCTGATAAGTTTCAGAGAAATGAAAATTATCAAGTCAGGAAAAGTGAACTTTTTTCTTCATATCAGTGTATTCATACAAGCTAGTACACTCAGTACACTGATTTATTCCTCCGCTTTCTTAGGAATCCTTCTTGCCATTCTCATTCATATCTCATATCTCACACTCAGGGGGTATCATATCAGCGCGCTCAGCACCTCGTTGAGTCCATGGCAAGAGTACCCATCTTCCTCACACGAATCCCGAATTTAAACAGGTCGCTGAGAAGCATCGTATTCAGCATCCGCCTTCTTCTGTATGTCGTGCTCGGCTCCACGCTGCTGCGTCTTGCCCGTGTCGTGCTGGTTCTGGTATTCCGCCTGCGCCTCCTTGTTGCCTGTAATACCAGCAAAGGCGCCGCCGACGGTTCCAGCAACGCGGTCACCCACGCCGGAGACGTAGTCATTGACCTGGCCCTTGGCCTCCTGTGCCTGACCCTCCTGGTTCTGCTGGCGGCCCGCAGCCTTGAGATTCTGGAGTAAAGATCTGTTAGCTCGAGCTATTCATCAAGGGAGAGGGAAAGCGTTCAGATTTCCCAATACATACCTCTGAGCCGACTAATCCACCGATAGTCTCCTTGGCCGAGCCCATTGTCTGGTTGTACTTGCCAGCACCGCGGTCGGAGTCATCCTTGGCGACGGCGCCGGAAGATGAGGCTGTCAGGCCGGGGATCTTGACTGTGGCGTGTGAAGCATCGTACTCGGCGTCAGCCTTGTGCTGCTTGGCCTCACCCTTCGCCTGGAACAGCAATACGGTTAGTCGATCCATTGTGTGAATAAGACGTGGTTGAGCGAGAAAAGCGGCTCTCGACATACCTGGTCGGCAGTAGAGCCCGTGATGCTACCAATGGCGTTCTGAACTGCGCCGGTCACATCGTCGATGGCGGACTTCAGAGTAGAGGTGTTATCGTTGGTAGACATGGTGGTGAAGTTGAATTGATTGATTGATTTGATTAAGGATAACTTGTTCAAGGTGTCTAGTGTTGGATTGGTATCTTAGGTAGATGGATGGTTCGTTTGTTGTTGTGGTTGTTCGTGATGATGAGTGAAGAAAGGAATGGTGTAGACTATGGGAAAAAGCCAGCTCTTATATAAGGATTCTCGATCTCGACCCAACAGGCGAGAAAATACTAGTCGACCAAAGAAAGCTCTAGATCGAAGTGACGATGGAGGCGTTTGCGCAAGACCAAGACATGGCAAGAGCTGTCAAAGCTACCCGGTTGTTGATGATGTCATAGTTTCGGATTGTGATACAGCTTCCCCACGTCAGTGGTTCCAGGGCTCTGCCGGGCTGTCACATGGAACCACCTGGATCGGACCTAGCTACTAGCCAGGTACCTACCTGTTACCGTGAACGGCAGTGGCTGGTGATAATTACGTACATTTGTTTCCGATTTGTGCTCCAGTTCATTAAAAACAGTACCTAACTACGAAGTACATATGTAGGCACCTCTTGATGTAAAGCGTACAGTGGTAGACGCGTACTTTTTTGTTCAGGTTACCCCTCTCGCTTCTTGCCCTGTCCCTCAGTGGGGTGGGTACACAAAGAACATGTATAGTACCTAGGTAGATTTATTGTATCAAGTTAGGTCATACCTGTGAGACTAGGTACCTACTCAGGTATCGGAATCTGAGATTCACTGCACGGCTGCAGGTGATTTTCTAGTCGATAAAGCAGTATTGCATCATTTCCGTTACCCACATCTGCAGTACTATACCTAGTACATGTAGAAGTCGATAGGCACCAACGTAACGGTCATCCTTGACTGATCGCGCGATATCTTAGCTGGAGATAGTGAGGGAATAATCAAATGAGACAGACAAAGAAAAAAAAAAAATTTGACATATCAGATCAGCTTCATGTAGCAACATTAAAATCTCATACAAGATAATCACACGTAAAAGTAAGACTTAGGCAGGATTATGTCTTAGTAGTTCAAAACAATTTTGGGTATTTTGATTCAGGCCTACGAGGCGCTAAATGTAGTGAATCGAACGGGCATACATACATGGTTGGCAATGTACCAACATCGCCATCGTTATGCCCGAACAGCGAGAGATCATTATACATCAATGTAGGTATTTACTCGTTGCGACCGATGCTCCGTTCCAACTGCAACGGATGCCATACGGGTCGCCCATCCCATGGTGGGATATGGGAAAAGAAGGTAGCCGGCGGAATCATAGACACGCCGAAAGATGCAAATTCCCCCAACCACCTAACCGATTGCCCAAACTCCATAAAGCCAATTTCATCATAATAATAATTTTACACGTTAGTTTCCTCCGCTCGCCAGGATATAGACCAAGGGACATGATTAGGCTAATGCTGACTCCACTCAATCGTGTTCAAATCAATGCCCTCTTGAACGAGTTCCCAAAGTGGGCTTAACTCTCTCAAAAAGGTGACTCGTTCTTGCACGGCCTTGAGGACATAGTCGATTTCTTGCTCTGACGTGAACCGGCCGATACCGAAGCGGATGCTGCTGTGGGCACTCTCGTCGCTGTTGCCTAGCGCTCGGAGCACGTAGCTTGGCTCTAACGATGCAGACGTGCATGCGCTGCCTGATGACAATGCAATGTCCTTCAACGCCATGAGAAGTGATTCGCCCTCGACGTACGCAAACGAAACGTTGACGCAGCCGGGATAGAAATGGTTAGGATCGCCGTTTTGGGTTGTGTGCTCTAGAGCCATGAGGCCCTTGAGGAGTCGGTCAGAGAGGGATTTGATGTACTTTGAGTCATACTAGATGTGCTCTCGTCAGCCTAGCCATAATGGAAACCAACGTCAAGGATGTGAAAGCATGAGCATAACAGATAGATCAGACGCGTGTGCTGTGTATCAACAAAGTAACTCCGGTCAAGGAATTCAGCAAGCCATGCATGTTTAAAGCAGTTCATCATAAAAATCACTCAAAGCTAAAACGTAATCAAATCGAAAACAAGGAATCCAAACTTACTGCCATATCTTCTTTAGCAATTCGGCAGGCTTCACCAAACCCGACGACGAGAGGCGGCGCAATAGTACCGCTTCGTAGACCACGCTCCTGACCACCACCACTGATGATAGGGTCGAGCCTGACTCGGGGTCGTCTTCGAACATAGCAGGCACCGATTCCCTTGGGGCCGTAGATCTTGTGTGAGGAAATGGACATCAGATCAATGTTCATGGCGTTCACATCGAGGGGTATCTTGCCCACGGCCTGGGCGGCATCGGTATGGAAAAAGACCTTGTTCTTCCGACATAGCTGGCCGATCTCGGCGACGGGTTGGATGACACCAATCTCGTTGTTCACGGTCATGATGCTGACAAGCGCGGTATCTGGTCTGATGGCGGCCTCGAGTTCTTGCATGTTTATCAAACCGTTGTTCTGAACAGGCAAGTAGGTGACCTCGAAGCCCTCGTCTTGTAGATGCCGACAGCTATCGAGAACACACTTGTGCTCAGTCTGGCTCGTGATAATATGCTTCTTCTTGCCCGAGCGGCCAAAGAACCTAGCCACACCCTTGATGCTCATATTGTTGCTCTCCGTGGCACCGCTTGTGAATATAATTTCTTTCGGATCGGCGCCGATCAGTTTCGCCACATGCTCGCGGGCCTCCTCGACAGCTTTCTCGCTTTCCCACCCATATGCGTGCGTCCGCGAGTGCGGATTTCCATATACACCAACGAAAAAAGGTAACATGGCGTCTAAGACTCTGGGGTCTACGGGTGTGGTGGCTTGCATATCGAGATAGATGGGTCGTTGTCCCTCGTCCATCAATTTGGCGTCCTTCAGGACTTCGGCGACGGGACTACCGACGGCATTCAGAGCACTCGCGGAGCCTGGCATGACCAGCTCGCCCTTCTCGTTCATAAAATCCTTCTTATCCAGTCTGATGGCGGTCTCCACGTTGACCTGGGCATTGTCTCTCTTTGTCTCGGAGACATAGCCTCTCCGCGCTGTCCTTGTCACGGTGGCAGCGGCTAATCTGGGTAGAGACTGGGACGGCCGTGCCGGGACGGAAGAGAAGGATTGCTTGAGACCCAGGCGCGAGGCCCGCCTCAAGGCGGTGGTCGCTACATTGGCCATGATAATGTGCGGGGATAAGGATGTTGAAGAGAGGAGAGAGAGAATGTAGGAAGGACGGGATGTGGAGGTGGCCAAAGGCGAAATTGACAAAAATATCGAAAAGTTCTCGATCGGTATTGAGCTAAGCTAAGGGACTGTAAGACCGAAGCTCGGTGATATCGGTTGAGCGCTTTCTCCAAGCAAGGGCGGGGAAGCTTACTTTCCACTCGGCGTAGACTCGGTGTTTCCACCTCTAATCAATGGTAATATCGTGATATTGTAATATCGTAATATCGGTTGATAGTTGTTGCGTTCCGTAGATGTCAGGGCCGAGCCCGGGTCGGACTAGCCCAATATGGCTAACCAAAGTCTAGCAAGCATCCAGAAAAATTCATGCCGTCATAATTTGGAATGGCGGGGGGGCCAACAATGACGTTGCGAGGGAAGCCAGGTACACTTATCAGACAAAGGAATCTGGCACCATTATCTAATTCCGGCACTCAGTTGTCACGAGATGTAGAGGTAGACATACAAGCTACACCACAGGACGGTCATGATGCTCCTGTTGATGATTGATTCTGATACGATATTGTAGTACGCTAGGGAGCTTGCTTCTAGGTTACACGGGCAGTTGTTAGAGCTTACAGAGTATATGTAAGTAGGTATTGGTATTATAAGTATCTGAAAATAATCCTGCGTTTGTACCTGTAGTATACCGGTATTATGTACGGCTTGTCTGTGCCGTAACCTACGACCTCGCTAGTGCCTCTTGCCTTTTCCATCTCGGTGCTGCCAAGCCACACGATGACGACGGGCTTGGGCATCTAACCCAACACAAATCAACCGGGCCTCATCACAGCACTGCCACGACGACTTGAACTTCGTCGGCCATTAACCTGTCTTGCCGGGGAAATACCACATATCACATATGATAACACACAACACATACACACATACACACATACACGCATACGCACACATACTCTACACATTAACGCTGCTGCCAGCCTGCTACGTAGCATGACTGTAGGATCTTAGTGCTATTCTTGGCTCAGAGTTCGCTTCTACCGGTATTCCTTTTTTACAACACACACCTGTCATCCTTTCCTTTGTCTACCCGGCCGCGCACCCAGGACCTATTCTGTTGCCTGGAGAACACTCTATCGGAATCTTTTGTATATCCATTTGACAGGCCACATCACGAGCAGCATTTGTTATATCGGCGTACTGGAGAGACGGCGCAGGATATAAGGAACGAACAGACAACACGGACCCGCCCTTCTGCTAAACCCCGCCATTACTGGCGTCGCATTTCAACTGATCAACCTTCAATAGCGACAACCCAATTCCGCCCAACCCAATCGCTTCGGCGCACGCGCAAAATACACATTGTCGGGCTAGAAAATAGATCACTGCATCGGCCTCGTCAGACATGAGCTTTCGGGGCTTCCAAAAGAGCGTGGTTCGCGTAAGTTGACGCTCTCGGCTCACTCGGCTTCCCTCCTCCACCCTTCCCCTTCTTCTTATTACTGTCCTCATCGCTGGGTTGTTTGCGCTGCATTAACCAAGATGAACTAATGTGGGTACTTCGGAGTAGGCACCACAACAGCTCAAGGCCAAGTTCAACATTGGCGAGCATACCAAAGATGCTGTCTTTATCGACTCGGAGCGCCGTTTTCAGGAGCTAGAAAACGAGACGAAGCGCCTCCATGATTCGAGCAAAAAATATTTCGACGCCATTAATGGCATGCTAAACCACCAAATCGAATTTAGCAAAGCCATGACCGAGATCTATAAGCCCATATCTGGTCGCGTATCTGACCCTGATTCGCTTGTCGTCCATGGCAACCCCGAAGGCATCCGTGCATGTGAGGAATACGAGGCGGTAGTCAAAGACCTACAGGACACTATTGCGCCTGAGCTCGAGATGATCGATACGCGCATTGTGCGCCCGGCGAACGAGCTGCTCGATGTGCTAAAGGTTATTCGAAAAACTGCTGTCAAACGTGACCACAAGCAGCTTGACTATGACCGTCACCGAACCACGTTGAAGAAGCTACAAGACAAAAAAGAAAAGTCAGCCAAGGACGAGAAAGCCATATGGAAGGCCGAAAGTGATCTAGAGCAGTCCACACAGGAGTATAACTACTTCAATGATCTACTGAAAGATGAACTGCCTAAGCTCTTCCACCTAGAACGTGAATTCATTCAGCCTCTCTTCCAGTCGTTTTACTACATGCAACTAAACATATTTTACACCCTACACGAGAAGATGCAGCAGTGCGATATCGGCTACTTTAATCTGAATCTCGACATTGAAGAAGCCTTCTTGGAGAAGCGCGGTGACATACAGGAACAGGCCGAGAAACTGACCATTGTACGCTTCAAGACGAGTGGTCGCCAGAAACCACCAAAGTATGGAAATAAACCGGCCGCTATCGAGGCAGGCAGTGGACCAGCTGGATTACTCACTGAAGGGACGTCATCCCCAACGACAGCTACAAGCCCGCCGCCAGTGTCACCAAGCCCAGCTGCTTCATTCAAATATGGACAACAGCAATCACAAGCCGAAACTGCCGAGAACCCACCCCCGCCCTATTCTGCGGCCGCGCTTCCTTCAAAATTCCCTCCGGTACCCGGTAGTCCCAGCTCCTCTGCAGCGTTAGCGGCGGCAGCAGCAGGAAAGCCTAAGCCCCCTCCACCAAAGCCAAAGCCCAGTCGATTAGCCGGCGCACCGGCGGTTGAGACGGTAACAGCTCTGTACGACTACTCTGCACAGGCCGAAGGCGACTTGAGCTTCAGGGCTGGTGATGTAATAGAAATTATTTCGAGAACAAATAATGAGAACGAGTGGTGGTCAGGTAAAATAAACGGTCGACAAGGTCAATTCCCAGGTAAGCTCGTTTGCTGACTTGACTGTCTGATTTACGACACGCTGATAAGGTACTTGAAAGGAAACTATGTCAAACTCGGCTAGAAGCCAATGCATCGTCGAATGCCTTATAGCTACGGGTGATGAAACCTCGATAACTGCGTGTGTACAGTTTGGATACCCTGATAGTTATCCCGAATCGCGACATCTTCATACTGGCGAAGAGAGAAACAAATGTCAGAGCCATGCTAGATCACTTCTTGCTCGCCTTCCAATATAAGTCAAGATAGCAAAGTGACACCTTAGCATTGCTTGGTCAGATTATACCAACGCGCCTCCTGTACGGATAGTATAGTGGTTAGCAGGTAGCTAATAGCACGATGGCTACGCAGCCCAGACAATAAGTCCGTAGCCGGCAGAGTATTGGTCCTCTCCTTGCCAAGTTCTGCGTAACTCATCGCACGCCGTGTAGAGGGCAGAGAACACGAAAATGCTAAGGAGAGGTGTGACGTTGTTACTAACTACCTTAGGGATTTGAAAGTGTGATGTGGATTCATGATGAAGTTGAGAGGGAATGTTTACTTCTGTTTAGACTTAGTGAGTTAGTATGTTAAACATGAAAAGAACTCCAAACTCGAGAGAAAGTCGTTGGTCGTCGTGCTTCATCTTCTCTCGTTTTAGTCTATCCTGCATCTTCCTGATAGGCTTATTCACTGAACTCAATCTGAGCACGGCGAAGCGCATCTGATATAATCTATCTTACTGCAGCTTGGATAGCTTGCTCTTGGAGTTATGAGTTACTTGTAACTTTTATATAAAGAACCTTCTAAACTTATACAAGAAATGTTGGGGTGACACTTGCCCACCTCGAAATTGATTAGACCAGTGATTTCCATAGTCGACTTACTGACTTTTTATGAGCCGAACGAGGGGCTCCGAGCTTTGTCTCGCTCTTGATAATCAGTGTCCTGACTATTGCAGACAGCCTATTACCTCTCGTTATCTCAACAGCAGAAGGTTTCCGCCGCTGGTCAATATTTCTTAGTACCTAATGCGATGTTCAATCGCATTGGACTTGCACAGTTCGCAGTTGCACCTATCTCTATCGACATGATGATGCCTACCTATACAGATAAATGCGCCCATGGCAGCTACACTTGAGAGCCGCGCGTTCAAGGGAAGGAGTATAGCTCGCTTGTGCTACGGTTATCTTGTAATACTTCTGGTCCCTGTCTCTTATCCCTCTTGTTCTTCTCGTCATGAACACATCCTGATCATCGATATAGGTCCAGCAGCAGTAATAACACCAACAACCTTACACTTACGACACTTATTAAACAAACTACTTGTTAGAAACTATGCAATCCTTCTAATTTCACATACCGACGATCTGCAAGCACCACTATCGGAGTTGAGGAACCCGAGACAAGTTGAAAACAGTGATTATAAACTCAGGTATGTTAAGCCACTCCATGAAACAAATATACTCGAGAACTATACCACATCGCAGACTGACTAATCCTAACGTACGATCAAGCATTTCTTCTCAAGAAATAAAATTCATCACAACCCTTTCGATATCACCATGCCGCCTCGACCAGTTGGGCCTGACTGGATCCGGAGGAGGCTCAGTTTCGCCATCTTCTTAGCTTTCTTTGTGAGAGGCCGCGATGCCGCGTTTTTCGCGCCGCTGGCTGTGCTGGCGATAGATACAAATGTGAAACTTCAAATGTTTCTTGCTGCTCTCTTTGCATACATGGTGATCTGGCCAGTGACAACGGTATGGGTCGCATTTATGTTCACCGGTGCCGCCATGTCCCTCGTCGCCGACCGCATTTGGCGGAGACGAGAGCGCGATCGAGAGCAAATCCAAGAGCGCAATGCAGCCAGAGAGCAACCGATCTTGGAAAGATTGTGGCATTTGCCAGTCGACGATTGGGCGGATTACGATCCTTGGAATGATGCGTGGCCCGACGACGGATACGATGTGGATTGAATGAGAGTCTTGGTGTTGCGGAATTCGGTCATCACACGCAGCGCGGAATAGCCTCCTTTTTTGTTTCATTGTACCCTACAAGAATCCCCTGCTAAAGTACCCATAGCCATAGTATATTAAACGAGTAGCGCGAAGTTTCAGAATAGAGCGAAGCAGCAATATGATCCACAACCATTATTTTCGTCTTGGATCGTGATATGACAAAAACATATCTCAATTACACAAATAACTCGCTGAGATCCTACCTTAGATAGCCCATTCCCCTATATTCCACGAAGATCGCCATAATCAGGGCAGTCAGATAGGCGGAGTAGGGAACGATATCCTGAAAAAGACATCCTCCAATCTCGGCAGCAAGCTAGCTTCTACTTTATCAGCGAGGACTTCTCGAAACAGCGGCCTGACCATGATCCTCGTCAGAAGCTCGATCTTCTGATCGTCGGGAATGAAGCGATACGGCAACCCCCTTATTCTCTTGAGATCGTGATGCTGAATCTCTTCTTCCTGGGCTGCGGCTAGTCTCTCGATCTCGGGTATTCCTGTTTTGCGCTCAGTACGTACTCAGAATCGTTCATTAGGCTGTAGATTGTCATGTCTTACCACAGTTTTTAAGCAGTCCTGTCAGTGGTTAGTCTTGATCCGGCATTTCTAGTGTGAGTACTTACCAGGGAGGAGGAATACTATCTTGCCGATCAGTGCAAGTCGGAAAGCCCCTTCAATGCTAGGAAGGGGTGTTTCCCAAAGCTCGTCCTCGGGAAACTGTTCTTTTTCCCTCTCGATATCGTTCATTGCCGTTCTGTAGATGAGCCAATTCAGCTTGTTCATGGACATCCGGCCGTGGAGGGCTGTCCGGATTAGTCTGGGGATCGAGTCAGGTTGTGAGAGTGAATGTTGTTTACCTTTAGCAATTATATATTCTGGAGGTCTTTGCCGTTGCAGAATATCGTCCAATCGCCTCTGCATATACCCGTCATCATGGTGCATCAAAACGTTCTCTCGCACCAGCCCTGAATAGAATAATACTCTCCTCGAAGGGTACGTCATAAACTCTTCAACGAGTCGTTCGCGGTTTCGGTTTCGAATCGGTTCTGGCTGGCCGCGCGATTCGACATCTACGTCGACTCGTCGTCGCCACATATCTTTGACGAGGTTCATATCTTCTAGAAGTGTCTCGCGGGTACCGCCTATGCAGCTTTAGTCACCACCCACGCGCGATCACTCCATACCGGTATCACGAACTACCGAGTTTCGGGTTGGAGACTTACCAATAGAGAAATAGGTGGAATTTGGCCCTTGTGGAAGCTCGGAGCTTGTCTCGGGTTTCTGCTCGGCATTGTGAAGCCAATCTAATAACCCACTTTGTAGCGAGCGCTGTAGTCCCTTCATTTTCTCAAAGTCGGACAAGACTTTAGCTGTGTTTTCTGCCCATACAGGCTCCTTTGTTGATCCTAGACGCCTCATCAACGTAGCGAGATTCACGAGAAACCTGCGCCGCTGTTCCGCTGAATTTATCCCCGCCGCCTTAGAGAGTGTGTCTGTGTTAGTCATGTACCACTCCAAAGTATTCGAGAATGAGTCTTCGGAGTAAAAGACGATGTTTGTGCATGAGTATGCATTGTCAAATAGAATGTGATTGATCTTGTGTACGTGCTCTACGCCGACGGAGAAAAATTGGAAGCAAAACTTGTCCGTTTTTCGTCTGGCTCCGTCTTCGCCTGCCCGAAGCCGTACCTGGCCGTTTACTACTTCGCTGTAGGAGTTGCGCGGCTTACTTATGGGCAGGTCAGCTAGAGTCGACGAGTAGCGGTCAACACCAGCCATCTTGCGCGTTTCTTCCCTCCACGCCCGTAGCTTTGGATCGCTGTCCTCTTCTGGTATAGGAAGGACCAAGCTGCGCAGTACGATCATCAACTTCGGGGATAAAGGGGCAAACTCATGAAGATTGGTCCATTTGGTCTCGGTAGCCACTCCCGTGAGGGGATTCATTTCGACAGTGGACGGCCCCTCGTATATATTGTAGCTGTTGTCTGTGAGTATGAATTCGGCTCCTAGATCTTCTGGTGCCAAGATAGCCATGTACATCATTTGCGTGTGCATTAGGAACCACTTTGCATCTTCAAGGTACATGTTGTCGGCGAGCTCCTTTTCCCAACCATCTGCGTCCATCTTTAGGTTTATGATCGTTTTGAGACCCTGGAACCAGACATCAATGGGTCGCTTGAAGCCCTTCTCTTCCATATACTTCTGTAGGAGTTCCTTGTCATTATAGTCATATTGATCAGAGCTTTCGTAGTTGAAACGCCGATGGAAGCCTGATCCACGATACTTGAGGATGAAGAGGAATTTGCGGATCGAATTCCGCTCTCCGCGGGTAACCCATACATTTGGCTCCCCGGAGTCAAATGCCTTGGTTATCTTGCGGAAGACTGAAAACATAAGGGTTAGAACGTTTTTGTATGTTTTAATGAAATCTCATGTTCAGGGGATATCCGTGTTGAACTCTTAGAAGCGATTACTCTCTTGAATTATGGAGGGACGGAACATATAATTATATAATTATACCTACTAGTACTAACGTGGGCTTCCAACTTGCCAAGCATCGTCTCAATCTCTCGTCGTTGTGCCTCGTGTAGGGTCGTATCTTGATACATATCATATTGCCCGAGAACACGCTTAACCTTTGCCTCTTCGATGTCGAAAGGATCGGCTCCCAGGTTGACAGTATTGACAACAAGCTCGCCGCGGAACATGTTATCGCCCTTTTTCTTCTTCCCTTTTTTGGAGCGTTGGGGCCCAGTGTATTTGTGAGCGAAGTTCCTCAGGATGAACTGAGGAACGAAGTGCTGGTACTCCGGCTTCACCGAACTTGTGCCTGCTGACCCCGCCATGATAGGAAGGCTAGCCCACCGTGAAAAGGAAGAAGCTACAGAAGAGAACCTCAGATGAGACTTTGAGTTATCAAACCCCAGAAGTGAAGGACACCTTTGATGCTACGTTGGCAGCCGAACCCTATGGTACCGGGCATAGCAGGCTGCGTTGCCTGGCGCGGGGTTCATTCCTACGCTCCAAGCGAATCAACGGTATTATGGTGTATTACCGCCTTGGACAGCCGCAGGATCTCATTTATACCTTAAGGTCATAAGCTTATCATGAGCTATCTCCAAAAATATCGATTGATATCGATTTCTCACAGCTAAAAGCGCGTTGACATGCAAAATGTGCCTTGTGATATTCTTTTTTCAGCAGATAACTAGTAAACAAGTGAACGAAGAGTCATACACGCATAGCAAGAGGGATGAAGATGAGGTGCGGGCTGCGTGTTTGTGATGTGTCATCAGTGTAATGGTCCAAAAGCTTTGTACAGTTTATAGGTAATCTTAGCTTTACGTGCAGAATGACTGTCTATGTCAAACGAGTAATGATGCTACATTGATGAGCAATATGTCCTTGACTAGCTATGCAGGACTTTGATAGCTTCATCAATTCATTCGTTTTGCATTTTCGCGGTTAATATACATTGCTCATATACGCTTTCAGGAACCCCTTGTACTAGAGAGCGTTAATGTGTAGCCTGACATTGCTTAAACCCCATGTTCCTGCTTGGAGGTCGACTCAAGATGTAATGGGCACCTATGGCACTATATTCGCATGCTTCAATGTCTGTATAATTGTAATTCGACACTAGATAGACTTGAATAGCTAGGACTGGGATTCGCTCCTACGGTCCAGGTCGCGATGAGAGTATCATGGAGCGAGAGAATATGAAAATGCTCTGTTAGGTGAATGAATGAAAGCGAAAATGCCCAATGTTATTGCTTTGCCATTATCTTCAATAAACATAAATTTGCCCTTCGTCCGGGGTTACTAACCAAGGTCCAACCGCCATGCATCCGAACTCCAATTAGCTCTACTCCGTAAACTTCACCTGGTTGAATTACTTGGGAATGAAACAGATCACCTCGCATCTGCCGTGACGTTTCGGATGACATTGATGCCTTATTAAAAGCGGGATTCTCACGCAAGGACACTTGCGGTTCACTTCTGCCGCGCGTCTTCTCGCGCTGAGCAAAAATCAATGAGAATTGACATCTTCAGACGTTTTATCGAAGAGACAGTTTCAAGCGGCCGTAGGATGGAGCACTACGCCAAAGCAAATCGAATGTTCGGCGCCAAGACCCTCACGATCGTATCGCTCCCGTTTCAACGACATGGGGCGGCAGAGCGACTTGGCCTGGCCAGGGCCTGGTCACGCCCGTTTCAGGGACCACTCAGGGGTGAACTCCACTGAAAGCCCACCGACTTGCTACACTGCGCCTACAGAAATGGCATCATATATCACACGCTGATAAAGCCATCGCGTTGCTTGTCGTTTAAGAGAAGAAACGAAGGAATGAGTTTGCTGCTGTTTTCCTCCTTCACTATTCTTTTCGTGTCTGTCTCATTTTAGCAATACAGCGTCAGCAGGCCTGATTTTTTTTTTCTTTCTTAGTACATAGATACCATCCTTTTCAGTCTATCATATCCAAAGTTCGCTATTGTATTCGCGATGCAGTTAATCAAACAAGCCTTCGTCGCCTCGAGCTTATTGGCGGCTGCTCACGGGCAGGCCGTGTTGAAATTCGCAAAGGGCGAAAGAGGATCGCCATTCAGCTTTGGATTGCAAGGTATGTGCAGATCCGGCCACAAATCAAACGAAGATCCCGTTGATTGATAGAAGAGGACTGGGTGGTAATTCAGTGTAATGTATAAGACTAACAGTACGTTTTGCAGTCCAGGGCAAGAACCCAAACGATGCTAATTTCATTTCGGATGTCGAAATTACCACCAATATTGTCAATGAGTGCGGACGCACTCTGCAAGGAGGCAATATTGACATTGGGGAGAATACCGAGAACGCTCTCTTAACTGGAAACGTGACGCAGACGACGGCCGGAGGCAGCGTTAGAATCTTCATGAAGCAGGTCAACAACCTAGGGTCTGGACCGTTCACATGCGACATGGACCAGACAAGTAATTCAAATGGTGTGTCGGGCCAGACGCCACTACAGGTGAAGGAGTCACAGCCCGGCCAGAACGGATTCATCAAGTTGAGCATGACAATGCCCAACGACCTGAAATGCACAGGAGGTACGATATCAACCGTTCTCTTTTCCCCATTCCCTCTGCCCTTCAATCTCTACGCTCTAGATTCGGAGTGATCCTAACCTAATTGGCCTAATCAGCATCCACGGGCAACGTCTGTACAATCCGCTGCCGCAATGCCAACAACTTCGGAGGATGCATTGCCGTACAACAGAAAGATACCCAGCCCAGCCAGAACGATCCTAACTCGATCCAGACGGCGCAAACCCTAAGTGGCGTTCTCACCCAAGTCCAGCAAAACATCAAAGACCTTCCGTTTGCTCTGGATGGCATCGCGGGAGCTAGCCAGGATCCAGCTGACCAGGGCACCTCCGTTATTGAGGCGATCCAAGAAGGTGATGGTTCGACGATAGATAACACGGTTCAATTCTCTCCTTAATATGCTGCATAGATCGTGTACTATGATCTGCATAATAGACTGGTATTATTAGAAGAAGCGCGAACAGGCATCGGCTGCGGATCATGACAAGATGTTACTTAGCAGGTTTAGGTATTCATAAATTCAACTTTGGATATGCTAGACCCAGTATCAGTGAGTTTTTGGCTCTATCTGAAGAGCAATGTACGCGTGGATGTTGGTTAGGTTATGAAAACTTCGCAGTGTAGCGGACTTGCTGCAAATCCGACCATATCGATCCCTTGTATACAACCATATACGATATCTGGCCCATCGAAGCACTCAGGCTACGGTTCCGGCATTGGTAGCAACCCATGATAATTCCTTTAATTATCAGTATGACTTCGGTCTTTTGACGCTCATTATACGGATCCGACACCTAAAATATCGTAGGGTTCAAATTTCCGGTCAACATTCCGGCTCACTTCCGTAAACGAGTGACCTAAAAATTTAGCGCATGTCAGTGGGTTAGGTGAGCCGAGACGGGGGAGTGTGGCCGCTAACCCCCACCCCACCGCTTCATTACAGCAGGTTAGCACCACTGAACTCCGCCCCCAATATCGACTTCATCTGATACGGTATCTTCATCTAACGCAGAGCTCTATCTAGTGTGGCGCTTTACAAGACATCAGAATGGCGGACTCAAGCGAACCACCCAAACTACCAAAGTTCTTCGAAGGCGCCCCGCTACACGCGCATTCTTTCCAATGGAACAAATGCTGGGAGACCAAATGCACCCCCTGGGACCGCGGTGGGCCTAGCATGGCGCTGCACGATCTGCTCAAAGAGAATCCTCTTGGAATCATCCAATTACCCACAGAGGGTTCTCCGAAAAGAGCTCTTGTGCCTGGCTGCGGCAGGGGCCATGATGTATTGCTGCTTAGCTCTTTCGGGTACGACGTGTATGGTCTAGACGTTTCGTCCCAAGCCCTCGATGAAGCAAGACAGAACGCCGAACGAGCACTATCTGAGGGTCTCTACAAGATAGAGGCAAGCACGCGGGGCGCTATCAACTGGACATGCCAAGACTTCTATGCCGAGGAATGGAAGGACGTTCCCACACCGTTCGATCTTATCTTCGACTATACGGTAAGATGAACATGGTTTCGGCCCTATGTATGTTTCCTCGCGTATTAATTAATGTTCCTGACACGTGATGGTGGTGGTTAGTTCTTCTGCGCTATGCCGCCGCCGTTACGTCCGGCCTGGGCGTCGAGGATGAAATCCTTGCTTCGCCCTGGCGGACGACTGGTGTGCTTGGAGTTCCCCTCCGAGAAGAAGGCGAGCGAGCCGGGCCCGCCGTGGGCTGCGCCGCCGAGGGAGTATCTCGGATACCTCTCGAATCCGGGAGCCCAACCACCCACGGACGAGCATGGTGGCGTCGTTGAAGGGTTGGCTGAATCGGTTAGTCCCGGTGGACTTAAGAGGTTGGTGCATGTTAAGCCTAGGCGGACACATGAGAGTGGAACGCAGGATGGTAGGGTCCAGGACTATATATCTGTCTGGGCACATGCTGATGAGTAGATGCGAGAGTACGTCGAGACGTTACTGGCTATGAGTAGACCGATGGGCTATAGTATTGAGACTCGAGAGGCTGTCAAATGATATCTTAGACACTCGAGACTCGATTCCCCACGGTAGCCACAACTTGATATTTCGTCTATCTTGATATGCTGCTTTCTAATATCTACGGTTCAAACATAGACAGTATATGACTATGCACCTTTGGAGAGACTGCACCAAGCCGGCGATTGTATTTTGATTCTAGGAATCCTTAAAGTAATCTTGCATAACTACGTTTGTTCCGATGGCGGTAGGTAGTGAGCCAAGTGACTAGCTTTTCTCAAGGTGTATAAGAGGGTTGGCGTTGAAAGTCTATGGTAGATCTAACTCTTCAGGCCTGGGAAGGCATAAATGAAGATATATTCAGGTAAAGTTGGTCATTGAATTTCACCACCAAGCCTGGTCAAGTATGACGAATTAAAACGTCAGGTCGAAAAGCAAGGAATCGACGAGGAATGGGAATTTGATATGTAATGTGACATATTGCTGTGTTCTTCATCGTGCTATATACAACACTGCTAACTCTTAATTCCAGTGACGTCTCTTTTAGTTTTCCTTTTCTCTAAACATCTAGCATGCATTTTAGATCAATGAATGCGGAGAGTATGTCATTGAGTCGCGGTCTATAGCGGGAGCTTCTCGTGCTTGAAGCTCTTCTTCCCCTCACCCTCTCCGTATACAGCGGTGATGTGACCCTGGCCGCGTATCTTGTACTTATAAATCATCAAACCCTCTAAGCCGACGGGGCCCCTAGAGTGGATCTTGTTGGTACTGATGCCGACCTCGGTGCCGAAACCATACCGCATGCCATCGGCGAATCGCGTCGATGCGTTCCAGTAGACACCGGCTGCATCTACGCTTGACATAAATTTCTCCGCGAGCTCTGAAGACGATGTCAGGATCACATCTGTGTGCTTGGAGCCGTGAGTGTTGATGTGTGCTATTGCCTCGTCTAGGCCTGTGACGGCCTTCACTGCTAACGTCAGGCTGAGGAATTCTGTGTCAAAGTCCGCGGCCGTCGCATCTTCCAATTTGGAAGAAGACTCGGGCGACAACTTGCTAGCGAGAAGTTCTTTTGTTGCTTTGTCGCAGCGGAGTACTACCCCCTTTGCTATCAAGGCGTCGGCCACGGAGGGAAGGTGAGTTTCAATCGCAGACTGCTGGACGAGAAGAGTTTCCAGGCTGTTGCAGGCAGCCGGGTAGCTCGTCTTAGAGTCGACGATGACTTCAGCGGCCATCTTGGGGTCCGCGGATTGCTCGAGGAATATGGAGCATAGACCATCGGCATGGCCGAGCACGGGGATCTTGGTGTTGGATTTGATGTAGCGAACTAATTCATTCGAGCCTCGTGGAATGACAAGGTCGATGTATTGGTCAAGATCCAGAAGCTGGGGAATAACATCTCTAGTAGTGACTAGCTGGATGGCATTGTTGGGAACCTGGGACTTCTCTAATGCTGAAGAGATGACTTTAGATATAGCCACGAAAGACTCTGTCGACTCTTTTCCTCCTGCTCACGGGTTACTACTTCTTGTTTGATTTTGAAGACCATTATGGACTGAACTTACCTTTCAGGATTGCTGCATTACCTGACTTGACGGCAAGAGATGCGATGTTGGCAATGACCTCGGGACGGGCTTCGAAAATAATAAGCAATACGCCAATGGGACACGTAACCCGTGTCATTTCCAGACCATCGTCGAGCTTCGTCCTCAGGGTTATTTTACCGACTGTGTGATAGTTAGTTTGGCGTCTCAACGAATGTTAAGATGAACCCCTCAAGAAGGTAGAGTCGTACCAGGGTCTTCAAGCTCGCGCACATCCAGGATTCCCTTCAGCATATCCTCCCACTTGCCCTTCTTCCCCAGATCTAATCGGGACACCAAGCTCTGGCTCAACTGACCATTTTCAGCAGCCCGTCGCGCAGCCTCCAGGTCCCGCGCATTGGCGGCGAGGATGTCGTCCTTGGCCTCCGATAGCGCTGAGTGGATAGCCGTCAATGCTTCATTTCTCGCTGCAGCGGGGAGTGTCGCTAGGATATGTGATGCGCTCTTGGCCTCACTCGCGGCCTCTGCCGGTGATGCACTCGTCAACGACATTTTATCTTTACTGCAGGTTCAATTTGGTTGTCCGACTAGAATGGAGTGGTAGCTGAGCTATTGAAGACTCTTTATTGGATGAGTCGGGAGGCGACCGGAGCCGGACCAGATCAGCCTGAGTCAAACGAGATACGAAGGGCCCAGAGCGCGGGATGCGAGATACTAAACCACAAAAATGTAACCGGTCCAGCGTGGGCAAACTTAACTCACAAGAAAGAGAGAGATGTGTGAAACTCAGTCTTCATATTCATAAATGTACATACAAATTGATTAATTCGGATCAATTCTGAGCTGTAATAGGCGGCCAACGTACGGAGGCCGTTTATTGCGCTCACGGTCAGTCGCTAGTGGATGCTACCGTAGTGCTCGCGCCCTGAGAAGACAAGACCACTCACTGAAGTCCCAGCTCTTATTTGGCTTCCCACCATTTTAACCAACTGAAGACTACCTACCTCCCTATAAAATAATGTATGCACTACGTGTGACTCCAGTCAGGAAAAAGGCTATTATTCCGTATTGCACCATATTGCACAGTTATATGCGGGCAGAACTTGAATTAATGAGGTATTAAGAAGGGCCACCTGATACATTAGGTACCTAGGTATAGGTACGGTGAACACCGCCACGCAACACCCAAGCCACAGTGACGGTTTCGGCATGTTTTTAAAGACCAGGTTCCCCCTTCGTTGACAGTTGATTGAATTGAATCTGAGGGGCTCCCTAAGGCATGGGTTGTCACCATGAAGCTTCAGACACTCGCGCGACTGGCTTTGCTTCATATACTGCCTGACTGGCTTCCGAAAGTCAAAGCAAGCCAGTATGGGGAAAATCATGATCCTGTAGAGAAAGACGAAGCTCTCGTGGCGGCTCATTTCCCAGATACGAACCAAGTGCTCCTCTCTCCTGCTTTCTTAACCCCGGAGAGTGTGCTCGCTGGCTTCGCAAATGGCACCGACGGTCCAACAGATGACGCGGCCCTTAGTGCGTGATCCGTTTGATTAGGCTTGATATACCGACTTACGTGATGTACATAGACGATTTCCTACGATCCATTTCCGATAGGAACGATTGGGTTCACTACCACGTAGCGGGTTTCACATCTGAGGAAGGTCGTCCATTCCCATATGTGTATCTGTCAAAGGAGCCGCTAGAGTCGAGCAATGGAAACACCCCTAAGCTACGAGTTTGGATCCAAGGAGGTGTACATGGCAATGAGCCCGCTGGAGATCAGGCTGTCTTAGCCCTCCTTGGAAAGTTAGACGCGAATGAGACCTGGGCAACATCGCTTCTCGACAGAATGGACATTATGCTATTTCCTCGCTATAATCCCGACGGCGTGTCGTATTTCCAACGAGATTTGGCTTCTAACCTTGACCCCAATCGTGAACATACCAAACTCGCGCGACATCAGTCCCGTGAGATCAAGCAGCTATTGAGCTCGTTCTCACCCCACATTGCGGTTGATATGCACGAGTTCACTGGCACTCGTCTCACCGGCAGTCATTACAAACATGGAAGTAAGAACTTAGTCGTCGCCCCTGTTGTCATACCGACTGATCATGATTATAGTGGATGCGCTAATTGCGCCTGGCAAGAACCTCAATACCCACAAGGATATTCGGAACATGTCTGAGACCCTTTTTGCGTCCGGAATTGCGAAACGACTTGAAGCTGCTGGTTTCCGATGGGAGTCGTACTTCACTGCGTCATATAGTGACGTACCTGGTGTCACCTTAGCAGAGGCTGGAAGTGATGCAAAGGCCGGACGCAACAGCTACGGCTTGATGCAATCGATAGCCATCCTTAACGAAGTCCGTGGCATTCGTCTTGCAGACCAACATTTCCAGCGACGTGTATCAACTGCACTGACTATGGTGTCTGCCATTCTCGATATTGCTCTTGAGAATGTTGATGAGGTCTATGTCACTGTAAGAGCTCAGTTAATGGAGCTACCCAATTGAAATAAGTATTGTGTGGTAACTTATCTGATATAGGTTGAAAATGCAATTGAGCAATTTATCGCCAGCAATGATGATATTATCGTCACCGATTATCAGAACCTCACAACTCGCTCAGTTTCATTTATCGACGTGACAAATGGAAGTTTGGTTCAACTCCCCGTTAACTGGCTCAGCACAACACCAACAATCGCGAATCTAACCCGGACACGCCCTGAAGCCTACCTGATTCCACGAACGTGGTCAGACCTTGCCATTCGTCTACAGGAGTCTGGGGTCATCGTTGAGACTCTTGACTATGAATATCGAGGGACTGTTGAAGCGCTGAAAATAGCATCGGCCTCTTCAGCACAATCGTACTACGAGGGCGCAATCCAGGTCACAGTGACTACAGAAGCCTACCAAAGAGAGGTTCACCTCCCTGTTGGGAGCTTTCTCATCAGTACAAGGCAGAAGAATGCAGCATTAGCCTTCGTCACACTCGAACCGGAAGGCATTGATTCGTACGTTCGATTCAATCTTATTCCGGTACAGACTGGCGACGAGTATCCTATTTTCAGGCTTCTATCAAAACCAGCTCAACGGCGTCGGTCTGATGAGCTCTAATTGTGCGATCTGAAAATACGTCAGTTCAGTCGTGACAGATAATGGTACCCGTATGTAATTCTTAAGCATGCATCCCATCTACTCTAATAGCGAATTTGATCCTCAACGCCCTTATCCTTGATATCATCCTTGTCGTGGAGTGACTGGTGTATTAAACCATGGTTTTAAAAGTGGCCGGCATGTTTGAACTAGCGCCCCTGACATTTTGCCGATTCAAAACACTCGATATATCCATCTAAACTACTCGATTTGACGACATAACGGCAAGTAGTAGAGTCTACATCTCATTCGACAAATTACGGCTGGAAGATTTCTATCGTACGTAGAGGCCTCTACCATCCTCGCCACCTAGTCCGTCATCATACTACGGTCAGCGTCTTCCCAGGTCTTTCCTACTGAAAGAACATGGAAAGTCGGAAAGCTGAGCATGCTGAGTACGTAGAGGGCTTAGCCGCAGCCTTTGTATACGTCAATAGGAGCCAATGATATACTTTGCTCGTCTACGACATGCAAGGTCAACATCAGATGCGGTCTTCTTTGTGAGGGGTTTCCTCTTGGAGTAGGGGATCTTTTCCTAATGAGATTGTCACACACTGCACGTAATACGCCGTAGCCAACAAACATCATACAAGATCATACAGCCTACATTAGCAGAAAACTCGGGTTCCCGTCTGACCACCTAGTTGATGTGTTCGCTTCGCTTTCACGTGAACCATGACGGTCGACGTTTGTCATGGCGAAGCGAGTCCCAAGCGTCGCTGTCCGATGTTCTTCTTTCCACTACTCATTTTCATGTGCGTAGGCTACAATCCAAAAAGAAAGATTTTATCCTACCATTGTAACTATGAGTGAGGGCAATCTCTATATTTCGTCCGGACAGTGTTTCTATGGAGAAGGGCAGATCTCCGACCCACGTTTCATTCCATGTGGCAACGCTGCCGTTGCAGGCACTCAGGCTTGCTGTTTCCAAGGGGATTTCTGCTTAGCTTCTAACGTATGCTACGATAACGATAGTAGGTTCAAGACAATCCCAGAGTGTAGTATGACTACACTGATCGCTGTGAAAGCTGACCAAAATAACAGCATCTGTGACTTACATCACCGGATGTACGGATGCAACCTACTCGTCGTCCAAATGCCCACACAAGGCAGGATACCCTGATCAACAATGGGTAGCGCTAGCGAGATGTGATGGCGATGACATTGACCTATTTTCTGGCTGCGGCCACCATAAGGATGAGGTTGTGATCAAACATGAGGACTGTACATGCGACGCTGCATCGGCGTTGATTTCGAATCCTGCCAGTGGACAGCCAACTCTGAACCAGATTGGATTGCTCCCAACAACAGCTGGAGGGACTATCTCCTTCAATCCCACAGCGCTTCCGACTGCTACAGCGTCATCCGATTCAAGCTCTGGAGGTCTTACAACGGGCGCTAAGGCGGGTATCGGTGTTGGCGTTGGCGTGGGCGTGCCGGTGATTGCGGCGATTATTTTCCTATTTTTCTTCTTGCGACGCAAGAAGAGACGGGCAGAGCAACATCAAGAGCCACAGCAACAACAATTCCGACCACCACCATCGGAACTCCCTCCCCAGGAGGCACACGCACAGATGATGCAGCAGCATTCCCCGCCACCCGTGTACAGTACCGACACCCAGAACGCGCAGTACGGATGGCTCCGCCACAAGCCAGAGCTACATGGCGACCCAGCGCATAAGGTCGAGCTCCCAGGGGACTCGCATGCGCATGGAAACAACACCGGCGTGAACAGGATGGACTCCATCCAGAAGACACCGTATGAAAGCTATCCGCCAAGCGAATATGGTGCGGACGTTAGTCATCGTGAGAGTGAGACTCCGTCCCTGCCGTTTGTTTCGCCGCAGACCACGGGCAGTACGGATGTGCCGCAAGCGGCCGGCGGCCATCAACGGACGGGATCTTCTAATATGGATCCTATCTCCGAACATCGCTTTGATGGCAGACAGTACTAGTTAGCTATCATCATGTGCATGGATTGGTTTCTTATTGAAAAGAAGTTGTCTCCTCATCATATCGCATATAAGGATGTAAGTTTTCTACGCGACGGGGATAGCGACAGACTGGGAACTAAGTATCGCAAATCATGTAAGACTGCTGTTTAGGTGTCGAGTTCGGAGCCGAGTGGCTAAGTCATCGAACTCCTGCAATGAGATCTAGCATTTCTATAAGCTCTTATGGTGATTGACACCGCAAACGCAACGATGGTCAAGTGAGCAGGTGTCCGATATCCGGGAAGGCATTTTATGTAGTACCTGGTAGATCATACATCAACCATAAACATATTCTCCTCAGCAGCTGAAATAACACCGACAGTTAATGAGAGACACCATGTTTTGCCCTATTTTTCAATCATTGTTGTCTTCATTGTCATTTCCTGCTACGATAGCGCGCGATCGCGTGAAAGCTAGCAAAGATTTTCCAAGTCTCGTCTCAACGCTAAACTCGCCAAGGATCCTCGATAACTAGGAAGTCGATCACGTGCTTACCTACATGAGCAGTTAATTGATCATCTTTATAAGTTTGGGCTGCCAGCGTTGCGGATATGATCGTGACATGAGAAGACAGTTGTATGAATGAAATTGCTGTAACGTACTACTCGTGATGTTCTTCGTCCTACCACTTTTTGCGCTCGGCGCAGCCGCGGGCTGCACCCCGTCGCACTCGTCCTCGACCCAGCTATTCATCGACTTTGACGGGACCATCGTCACTTCCGATGCGTGAGTTTCTATTCGAAGCTCTAATCAATCAACCTATCTGACATTTCTTGCCAGATACACAACACTAGCAACGGCCGCTTATGCCAGCCTGCCAAGCAATAGCTCAGTCCTCCCATGGGACGAGATCGAGCAGATCTACGGAGAACGCGCCGACGCCGCTGCGGCCGCGGCCCCTGAGCCGTCGTCCCTTGAAGGCGCGATCACGTACGCCAACGATGTGTCGCGCCGCGATGTGGAGGTCTGGTCCTTCGACTGGGTTAAAGGAATGGGCCTCTTCCAGACCGCCGAGGCAAGCGAACTACTGAAATACGCGCGCAATCAGACGCTGCGCAGCGGATGGTGCGCGTTCGCGCGAACAGCGCAGAAGAAGGGCGCGCATATAAACGTCGTCAGTCTCAACTGGTCGCCGTCGTGGGTCCGGCTTGTTCTGCGGGAGTCCTCTGGCTGTCCCGATGTCGTCTCGCGCATCGATACGTATTCGCCTGAGATACTCCCGCTAGGAGTCCTGCCCGTCTCCCGCTTGAACCATAATGTTTCATTATTCTCGGGTGGTGATAAGACGGAGCTTATTGGGGGCATGCTTAGGGACATTCCTGCTGCGAGGAAAAGGAAGGTCGTGTTTGTGTCTGATGGCCGTGCGGATTTGCAGCCCCTTTGGGATTCGCCTACGAATGTGGGCATTGTTGCTGGGTATGATGGGAGTGCTGCGAAGACGTTTGGACAGTATGGTGTGGATATTCGGGAGGCGAGCGAGGGCTGGAAAGGCTTCACGGGTGAGAAAGCTAATGCTGTGTATGGTTTTGAGGACTGGGTTGATGTCGCGAGTCTGTTATGGCCTTGATAGAATGATCGCCGCGAGGTCGCGTATGATGTATAGAAAATCGCATTTGGTAGCTGGAAACTCTGCGCACCCCGCCACTTCTGGCTTTTTTGAATGTTCATCCGCCATACCCCTTAGCTAGTAGTTAGTCTTATGTGTCTTGGTATACAAAATGTGCGCATACAGCACCTCGTTCTAATATCATACACGCTGCATCCCCTACATCTCATGTTCATTCTGGCTCGCATGGACCTCTTGCAAGGAATCAACAGAGAGCCTCTGTAACAAGATGTCTTGGGCCGGTGGAAATACCGCAACTGGGCTACCCGTCTCGGTAAAGGCAAGGAGAGGTTTTATCTTGCGGCAGTCTCGTTTGTATACCCAGTGGGCCCGACATTCGCGAATGTTGAGGTAAAAGCAGGCAAACCCAATTGACCTGGTGAAATATTCATTAGTTTCAATGCCATGGTTCTCATAGGCAGGCCGATAGAAAACAGGCAGAGGGAGAGGAAGATGAGGGGAGCTTACGATATAAATGAACAAAGCACAGCTCCCACAACTTCGAAGTAATTATAATGGTAGTAATATGCTCCATTGCTTGCTATCTGAGCAATATAGCTATAGTAATAATAGTCTAGGTAGAGAAAGGGGCCTAGAAAGATCAGCTCAAGCAGCAGGTTTATCTCTATAAGAATAATCGAGAGTTTGGTGCGGACACCAGCGAACATGACCACATCCCAGAAGATAAGAGGAACTGTCTAACACTAAGTTCAGTCATCGTGAGAGTGCACCGCTAGTTACAACAGGGTACTTACAGCAACGAGAGAGGTGACGAAGATCACATAGACGTCAACGAGTGATGCATAAGTTAAATATGTAGCGGCCAGTGGCAACCTAGACATCCGTAGTAATAGGCCTCTTCTGTTTAAATTTCCAGATGACATCGTGAACGCCAAAATTCTCTCCTTCAGCCTTGATAGAAAAGGTTGAATATTTGGTCGTTTTGTGAGGGATGACGAGAGCAGAGAAAATTTGGTGTCAGAATGTTTATCCATCATACCGTAGGACGACTTGGCGTTCTTTTAATAGATTACGACAGTCTTCAATGGGTAAGTCGTGCCACGGGGCTGTGACATGTAACGGTGCAGCCACGTCTTACTGCGCGATAACGGTCAGGCAGATTTATTAGGACCGAACAACAAATGAGATGTGACACAAAGTGAATTTACATATAGTGGGCTATGTGACATAGGGTAATCCTCGAGTTCTCCTTTTCTTTGTTTCTAATGATTCATATCCTGCTTGCGACTGGGGCTATAATACATCTCATGACTATACCTCGAGCAATAGTCCTTGATGAGTCTATCTAGATTAATAAGCAAAAACCCTGCCTTACGACCACCCCCCGTCACGACCAGGGCCCTAGGCACCCTAAAACGCGCTTTAACTCCTAACCACCTAATTAAACACTACTTAATAATGCAACCGCGTTTAAGTTTTATAATAACTTTTTACCCTTATTTTATTTAGAATTAACTTCTCTTTATTATTATATTTTTTAATTTTAAAAATTATTATACTATAGCTATTATTTATATAATTTAATTTAAAACTTTAATTTAAATAATAATATATATTTAAAGTATTAATAAATTATATTTATATTATTAGCTTTAAAGTATTTTTATTAAAAAATAAACCTATATTAACCTTTAAGCTTTATTAACCTATTATAAATATTAATTAATAAATTAAGCAATAAAGTAAGTTAAGTTAAGCTTTATACCTTTACTTTTTAAATTTAAACTTATAGTTAAATATATATTAATTATTTTAAATAATAATAAAAGCTTTAAAAAAAATAATATATATATTTTTTAATTTAAAATAATAAGGTTAAATTAATTAAATTATAATTTATTAATTATATATATATTAATAATATAATAATAATTAATATTAACCTTTTTTTTAATTATTTTAAAGTTTTAAAAATTATAAATATTCCTTTTAATTACTTTTATAATATTAATAAAATAGGTATAAATTAAAATATTAATAATAATTATTAAATAATTATTAATTTTATTTTATATTAAACTTTTAAAAAAGTTATTAAAAAAGGTAAATAAATTATTATTTTTAAAGCTATTAATATTATTAATAATATTTTATTATTATTAATAATTTAAAAAGGTATATAAATATAAAATTAATAATTTTTAAATTAAAATTAAAGTTTATTTAAAAATTAATATTTTAAATATTTATTTAATAAATAAATTAATAATTTTATAATATTAAAGTAATTATAAAACCTTTTTATACTTTATATTTAAAGTTATTATAATAATATATAATATATATTAATATATAATAGCTATAAATTATATATTAATAATAAATTTCTTTAAACCTACCTTTTAAATAAAATTTAACTTTTATTTTATAAACTTTATTATTATTATATTATAATATCTTAAGGCCCTTAGAATATATATACTTTATATATATTATATACCCTTTTTATATATGCTTTAAAGGAGATTTTTCCCTTTTTTAAGCTTTAATTTTATTAAATACCTATTATAAGATTAAAAAGATTTATAATATTATATTTAACCTTTAAGATTTAATTTATTTATAACAATTTTAAAGCTTTCCTTTAAGGTTATTTATAATATTATTAATTATAATATATTTATATATAAATAAATAATTAAAGTTAGTATTTTTTTAAGAAATTTAAATTAAGGAAAGTTTTTAATAATAGTTTAAAAATAAAATTAATATAATTTATTTTTAGAAAAACAATAAATTTAAAATTAATTATTAAAATTTCCTAATAACTTTAATTTAATAAATAAAGCTAATATTTAATTATTATAATAAATAAATGTTTAACTTTTAATTAAAATTATAAAATTAAAGAAATAACTTTTTAAAGAAAAGAAGGTTATTTAAAGTTTAAAAGTAACCTATACCCCTTTTAAATTATATTTAAATAAATTAAGGTATTATTTTAACCTTAATAATTTATAAACCCTTAATAATTAATAATATTATTAAAATTAAAAAAACAATAATTTTAATAATAATAACCCTTTATTATTTAGCTTTAATATAAAATATAATTAAAGTAGTTATATATATTATTATAAATATTATTCCTTTAAAAAAGTTAATTTAAATTAATTTTTTAAATTTAATTATAACCCCTTTAATATAAAGTTTATTTATTTAAAATAGTTAAAATAAATAAAAAAATTAAAAATTATATTTTATAAAACTAATTATAAATTTAAAATTAATACCTTTAAAATTCTTTATATATATAATAAAATAAATAAAAATTATAAAAATATATATTAAATTATAAAAAAAAGGTTTAAATATATAAAAAAGAAATAAATGGAATTTAATTAAAATATATTTTTAAATTAAACTAAAACCTTATTATATTAATTATCCTTTTTATAAATTAATATTAATATATAATTTAAAAGGGCTATATAATATATTAATTAAAACTTAAAATAAAATAAAGGTAAAAAAGCTCTATTATATTATTAAAAATTAGGTAAACCCCTATAAAAGGAATTAATAAATTTTTATAATCCTTTATTAAAAATTAAAACTAAAATGGTTAATATAATATAATAATATTAAAAATTAATAAATAAGGATTAATAGGTTAACTATAAAAGAAAAAGGCTTAAATTAAGGAATATTTAAATTAATAATAAACTACTTATAAATATAAACTAAAGTTAAAATAATAACTAAATTATTAATAATAATTATAAAAATAAATATAAAGGATATAATAATAATAATTATAATAATAGCTTTAATTATAGCTATATTAATAGTTATAAAGGTAATAATAATAATAATAACTATTAAAGTAATAATAATAGCTATTATTAATATTTTTAAAGTTTTAATTATTAGGAAAATTATTAATTTAATAATTTTATTTTAAAAAGTTAATTCCCTTTTAAAGTTCCTTTAAATTATTTATAAAGTAATAATAAAAATAAACTAAATTAAAAAAACTATAAAGGAATAGTTTATTTTAATTATAATTAATTAAGCTATATTGCTTTAAATTATATTTAACTTAAATAAAATTAAAACTTTAGCTATATAAGCTATATAGTATAAAAATAAACTATTTAAAAAGTTTAAATAAATAAAAAGCGGAATAAGGCTAAAAACGAATAATAGTTATTATATTATTCTTATACCTTCCTTTTATTAAAATACTATAATCTTTTAAAATATAATAAATAATTAAAAAATAAATTAAAGGTTTAATATTTTTTAAATTAATAAAAGGTATTAAGCTAAATTTATCCCTTTATATACTTATTATATATTATTTTTATACCCTTTATATAATTTATATATTTAACTTAAAAAAACTACCTTTATAAACTTATATTAATTTAAATTCTTATATTAAATATAATTATATTAATTTTATTTTTATACTTTATTATAAGTTAAAAAAGGCTCCTTTTTAAACCTTTTTATTATAATATATTATAAGTAATAATTTTTTATTATATAAAGCTTATTAGGTTATTTATAAATTAATTAATAATTATAATATTATTTATAAATTTAAATATATATATATATAGCTATTAATTATAATTATTATTTAAAAAGTAATCCTATTTTATTATTTTAAATTACTTTAAAGGATTAAAGAATTATATTAAATTTAGGTATAAATTATTAATTCTTTAAACTTAAGGTTTATTATTTTAAAATATTTATTTTATATTAATTTATAAAAGTTTATAAAAATAAATTATATTATTAAACAATTATCCAATTATTAAAATTAATTTAATTAAAAGAATTAAAATTATATATATTTTATATAAGATTTAATAATATTTTATAAAAGTTTTATAACCTTATTAATTTCTTTAATATAAATAAAGCTAATATACTTTCCTATTTAAAAAAAGATAATTTAATTATTAAATTTAAAAAAAATACTATAATTCCTTATTATTTTATATACCCTTTAATATAAAATAAATTTAAAAAATTATAAAGGTAGTTAAATAAAATATTAAAGGTTAAAAAAATTAAAAAATTAATTAATTTAATTAAAGTACTTATTCTTTTTATTCTTAAAAAAGATAAAGGCTTATACTTATATATAAATTATAAGGGATTTAATTATATTTTATATAAAAATTACTATACTTTACCCCTTATTTTAAAGCTATTAAATAAAATCTTTTAAATAAAGATATTTATAAAAGTTAACTTAAAGGATATATATTACTATATTTATATTTAAAAGGGAAATAAATGGAAAATAGCCTTTTATATTTATTATAGCTATTATAAATTTTTAATTATACCTATAGGTTTATTAAATACTTTTATTACCTTTTAAAATTATATATAAAAGGTATTTAATAATATTTTAAATATTTTTTATATTGCTTATTTAAATAATATCTTTATATTTTTTATAAATAAGGAATTATATATATAATATATTTAAGCTATTATTAAAAGATTATAAAAAGCGGACCTTTATATTAAGCCCTTTAAATATTAGTTTTATTAAAAGAAGATTAAATTTTTAAACTATATTATTTTTAATTAAAGTATTAAAATAAATCCTTTAAAAATTAATATAATTAATTAATAGCTTATTTTAAATTTTTATAAAGAATTATAATAATTTTTAAGGTTTTATAACTTTTATTATTACTTTATAAATAGGTTTTTTTAAATTATATCATTATTAATATATTATTTAAAGAAAGGTATATTTAGGATAAAAAAGGGTTAAATTTTACTAAATATAATTATAATAAAAATATTTAAAAATCTTTAAGCTATATTTAAAAAGGTTATTCTCCTTATATATTTTAGCCTTAAAAAGTAAATATTATTAAAGACCAAT